CTCAGTGTCAACTGGGCATGTTGTTGGCTGCGCAGGCGCACGCGGGGCTGGTGGCCGCCCCCCCGCGCCGCAAGCGCCGCGCCCCCCTCCCCGCCAGGCAGCCGCGCACACCCAACTCTTCTGATTCACCTCACGGCGCTAAGCGACAACACTGAATACACTAATCATCTATTTATCTATGGTTTCTGAGACCAAATAATGATTTATACGTGGAATTTGGTCTCAAAAACCATTTATTCCACAAATTTAGCAAACTTTGACCACACTAGCGACTTCTCTGACGTCATCAGCGGACTGTGACCACACTAGCGACTTCTCTGACGTCATCAGCGGACTGTGACCACACTAGCGACTTCTCTGACGTCATCAGCGGACTGTGACCACACTAGCGATTTCTCTGACGTCATCAGCGGACTGTGACCACACTAGCGATTTCTCTGACGTCATCAGCGGACTGTGACCACACTAGCGATTTCTCTGACGTCATCAGCGGACTGTGACCATCTTCTATATCTTTACGCGCCATTTTATTAATTTGACATGAAACATTATTATTTTGTGTTGCAAGTACAAAAAATAATTTCACAAAATGCTATATACATAAAAATGTGTCATCAAATTATGAATAAACTAAATAATTAATTCGTTTTATTTCTTATTTACTCTGATATTTGCCTTAAAATTGTATGAAATTGTTGATTCTGTTTTTCCAATAAGAAATACTAGCTGTCGCCCGAGACTCTGTCCGGACGAAAAACCTTATTGGTAGTCTATTTGTTCTTCGAGAGTATGTTCCACATCTATGCCTTACCATCAAGATCCATGTAACCATTCTGGAGATATCTTCTAACATTTAAACATTCGCATTTATAATATTAGTAACATGTTCTCTGTTTTTTTCTTAAGAGAATAAAAAGGGATAGAATTTTTTTTGTATAAGTTGAAAACTCTTCGTAATTTAATAAAAAAAACATTTTGACGTTTTGTAAATTTATTTTGCACATAGAATATTTTTGTGACTATTCATTAAATATTACGGCTTACATAAAGGGATACATCTATACAAATCAAGTTTGCGACGAAATATATTTAAAAAAAAACCGTCTTTACTGGGCGTGGAGTAGCGTTCTCTTATAATTAAACCGATGTGAATCATAATTAATCTAGGCAAATTGCAAAAAATTACAGTTCCATAGTCAGACAGAAATGACAATTTACGAATTATCGATTGATTTGTTTGATACGATTTACAATTTGCCTAGACAGATTACAAACTAACATACATCGGTGACAGCGAGTTTGAAGGAAAAGAGAAAGCGACAGGGCTCTTCCGAGCTAGTAACGCGAATACAGTCTATACAAAGAACATCGTAACTCACCTCTATTAGTCGTATTTCGTGCCTATTCGATTCCCGCCATATTGAAGCTGTCAGAATTACATCTGTCACTTTCAAATCGAAGCAAAAGATGTTACCAAACAGCCAGTTGTCAAACGATTTATAAAGGTGAGTTATATTCAAGCAAACATCAAGCAATTCTCCTAAAGACCGATTAATTATTAAATAGAACATTTCAGCTATATTTATATTATATTGATAAATCGGAAACATATTAAATAAAACGTTACTAGCTCTTAAACATACAACAGTGACAATTGTTTTTTTTTCAAAGAGAACTGATGAGATGTCACTGGAGTCGAAATACACTGAATGACAAACTTATCCGACATATAAATGAGACATGACGCTCATCTATGTCACAAGATCCTTGTCTATAAAGACATAGCTGCTTTCACAGAATTAACGCCTCTAACTGGGCTATATAATTGTCGTAATATACGTTAACTATTTACAAAGGTCAAAGTCAGGTTGACAGTTACTGTCAGTGTCATTTCCTTGTTTTAAAGTCAGGTTGAAAACTTAAGTTAAAATATTAATTAGCGTTTTCATATATTTTTAGTCGTATTTCAGTTAAAAAGACAAATTACAGTCGAAACGCTGATAAGCAAGAGTTTTTTTATAACAGAAGGGGTCAAACGAGCAGCAGGAACACCGAGGTGTTCAACGCCCATGGACATCAGCAATACCAGAGGAACCGCAGATGCGTTGCCTTTGAGATAGTGCTAAACTCGCTTCTTGAAGGACAAGTCGTAGCGGTTCAAGGGATCGCGATAACTTTTATACTAGGTTTGACTGTATTTGTCATCGACAAGTTTCTTTTTCGATTTCGTCACATAAATTAATTTAAAATTACTATTTTTTAAATGATAATTACATAATAAAATAAACTTACACGTCTTTACATAACTTAAAACGAAATAATGACAATTTACCAAGTAACAACAGGAATAAGAACTAATTTTGTTTATACAGTGTTTTTAAATAAAATCACACAAAGTCATATTTAAAGTTTGCATGTAAGATGTGTATGAGAGCAAGCTTTGTATGAAGCATCACTTTAATTTGAAAATAGACATTTCTTTTTTAAATATTAGCAGATTTTTGTGTAAATTTACTAATATTTCTTTTACTATTATAAATAAGCTGTAAGCTTGTGCTAGGATATGGTTTACAATAGTCTAATCGCGAGATTTGAACTCTCGATTATATGATCGGAAATCCGTACCCTTAACCATTAAGCTATTGATGCTTTTGGATTACAAATGTTTGTATGGAATATGTATGATATCAAATTAAGATAAGAACGTTCAAATATAACAGATTGAATTAAATTTGTGAAAGACAGAATTAGTTTCGTAATCTTAAATTTGTTTTGTAAAATCGTGAATTACTTTTGTAAACGTCAGAATTGTAAAATCTATCGTAATTATAGTTTTTTTTTTTAGTTTTATTTATGTCCAGGTCTTAGAGCGTTAACATCAAGCGCTACACGTGGCTTATGTCGTGGAGGTTCAAAATAAAAGTCGAATCGCTTGAACGATTCAATCTCTCTGTCTGCTACTTCTAAAGCTGAAAGATTGGTAATAGTACGATCCGGGAGGAACACGCTGTTCTCTGTAAAGAAAAAAGACGAATAACATTACTTGTAAGTAAAAGTTAACTTATTCTTGTTATTAGCTGTAGCCGGCGACTCCGTCCGCGCGGTTTTGAAATAATTAGTCTATGTGTTCTTCCAGACTATATTCTATATGTATGTTAAATTTCTTTAAGATCCATGCAACCGTTCTAACAAACATCCATCCATCTAAACATTCGCATATTACTAGTTATGGCCCGCGACTCCGTCCGGGCGGAATTAAATAAAAAAACTACACTAGCCTATGTGTTCTTCCAGACTATGTTCTATATGTATGACAAATTTCATCAAGATCCGTTGAGTTGTTCCGGAGATATCTTCTAACATACATCTAAACATTCACATTTATAATATTAGTAAAATAATTTACATACCATGTCTGGCAATAGGAGCTCCCTCCCCTATAGCTCCGGGGCCATCATTGGGAGGTGAAGGGGTTATGACCCCATTGTCGCAGTCCCGTGGGGAGACAGGGGATGAAATTCCTGCGTGGGTGAAGTTGTGACAATCATAAGGAATATAAACCAAAGATAAGAATAGAATAAGGAACATATGGTACAGTTTTTTTTTATTTACAATTAATTTTTAAAATAATTTTAAAGATTCTCGTAATGTTCACTCTATAAATAGTATTATTGAAAGTCTTTGGTCAATCATATTGTTACTTTATCATCATCATCATCAGCTCACTATATAACCCCACTGAGGGTCTCTGCACCTCCACTAAGTGAGAGTATGTGATAGTGAATGCTGGTCCAGTGCAAGACTTGACACATATGTTTGAGTTTGTCAGATATGTGCAGCATCACGATGTTTTCCTTCACCGTAACAACTTGCGATATTAAAATCTTTGCTCAATATTTTAGTAGAATTTAAATTATTTTTCGTTAAAACAATTAAATTCTATCGTTAAATATTTTATATTTAATTTTATAATTAGTTAATTTGTTTCTAAAATTAATATGTAATCCGATTTAATATATTAAAATAAAAAAAAATCGAAATATGAGTAATTAAAAAAATCTGTAAAAAAAAATTCTCTGACCGATCTGTCAAGTCATTTTGTCATTTAGCAACCATTTCAGTCAAAAAAAAAATTTAAAGTAAAAAAATAAAAAAAAAACAAAAAAATCGTAATATGAGTCTAATTAACAAAAGAATCTTTACAATTTTCTCAGAGAGATCTGTCAAGTCATTTTGTCATTCAGCAATGAACCATTTCAGTCAAAAAAAAAAAATCGAAGTAAAAAAAAACAAAAAAAAATTAAATTTCAACTATTTTATTATAATCAACTTCTATATTCGTGTTTTCGTTTTTAAATCTTATCTCTGTGTATTCCTTCTCCTTCTAAACATCTCCTGAAGCACCGTGTTTCATAACATTTCTATAGGGATGGAGAAAAAAAAACAAAAATTAGAATCGCGAAATAAAAAAAAATCCGCCACCAACATAAAAAAGCAAGTTTTTTTACTATCATTAAAGGAATCTTAAAATAATAAAAAATAGTAAAAAAAAATATTTTTCATTATTTAAAAATACAATACATAAAATTACATAAAAAAAAATCGTAACATTAAAAAAATTGAATATGAAATGCGGTTCTTAGGAAGTAAAGGCTTTTAAGTTAATTATAAAAAAAATATAATTTGAGAAAAACTTGACCGCGTCAAGTACGCGGCATCAACGCGGTAACGACGGTTAAAAACCTAACTATTACAAACTAAGACTTACTTAGACGTAAAAGTTTTTTTACACTAAGCAAAACTTTTCACATTTTTTCTGACGTCACATGCCACCATATGTTTTTTAATCAACAATAGTTTGACAAACTTATTTGGTCCGGTGATAAAATATATTACAAGTTTGTCTAGTCTAGTTGTATTTTCTTACTAGATATAAGGCTGACAAGTTCAAAAGAACTAGTCACCAAAAAAAAAATAAAGACAAAAAAATTGCAAGAGAAAAACTCTATGGGAGAGAAATCACTATAATCCAGAATCATTGTCTAGTCCCGATTGATGACCTCCATAACAAAGTCTGGTCAGAGAGAAACTTCTATAAGCGAGAAAACTTAAACTCTAGACTCGTTTTCGACTATCCATAGACATAGAACATAGACATAGCCAGGAGAGTGCCATAGTGTAGCAATAAATTAAAAAGTTACAAAATAAGTAAATTATATAACTAATTTGTTGGATTAATTTTATTAAAAGATTTGATTCTCGACACTCCGACACTATAACGTACATTAACTACAACATTAATTCTCATACAAAATTATATTATATACTTTATACACGTCACTTGTCAAACTTATCTATCTTAAATAGACAGATTATAATGAGCTATAATTATTATTTCCCGGGTCAGATAAGTTTGTCAAACTGTAGTAGTAGGTGACGTCATTAGGGTATCATGTTATGTTGACCGTGTAGTACTTACCAGTATGGTTATGAGCATACAGTGTGTCAGGCCAGGCGGGTGGAGAGCGACGGGAGAACAATGACTCGTCACCTCGCACCTCATCTTGTGGACCATCCTGTATAAATACATAATCTTACTAATATTATACATACGAATGTATGTATGGATGGATGTTAGAATGTATCTCCAGAATGTCCAAACGGATCACAAGAAATTTGGTATAGAACACATAGGCTACTAAGTTTTATTTTGTAATTCCGAGCAGACAGAGCCGCAAGCAAAAGCTAGTTTGTCAATAACAAAAATCCTAACTGTACCCATATGACACTCTTTGAAATAATACGAATTGAATGACACCTCACTTGTCAAAATCTATTTAGTCGACTATACGGGGGGGTGTTATAAAAAAAAATTATAAACATACAAAACCAACATATGCCTGACAAACATTACTCTTAAGGGTTGTTGATTATTTACATGACTAAAAAAAGAGGGGTGGGGTCCTTAAAAAATCACGAAACGTCACTAAGGGGGAGCCCCGTTCCTAAAGCTAAAGTAAGATATATTTATATCTTTACTAATATTATAAATGCCAAAGTAACTCTATCTGTCTGTTTGTATGTGCCGCTTTCACACAAAAACTACTGAACAGATTTAAATGAAATTTGGTACAAAGATTGATCAGTGGTTCCCAAACTTATTTTGTCTACTGCCCACTTTGAGAATAAATATTTTTTTAGCGCCCCCATATTTTCGCATATTTAAAAACCACTATAACTTCAAATTAAATTAATTATTGTGACCTATAAATGTGTATTAACAGAGAATTCTAAAGGAAACTTTTACTATAACCCGCAACTTGAGACCTGCAGCGCCCACAAGGGGGCGTTATCGCACACTTTGGGAAAGACTGGTCTAGAGCCTGAGAAAGGACGTAAACTTTTAACGCGACAAAGGGGTAGAAAGGGGTTGAAATTTGTGGAAATTTGTACGGGTATATCGTGATTCTTTCAGTTAGAAGCTTAAAACTTATTTTTTAGGCACATGGTTTAAATTATGATGAGAGGGGTGAGTTTAAAACCTTACCACATCATCGGAGGGTAGGTAGGAGATCAAAAAATGCTAGAAATAACATAATTAAAAATCATTTTAATAGTTAAAAAACTCACCTGTTTATAAAACTTGGATTCTGTTACATGATGTATAGTCACTTCGCTGTTCAATTTAGATCCAACCCGAAGACGTTGGAAATATGGTAAGGAATCACCGTTTGGAATATTTGTAACACTAACATCTTGACTTTTTGATACATTTGCACTTACATCACTTTTCTCACTAAACAATGCACTACGAAACACATTTCTATCTTCCTGTCCAAACGGTGTGTACAAACTACCTTTAAACTCATCATTCCTTGGTGTACCGATAGGTTCAGGTCTTTGTATTGGATTTGCAAATAGAGATTCATTTTCATAACTCCTTTCCATATTCGGTCTGGTACCGATCGGATTAGGTGATACAACAGGTTTAGGTTTCTCTTCATAATACTCCGGTGATAGGAAATTCCTTTGATTCGTGTCTTCTGGTGTGCTAAATAGCGAATATCCCTCATTTTTCTGTGTGAACGATGCTAGATTTAAAATTCGTTTCTGTAATTCACTTTCATGATTCTTCGGTGAGTTTATATGTTCTTTGACATATTGATTTTGCGTTTGATTTTGTATAGGATTGTATACATTTGGATTCATATATGTATAAGGTTGTGTAAACAATGTTTGATTTGTCTGTGGTACTTGGTTACGTATACCCATAAGACTTTGTTGATGCATGATAGACATCAACGGGTTTCTTATTGTGTACATTCCATTTGAAGTTGGGGTTATCGTTGCTTGACATGCTGTTGGTGGCATTGGTATGGGTTCGGGGTTTCTTATTTCAGTTTTCTTTGGTGGTGCATTAGTTATTTGCACCGTTGGTAGATTTGGATGGAACATTGGGTTACGTAATGTCACCATTTTGGCACCGTCTTCTTTTATGTCGTTTTCTGTTGCTTTTTTCGCCTTCTTTTTGGATTTTTTCGATTTACCAGCGTTGTTTTGAATCGGAACTGGAGGTGGGTCTGGTACTATTATAGTTTTTGGTGGCTCTGGAAAATTTAATTAAGTTTATTAGTTCATATAAATGTGAATGTATGGATATGTATGGATCTCACTGAAAATTTTCATAGATGTAGAACATAGTCTGGAAGAACACATAGACTGCACACTAGGTTTTTTTTAATTCCCTGCGAACGGAGTCGCGGGCGACAGCTTGTTATATCATAAATGCGAATGTTTGAGTGTATGGATGGATGTCATAGATGTAGAACCATAGTCTGGAAGAAGACATAGACAAGAAACAAAGTTATGTAGAGTTTCGCCTACTAAAATCTCGATAGCCATCCTCTGGCAGGGCTCTTAGTCCAAACTAGTCTTACTTAGTGCAGTTTTTGCACTCATAGTGACTTTGAGTACTCACCAGGCATATGTGTTGTGAACACAGCGTGGGCGGGGTCAGCATTGATGAGGGGCGGAGGGCGTGGCGGAGGCGTTGGCTGCGCTGCCAGCTCTGAGCAGCGCCACAGCGGCTGTTGTGTACATAAATAAATGTAATAAGTATTCCCCTTGTCTTAAGGATGGGAAGGGGATTTGTCGGAAGGATCGCATAGGAAGGGAAATTATCATATTTCTGTGCGTCTCCTCCTCAGTTTGATTAAAAGTAGGCAACGTATCTGTGAAGGATATCAATGGGCAGATAAAACAAACAAGTAATTACTTTTAAGCAATTAAAGTTTTGAATACCATATTGTCCTACTCAAATTCTTCATTTGACACCCATATTGGAGGTGTCTGAACATATATCGTTACCTTAGTCACAAAATGGCGGATAACTTTTTTTTTTAATATAATAAGATGAAAAATCGAAATCGTTGAAATAGCGAAGTGACAGTTGCCCATAGACATACGCAATTGCATATGCGTTGCCTACCTTTAATCGACGGAGGAGAGGATGCACAGAAAGAAAATATTTTCCCCATGCATCCTCTCATCCGGAAAGTCCACTTCCACTTCCCATACTTTCCTTATATAAAAATAGGATGGGAAGGTAAAGAGGAATAAATTAGGTCTCCGGGACGCACACTCATCAGACTGTAGTTGGAATTGCTTCCACTTGAGGCCTGTCTTCTGTATGGTCGTGGTATTTCACCGGGCGAGGACAATTCTCCAAATGAACGAGGTAATTGAAGTATTTTCGTATAACTAAGTTTTACCACAGAATTAATAGGCGGTGTATCCTTCTTCTCATTCGGTTGTACTCTGGTCAGAGTTATTCCTGGTGGTAATCTTAAATCAGCAACCTGGAAATGTATAAAACATAATGAATAACATTGTATTATAACAGTTTGGATGTATGGATATAATCCATTGTATACATACATTTGTAAATAACCGAATTTACTTTGTTGAAACTCTGAAAGATTGTTATGGATAGCTCTTGAAAAACATTACCGTGTAGGAGCTGGGGAAGTCTCACCTGAACACCGCTACTCAGTTGCTCCATGATGCTGCATGATGCGGGCTTCTCTGTCTCACTCGGGCAAGGACTCTGCAGTTAAAAATATATCCAAATTAAATCGTACATCAATTTTTAATTATATTTTTTTTCTGTACAAAAGAGAAACTTACGACTTAATCTTACTAATATTATAAATGCGAATGTTTAGATGTATGTCAGAAGATATCTCCGGAACAACTCAACAGATCTTGATGAAATTTGACATACATATAGAACATAGTCTGGAACAACACATAGGGTACTATTTTTTTTTGCACGTAAAGTCGCATGTAAAAGCTATTCGATTACCTTATTATTGACAACTTCTATTGTGGTATCTGGTGTCAGCACTTTATGCTTCTGTATGGCTTGTTGTTTAACTGTCGGTTCTTGTTCTTTCTTCTTCTCCTTCTTTGGCACTGGAGTTGGTTGCTTTTGCTTTGCTGGTTGAGCTGGAATTTTTTTTTTAATTTATTAGTATTATTAAAGAATCACCACTTAGTGTCTTAGACTACCCTAAGTGAGAGTATGTGATACTGAATGCTGGTCCAGTACAAGACTTGACACATATGTTTGAGTTTGTCAGATATGTGCAGCATCACGATGTTTTCCTTCATCGTAACAACATAGGATAAATGTACATATGTAAATGTAACACATTCATACATCACGGGATTACAACACAGGAGCATGCTGATTGCAAGTCAACTGATTAACCACTGAGACATAGACGCTTATTTTATCTACTAATATTATAATTGTGAATGTTTAGATGTATGTCAGAAGATATCTTCAGAACAACTCAAAGGATTTAGATAAAATTTGTCATACATATAGAACATAGTCTGGAAGAACACATAGAATTGTGTTTGTTTTTAATTCCGCGTAGACAAAGTCGCAGGCAACAGCTATACTAACCAGTTTTTTCCTGTTTCTCCTTTCCTTTCTTCTCAATTTTCTCCTGTTTCTTGATTTCTTTCTTCTTCGCTTTTTCTTCAGCTTTAATTTCGCTGGCAGTTAGCTTCTTTTCCACTTTCTTGGTGACAGGTTCCGGTTTCGGTGGTTCTGGTTTCTTCTCTTTCTTCTTCGCTTCCGCTTGCTGCTGTTTCTTCTTCTCTTCTTCCTCCGCCTTTACAAGATTAAGAACATTTTTTATTTTACTAATATAATTTTACAGAACAATTTAACAGATTTCACTGTAATTTGACATACATATAGAACATATGCAGTAGGAACAAAGATTAATTAATAAGGTTTTTTTTTTATTTAACGCAGACAAAGTCGTAGGCAAAGGCTATCATACTAATATTATAAATGTGAATGTTTAGATGTATGTTTGTTAGAAGATATCTCCGGAACAACTCAACAGATCTTGATGAAATTTGTCATACATATAGAACATAGTCTGGAAGAACACAAAGGCTACTTAGTTTTTTTAATTCCTTGCGGACGGAGTCGCATGCGATTATTATAGCAACTATCAATATATTCTTTACCTGTTGTTTAGCCAATAGTTTTCTTTGCTTTTTAGAAAGTGCCGGTGGTTCATTTTCCACTTGAGTTTTCTTCTGCTCCTTGGGTTTAACTTCTTTAGCTGCCTGCACTTCTTTCTGCTTCTTCTAGAAGATTGCGACAATTTAACTTTTAATAATTATAACTTTTAAGACAGTAAAATGGAAGGAATTACGCTGTTTTTACATCATAAGGTGGCAAACGAGCGAGCGGCCACCTGAAATCGCTGAAATAGCGAAGTGACCGTTGCTCATAGACATACGCAATTGTATATGCGTTGTCTACCTTTAATCGACGGAGGAGAGGATGCACAGAAAGAAAATATTTTCCCCTTCCATGAATCTCATCCGGGAAGTCCACTTCCACTTCCCATCCTTACCTTATAAGAAAAAGGGTGGGAAGGGAAAGAGGACTAAATTAGGTCTCCGGGACGCACACTCATCAGACTGTAGTTACAATTGCTTCCACTTGAAGCCTGTCTTCTGTGTAATGGCTTACAGTCTGAAACCTAACCTAACCCAACCTTTATAAGGAAAGAACGCGAAGGGGGATTATATTTGACAGAGGAGGGGATGCATAAGGGGAAATATTCCCATATGGGCAGCGGACTCTTCGCCATTTCGGCGAATTCAGGAGGTTTATTTAGTTACCTTTTCTTTATTTGTTCCTTTAGCGAGTTGATTGATATGTGCAAGCGCCTGCTCCCAGGTTTGCTTGCGTTGCGGCTGATCTTTCGTCTGCGTTGTTTCTTCACGGGGTTTATCACCTATAAAAAAAATTTAAACAAGTGTCATTTTTCGTAAATTACTAGTTTTTATGTTATTTTTATAAATATACTGCTTGTTGCCCGCGATTCTGTCCGCGTAAAATTAAAAGAAAATAAAAAAATTAATAAGTGGTCTATATGTTCTTCCAGACTATGTTCTACATCTATGCCCTTAATCAAGATCCATGCAGTTGTTCTGGAGATATCTTCTAACATACATCTAAACATTCGCATTTATAATATTAGTAAGATATAATAATAGTAGAGAGCGTCAGTGGCTCAGGAGTCAAACACATGACTTGCAATCTGCAGGTCCTGGGTTCGAATCCCGCCATGTACCAATGCGTCTGAGAAAGTCAAACATATGTGTGAAGTAAACCAGCACTTGGCCAGCGTGGTTGACTATGACCTAGTCACATAACTTAGGGTAGGCTCCGAGCCTCTCAGTGGGGATGTATAGTGAGCTGATGATGATGATACTTTTTGAAGTCGCAATAGCCTAATAGTTAAGAGTCGAGGGTTCGAATCCACTCATACGAATATTGTGAACCTAGAATAAGTCTAGAGCTTAGTTGCGGCGACGCTAATATTTAAAAAATATCTTACTAATATTATAAATGCGAATGTTTAGATGTATGTTAGAAGATATCTCCAGAACAACTCAACGGATCTTGATGAAATTTGTCATACATATAGAACATAGTCTGGAAGAACACATATACTACTATTTTTTTAAATTCCATATTACCTTCATCTTGTTCATTAGATGTTTGCAACAAATGCGCAAGCGTGACATCATCACGTCCGTCAACAGAGAGCGTGACACCGCCGGCACCAGCGCGGCGTACGCGCACCACTCCGCCACCATCACCACCACCTGCATATACAAACCGGTTATAATATCAAAGGTACCGACGATAACTGCAACAATTTTTATACGTTCTAATATATGCTAGCTGTCGCCCGCGACTCCGTGCGCGTGGATATATAAAAAAACTTAATTAGTGTAGCCTATTTGTTCTTTAAGACTATGTTCTATACGTATGACAAATTTAATCGAGATCCATTCAGTCGTTCTAGAGACATCTTTAAACACCCATCCATCCATCCATCCACATCACATCCATCTAAACATTCGCATTTATAATATTAAAAAGCAGCTCATAAAGGCATAAATAGTATCCTATGTCCGTCTCCTGGCTCTAAGCTACCTCCTCAACAACCTTCAGGCATATCGGTAAAGTCGTTCTTGAGTTATAAATAGTGTAACTAACACCACTTTCTTTTACATAGATATTGGAAACTCTAAAAGCGAGAAATATCTTGAAATCTCACTTATCCATGTTCAAGTATACATTCAAAAACGAGGTAAATACAAAAACATACCAAGCGCTCTAACAACTTCCTTTAGCCGCTGGAAGTTCTTCAGCTGCACATCCAGCTGCTGCTCAGGTAGCTCCTGGAGACGTGGAACATCAATTACCTTTCAGTTTACACATTAGTATACAAGTGTACAATAAATTTTGCACATAAGTGTACAAGTGTACCGTTTGCTCAGTATACTAGAGAAAAAGTGTATCTTTTATTATGCATAGTATACAAGTGTACAATTTATTTTGCACTTAGTATACAAGTGTACCAGAAATTTTGCACTAAGTATACAAGTGTACCTTTAATTTTGCACTTAGTATACAAGTGTACCAGAAATTTTGCACTAAGTATACAAGTGTACCTTTAATTTTGCACTTAGTATACAAGTGTACCTTTAATTTTGCACATTAGTGTGCAAGTGTCCTATTAATTTTGCTCAGTTTACCTGTAGCGGTCTGTCCGGCTTGCCTTGCACCGCTCTCGCCTCAAGCAGCTCTCTCTCGCACTGCTGCAGGCGACGACTCGCCTCTGCAACTTGCCGCTCGGCCACTTGCAAGTCCTGGATGAATACATCTTACTATTATTATAAATGGATGGATGGATGTTTGTTAGAATGTATCTCCAGAATGTGTAGATATAGAACAGTCTCAAAGAACATATATGCTACTATTTTTTTTAATGCCTCGCAAACGGTGTCGAGGGCGACAGCTAGTCTTACTAATATTATAAATACGAATGTTTAGATGTACGTTTGTTAGAAGTTATCACCAGAACGGCTGCATAGATCTTGATGAAATTCAGCATAGATGTAGAACATAGTCTGGAAGTACACATAGGGGTAAGACTTTTTTTTAATTCCACAGACAGAGCGATAGGCGATAGCTAGTTAATATTTTATATATCTTACCTCAGTGGTAGTAGATATGAATGTATTGATTTGAGTCAACTGCTCAGTTAGTAGTTGCACCTTCGCCATCACAGCTGGGTCAAGCTTCTGCTTCTTTCCTGTTACAAGAAATATATTTCCCAATTAAAATATGGATAAGCGAGAAAAATTGCTTATACGGAGCTGATAAAAACCAGTCATCATCATCAGCTCTATATGTCACCACTGAGGGTCTTAGTGTACCCTAAGTGAGAGTATGTGATAGTGAATGCCGGTCCAGTACAAGACTTGACACATATGTTTGTGTTTGTCAGATATATGCAGCATCACGATGTTTTCCTTCATCGTAACAACATAGGATAAATGTACATATGTAAATGTAACACATTCATACATGACGGGATTACAACACTAATTAAAAAAATGACAAGTACGAGAAAGAATTTAGAAATTTTAGTATCAGAAACCCATGGTTAATATTTTTGTATGTATTTATGTTAGAAGGTATCTCCAGAAGGTTCATAAGATTAGGGGTTAATCAGTTGACTTGCAATCAGCATGCTCCTGTGTTGTAATCCCGTGATGTATGAATGTGTTACATTTACATATGTACATTTATCTTATGTTGTTACGATGAAGGAAAACATCGTGATGGTGCACATATCTGACAAACTCAAACATATGTGTCAAGTCTTGCACTGGACCAGCATTCACTATCACATACTCTCACTTAGGGTAGGTGCAGAGACCCTCAGTGGGGCCCTGTAGAGTATATATATGAATACTAACCCTTCCTCTTAGCCCGGTGATGCGCAAGCGCAGCTTTAGCATGCTGAGCGCGTTTATTCGCCGAATCTAATACTTCGGTAAGAGTTGATGCAATCATTTTCGCATACGACAACTGTCCAGCTAATGCCGTACGTTGTTCTACAAGACGGGACTCCATCTGAAGAATAAAATTGTATTTGGTTACTAAGTGAGACCCTTAGTGTCATTAAAAGCATAGTCTTCTTTCCTTTTTCACCCTTTTATAAGGATTGGAAGGGGAATGTAAATTTGATAGAGGTGTGGACACATAAAAAGGGACGATATTCTCTTTCTGTGCGTTTCCTACGTCGATTAAAGGTAGACAATGTATCTATGGACAGCGGTCGCTTCGTTATTTCGGCGAATACAGACCACTGGCTCCTTTACCACTAAATAGTATAAAAAAAACGAAAAAATCTTATAAAATTTCTTATTATTATTTGCTTACAGCTTTCATTTTAACAACAACATTTTCTCTTACCTTCTTAGCCCTTTGACGTTGCTTCTTGGCTTTCTTCTTTCCCCTGTCGACGTGACGCTGAGGGCCCTCGATGTACTGCAGCAGGGCGTCAAGATCACGAGGGTCCTCCGCACGCCCGCAGCGCCAGAACGAACCACTGGGGGTGCATAAATTAAACGGTTACTAAAGAGGGCCCTTTAGAGAAGGTAACCGGTTACTAAAGGGACCTTTCTAGTATGTAACCGGTTCCTGAAAGTAGTTGCATTTCCTACTTCTATTCGTCAGAGAGAATATTTCCCTTTCTTATGGGCATCCATTAAATCTGCTTTCTCTTCACATAATTTTCAAAGAGTGGGAAGAGAAGGAGACTAAAATGATTCCTCCGGATCAGTTGTCTCTTGCAGTTGTAATGTGACAAACAGATTTTGTTTTAGCTAATCTACACTAAGTATTAACCTTAGTGTAGATGTGGTATTTAAAGTTTAACAGTGGTAGAGCCCGTTTTTACATATTCGCACGAATTGTCCTCGCCCGGTGAAATACCACGACCACACAGAAGACAGATGAGTGTGCGTCCCGGAGGCCTAATTAAGTCCTTTTTCCCTTCCCACCCTTTTTCTTATAAGGAAAGGATGGGAAGTGGAAGTGGACTTTCCGGATGAGAGGATGCATGGAAAAGGAAAATATTTTCTTTCTGTGCATCCTCTCCATCTATGGACAACGCTTCGCTATTTCAGCGATTTAAGGTGACTCGCTCGTTTACCACCTTATGATATATAAGAAATTAAATTAAAGAACATACCCTGAACATCCTGATGAGGTAGAGAATACGCTGGTATCTCGGCTCGATAGTGACACTGTCGCACGTTGTTGCGGTCTACCTTGACGTTGTTGCAGTTGTTGCTGTCTGATTAACTCCTGTTGTTGCAATGTTAACGTCGGTTTGTTATGTATCGGCAGATCGTATATAGGTTCAGGTTTTTCTGCAGGTATTTCCGTCATCTGTTCGGTTATATGTTGCAATTGTTGTTGGTGTTGTTTTAATTGTTGCCTTTGGTGGTTTAATAATTGTTGTTGTTGCTTCAGTTGCTGGAAATATATATAAATTTAGTTTTTAAAAAAAAATATTAAAACTTTACTAGCTTTCGTCTATATCTAATCACTCTAACTTAGGGTAGGCTCCGAGCTGCTCAGAGGAACGTATACTGAGCTGATGATGATGATGAAATAAGACATTTTCATATCTTACTAATATTATAAATGTGAATGTTTAGATGTATGTTAGAAGATATCTCCAGAACAACTCAACAGATCTTGATGAAATTTGTCATACATATAGAACATAGTCTGGAAAAACACATAGGCTACTAAGTTTTTTTTTATTTACCTGCAATCGTATTTGTTCCATAGCATTTGGATTGACTTTGCCTTCAGCTTTCAACCCTGATGGTGTATTAGTTTGAGCGGGAACAGTGCGTTGAACAACCTAGGAACAGAAAAATTGTTAAAAATCTGAATATAAAAATAAAATTGGTATGTCCGTTTGTTATATATAAATAACAGTTTTTTTTAATACTTTTTTTTTAGAATTTTTATCTGTATGTCTGTCGTGTGATGTTAGTTACACTATTTATAACTCAAGAACGGCTTTACCGATATGCCTGAAAATTGGTGAGGAGGTAGCTTACAGCCAGGAGACGGACATAGGATACTATTTATTCATTTTTTAAAAACTTTTTTCGAATTTTTATTTAACTTATCTACATATTAAGTTTTTTTTATATTTTCACGCGAACGGAGTCGCGGGCGACAGCTAGTATGTAATAAAAAAACTGTTATTTCAATATTACAAAGAGACATTCTAATTTTATCTATATGTATAGATTCTTGTTGAAAAAAAAAAGTTTTCAATAGTCCCGACATGACATTGTCGGTAGACAACGGGTAAGTTTACATACCTTGGGTTTATTATCTGGCTTATCAGAGACCGACATCATGGCCATCTTGTCGGCTAACTGGCGATCCTCCGCCTGCTTCTTGGCAGTCACCCCCTGGACCTGCTGTGCTGCTTGCACCGCCTGTCCAACTTGAACCCCCTGCCCAGCTTGCACCCCCTGCATCTGTACACTCTGCAGTGGGGCAGACGTAGTAGTCGGTGGTAAAGTCTTGGGCAAAGCCTGGAATTATTAAAGTTAAAATTAAACACGTTATCTGCTACTGACCGTATCGGCATTTAACGTGTTAACTTACATAATTCTGTCCAAACAAAAACATGAATGAGAAATCTTACTAATATTATAAATGCGAATGTTTAGATGTATGTTTGAAGATATCTCCAGAACATCTCAACGGATTTTCATGAAATTTGTCATAGATGTAGAACATAGTCTGGAAGAACACATAGGTTAATAAGTTTTTTTTTAAATTCCGTACATCTAGTTAAAACCATGTCACTAACTGACAATATTATTTATCGTCAAAGTTTAGAAACTTCCATAAGCAAACAAAATCGCGATCTCTTGTAGTCTGCCTACCCCACTTTATATTCCTAACACTCACCGGTGGTTTGGGTTGTGGTGTGAGAGGCTTAGCAGGCTTCTGTGGCTGCGGGGACTCTGTGGTCTGCGTCTGCACTGTCACTTGCTTCTTCTCTACCACTGGCTCTGTTACCTCGCCCTAACAAATATGACAAGTATACCATCAGCTCTATAGGGATCCACTGAAGGTCTCTGCACCTCCACTAAGTGAGAGTATGTGATAGTGAATGCCGGTCCAGTGCAAGACTTGACACATATGTTTGAGTTTGTCAGATATGTGCAGCATCACGATGTTTTCCTTCATCGTAACAACATAGGATAAATGTACATATGTAAAAACACATTTTTTTTAAAGTTTTATAAACTAGCGCTTGACCACGATCCCACCTGGTGTTAGTGGAGATTTGGTCGAAAGATGGTACGTGCTAGCTTAGTAAGTTATTCACTCTACTTTTGAAGGTCCCAACATCATATTGATACATGACCCCTCCTCCTCCGTACTCCGAGACCTTCAGTGGGGTATAGCGAGCTGATGGCTGATAGCAAAAGCTAGCATAGAACTTACATTTGTAGTTTTACATTTCTGTTTCTTCTTATTAAGGATTGATCTCAAACGTTCCCTGGTTTCATTGAAGTTTCTCGGTACAGGAGTTGTCAGTGGAGGCTGGAAGTAATAATTCCTCTTATTACGAGTTTCCATTTTTTTTTAATTATTATTAGATTTTTTTTGTTAATAATCTTACTAATATTATAAATGCGAATGTTTAGATGTATGTTAGAAGTTATCTCCAGTACGACTGAACATAGGCTATTTATTATGTTTTTAGGGTTCAGTACATCGAAAGAAAAAAAACTGAACGCTTATGTCACTTTGTTGTATTTTAATTACGCGCGTATTAAGTCGTAAGCGACTGGTTTGTAAAAAGGGACGTCATTGGTCAATTTTTTGGGGTGTTTGCCATTGGACCTATTGATTCTATGGACAAGATCGGTCCAATGGGAAACTCTTATAGGGTTGCTTATATCCAAACTATCTTACTAATATTATAAATGCGAATGTTTAGATGTATGTTAGAAGATATCTCCAAAACTGCTGCATGAATCTCCATGAAATATGACATGTAGAACATAGCCTGAAAGAACACATAGGCTACTATTTTTTTTTAAATTTCACGCGGATGGAATAAACTATGTATGTATTTGAGTTCATATGTCAATTGTAACATCCCGTATAGTCGACTGAACAGATTTTGATAAGTGAGGTGTCATTTGATTTGTATTCTTCCAAAGAGTGTCATTGTTTTTTTTAATTCATAGTAATGATAACGTAATTGAGGAAACGCTAGCGTGGTTTAGACATATACAACGGGATGATGATATAAACAATAAAAGGGTCTTAACAGACAGACGAACGGACAGTGATCTTATAAGGGTTTTTTCCCTTTCGATGTACGGAACCCTAAAATATAAGATTGAATGTTGTCAAAGGAAGACCAAAGTATGGATTGTATGAAAGAAATGTCTGCCTATCCTATTTCGGTATAAGGTCGATATACTCACGGCATGTCCAAACACGGTACAGTAGCAACACGAGCAAGGTTGATCAGGGGAGTTTTCCCCCGGGCATGCTATCCCTGCGTTGTGACCTAAACAATTACATCGATTTTAAGTTTCGGCATAGCTATACCCACCAGGCAATGTTACACATATTTGGAAGAGGTTTTTTTTTCTTCATTTAATGTGTCTATATATAACTTTGTTGTAGATAAAACTAGAATTCTATTTAACTTTATAGCGTGTCTATTTAAGATACATTAGTTTGACTATTCACTAGATATGGGGTTGAGTAAAATCTATTAATAACTATTCGATTTATGGATGCCCCGTTAGGGAACATACCCATACTACGTGACCTATTTTTTTTAGTTTTTTCGACCCCTCCCACCCCTCGGTGAGCACTCGTAGTACATGCCATGACCCCCCACTCTTTAGTTTTTACTTAGTAATTCAAAATATTGTTTTTTTATTATTTAACGCGAAAAAATTGAATAATAAATAATTTGGCTCATACTCTTCCTTATACTAAGGACTACGTGACTAAAATCCGAGCCCCCCCCAGCTCCTGTGACTGATCGTAGTATTTTAAAGACTCTTCCCCCCCCCCCCTAAACGGATCACGTAGTATGTGTACGTTCCCTTATTTATAATTTTAGGCTTGAATGAGTTTATTTCAATGTTTTTGAATATGTTTCGTCGAATTTAAACTCAAAACTAACCTTTGCATACATGATGAGATGCATTTTCACACACTTTAGGAGGTGGTTTATTTGTTTTCGGTAATGATTTCTGTTTTTCCTTCTTTTTCTCTTCTAAACCGTTCTTTGATTTCGTATCCATATCATAGCATTGTTTGACACCACCCAGACATGCAGACTGGTCAGATTCTTTACAATTAGGGCATAGACAATCGTTTGTCCATTTGCAATCACTTTTAGGTGTGTCACATGTGTCGCTGTCAGATTTACTCTGACCATTCTTCATCATGTTCCTAAACGCGACGGCATTTAATGTTTGCTTAGCATTCCTTAACGCTTGTGCTGAATATTTTGCTAATAACTCGGGATTCTGAGTGCCGATTGACAACTGAGTCTTCTCTTTACTTTCATCATCATCAGATTTTAATTTTAAGCTATCTTCTATTTCTTCGTCTAGTAATTTCGCATCGATACTTGAACATATAGATATGACATGTTTTTTATATGTCTCGGGTACGGGTAAGCCTTGAGTTATGTAAGATTTTATTGTATAGAAGCTATCCAATAGTGTCTTTTCACCTTTCGATGTAAGTATAGCTTCGCATTTTGCTAATAGTATGTCATTTTTAACTTTTCTTTCATCTTTTTCATTATCTTTTGGGATATCTTTTATATCTTCTTTCACATCTTTCTTAACTGGTTTTTGTGTGTCCGTGTTTGTTTTTTTAATTGTTTTAGCATTAGCTTTATTGATAATTTTACTTAATCCCTTAGCAACGAGTATTTCAGCTTCACTCGCTTGCGAATGTTTCGCTGGTGGTATTTTCGAGAATATATCTTGTAGATTTTCCTCCAATTGTTCCATACGGTACAACATGACTAACCATTCATCCCCTGTGAACGTTTTCTTAGGTAAAGATTGCATGAATATTCCATTCATATGTTTCAAACGATCTGCGAAATAATTCTTTTTGTTTTCTACGCTCATTGTTGTGAAATCTGGTACCGTCTCCGGTTTGTTTATTACCAATCCTGTATATTCAGTTATAACTCCAACTGCCAATTCTGGATTTTGTAATATCCAATTGATCAATTGATTCGATTCGATGCATCTTTTAACAACATCTGTATATTTAAATTTTAAATTTTTCACTGTTGCCTTTTCATCTTCGGTCATTTTGGATAATTTCATAATTAAAAGATCGAACGTATCACCAGATTGGGGGCATAGTGACTTCGTTATATGTTTAAGTGATTGTTTGGATGCTGCACATCTTTCATCATCTGAATCGTTATCTTGTAGTGTTTTATACAATTGATCGATTTTATCTTTTATTATATCTTTATCGTTGACATTTTGTTTCGATGCCAAATCTTTTATATACGATTGGAATTTCATTAACATCGTCTCTATTTCGTTCTCCAACAATTCCATCGGTATTGTTTTGAATTTTGTCGATATATATTGCTTCCATGATCTAAATCTAGATCTTACTAATTGTCTTAACTCTTCCATGCTTAGTGCTTCTTTCACCGAGTTGTCAAACACAGTGGAATCTTTATACATCTCCGGTGCTAGTATATTCTTGCCTAGTTCACCATCTTCTAGACATTTTATAAATTCTGGATTCTTATTCTGTTTCATATATTCAAACACTTTGTTGATGACGACTTGTGCTGATATAGAGAATAATAGTTCTTTGAAATCTTCCTTGCAATTCTTTCTAATAATTTGCATGTTTTCATCTTTTGTCTCTTCTTTTTCATCTTCTTTATTATCTGTGACGTCATTGTCTATGTTATTCTTAAGTCTATTCTTCTTACGCTTCGCTGTATTCTTCGTTACTTTAACACTGTCTCGTGTTTTATTTAATTTCAGTTCACGGATCTGTTTCAGTGTTTCCGGTGATAATTGCGCTTCATTGTTAACATCGGGTATGCTACTCATTATAGACGCGAATTCCGGCAATTCGAACGAAGTGTTCGCGAATTCCGACAACTTTGATGCAATTTCAGGCATATTCGCCAATATTTGCGGCATATTTTCAACTAATTCTGCCAATTTTGTATTAGCAACTGTCAAATCTACCGATTCATCGGAATCGATTTTCTCTAATAGCTCCGCGTTTTTATCCAAATTCATCATGACTTCGCAAATGTGCTCCAACGATAGACTTTCTTGGGTTTCATCTTTTACTTTTGCATCTTTCTCTTCGTCTTTCTCTTTAACGGTATAAGAGTTTATAATATTCTGACATTCGACCATAGCTTTTTTGATTTCCAAACCGAATGTCACGTATTTGTAAACATTGTCTTTATTATCGACTGTATCAGTGTTATCGACTTGTGTTACATCAGTTTCACTTTCCTCCTTCACTAACAAAGGTGTACGTCTCGCGTTCAGTGGTACATTAATAACATCTGTAGTTACATCTGTTTGGAATTCGATAATTTCCTCATCGCCATCATCATTTTTATTAAGAAATTTATTAACATTCAACAATCTTTGATTTGGTTTCGGTGAATACACCGGCAATGATTCAGCAGTCGGCGACACTTGTAACGGTGGGCTGATCGATTCTGTATATTTAACATCTTTATCTTGATTTAGTGCAAAATTAGCGAATTTTGCTAGACATTCCTTTATATCTTTACACATATCACCATCCTTTTCACCAACAACAGTTTCTGTGTCACTCACATCTTTGTCTAATGGGAAAGCTTCAGGTGGTTTAGCTTCACCATTCGAATCATCCAATTCTATAACTTGGGCCGTTTGTGGTAATTTATGTTTGAGGAGTTGGAGTATCTTCTGCGGTTTGCTGATGGTATTGCCAGATTTGAACTTCCTTTTAGGTGCTGTGTTCAGTCTTGGTGCTTTAGGACTTGCAGGTCTACGTTTGCGACGAGGCGGATCTTCGACGAGAGCCACATTGCTGTCTGGAAGACTGAAAAGTATAAAAATTTTAATATTACTATTGCATTTATGCCAAGAAAGCGACAGGTCAATTAAATTCGCTGCAATAGCGAAGCGGTTGTCTGAATGCGTTGCCAACCTTCAATTTACAGAGGAGAGGACGCACAGAAAGAGATTTTTTTTCTATTCTTATGCGTTCACTCCTTTGTCAAATCCACTTCCCATCTTTTCTGGATGTTAAGAATGTAGGAGGTTCTGGTCTGGTTTTTTTATTATATCATAAGATGGCAAACGAGCGAGCGGTCACCTGAAATCGCTAAAGTAGCGAAGTGACCGTTGCCCATAGACATACGCAATGCATATGCGTTGCCTACCTTTAATTGACGGAGGAGAGGATGCACACAAAGAAAATATTTTCCCTTTCCATGCATCCTCTCATCCGGAAAGTCCACTTCCACTTCCCATCCTTTCCTTAAAAGAAAAGGGTGGGAAGGGAAAGAGGACTAAGAAGTCAGTGCGAAGATGTTAAAGCGGGTTCTACCACTCTTCAACTGGTTTGAACTTCACTGGTTGACTGTTTCTATTGTGTGGGGGGTGCGTGTTGTTTCGTGAGGGGTCAATGCTGTACGTGCGTGTTATGTGTTAGGGGTGGCTGTTTGTGATGGGGGTGTCTGCTATATGTTGCAGGGGGTGCGTTTCGTATGGAGTGCCTGATGTGTGGAGGCAGCCTGTTGTAGTGATGTATGGATGTTGTGTGTAAGGGTGCCTGTATGAGGTGGGGATATCTACTGAAAGAGGTGGGGGGTGCCGTTACTTAGTTGGGGCAGCCTGTTGTATCGTGACGTATGCTTGGGGGTGTTTGTTATATGGTGATGGATGCGTGTTGTGTTGGAGGGTACGTGTTTATTTACTGGGGGGGGGGTGCTTGTTGTTTCGTATGTAGTGCTTATAGTATGGCGGAGTGTTTTACTGTATTGGAGGGCGACTTGCATCGAAGGGGATCCTTTGGCATCGTGATGTACGCGTGATGTACGCGTGATGAGTGTTAGGGGTGCCTGTATTTGGAATTGTTGTCTGTTGTATGTTGAGGGGTGTCTATAGTATGGCGGGGTGTGTGTTACTGTATTGGGGGGTGTCTGTTATAGCATAGGGAGTCCTTATTGTACCGTGATGTACGCGTGATGCGTGTTAGGGGTGCCTGTGGGTGATGAGGGCAGAAGGTTGTATGGTGGGGGGTGCCTGTATATGTTGGGCGTGTGTTTTACATGTTAGAGAAGGCATGTTGTCTGTTTGGGGATGCCTGTTGTTTCGTATGGAATGCCTGTATGTGTCACGAGGGCGGCTGTTGTTTCTTATGTAGTGTTTATTATATTTATGGGAGGTGTGTGGCTCGTGTTACCTCTCGCGCTCCTGTCGCAGCTGATCCTCCAGCCACATGCGCAGACGATGGTAGTAGAGCTGCTGATCGCGCATGTGCATCACCTTGCGTCTCACCTGCACCATGTATAGGATCTACTTTAATTTAGTATCACTCTTCACCGGCATTATTAAATTTGTACAACTTTGTTAATTATTTAAAACTAGACCTAAAATATTAGCAGGACTTTTTTTATATCATAAGGTGGCAAACTGAAATCGCTGAAATAGCGAAGTAACCGCCTATAGACATACGCAATTGCATATGCGTTGCCTAACCTTTATGTCTATGTTGTTACGGTGAAGGAGAACATCGTGATGCTGCACATATCTGACAAACTCAAACATATGTGTCATCACATAGCCTCACTTAGGGGAGGTACAGAGAGGTGATGATGAAAGAGAGAGAGAGTATATGAGTGTTACGTAGGTTTGGATAGAGGTAGTTTAGTTACCTCTTTGAACCTCTGCAGATGGTACTCCGGGCAGAGGGCGCGGCAGGGCTGGTGCGGGGGCGCGGGCGGGGGGCTGCCGGGGGGCGGGGGCGCCGGGGCGCAACCCCCCACCAGCTGGGTGCACACCTGACACAGAATATAATCTTTATATCTATATGTCAAACTGACGTGTATAAAATATAGAATGAATGAATGAATGAATATTTATTAATTGCCAAAAACAACGAAAAAAAAACCAAGTTAAATTAAATAAATTGAGGATGTGGCAAAAAAGGTGGCCAGCTCAGCTGGTGCAGGGAGGTCTTGATCAATCCTGCGCTGGTTTTCAGCTGGCCCCCTTTGTTTTCACACTATTTGCACAGCACGAGGTAGGGTAAAAGAAATAAAAACAGATACTACGAAAGAGAAAAAAAAGCAAAAACGACAATTAAACATTAGAATTTTGAATGATTTTTAGATACGAAATAACAATTTTAACTATAAGAATATAATTAATTTTGTATGAGAATTAATGTTGTAGTTAATGTACGTTATAGTGTCGGAGTGTCGAGAATCAAATCTTTTAATAAAATTAATCCAACAAATTAGTTATATAATTTACTTATTTTATTATTATTTTTTTCAATTAATTACAGTTATTTGTCTATGTATCGCATAGTTAAGTTAAAAAAAAAATTCTGTTCTTCAACACCGCAATTTTTTGGTTTTAATATCTTATTTCCTTATGTATTATAGTTATGAAGGCTTTTATTTATATTGTAATTTAAAATCAATCAACAGACATCGAAAATCGAATAATTCGTAACAGATTTTACTCAACCTCATATCTAGTGAATTGTCAAACTAATCCATCTTAAATAAACACACTATATTTTTTTAAATATTACCAGATTTTTAAGTAAATTTACTAATATTTCTTGTACTTCAACTAAGCTGTAAGCTTGTGCTAGGATATGGTTTACGACAATGCTCGAATGGCGGGATTCGAACCCCCGACCTCATGATCGTAAATCCGTACCCTTAACCATTAGGCTATTGACGCTTATATATACTAAATAAGGAACTACGAGAAGTAATGTCATAAGTAGCTAATCTACTTATGGACGATTTTCGGGAGAAAAAAAACTTTTTGAAACTTATCAGGTACTAGCTGTCGCCTGTGACTTTGTCCGTGCGGAATTAAAAAAACTTAAGTCTATGTGTTCTTCCAGAGTATGTTCTATATGTATGACAAATTTCATCAAGATCTGTTGAGTTGTTCCGGAGATATCTTCTAACATCTAAACATTCACATTTATAATATTAGTAAGACAAGAATATGTTAATTCTATATTAGTTTTGTCAGAATATTTGTTAAACATATTAATGCATAGAAAATGGCGTAAAAGATAAATAAATTCCAGCTTCATATCTTCATGTGCTTTTTAGAAAAAGGGTCTTCACAGACAGACGGATAACAAAGTAAAATAAGGGTTCCGTTTTTTCCTATGAGGTACGGAACCCTAAAAACGACTTAATCTTACTAATATTATAAATGCGAATGTTTAGATGTATGTTAGAAGATATCTCCAGAACAACTGAAACATAGTCTGGAAGAACACAGAGTACCAAGTTTTTTTTTCACACAAACGGTGTGACTGATATTTTGTTACACGACAGAGATGAGAGAGTACCGTGGATAGTTTCTTCTGCCTGCGGTAGACCTGCAGCTGCCTGCGATGTACTTCTGGCAGACGACGGTACATCGACATCAGCTTCCTGTCCACTTCTGACAAGCCGAGGTCCACACGCTTCCTGTAATATCACAGAATATTCATTAAATAGTCTACAATTGTAAACTTAAAGTGGGTTTCTAAGATTAAAATCCTTTATAAAATATATTTCTATTTCTGTTTTGTCAAAGATAATGACAGGGACGACTATATGTATACAGAGATATTTGTTTCATAAAAAACAAAAAAAAACCTCATACATCCAATACAAACAACATTCATTCTTATTGGCGAATTCTTTTTTTAATTCTACAAAGACACGCCTCAAGTGGAAGCAATTCCGCGTTTCGTCTGATGAGTGTGCGTCCCGGAGACCTAATTTAGTCATCTTTCCCTTCCCACCCTTTTTCTTATCAGGAAAGAATGTGAAGCGGAAGTGGACTTTCCGGATGAGAGGATGCATGGAAAGGGAAAATATTTTCTCTCTGTGCATCCTCTCCTCCGTCGATATGCAATTGCGTATGTCTATGGGCAACGGTCACTTCACTATTTCAGTGATTTCAGGTGACCGCTCGCTCGTTTGCCATCTTATGATATAAAAATAAAATGTATGTGTGTGTCTGTATATCTATGTGCGCGTGTGTGTGTATGTATACCTGTGCTGGTGTGCGGGCGGGGGACACTCGGCGCAGTGGCGGAGCACTCTGTCCATGAGTCGCTCGATGCCGGCGATGGAGCGCACGAGACGCCGCACCGCGCCGCACAGCCCGCTGCCGCCGCCGGACCCGGAGCCCGACCCCGAGGCGGAGCCCGACCGGGACCCGGACCCGGACCCGGAGCCCGACCTGCCCGACCTGCCCGACCTGTCCGACCCCGATGTCGACACTGACTGGAAATCTGACACTGTTCAAACAAAATAATATTGTTAAATTCAATTACGTCATGAGTTTTCATTTCAAAAATTTGATAAAATTATTTTCTAATATTACTTATTGGAGATTTCTTTCATCTTACTATAATATTATAAATGCGAATGTTTAGATGTATGTTAGAAGATATCTCCGGAACAACTCAACGGATCTTGATGAAATTTGTCATACATATAGAACATAATCTGTAGGAACAAAGATTAATTATTAAGGTTTTTTTTTATTTAACGCAGACAAAGTCGCAGGCAAAGGCTATCTTACTAATATTATAAATGTGAATGTTAAGATGTATGTTAGAAGATATCTCCGGAACAACTCAACGGCAGACAAAGTCGCAGGCAAAGGCTATCTTACTAATATTATAAATGTGAATGTTAAGATGTATGTTAGAAGATATCTCCGGAACAACTCAACGGATCTTGATGAAATTTGTCATACATATAGAACATAGTCTGGAAGAACACATAGACTACTTATAAAGCTTTTTTTTTTACATCCGTGCGGACGGAATCGCGGGCAACAGCTAGTCTATAAAACAACTTACAATCTATAGTTTCGTTTGAATCTGTCAGGTTGCCTGTCTTCTCGAGGGATGCTGGTTGGCTGTCCGGTGGCCTAAATACATTACTTAATATTAATTACTCACTAAGGAACACCCTTAGTGTACATATCATATATAATTTACACTATAAAAGACTAACAATTACGAGAGAATTGTGTATTAATCACAAAAAATCACGAAAAATCACGGGATTAACTGAAAATATCACGTGTATTTATTTCTATGGATTAATTTTCTTTCAACCTTTTAGATGTCTTACTAATATTATAAAAACTAAAGTTTAGATCAGTGGTTCCAAAACTTATTTTGTGTACTGCCCACTTTGAGAATAAATATTTAGCGCTCCCATATTAGAGTTTAAGCAATCTTTTAAGACATATTAGTTGATATTCACAAGTTGTTGAGAGTCGAGAGCTCATGCAGTTGTTGTCTAAGAGGCCTCCTAGCTAAATAAAATTACAAATCACCCCGCAAGCCTATACACAACACTCCCATTTTCTTTCTGGGTCTCTTACCCTTGAGACCTGCAGCGCCCACAAGGGGGCGTTATCGCCCACTTTGGGAAAGACAACTCAACAGATCTTGATGAAATTTGGTATACATATAGAACATAGTCTGGAAGAACACATAGACTATTAAATTTGTTTTAATTCCGCGCGTACGAAGTCACGGATCACAACTAGTTATATGTAGAAGTTTACTTTGCTCCAGTGCCGTCTCCTTGCTGCAGCTCCCTGCCTGAAGACTCAGGTTCTCCATCACTTGCTAACTGCAATTACAATATTATTATTGTAAAAAAAAATAACACTATCCAATACGAATCAAATAACAAAAAATAAAAAAAAATTGAATAAAAATATACAGACGACTTAAGAAACACCTATTGGTTATCTATTAATAAAAAAGGAACTTAACAGACAGACGGACGGACAACAAAGTGATCCTATAAGGGTTCCGTTTTTTTTTCGAAGTACGGATCCTTAAAACCATCTATTATCCAATAAAAAACGCTTCTATACATAAAAAAATCTAGACAAAAAATGTGTATTCTTTATAAAATAATCCAGAAACTAGAATCTAGATAAACAAGCATTCAAATTTTAATATTTATCTTGTTTGAGGTTTTCAGTTATCCACATTCCACTTTACCTTATTCTCCACATCATCAGCTTGCAGATGGCTGCTGTTAAACTCGTTGACCGCCTGCATCATACCCAGGAACGACATCCTATAGTATAGGTCGCTGTAAACAACAAAACACATCAACAAATTTGAAATGAACTATAAACAGTCGTTTTATGAATAATTTAAAATAATTAATCAGTCGACTTGTAGTCTGCAGATCCTGGGTTCGAATCCCGTGATGTATGAATGTGTTACATTTACATATGTACATCTATCCTATGTTGTTACGGTGAAGGAAAACATTGTGATGCTGCACATATCTGACAAACTCAAACATATGTGTCAAGTCTTGCACTGGACCGGCATTCACTATCACATACTATCACTTAGGGGAGGTGCAGAGACCCTCAGCGGGGACGTATGATGATGACGGGAGCTGATGATGATGAATTAATAGTTATTATTCAACAAATAGACTACTAATATAACAATCTTATTTATATTAAGTTTTGATATTTAGTCATTGTTATTTTGTCCAATTATCATATTTTAATTTGCTTTTTGTTTAATTTTTTTCGGATATATTATAATTTATCTGTTTATGTATATAAAAAATAAATTTACCTTAATAATTGTCGTCTCTGCTGAGCGCCGAGTGTCCGTGGATTAAGACAATCACACCAATGTCGGTATCCCTCCCATCCGGTCACTGGAACAAATATACACATATTAACAGTGGTAGAGCCCACTTTAATATCTTCACAAGAATTGTCCTCGTCCGGTGAAATACCACGACCACACAGAAGACAGGCTTCAAGTGGAAGCTATTCCAACTACAGTCTGATGAGTGTGCGTCCCGGAGACCTAATTTAGTCCTCTTTCCCTTCCCACCATTTTTCTTATAAGGAAAGGATGTGAAGTGGAAGTTGACATTCCGGATGAGAGGATGCATGGAAAGGGAAAATATTTTCATTCAGTGCATCCTCTCCTCCGTGGATTAAAGGTAGACAACGCATATGCAATTGTGTATGTCTATGGGCAACGGTCACTTCGCTATTTCAGCGATTTCAGGTGACCGCTTGACACTTTGTCATCCATAATATCCTTCACCGGCATTCAAAAGGTTAAAACACTTGACTTACTATATTTTCTGAATTAAATACATCTATTGTCCAATTAAATAACTAACAATTGCATTCTGAGACCAAAAAATATACAAAAATTTCATACCCTGTCATTATCTTTAACAATATGTTTTAGACGGGGATTTTAGTCTTAGAAACCCACGATAAGTACACTTAGGTGTACTCACAGTCTTCAGGCATGGTCCTGGCGGCCATGTCTCTGAGTCGTGCGCTGGTGCTGGCGCGCTGCTGCGGTGCGAGGAAGCGCGCGAGGCGACGCCTGGCTCGCTCTATCCACTCCTCATCACCTGATATCTCCACCTGGAACAAAGTATATAGTATAAGGATAAGCGAGAAACTAAGTTTAGAGAGAAACCTCTATAAGCGAGAGTTATTATCAGATCCCAAAGGACCTCCATAAGTGAGAAACTCTGGTAAGAGAGAAACTCGGTAAGCGAGAAACCTTTATAAACGACAGTTATTACCAGATCCCAAAGGAGCTTCAGAAGTGAAAAACTCTGGTAAAAGAGAAACCTCTTAAGTGAGTCAATATTCGTTCCCGAAGAAAACAAGCGCGTAATTCGGTCAAGAGAAAAACATTGTGTGTGTCATTGTCCGGTCCTAAACGACCTTCAGTTAAGAGAAACACTGGTAAAAGAGAAACCTCTATAAGCAAGAGTCATTGTTCTAGTCCCAAACGACTTCTATAAGCGAGAAACTTTTAAGAAGTAAAATTAGTAATAATTAAATTAAAAAAGGGTCCTGACAGACAGACGGATGGACAACGAAGTGATACCACTATTATCTAGTTATTGTCAGGTACTAGGACCTCCATAAATGAGAAACTTTGGTAAGAGAGAATCCTTCATAAGTGAGTTATTGTTCTAGTCCCAAAGGACCTCTATAAGCGAGAAACGTTTAAGAAGTAAAATTAGTAATAATTAAATTAAAAAAGGGTCCTGACAGACAGACGGATGGACAACGAAGTGATACCACTATTATCTAGTTATTGTCAGGTACTAGGACCTCCATAAATGAGAAACTTTGGTAAGAGAGAATCCTTCATAAGTGAGTTATTGTTCTAGTCCCAAAGGACCTCTATAAGCGAGAAACTTTTAAGAAGTAAAATTAGTACTAATTAAATTAAAAAAGGGTCCTGACAGACAGACGGATGGACAACGAAGTACCGTTTTTTCCTTTCGAGTTACGGAACCCTAAAATAGAAACCTCTATTAGCTAGACATTGTCAGGTACTACGACCTCTATAAATGAGAAACTTTGGTAAGAGAGAAACCTCTATAAGCGAGAAAAACATCTCACTCCTTCGGACTCTAACATATCCAGATTGGACTGTATTCTGTTTCAAATATTATGCATATATCTAAATTGTTGCAAAATAAAAAGGAAAAAAAGACAATAATATGTAAAAGAGCGTCGGTGGCTCAGTGGTCAAGCACTTGACTTGCAATCTGCAGGTCCTGGGTTCGAATCCCGCCATGTACCAATGTGTTTTCCCATTTCCGATTTACAAATGTACATTTATCCGACGTTCTTACGGCGAAGTAAAACATCGTGATGCTGCACATATCTGAGAGAGTCAAAGATATGTGTGAAGTCAACCCGCAGTTGGTCAGCGTGGTTGACTATGACCTAGTCACATAACTTAGGGTAGGCTCCGAGTTCCTCAGTGGGGATGTATACTGAGCTGATGATGATAATAATGTAAAATAGTGGAAAAATAAAGCTTATATAATCTTGTATACCTTGAAAGTGATGGTCGAAGCGGCTTTGAAGTTTTCCAACAATTTGCAGAATCTTTCAACAGCAAATCTGTAAGAAAAAATACATAAACATCTTAAATTCTCTCTTATTGTAGATTTCTATCTAAATCAGTGCTTTCCAATGTCGTCCAAATATACAACTATAGTTCAGGTTGACCTTTGTGGTCCAGGTGAACCCTTTTTTTCCAGAGAGGAATGCTTTATGCATACTCCGCACCCCGGAGTGGGGGGACGCGGTAGTTATGTGGGATTCTCCTCCATAGCGGAGGCATACCCACTAAACCTCTCTGTTCCTCCAACGCATCGGGACGGGGCCACGGGCACGCTTTCGCTGTCATCCAGGTGAATCCTTGGGGTAACAGTAAAGTAACAATTTCGTAGGAATTACGAGAGAAAAAAAATTGTAAACCTAAGGCTTATTATATAATTAAATACTAGCTCTCGCCCGCGACTCTATCCACACAATCACATTTAAAATATTAGTAAGATTAACAAACTCAAACTTTTTTTTTATATCATTAGGTGGCAAACGAGCGAGCGGTCACCTGAAACCACTGAAATAGCGAAGTGACCGTTGCCCATAGACATACGCAATTGCATATGCGTTGTCTACCTTTAATCGACGGATGAGAGGATGCACAGAATGAAAATATTTTCCCTTTCCATGCATCCTCTCATGCGGAAAGTCAACTTCCACTTCCCATCCTTTCCTTATAAGAAAATGGGTGGGAAGGGAAAGAGGTAGTCCTATAGTATTTAGGCCTCCGGGACGACAACATCTTTAAATTAGACATAGTACTTTAACACTATAGTCATCTCTTTCTACTCACTCTTTTTCAAATGGTCTCTCATACTGTCGACAGAGACAGACTTTGTGCACGATGTTCTGCATAAAGTCACTCTGCTCACATAGACGGCTCAGCTGTTCTTGAACCACGGCCGCACCTGGAAATTAAAAAAAAACCATTATATTATATATAATGTTTAGAAACTGTAACTATCCCCCCTAATTTAGGGTAGGCTCCGAGCACCTCAGTGGGGACAAATAGTGAGCTGATGATGATGATTACATAGATATAAAAATATATATATATGTTTGAATGTATACATACCATCATCACCAAAGTGCAGCCTCTGCAGACGAGCAATATCCCACTCAGCTGGTGGACTGGGTGTGCCGGCGCGCAGTCGCAGCGCGCGCATTATTCCCGTTGCAGCAAATGTATTACCACCTGGACATAAATATCTCATTTAAAAACAACATAAAAAACAACATAAAAAAAAACAATAAATATATATTTTACTAATATTATAAATGTTAAAAATTTTGATGTATGGATGTATGAAATTATCTCCACAACGGTTGCATCGATCTTGATGAAATTTGTCATAGTAGAATACAGTCTGGAAGAACATATATACTATTAATTAAGTTATTTTTATTTCCACACGAACAAAATCGCAGGCGACAACTAATAATAATATTATAAATGCGAATGTTTAGATGTATGTTAGAAGATATCTCCAGAACAGCTGTACAGTACTTGATGAAATTTTACATACATATAGAACATAGTCTGAACACATATACTATTTTTTTTTAATTTCACGCGGAGAGTCGCGGACGATTGCTAGTTCTTAATATAAGGTGTGAAACGTACAAGCACTTTCGCTAAAATAGTCTAAGAAAAGTGCATTAAATAGACAGGAGACGGGACATTTATCCATAGTATATGTCCCTTTTCTTCCCTAGTTCTCTACCTACAATTTGGCATGCTCCTGTGTTGTAATCCCGTGATGTATGTATGTGTTACATTTACATATGTACATTTATCCTATGTTGTTACGGTGAAGGAAAACATCGTGATGCTGCACATATCTGACAAAGTACCGTCTCCCACAAACAGAAGTCTTTGATCTCTGCCCACCCCTCTTGCAAACATGCGTGAGTTTAAACAATATCACTAACTATGAGCCAAGGACCAGACAAGACCGCGCAGGAAGCAATGCAGTGCGGCCGCGTTGTGAGCCAAACATAGGCACTGCCGACAATGACACCCGAACATCGCACGATACGACCATTCAGAACGTGCTGTCTCCACACTCCTGGACACAAAGATAAATATTAAATAAATAAAAAAAAACAGCACTAAAACACTAAAAGAACAGACACTTTCAAAAAAAAAAAACACGGACCCCCAAAATACAACACGGACCCCCAAAGATATAAAATCAACACCAAATTTTTTATATATTCAAAGAATCAAACTAAATAGCCAAGTTATTGGTGCCCATAGACATCTAAAATTGCAGATTGCGTTGCAATATTAGCACAGAAAAAAATATTTCCCCTTCCTATACATCCCCTACTTTGTACAATCCACTTCTCTTTCCCATTCTTTCATTATAAGAAAAAAGTGAGAAGGGTAAGAAGACTTAAATTATGTTTCCGGCTTTTCAATTAAACACAGACCCCTCAACTACAACACGGACCCCCTAAAACCTTCGCATTTAGTTGGATGGACAGATGGATGTTAGAAAATATCTCCAGAACTGCTGCATGGATCTTGGTGAATTTTGGGTATACATAGAGAACATAGTCTGGATGAACACATAAAAAGTTAACTTACATCTCCGTTCCGATGAGAGTATACATAAGAGCGCTGATCTCACACCAGGATCTGAACACACCGAGCAGCCACTCCTCAAGAGCTTTGAACTTGCCAACATCCTCCTGTCTACCTTCACTCACACGCTCCGCTTCTGTAAATAAATAAAAAACTCATCATCAGCTCAGTATACATCCCCACTGAGGGGTTCAGAGCCTACCCTAAGTTAAGGGTGATTAGGCCATAGTCAACCACGCTGACCAAGTGCGGGTTGGTGGTTTTGTTGACAAAATGTGGGTAGTCACGAAATTTTAACAAATAGTTATTGAATTACTACTTAAACCCAGGACCTGCAGATTGCAAGTGGCCTAGCACTTGACTTGCAATCAGCGGGTCCTGGGTTCGCATCCGGCCATGTACCGATGTGTTTTTCGATTTCCGATTTACATATGTACATTTATCCTATGTTGTTACGGTGAAGGAAAACATCGTGATGCTGCACATATCTGACAAGAAATTCAAAGATATGTGTGAAGTCAACCCGCACTTGGCCAGTGTGGTTGACTATGACCTAGTCACATAACTTAGGGTAGTCTCCGAGCCCCTCGGTGGGGACGTAGAGCTGATGATGATATTGAATTACTTGCAGATGTGGTACAATATATTTAAATTTAAAAAAAAATCATATCCCAACCCCCAAAGATTAGTAGGGGGTGCAATCCATAATGTCAATTTTTTATATTCCTTAACTAAAACCAGCTAAATATCAAACAGGTACTATTAGGAATAGTTTATAATTGGATTACTACCGCAGACATAATGAAGCAACGCTGCTTCCTCCTCCGGTGTGACAGGAGGCTCTTCAAAGATGAACATATCACTGCTTGACAGCCTGCGAAAAGAAACATGAGTTTCCATTAATTTAAATCTGTACGAAAATATATATTTTGTGTTCTTCCAGACTATGTTCTATATGTATGACAAATTTCATCAAGATCTGTTGAGTTGTTCTGGAGATATCTTCTAACATACATCTAAACATTCGTATTTATATTAGTAATAATTAAATTTAAAAAAGGGTCTTCACAGACGGACAGACAACAAAGCGATCCTATAAGTTCTGTTGTTTCCTTTCAAGGTATGGAACCCTAAAAAAAGGGAAAACAAGAAACCCAACTGACTGAGGCTCTAATGTATGAAATAGCATCGTCTATTTATTGTTTTTAAAACAATAGTGAAATTTTAATCTATATATATATATATCTATATATATAAAAGAAAGTGGTGTTAGTTACACTATTTATAACTCAAGAACGGCTTTACCGATATGCCTGAAAATTAGTGAGGAGGTAGCTTAGAGCCAGGAGACGGACATAGGATACTATTTATTCATTTTTTTTTGTAAAAACTAAATAAATGGGAATGTTTAGATGTCTGTTAGAAGGTATCTCCAGAACGTCTACATGGATGAAGATGAAATTTGTCATACATATAGAACATAGTCTGAACATATAGTTAAGTTATTTTTACCTGATTACTGGACACCCAATACCTCACAGATGTAACTTTGATATAAATCTATACTTACATGTCAGGTTGTGAGTCCATGACCTCTTCATCATCATCTAGGGGTTGATCATCCCTTACAGTCTCTTCCGCTGAGGCTAGCAGCTGTAAAGATAAGTATCGGCATACATCTGACGTTCTTAAGGTGAAGGAAAACATCGTGATGCTGCACATATCTGACAAAGTCAAACATATGTGTCAAGTCTTGCACTGGACCAGCATTCACTATCACATACTCTCACTTAGGGGAGGTGCAGACCCTCAGTGGAGACCTATAGTGACCTGAGATGAGAATTGTGACAGGTAAATCAATTCTTGGATGTCTTTTTGTTGTACCATATGATACATACCTGCAGAATGTCTTCATGCCTGATGAGAAAGTGTTCCGGCTCCGGAGCTGGGCCACTACTCAGCAGGGGCAAGAGGAACTGCCCCAAAGCTGGAGCTTCCGCCTGGAAGAAACATCTTACATGTAAAATATCAAAAATATTAACTTCTAAATTAAATTGTCATAATTTTAACATTTGCATTGACTCTTGTAATTTTTTAAATAGCAATCAAACAGTTAATTTACAAACTGACCGGTTCCTTTGGGTAATCGTTGGTATCCACCTCCGCAACAACAGCTGCCTCCTTGCCTGACGATGTATCCGATAGACCAGCTAAAAGATATCTTACATTAATTAGTTGCACGCGACTTAGTTATCGTACTAATATTATAAATGCGAATGTTTAGATGTTTGTTGGAAGATATCTCCAAAATGTCAGAACGGATCACAATGAAATTTGGTATAGATGTAGAAAATAGTCTGGAAAAACACATAGGCTACAAGATTCTTTTTAATTCCATGCGTACAGAGTCACGGGCGACAGCTAGTTATTATATACGATCAATTACACTCACATGCGTCTTCCATCTCGGTCCATTGATCATCAGAGTCGGAGTCAGCGCCCACATCAGAGGCGTCCGAAGGCGGGCCACGCCGACTACGAAAAGTCGAACGGCGAGCCACTGCGCTACGAAGACGTGATGCCTGCATACACCATTTTTTTTTTAAATCATAAATGGCAAATGAACAACCTTAATACGCCTAAATAGGCGTTAAATCCTAAATAGACATTGGCAATTGCATATGCGTTGCCTACCTTTAATCAACAGAGGAGAATGTACAGAAAAAAATCCCTACATGTGCATCCCCTCATCCATCCACTTCCCATCCTTTCCTTATAAGAAAAAGGTTTGGCAGGGAACAGCGAACTAAAATTAGTCCTCTGGAACATACTCATCAGACTGGAGTTTGAATAGCTTTGCACTTGTGGTGTGTTCTGTGTGGTCTTGGTATTGCATTGTGTAAGCATTTGTGCAAAGTAATAAAGTGTTTAAAACCTATGCTAAACTTATCCACACGGTCAAAATCTTTATATATATAATTCTTCTGTGAGTGTGTATGTCACTGAACTTCTCTCAAACGACTGGAGCGATATTGATGAAATTTTTTCTGTGTATTCAAGGGGATCTGGGAATGGTTTAGATTCACAATTTTCATCAAATATTAACTTCATATTAATTTATTCAAACTAAAGACGTGTAGACAGGACAACGTCTGTCGGGTCCGCTAGTATACATATGAAACAATATAATCTTGCTGAAATCTCGACTTCTACACTCGTTGTCATTATACCTGTATATAAATTCAATAAGGGAGGAATGTACCTCCTTGCCCTTAGCAATGGGCCTGCGACGCGGAGGTGCCCTAGACCTGCCGGCACCTCGCCGCCCCGACCATGACGATGATGATGAACCACTGGCCGAGCTGCGGTGACCCATCTGGAAGATCAATAATTGTTCAATATAATTCTAATCTTACTAATATTATAAATATAAAAAACTTAATTAGTGTAGCCCACCCATCCATCCATCTACAACACATCCATCTTAACATTAACATTTATAATATTAGTAATTTAAATAAAAGCAACTTATAGCAAGCAACAATAAATAGTATCCTATGACCGTCTCCTGGCTCTAAGCTACCTCCTCACCAATTTTCAGGCATATCGGTAAAGCCGTTCTTGAGTTATAAATAGTGTAACTAACATGACTTTCTTTTTTATATATAGAATGCATGAAGGTATCTCCTGAATGACTGCATGAATCACAGTGAAATTTGGCATAAAACATAGTCTGGAAGAACACATAAGCTACTAAGTTTTAACTCCGCGCGGTCGGAGTCGCGGGCGATAGCTTGTTTATAATAGTAGTTACATAAATAATCTCACTGAATTGTGTAAAGCAGATATAATTATGTTTTATCAACATATAATAACAGAAATATCACTTGTTGATTGCAAATTATTGCAAAAATGTTTATTTCATTTCTTTTCATCGAGTTTTTTTTATTTAAGAATGTTGAAAACTTGTATTTATTAAACTGGCGATATTCTGTTGCAATATGAAATTTAAATAAAACCTAATAATATATCTTAAGATTGATTTAAAGATTGCTTAATATCATACTAGGTCTCACTCATAACTCCATCAGCGGGAAATTAAAGAAAAAATCTTAACAAGTAGCCTATGTTTGCTTCTAGGCTATGTTCTATATGTATGACAAATTTCAGCAAGTTCCATGCATTTTGGAGATATCTTCTAACATACATCCATCCATCTAAACCAGTGGTCCCCAAACTTATTTAGTCTACTAAGTCTAAGTCTAAGTCACTTTGAGAATTATATATTTTTTGTGTTTATAACTTCAAATTAAATTAATTAATTATTGTGACCTATATATGTATATTAACGGAGAATTCTAAACGAAACTTTTACTATAACCCGCAACTTAAGACCTTCAGCACAAGGGGGCCTTATCGCCCACTTTGGGTAAGAGTGATATAAACATTCGCATTCATTACTGTTTCAATTCAAAGACTAAACAATAGACTAAACAGCAAATATTAAAATTATTAGCATTAAAATTGTAAATTCCAAAATAATTCTGATTGTAACATAAATATATAAGAAAAACTAATCTTAGTTTACAATAGCACTTCATTTTATATCAAAAAATAAATAAAGAAGTGAAACATTGTAATAGCCGCAGTTTACAGAACCTAAGTTTGACATTACTGCTTCTGACATTACTGTTCATGTTAACTTAAGTTTGACATTACATTAAGACATTATTTATCTTTGTGCATGCATCCAACACAGTTGTAGAGTTGTAACCTCGGTAACCTTGTTCGGAAACCATCTATAACATATACAATTTACTAACGGCCACCTGTGACTACATCAGAATGTAACAAAAACTTCCCGTGTACATCAGTTACCTTCTGATTAAAGTCCCATCAAAATCGTTCCATACCAGAGATTACAATGAAGAAACACAGAGTTGCACATAGACAATCAGAAACAGAAATACGTAAAAATTGTGTATACAAAATTAACATGTATAGATTATTAAGACATATTGTATTTAAGATTAGATAAAATAGTGTAGCTTCCCAACAGTAAAAGAAATATTCAAATCAGTTCAATAATTTCAGAGCCAATGCAATCGAATCTTTCAAGAGAGTCAGTCACTCATAGGTCTCAGCACTTGACTTGTAATCTGCAGGTTCAAATCAAAATTCAAAGAAATGTGTGAAGTCAACCAAGGATTGGTTGACTTCTTCAACACTGGGCGTGGTGGACTATGGCCTAGTCACACCTCTAACTTAGGGTAAGCTCCGAACCCTTCAGTGGGGACATATTGGATGATGATGAATCAAATATTTCCTCTTTATAAAATTTATATAGATAAAAAAATTAAGAAATTATAACAACTTTTCATTCAATTTAATAGTATTAGTATGTTTAATTAAGATGAAACTTTAACTATATTAGCTTTATTTCAACATTCTATATTAATCATTAAAATCAATTTATGAAAAATTTTTAAAAGGTCATTTTGTAAGCAAAGTGTAATATAAAATGTCAAGGTTGAAGAATGCATTTATTCAGATGTAGACATAATATGTACTTTCATATCAAACTAGGTCCCACTAGATTGCATATTGATATAAAGGTAATGAGAAAATCGTACAAGATACAAAAATCAATACATCGCGACATATTTTTTCACAGCCTAAATAATCAAGATTTTCATATTGGAAACAATGTTTAATTCTAATACTTTAAAATAATCATAGTAATACATTATGTAGAACAAAAGACTTATTTCATGACTATCGATCGAATAAAAGACATGATATTTGTTATTGAACATCATAGATGAAACAAATTTTCAGGATCAATAACTTTCGTACTACGCATATTTTCCGACATTATTGAACAAAGAGAATACTAACAGCAATTTCGAAGAGCGATGGGAAGTCCTGCTGTGGTTCTCCGTCAGCTAAACCGGCCAGTAGACCGAGCTCAGCACTCAAGTCTGCCAATTCAGCACCGATCCTGTCCGCCCGATCGGCGTCACCCAATTCATCCTTTAATATGTCCCCGATCTCGTCGGAGACCGCCGCCACTGCTGAATACACCTCATCCGATGGCACACCTTCCCTGACCACTTCACCGCCAACGTTCATCTCAGAATCCTCCGATGTCCCGGACCTACTGCGCCCTGAACGTTGCTCCATAGAAAACATCATTTACGAACCAAATCGAGCACCGGATCCGATAAACGAAACATCTAAAAACACGTTAGATAACGTCTGATCACAAGAACACAGGCGATTCGGTCGTAGAAAAACGAAAAATCATTTTTTCCTAAATACCGATGGATCGCGAACTTTTTGACAATACCAATATGGCGACGATATTTTTAGGTATTTGTGACCAGCCGCGAGTGGATAGGATAATGTGTCTGATTGTATATGGCAACATTACTGTCACATTTCACTTGTAATGTCTTGAAAATTGCATTTTGCACGGGATAAAACCATTTATTTCATCGAAGGGCAGCTGGAAATGCTTTAAAAAGATGCACCAAATCAATAAAGTTACATTAACACCATTAATTATACGTTAACTCTTCGATTAGTCAATTTTTATTCATTGAAAACCATTTAGTGTGATACAAAATGTATGTTGTATATGGGATTGCGCTTTAATTTGCACAAACTTGCTTATTATAACTATTCTAATTAATTTATGGTTCTATGTGCAATTTTTTGTAAAGATTGATGAACGAAAATTATCCCAAGAGAGTTATTGATTTAGGACGTGTAACCTGTAACTCTATTACTGTTGAATGAATGTGTTCTTCCCATATGGTAACCATGAAATAGTACATTTTGAGGACAATGCATCTCTTTTAATCTCTATAAATGCTCTCTCTCTCTCTATTAATCTCTATAAATTATGGATTTTCACAAAAAGGAATATTGTTAAAATTATACTTTGTGACGCAAATTATTTTAAAACATTTATCAAAATTATTTCTGAACGTATGCAACATTAACATTAAAAAAAGTTTCTAGTCAATTTGTCAGATTGTCAGGTTGACAATGACGTTTATGATTGAACTGCTTCTGCGCTACAGTGTTTTTCCGCGCAATTTGATTACATTTTTCCCACGAAAATATGTAATGCAGGTGAAATGCCGCAATGCGAAGCACGTTGAACGTTACCACATCCATGCAGAGTGAAATAACACACTGTTTAATTCAATTAACTCATGTAATCCTCGTTCGAATTTGGGTCGACGAACTTTGTTAATGGTTTGTAATATTTTCTTGCGTTACTAACGAGAGGTTATGGCGGTGCAAAATAAAGTGCTTTACGCTTTTCGCGGGTGGATAGCATTTGTTGCATTCATGGATTTAGGCACCGCTGGACGCTCGTACATAGAAAGAAGATCATTTTTAAGTCATAATGGAGACACTGACCATTTGGAGGGTAAGGCTATGCATAAATATTATCCTTTGCTCTTAAAATTGCGATATACAACATTTAAACAAATTTTAACTTAACACTTTTCATTTCCTCTTTTCAATAGACCTTTGTAATTTCATAATTTTTTTTTATTTTCCCGTTTTACTTTTACCAGCAAGTAATTACCTATACTTGTTACCAATTCTCTTACACTATTACAGTTTAAATACTTCATTTGCAGGTGACTTTACAATATCACGAATGTTGGGAATGTACTCCGTGTTAAAAGCCCTGGCTCTAATACATTGCACACTCTATATACATTATAAACCGTAAGTATATAATTATATTATTTTAACAGATAACACCAGCAACAACATCGGTAGCATGAATATATATTTTTTTATATCATAAGATGGCAAACGAGCGAGCGGCCACCTGAAATCACTGTAATAGCGAAGTGACCATTGCCCACACACATACGCAATTGCATATGCATTGCCTACCTTTAATCGACGGAGGAGAGGATGCACAGAAAGAAAATATTTTCCCTTTCCATGCATCCTCTCATCCGGAAAGTCCACTTCCACTTCCCATCCTTTTCTTATAAGAAAAAGGGTGGGAAGGGAAAGAGGACTAATTTTGGCCTCCGGGACGCACGCTCATCAGACGAAACGCAGAAATGCTTCCACTTCACGCCTGTCTTCTGTGTGGTCGTGGTATTTCACCGGGCGAGCCGGGCCGATTCGTGCGAACATGTTAAAGCGGGCTCTACCACTGTTAAAATATTATGCCTCAAACGGTGCAATACCACGACCACACAGACACGCTTCTAGTGCGAAGCTATTCCAACTACAGTCTTATGTACGTGCATTCCAAAGGCCCAATTTTAGACCTGTCTCTCCCACAATTTTATTCTAAGGAAAGGATGGGTAGGGGAAGTGGATTCGGCAAAGGAGAGGAGGCATAAGAAAGAGGATATATCCTCTGCCTTGGCTTGGTCCTTCCTCCGTAGATTAAATTTGCATTTACGGATGTCTATGGGCATTGGTTGCTTCGATATTTCAGCATATTCAAGTGGATGCTTGTTCTTTTGCCACCTTATAATATAAAAAACGTAATTAAAAGTGGTCCAAAAATGGTGATCCTTTTGTCTCTGGGTTTGCGGTGTTAGAAACATAAGACCTGCTTGCTCCCTTAGCGATTAACCATGATTTAAAAGGCCGTGCGCGACGGGTCGGGGGACCTGTCGCGCTGAATTTGGTGGATGGCTCCCCTCTCATCACCATAGGGTGATGGGAGGGGTTTAATATCTGACCCCTCTCTACACGAATCGAGCCCCTACCAAGGGACTCCCCCTAACCGGGTCCTTATCGCGGGGTAAAATTAACCATGATTTAAAAACTACACTGTTATACGACTAAAAAAATATAATTGTGCTATAAAGATTGAAAAAAGCCATTTTTCTTTATTCCACTATCAGTAAAATTTCCTTTGAAATGTTGCCAGGTGGAAAAACTATTAACCTATTTTCTTGGGTAAAGTGGTACTTGAAGTCAAGTGGAATTCAACCCTTTGTTATATACAATAGCCTTATGCTACCAATAAGATTGCCAAGTTTCGTATAACACTTTCAATGCTACGATTTTTTACCGGACTAATTTTGAAAGGGTTGGTAAACGAGTTATAGGCGAGTTACACGCAATTGAAATTTCTAAGCCTTCAAAAGATACAGCCATTTATTTTTATATTAATTAACTAGATGTCGTCCGCGACTCCGTCCGCGTGGATATATAAAAAAACTTAATTAGTGTAACCTATGTGTTCCTTCAGACTATGTTCTATACGTATGACAAATTTAATCGAGATCCGTTCAGTCGTTCTAGAGATATCTTCAAACATCACATCCATCCATCTAAACATTCGCGTTTATAATATTAGTAAGTTAAATAAAAAGCAGCTCTTCAAGGCATAAATAGTATCCTATGTCCGTCTCCTGGCTCTAAGCTACCTCCTCACCAATTTTCAGTCATATCGGTAAAGCCGTTCTTGAGTTATAAATAGTGTAACTAACACCATTTTCTTTTATACCATACCATATATATAGATGTGTTTTTTTTTATTCCAGAGTTGTATCGATGGGGTACTGGTCGTTATGTTTGACGATAATTTTATATGTCACAGAAGCGTTTTATTTCCATTCGACGAATCTCAATTTTTATGTCGTCTTTCCATGTATTTTAAACAGTAAGTATTGCTTTTAGTTAGAAGCTGTAGCCCATGACTTCATCTTAATAAGTCTATGTGTTCTTCCAGACTATGTTCTATATGTATGACAAATTTCAGCAAGATCCATGCAGCTGTTCTGGAGATACCTTCTAACATACATCTAAACATTCACATGTATAATATAAGTATGACTTTACTGAAAAAAAACAGTTTTTTTGCTACAAAAAATTTCCTCGAATAAGGGTTAAGAAAACAACTTAATAAGTAGTCTATGTGTTCTTCCAGACTATGTTCTATATGTATGACAAATTTCATCAAGATCCGTTGAGTTGTTCTGGAGATATCTTCTAACATACATCAAATGTCTTTGGTAGGGGAAAACTACAGGATGATTATTATTGTTTTACTTTTTTTTACAGTTATTACACTTTTGGGATTAATTTATTTACCAGGTAAGTTAAAGTTGTGGGGAACAATACCCGGTACATCGGGTGCAGACAGAGAAGTGGACGACGAAAACTTACAAATATTACGACAAATGGGTAATTTCCGACGACGGAAAGCTGGCAACCCTATTAAAAATAAACACGTTTGATCATCTATGGTCGGGGGATTTTGTGTCTATTGTCGGGGATAACGGAATCGATCGGATATCTTAAATATTGTGATAAAAACAACGATATAAAAAAATTGTTAAAAGCTAAATGCAAGTGGATCGTTACTAAACATTTATCTTTTGATAGAGATTAAAAAAAAACAAGTTTAAATTAAACGCAATAGAAAATTATATTGATATTTTCAGACAGTTTTCATAATTCCAGTCCAATGAATAAATTCACGAGAATACAACTGGAAAACTGTAAATGGAATGCACTTTGTGGTTTCCAGCGTGTGATACTTTTTTAATCGTAATTCAGTATTGGAAACGATAATTGTACTGGAATTATGTAAACTGACCGTTATTTTATTAATATAGTTTTGACCTTCAAGGAATTAGAAAAGCTAGATATAGAAAATTAATTTACAATTAAAATATCTCCTAAAAGATCTGATATCTAGAAAAATTCTGACGTATTTAGTAATTTTTAACTTAAATTTTTTGTAAATCTAATTAGATGTGAATGGTGTTTGATGGTAGAGCGTTACTTAGTGTAGATTTAATTAAAAAACTACACTAAGCTAATGTTTAGTGATACTCCAAAGAGCGTGGTAGTGAGTCCCCTAATTGATTTTTAATCTAGTCTTAGAGTTTACCTCCAATTCTTAGTGTTTAAATTATATTCTAGCTTAAACATATGTCAACCCTTTTATTAGAAGCTGATATAAGACATTACGAGAAGTTAAACACTCTTTATAACCATCATCAGCTCTATACGTCCCACTGAGGGCCTCTGCACCTCCCCTAAGTGAGACTATGTGATAGTGAATGCTGGTCCAGTGCAAGACTTGACACATATGTTTGAGTTTGTCAGATATGTGCAGCATCACGATGTTTTCCTTCACCGTAACAACATAGGATAAATGTACATATGTAAATGTAACACATTCATACAGGATTACAACACAGGACATGCAGATTATAAGTCAACTGCTTAACACATGAGTCACCGACTCTCTTAATAATGTTTCCATAATATCCTCACCAGTGTTTAAAGGGTTACATGTGTTTAACTATTTTCTACTCTACAATCTTTTATCCAATTTTATCACTAATTTTACTTCCCGCTTTAAAAATGCAACATACTGTGTAATCTAGTGCCTATAGCTTATTAGAACTTATAAGGTTTTGACTACAGCGAAAGTAGTGTTGTCTCTGTTTTATCAAAGGGAATGTATGAGATAGCTATATGTACAGTCGGGGAAATTCGCGGTGTTAACAGATAGTTACTCTGCCCCTATTTATTAATAATTAGGTAACAATGCGTTGGGTAACAACGGGATAATAGTAATAAGCAATTTGATGTTTAATACTGAACGATTCTTTTTGTAAAGTTGCGTGTTATTGGCTATTGTTTAGTTCAAACGACTCACTTTAAAGTTGTAGCACCACCAATTTCTCCGAGTGTACATTATTTCGTTGTAGTCAAATTCTGAATATATAGGATGATTAAATATACATTTATATGAATTGTAACGACCAATATTTACAGCACTTTTTAATAATTCAATTTCGTGTGATTTTTTAATTAGTAAATAGGACTAATCGTCATTATATCGTTTGGTAGATTTACGTTTTTTATACAAATTCGAAATTCAAATTTAATATCGTCGTCTCTTTTATTCTCCTTTGAAAAAAAGAGACGAAAATATAGTTAAGTTTTACTCTCAACATATGTAAGATTGAATTTTTATTCTGATGTTAATTTGGTACATAATTATACAGGATGTTTAAGAAATAAGAAGCAAAATATTTCACAACCTGCCCTCTAGCGGACAAATTCGACAAATTTCTTTGACTATCGTATTAGTCAAATAAAGTTTTGCCGTCTTACAAATTTCTGAACACCCTGTATACCCTTATTTACTATGAGTATATTTTGTATAATGTTCTTGTTGCGTCGTATATACTAATATTAGTTTGCGTGTGTTATGTAGTTTTTAGCTATATAATTTGTCACTGCAGTGCCTACTTATTATTAGGTGTCACTATAGCATAGATTTAACAAATTTTAATAGAACTGTCGACATTAATATAATAATTCCAGTTGAGAGGGTAGACAGAAATAATTTTCATTAACTCCAAACGTTTGCACATAATCTTTCTTACATAGTATCGGCAAAAATACTCAAATAAGCGGGACTAGACAAAGAGCATTCGCTTCGAAGCGATTCCATAACGAACTTCAAATACATATAGAACTGACATTTACTTTCGTTATGTCACGTGATTGTCACGAGTCAATTTTGACAAGCCAGGTGACAGAGGCGTAGTCACAAAACATATAAAACCTACTTAGATACAAAAATGATAAAAAAAAGTTAAACGATTCAAACTTTCATATATTTGTCCGGTTTCGCCTCCGCGAAGGACCCTGGAGGGTGGAATGTGATTATCATCTCTCGTATACTTATGCTTAATGCAACCCCACAAACCTTCCAAAATAAAACCTTCTTTGAATAAAGAAAAAGAAAACAATATTATACGAATATTTAAAAAATGAGACGGTTCCATTAAAAATTTAAATATTGTGAAGGTAGTTAGAAAAAAATAGTTATAATACAGTGTTGACAGTTTAAAAAAAATATTTTAATTTTTATACTTGTCTGTTAATCCATAGATATGTAAACTATAGATAATAGAACATAAAAGTGACAGAAAGGACTTTAAGGACAATTTTTTGGGGGCTTAGTGTGTAAACACTCGATTAGACGTCAATCTTGTATAACACAATCTATCTATAGATTATAAATCTATGTTTTTTTTAATACATAGTGCCAATATACCAAGGTTTTTAACACATAAAAAGCAATAGTCAATTATCACACCATATCTTTTATATTTTAAAATTATATAACATGTTAAGCCGAAATATACATATAAATTTGTTCTATGTTTTATATTAAGAACATCCTGGAAACAAAACAACATTTTGTATATTAGTGTGCAATAATAAACATAGATTTTATAGTAAATACTTTGGTACCATTGAAATTATTTGTACTATTATCATATTATGTATGTGCGTTTCAAATAGAAATGTGTGCGTCAATAAAAAGCTAGATAATGTCAGGATATCTGACCCACTGAGAGGAGCTGCTGTCGCTTGATTCTGTTAAAAAATATGTCAAATCTACATAATACAGGAAATGGCAACACCTTCCTTGCCTTATCCGACTCATGTCCGATCAGCACACAAGGTTTATTTTTTTACCGGCCGCCTGTCTGATGCCAACCTTACTTGGGAGGAATATTAAACAATCTATAGAAAAAGACGACAGCGACAGAACGAAAAAAATATAGCCTTTATGGATGAGGGCGCTAGTGAGCTGTGATAATTTAGTTTGACTTATGCCCATCGGGTCAGATAGCTTTATCGTTACTTCTTCAATTTGGAGATTTTACTTAACCGCATCTTATCATCAGCTCACTGTACATCCCACCGAAGGGCTCGGAGTCTACCCTAAGTTAAGGGTGATTAGGCCATAGTCAACCACGCTGGCCAAGTGCGGGTTGACTTCACACATATCTTTGAATTTGTCAGATATGTGCAGCATCACGATGTTTTCCTTCACCGTAACGTCGGATAAATGTACATATGTAAATCGGAAATCGAAAAACACTTTGGTACATGGCGGGATTCGAACCCAGGACCTGTAGATTGCAAGTTATGTGCTTGACCCCTAAGCCACCGACGGTTTAGCGATTCTACGTACGCTGTGACGTCACAATATGGCGATGTACATTTTTATTTGAAATGCTTTAAAGTGTGCTCGTTTGTAACTTAGCGATTGGACCACATTAATTAGTGCCATATCAAAATAGAGAATTGTTATGTTTGAAAATACACGATTTCAATTATAATATGTTTTATTATTACCTTAGGAGTCATCATCAACCTGCCCTTATCCCTATCGAGGGTCGGCACAGTATGTACTACTCCTCCATACATCTCTATCAGCCGTCATATCCGAGTCTACCCCCTTCCTATGCATATCCTCTTTCACACAGTCATTCTATACTTTTTTTTGTCTTCCTCTACCTTTGTAGCACTACATTCAATCTCATTACTTTTTTGCTTATATCATCATCCCTCCTCATAACATGTCCAAACCACGCTAAGCTTTTACTCCTTAATTTCTCGATCACTGGCGCTACTTTCAAACTTCCTCATTACATTAGTTAGGAGTATCAATTAAAAAAATGGGTCTTGACAGACAGACGGACGGACAACAAAGTGATCCTATAAGGGTTCCGTTTTTTTCCTATGAGGTACGGAACCCTAAAAACAGACTAATTTAAACTACATGTTATATATAAAATTCTCGTGTCACAATTTTCGTTCCCATACTCAAAAGGGCTTGACCGATTCTCATGAAATTTTGTGATCATATTGAGTACGTCTGAGAATCGGCCAACATCTATTTTTAATCCCGCGCGGACGGAGTCGCGGGCGACAGCTTGTATATATGAAATATTTCTTATTTAAGAATATATCGCAAAAATTAAACAATTCAGTGATATAAAAAAGTTATGGCCACTGAGATTGGAAGAAATTTTTCAATGATTTAAATTTTTATACCTAACAGTCAAAATATGAGTTTTGTGATATAGTAATATGACTCTCTATGGTATCGAATGACACTTTACTTGTCAAAATCTGTTCACTCGTTTATGATACAGGATGTTACAAAGGAAATGAGTTAAAACTAAAGTAAAAAGAAATACGCGCGAAAAATATTTTTTTTATATCATAAGGTGGCAAACGAGCGAGCGGCCACCTGAAATCGCTGAAATAGCGACGTGACCGCTGCCCATAGACATACGCAATTGCATATGCGTTGCCTACCTTTTAATCGACGGAGGAGAGGATGCACAGAAATAAAATATTTTCCCTTTCCATGCATCCTCTCATCCGGCAAGTCCACTTCCACTTCCCATCGTTGCCTTATAAGAAAAACGGGGGGCAGAGAAAGAGGACTAAATTAGGCCTCCGGGACGCACACTCATCAGGCGAAACGCGGAATTGCTTCCACTTGACGCCTGTCTTCTGTGTGGTCGTGGTATTTCACCGGTTGAGGACAATTCGTGCGAAGATGTTAAAGCGGGCTCTACCACTGTTTATTATTATCCTGTTTATCATTTTGGGAGGGAAAAATAATTTCGCATGTAAATAATATGACATTTGTTAAATAAAAAATATATTTAGAAATAATTTAATAATAAAATAAAGGAATGCAAGTCAAATGATAAGAATAATGGTGAATTTACGTTTAAAAAAAACTACAATAAATATGTACAGTATGATCTCACTAATCCGGCACTATTAAAAACCGGAGGGTGCCGGATTATTGGAATTCGGATTACTGGATTATAGTAAAAAAAGCCATCAGTAATGTAAATTTTATTATTCAAATAGTGTCTCGTGTTTGCGTTATTTGAAATTTTTAACTATAAAGTATTCGCAGTTGAAAAAAGTTTCGAGGTTAGACTGGTCGACGACGCAGACGAAGCGCACAGGTATAGAGGGGCGAGAGACGTGGGCGGAGTGTGCCGGATTATTGGAGGTGCCGGATTACTGAGATTATACTGTATTTGTAGTTATAATAAAATATTGTAGAATATAAATCAATAGTAATCTGGAACAGGAGCGCAGGCGATTTTAACAAAATCTTCATACCTTACCGTACCATTATTGGACACATTCGCCTCTCTAAATATGTTGTCAACCTGAAAATTGAAATAAAAGAATAAATATATTCAATTTTAACAATGGCAGACGCAAGAACATCGGTAGCACAATACCAAGACCACACAGAACGCGTCAAGTGCGAAGGTATTCCAACAACAGTTTGATGAGTGTGTTCCAGAGGACTTATTTTAGTCCTCTTTCCCTTCTCACCTTCTTTCTTATAAAGAAAGTATGGAAAGTTGGTGTGGATTATAATTTGGCAAATATTCTCATTGTACGAGTACGCGTAATCAACGTATTTGGTATTTTTTTATTTGTCTAAGTGCATTGCTTGTTTTCCCCACCTTTGAATGATAATATGAGAATTTTTTTTTGTGAGAATCAACATAGAGGGAACAAAGACAGGAAGATGAGACATATCCTATTAGAAATAAGTTTAATCACCTCCCGTTGTGACAGTCCTTCTCCCCACTTTTGCAGCAGATTGCGAAGCTGTCGCGCGGGGACGACACCCTTCTTGTCAGGGTCAGCCGCGCGGAATGCGTTCACAACCTAACAAGAAATGACAAGTTTTCGACCTACAATTCAATCACCAATAGCCTAATGGTTAAGGGTATAGATTTCCGATCGTGTGGTCGAAAGTTCGATCCCACCATTCGACTATTATGAACCATTTCCTAGCAAAAGCCTAGAGCTTAGTTGATATAGTACAAGATAAATAAGTAAGTTAACAAAAATCAACTAATAATAAAAAAAATACTACAAGGAATTGAATGAAAAATTTTAAGAAGCAAACTTTATGGCTGATCTGGTGTTAATGCATCGTGGGTTCCTGACCCCGATGATAGGCCTAAAACTATGTTATATCCCTTTCGTATGATATTCCGAGCAGCCATAAAGTTTGTATGTCACTATATATTTAAATGTATGATTGTAAGTGTAAATAACCTCATTAGGAAGATTTTCAGCACGCGAATGTATATGCATTACTTCTAGGAAGTCTGCAAACGACATCTTACCCCCTTTGCCTTTTAGGTAACCTGCGATAAAAAATATCACACAGTTAGTCCAATAAAATGTAGCTAGACGAGAAGCCCTGTTATTGCAGTTCTTTTAAGGTCTAGAGCCCCTTGCCGGAGGCAACGCACGCACGGCCCGCAATTTTATTTCGCTTTTTATGATTTTAAATAGCGCTGTATCCATCATTCAGACCTCCCACGTCAACAAGAAATCTGGTGCGTGCGTGCGCGGGCCAATAAACGCGTACCTTTAGAATACTAAGGCATAGAAAATGTCGCATAAGTCTGATAAAATCTAACAAGGATCTTGTGGCGCTTTTTTTTTAAATTGATAGAGGTAATGGGATTATTGTACGTTTTTACTCTAACCCATCGAGCTAACTAAATTTTCCGTAATATAGAAACAATATTGTAAAAACATAAGCACAATTTTGTAGTTTGGTACATCAGATAAATTTGTGCATTATATATATTGCTTTACTGTTAGGTGGGTTATTATTTGATAAATTAATATATTATTAGGCAAACGTTCCATAATTATTTCCAACATTGGTACTATTTCTCCGCTTGACTGATTTTTTAGATAGTTTGGAAGATCGCTGGGTAGTTTGTTAGCCCGTGTGGCATTCTAAAATTACTTATACATTTTTGGTGCCTATTTTCACTTCGTAACAAACCTGTCAGTTCCTGTATCGTAGGACTCATCCCGAGGGAGCGCATGACAACTGTCAGTTCATCCAATGATGTGATCTGTCCAGACCGAGCGAATAGGTAGAAACATTCCCTGAATTCTGAAATAAGGGTACAATGATAATATTTGTGAAGATTTTCAACATATGTAATGCTTTTATTGTGGCGTGTTTTATTATCTATACTATCTATAGCTGTTAGCTGACACATGTCTTCTGTCGAGTTTAGAGCCGTTTTTATATAAGGGAAACCAACGCTGGTTTCTTCTGCGCATGGTGGCTGGGCTATCTTCTAATCTTACTGCCTGCACCAGACGTCGAGGCAGCTGGTTCTCAGGGAGGACAAAGCTCCCCAAACTCCTGTTCTGATTCGAGTGTACCCTAAGTTGGTAACTAGGGCTAAGACAACTACAGCCCATCGACTCTAAGATTGACTTCATACATCTGAATTACTTCAAAGATATGTTTGCATAACCTTATTTACCTTTTCTGTTATCAAATTACTTAAAAAACATTTTCAAAGCAATCTTTTGCTACTTATTAATCTTTAAAACGTTACCAATTGTCTATGGTCAAAATAAAAATAGATATCTGGGACAGTATTGATTTATGGGCCGAGGGAGACGCGCGTGCGCGGCGACAAACTCATACAAGTAGCTACATACACTGGCGTCTCATTGTCCAGAGGTCAAAACTTATAAATGTCAACCCGATGCTGAAAATCAATCGAGCCATATTCCCTCTGGTACTTAGACAGGAAAATCTTACATCTTACTAATATTATAAATGCCAATGTTCACATGGATGGATAAATGGATAGATGGATGTTTGTTTGAAAGTATCTCCGGAACGGCTAAACAAATTTAGATGAAATTTAACACTGATATGGAACATAGTCTGGAAGAACACACAGACTACTCAATACGTTTTTTTAATTCCTCGCGAATGGAGTCGCCAGTATGTTGCATCTTTAAAGCCACAAAAAAAGGAAATTTATGAAACTGATATAATAAAGATTTGCTTTGCCATTTTGAAATTCCCAGAATGTGCCTAAAAACGTTCTTGACAAATAGGTAGCAAGAGCCTGGCGACGGAAAAAAAATGTAGGCGTGCCTGTGTGTGTACGTGTATGACCATTTATGATACTAATATATGGAAGTCGCTTAACGACTAAAATCGCCGAGTTCTGAATTTACGTAACTATGTGACAAAGGGCCTAAGGGTTTGTCATTGTAGTAATACTAATTGCTAAGGTTTTGAGTAATCATCAGTTTACTAAACGTTCAAACTGACGGGCTCGGAGCCTAACCTATGATGACCATGACCACGCTAGCCCAGTCAACACCACAAACACAAATCTTTGAATTTCTTTACTGATATGTTTTCCTTCACCGTTAGAACAAAGTATAAATGTACATATGTAAATCTCATTAGTACATGACGGGTTTCGAACCCATGACCTGCAAGTTACAAATCAAGTGCTTAACCACTGAGCCAACGACGCCCTTTGAATACAGTAACAGAAACAATTAGAAATTTTACTTAATAACTAAAGTGGTTTAGGAGAAACCACCTGTGGAACGCTAGACGTAACCGCAGTTAATAAAGTTAAGGGATTCACAAGTTGAAGACATGCAGCGGGGATTACCCGAAAATAAGGTCGGTAACTCGACGAGAACCAAGATATAAGCGAATCTCAGTACTTAGATCTTCATGAAAACTAATTACGTATTTAGTTACCATGCGAAGTTAGGGCGTGTCTATTATATGATTGAATTCGTTTGAGAGAGATGCAAACAGTTAACCTTATTGATTAATGTTACCTGGGGATATTTTTAGATCTACTATCCGCGTCACTTTCTGGATACTTCCCCAAAAATTAAGGGAAATTGTACTGAAATCTTATTTTAATGATGTCAGATTATTAACATAAAATAAAATTAATCGTATATTTTATTAGCTTCAGCCTTTAAAACTTAACATCTAGACCACGTATATATATACATTGTCACACTTTACATCTGTGATAAACTTCATCGAAATCCGTGGAGTCGTTCTAGAGATACCTGGTAACGTACATCCATCCATCCATAATTTCCCATTTATAAGTAAGATAAAATCGGGTAAAATTTCCATTGATATCTAGCAACACTGTACAGATTGTATTGATCGACGGTTCCCGCCTTTATATACTCTGCTTCTACCAACAGACATCAGTTGACTTCTTACATTCGTGACAAGCGGACGTGTATTTAAGAAGAACGAAAATGTGTAAATCACTGGAGGATCTCGAACATCCGGACAACAAAAAAGTCCTCAAAATTTCCGAAGAGAAGGCGAAAGCTATAATCGATTTGCGCAACGACGTGAAGTACATCCATAAAGTCCTCTTCACGGATCCCATGGGGCCAATAACGGAGCAAAAGAAGGCCCTCATGATGAAAGCAACAGAATCGATCAAACTGGCCAATAAATACGTTGAATCGTTGATGGAAGACTTGTTGTCTTAAATCATGTCAAGAATTTTACTATGGCATTTATATTATTTTACGTTTGAAATTCTGATTCATTAGTAGAAATGCCATAGAGAATGTAGTTTTTTTCTTTAATAAACGTAATGTTGGGAAAATGTTGTTTTATTTACTTTCATGATCCTAGATTTTAGTAAATATACTATAAGTCTGAGACTGTATAGACCTGGGATAGGAAACTTTTATCAAAAAAACAAATGAAGTCATATAATATTCAGTTTATTACTGAGACCTTTTTAACCAAAGTTTCTCGCTTCTAAAGGTCTTACTAAAAACTCTAGGTTATAGTCTACTCGTGAAATCTCCATTCAAAACAGTTATCTCAGGTTTGTCAAAATGACAAGGATGGGGATATGTTTTATATAGATTTAAGTCTTAGAAACCAATGATTTCAGTCCAAATGTAAACACATATAATAATCATATTTATATTTTCTTTTAAGAGCTAACAATGCATGTTTCCGTTGTCTGAACAATTACACAATACTTTTTATTGACTCTATCTTAACAAAGAGAATGAAAGAAATACTTTTCTATATACTTGGCAGTAGAAAATAAGATTAATCTGTCAAAAATGAAATCTCAATAAGAATAAATTTATTTCCCAAAAACACGTTAGAATAATATACATTGAAGTATCTTGCAGACACCGAACTAGGCTGTATCTCGAGGCCTAGGAGTGCACTAGCCATAAACAAAATAACAGTATGTACATATGTAAAACTAAGCATGATATTATGAGATACGATATGGAAAATAAGAAAATACATGAAGACATTAAACATTAAATAATAAAGGATAACATGTGTGCATATGATTATGCGTGTGTGTGTGTTTTTTTATTAAGTTAGATGTGAAGTTGAATTGGCGAGGTGTTGTCCACAACTTTGTAGAAATAAAAAAAAAATTAACTAGTAAAAACTTCATCAAGATCCATTGAGTTCCTTCTAACAAACATCCATGCACAAACTTTTACATTTATAATATTAGTATGATGGATCAAGTATTTCATTTAACACAAGTTTGATGTCGAATAGAGTCTAATTTCTAAATGTCATCAATTGTTTGGTTACTGACAACATTGAGAAATTACTCTAACAATTTTCGGAAGCCTTTTTTCCTCACTTTCCATACTAATGTTACATACGTGACTACGTAAGAAAAACAATTGAAATTATGATACGCAAGACTTTATAAGAATCAAAACATTAGTATAATAATAAAGAGAACCTTAACTTTTACTTAAAAGGAAAGTAAAAATAATAAAACAATGATTATTTCATATTTACCATCAATATCTTGTTCTTTGAAGTAACGTGCCTGAAACAATTATTTAATTTGTTAATTATCTTTATATATTATTTTAAATAAATGTATATAAATAAAGTAATACCATTGTTAATATAGGAAAATATTAAAGGATAAGTGCTGAAGTAAAATAATTAGATTTATAATCAAATTACTGAAGAGAAAACTTAGGAGAAAGTTTTGACGTTTCAAAAACTTTTCGTGACAACTTATCTTTACGTTTCTTTTATCAAGTTCTAAAAATTCTTTGTTTTTTTATAAAAATTATTTAAATTATTTTTTTCTATGATAAAATACGATGTAAAACCATACAATACATAAAAAATAACGCATAAATTGCCTATAAACTCGTCGACGTTGAAGAACCGATTTAAAAATAAATAAATAAGGAAAAATTACTTAAAAACCAATAATTATTATGTTTCGCATAAATTATCTTAAAATCGACTCTTTATTATATTAAAAATATGAATTAATAAAAATGACAAAAGTTTAAATAGAAGATAAATAACATTGAGAATCTGTAAGTTTTTATAATCTGTGGTAATATTGACAAGTCAAGAAGATGGAAGAAAAGCAATCAGCTGACATCGCGTAATGATAGGATCGTGTAAAATGTAATATTTTCCATAGTTTAGTAATTAGTACTGTGTAAATTATTACATAAAACATTTAAGCGATTTGTGTACAGTGTATAAACTTTGCGATACAATATAAGTGAGTGTTTTATGACCATGGATTTTGATTATATCGTTTGGTAAGTAAATGCTTACGCAAGCCAATTTATAGTATATACTTTTATTAAATTAAATATTAACGGGATAGTTTGTATATGAATTACTATGTGAAATAACCCCAACTTATCATAATCTATAACTCGTTATGTTTAAAATCATAAATGTATAATTAATTTAAAGGGAAATGTCAAAGACAAGGCTTTTCGCTTAGTCAACTAGATTAAATGACCTCAAGTGTATCGAAAAACCTTATGAAACCTTATCTCTTCCCGACCTTCATTACCTATTATATTAATCAGGTGATATCAGCTTAAAAACCTTGCATATTATCCCCATAAAATTTTAAACATATATGACAAATGTTAATCTACCGAAATGATATTACGTGTTATATTTAAAGTTCATAACATTTTATAACTAAAACATATAATATGCGTTATATTATATTATGTATTAGATATAGTTAAAAATAAGTTATTATAGATTAATTACCCAAATGAGAAAGGCAAATTAACAAAAGAGAGGGAAAGAGTTACGAAAAAAAACACAGAAAACCACGACTAAAATAACTTTCCTGACTGATAGTGAAGACTTAATTAATAACTCAAAAATGTAGTTGGATTATTTTGATTTATTACAGACAAATTAATAACATTAAGTTTGAGTTTTACAAAAAATTACGTGTTTTGTATCTTAAACCAGACATAACTAGATAAAAGAATTATATACACCTTATCTAATATAATATTAATGATAGTATCATAATAAACTTTGAATATTCAATACAGAAAGGTCATTAGCATAAAGATTAAAGGTATAGATTTCCGATTACATGGTCATGAGTTCGAAACTCCTCCATTCGAGTATTGTAAAACATATCCTAGCACAAGTCTGCAGCTTAGTTGGAATAGTACAAGAAATATTTAATTTTTTTACATTTATTAATATTATTTTTTGCTAAAATGAGCTATGAAGTGTCTGTGGCTCAAGAGTCAAGCACTTGACTTGCAATCTGCAGGTACTGGGTTTCGAATCCCGCCATGTACCAATGTGTTTTTCGATTTCCGATTTACATATGTACATTTATCCGACGTTTTTACGGTGAAGGAAAACATTGTGATGCTGCACATATCTGAGAAGAAATTCAAAGATATGTGTAAAGTCAACCCGCACTTGACCAGTGTGGTTGACAATGGCCAAATCACCCTTAACTTAGGGTGGGCTCCGAGCCCCTTGATGTGGACGTATAGTGAGCTGATGATGATAAATATTATTTTAGCTAAATTTCTTTATTTTTTTTCAGCCTAACACACAACTTTGAGTAATACAGCCATGGAAGAGTTAGAAAGTAGTATATGTGAAACATATAATAGTTCGAAAATATCATAACGTAAATATATAACAAATAAAATCTCTTAGTGAAAATTATAAGTCATCTAGTCTGTTGAACGTTAAACGTTAATAATTTATTTATATAATATAAAATTCCATATTATTCGATGTATGAAATACATAACAAATGAACACCAAAGAGTAATAGTATTATATGTTTTTGGTGTACATAGAAGTAGATATATAATAAGCGGTATATAATATTATGGCTGCTACAATGGTGGAATCACCACCACCACATCTGATAACCACGATTGAGTGGAGTATGATGGATAAAAGCAAGTTTTTTCCACTGTACACATTGAGTAGTTTTACAGGTAAGTAGAACAAAAGGACACTAAAGGTACATTTCCACATGCATGGTCAGTAAAGGATTTTAATTGAAGCATCCATCACTAGTAAAGTGTTAATATCGCTGGAATTGACTCATTCAGTGCAATACCACGACCATAAAGTAAAAGTCAAGTGGTAGCAATTCCTATAGTCTGATGAGTGTGTTTAGGATGCCTAATTTTAGTCCTCTTTCCCTTTTCTTATAAGGAAAGTATGGGAAGTGGAAGTGATTTTTCCTTATGATGGATGGGAATGGAAAATAATATGTTTCTGTACATTCTCCATAGATTAAAGGTAGGCAACACATCTGTAATTGCGTCTATGGGCAATGACTTTTTTTTATATCAAAAGGTGGCAAACGAGCGGGCGGTCACCTGAAATCGCTGAAATAGCGAAGTGACCAATGCCCATAGACATACGCAATTGCATATGCGTTGCCTACCTTTAATCGACGGAGGAGAGGATGCACAGAAAAAAAATATCTTCCCTTTCCATGCATCCTCTCATCCGGAAATTCCACTTCCACTTCCCATCCTTTCCTTATAAAGAAAAGGATGGGAAGGGAAAGAGGACTAAATTAGGCCTCCGGGACGCACTTTGCTATTTAAGTGATTTCAGGTTGATGTTTATGACGATATCTTATGATGTAAAAAATCATTCACGTTGAAAGATAAAGCAAATCTGTTTAATCAGTGCGTCCGGTACGTTCCAATGGACGTGTACTTTATCTGTTGTACCATTTTCAGTACGATGTGCCCTCTATCCGTTGACGTTAGTAAAGACACAGATCCAAGTTCAACGTAAGAAGGAGGCTTATAAAGGCGTGACTGACGCCATCACAAAGATATACCAGAACGAGGGAATCTCCGGACTGTATAGAGGATTTTGGTTGTCCAGTGTGAGTAAGAATTATTTATCAGCGCCATCTATTTGAAGTGGATGAAAACTGTAATATTTAGTACAGCGCCATCTAGTAAATTTTGAATTTATTGCCCACGATTCAATCTGTCCGATTTAAAAAATCTTAATTAAATCTTAAACTAGTCTGTTCTTCCAGACTATGTTCTTCTTCTATGACAAATTCCATCAAGATTTGTTTAGTCTTGGAGATATCTTCTAACATACATCTGAATAATCGCAATTATAATATTAGTAGGATTATGAAATTTTTTAGGAAGTATTTTATGTAAGTTACTAATATTTTATATTAATTTTCAGTTTCAAATAATCTCTGGTGTTTTCTACATAACGACATACGAAGGAGTTAAGCATGAATTGGGGAAATATGACATTAGTCCTAAAGTTAAGGTACGAAATTTTGTTAAACATAATGTTTTTATTAATATTTCTATAGTTTACAAAGAAAAATATATTAAAACCTTTAATAATAATGAGTCTAAAACAGTAGACTTTAATTATATAGAAGTTATCTATATTCCTTTTAGTATTCATTTTAAAGCTTTATCTAAATTAAATTCCACGCCATCTATTGACTTCTAGCTGTCTAGAACTGTCTAGACTTGTAGCTAGAAAAAAAACCTATGTCAAATTTCAGCTAGATTTTTGCAGCCGTTCTGGAGATACCTTCTAACATATATCTAAACTTTCGCATTTATAATATTAGTAAGATATTTTATTTTACAAATTAAGTTCAACGCCATCTATTGTCTATTTATTAATCTTACAGTCGTTCATCGGCGGCGGTTGTGCTTCAATGGTGGGTCAAACAGTGATTGTTCCATTTGATGTCCTGAGCCAGCATCTGATGGTGCTGGGGCTTGCTAAAGGCAGACCAGGTGCTACCAGGAACCCGGTACGTATATCCAGGAAATTATCCATGGAATATCTAAAAAGAACAGATTTTACCTAATCTTTAGTGAATTGTCGAAATATTTTAACCAATGAGGGCGCTGCTATCGCGGTTGGTTCTGTCAGTATATAAAAACTAGCTATCTCCCGTGAATCTATCAGCTCGCATTAAAAACTTAGTAGCCTCTGTGTTCTTCCAGACTATGTTCTATATGTATGTCAAATTAATCTAGATCCGTGCAACCGTTCTGGTTACCTTCTAACAAACATAATTTTAAAACATTCGCATTTATATTAGTAAAACAAGAACATCTTGGTTATGTGTTCTTTTGATTCTGTCAGAATATATATAAAACATATTCGGGTAAAGAAAATGACATAAAAGAAGGAAAAAGACAACAGATTTGTAAAACTTTTTTGACTTTAACTTGAGGGCGCTAGTGAGCTATGATAATTTACTTTAACTTATGCCCACAGAGTCAGATATCCTTATAGGTCCATAGACAAACTAAAGTTTATTATTTATAATTTGGAACCTCAGGCTTTATTTTGAATCAATTAGTTTGTTTTTTAATATGCATTTTTTTTTAATTTCAGAAATTAAATCCTCTAGGTCTAGACTTAGACAAGCGTTTATCTAAAGCAGCTTTAGCTCGCGAGGTGGCGCTGCGTGTGTACAGAGTGCACGGACCTCTGGGCTACTACAGGGGATATGCCGCGTCTCTAGCCGCTTATGTACCTAATTCTGCGCTATGGTGGGCCTTATATACTGCCTATCAAGGTACATTATATACATATTCATTTAGGATAATTTATTTAACCAAAACAGTTCAACAAAACATATATTCTATTCTAAACATTCACTTTTATATATATACTAGCGGACCCGACAGACGTTGTCCTGTCTACACGTCTTTAATTTGAAACTGACTGAAAAAATTTGTCACTGCGATGGTAGCGCCGTCTGTCGGATCCAATGTAAAACATTCCAAAATCAACAACTACTAATAAATTAAAAATTAATTAAAAAAACATTGTCCAGCGGACAAAATTGTGAATCTAAACCATCCCCAGATCCCCTTGAACACACACAAAAAATTTCATCAAAAATCGGTCCAGTCGTTTGAGAGAAGTTCAGTCAGTGACATACACACTCACAGAAGAATTATATATATAAAGATATTCAAGCTTCTATCTGTAAAAATTGTGATACTTTCATACAAATTTTCACCCCCTTACAACCCTTATTTCGCGTTAAAAAGTAGCCTATATCCTTCCCCAGGCTCTAGACTACCTGTGTAACAAAGTTCATTTAAATCTGTTCAATAGTTTTTGTGTGAAAGCGTCACATACAAACAGACAGACAGAGTTACTATAGCTTTAAATGTTTTCAGATGAATTATTGAAATTAAGTCCCGCTTGGATATCACATTTGTTCATACAATGTGTAGCGGGCACTTTGGGTGGATTTACAACAACGATACTGACCAACCCTCTGGATATTGTCAGAGCTAGATTACAAGTAAGTAGTCTATGTGTTCTTCCAGACTATGTTCTATATGTTTGACAAATTTCATCAAGATCCATGCAGCTGTTCCGGAGATATCTTTTAACATACATACATTTAAACATATGTTTTTATATTAGTAAGATTTTTAATAAGAAACTCTTTTTTGTATTTTTTTAAATATATTATGAGGTGAGGAGATAAATGCGCCAAAATAACCACTGTCCATAGACAATCGCAATTGCAGATGCGTTGCCTAACTTTAATGAAGAAAATGCAACAAAGAATATTCACTCTTTATTATATTATATTATTTATATAGTGAGCCAATCGGATACATAAAATCAATGGGGTCAATAAGAAAAAAGTTGGGACGTGTTCTTCCTTACTTTTATAATTTTGTGCTAAAACTAACCTTAAAATATGGATCTTTGTAGTATACATCAAATAAACATTATTATAAAAATCTTTTCAGGTAGAAGGTGTTGGTTCAATGCGTCAAGTTTTCAAGGAACTTTGGCGGGAAGAAGGTCTAATAGGTCTTTATGCTAAAGGTCTGTCTGCCAGATTGGCGCAATCAGCCTGTTTCTCGTTCTCTATTATACTGGGCTACGAGACTATAAAACGTTTCAGTGTAAACGATGAGTTCAGAACGAGGGTGAGATGGTGATAATAAAATAATTGTTAATGAATTTTTGGACGTTTTATTTATATTTTTTTGAATTTACAATGAAATAAGGATTTGAGTTTTAATATAGTGATGTTATTGTAGTGAATAATTGCTATTACATTTTTGTAGGCGCATTTATATTTTAAAATAGATATCGTTAAGATTTTTAGGTATACATATTTATATTTAAAACAGTATTAAATCCTTTAAATATGAATAATTTTCAATAATTTAACGATTTGGATAACAATTGAACTAACGTTCAAGTCATCGAAACACAGTCGTCCTATAGCTTTATTGTTTTGTAATTGTTTGCATTTTACCTGAAGGACTTTATAATCAAAATAATTTTCTTTATCTTATCGAATGTACACAAAAATGGCCTCAATTCTATACCAAGATAGTAAAGACTTTGCTTATATCCATTCTCTTCCATTTAACATCTTTATTTAAATAAAAACTACCAGCAAAAGTAACAACTCAAAACGATCAATGAACTTATTGTAGTCATTAAACTCAACACTTAGTAACAACTTTATCACTTTTTATGTAATATGATAACGAATAATATTAAAAAGTTCAAACATTTACACGTGCGATATTTTCGTTGTCTACTGATCAGGTGACGTATCGCGCCATATTATATGTCAGAGTTCGTTGACAGATAACGAAATGGCGGGAAACGATTGTGATTAAGTTGATATCCTTTTTATTTATCGGTTAATTTCGTATTGAATTTAAAGATATACTTTCTGAATATAATAAGTTTTGCTATTTATGTGTACGGGTTAATTTTTTAATCAGAAAAAATCGATGGTTACAGGTTAGTTTTTTCTTAAAAAAAAAAACAGTGACCTATGTGTTCTTCCAAACTAATCATCATCATCAACCTGCCCTTATCCCTATCGAGGGTCGGCACAGCATGTACTACTCCTCCATACATCTCTATCAGCCGTCATATCCGAGTCTACCCCCTTCTTACGCATATCCTCTTTCACACAGTCATTCCATACTTTTTTTGGTCTTCCTCTACCTTTGTAGCCATCCACATTCAATCTCATTACTTTTTTGCTTATATCATCATCATCCCTCCTCATAACATGTCCAAACCACGCTAATCTTTTACTCCTCAATTTCTCGATCACTGGCGCTACTTTCAAACTTCCTCTAATATACACATTTTTAACTTTATCCTTCCTTGTCACACCACAAATCCATCTTAGCATACTTCCAAACTAATATGAATATGTATACTAAATTTCATGTAGACCGGATCAGCCGTTCTGGAGATACTTTCAAACAAACATCCATTTAAACATACCCATTTATATTATTAGTAAGATGGTCTCTGACGAGAGTTGTGTTGTTTTATTATACTTTTGCTTTGTTTTATCACAAACAATTATGTAAACGGCAGTTACAAAGTCTAAAGCGGTGAGTCAATCTGTCATTCAAATAAAATGAACACAGTTAAGAAAAACTCGATTATTATACAATGTTCCATTAAATATGCAAATTTTTTAGTTCCGTATTACATAATAATTACTTAGTATGCGTTTAATTGACACACTTAATAAGAAGCTACTTGTGTTGCAAAATTGTTACATTAAATTAACTTAACTTTGTCTAGTCGACAAGTTTTTAATTATATATATCAACTAGCCGTCGCCCGCGACTCCATCCGCGTCGAATTAGCAAAAATTTAATAAGCATAAATAGCCTGTTTTCTTCCATCCATTGAGTCATTCCGGTGATATCTTTTAATAAACATCCATCCATCTAAATATTCGCATTTATAATATTTAATTATGTAAGTTTATATGACATTCTGTTCAAATAAAATACTCAATCTTACTAATATTATAAATTCAAATCTTCGTATGTATGGATGGATGCATAACAGTCTACACTAGACCTTTTTTTCCAGAGAGGAATGCTTTATGCATACTCCGCGCCCCGGGGTGGACGCGGTAGTTATGTGGGATTCTCCTCCATAGCGGAGGCATACCCACTAAACCTCTCTGTTCCTCCAACGCATCGGGACGGGACGACGGGCACGCTTTCGCTCTCGTCCGCGGCCAGCCTACACTAGACCTAACCTAGATCGGGCGAAGCCAATGTTTGGAATTAAAACTGCGTTCATATTTTAAATTACGAATACACAGAATATTTAGGTTATACGTATTATTACTTTAGTTTTTCAATATGTAGAACTAATTGTGTCAAATAAAAACGTTTGACATAATCAGCATTTCTTTAGTTTTACAAATTATGTTTATGAGACTATCTGTCCCGCGACTCCACCGGAATTTAAAAAAAAAACTATTGGACGCAGCGTAATGTTATATAGCATAAAGCCTTCCTTTAAAAAAGGACTATACAACAAAAAAAGAATTTTTCAAACCGGACCACAAGTTCATTAGATTTGCGCGTTTAAACAAAATCTTCCGCTTTATAATATTAGTATAAATTGTTTTAACGAAGTTTTTCCTTGCCTTTATCATTTTAAAAACGTAACGGGTCATTGTCAAACTGTCAAGTCATTTAAAAAAAAACTCTAATATCTATGACCTTAAGACCTTTATAATCGAATTCAACAGACATGGCAAATAATAGACAAAAATTATCTAAATTTTACTTTTATAAGGCTGCAAGATTTATTACAGACTAGCTGTTGCCCGCGTGGATATATAAAAAAACTTAATTAGTGTAGTATATGTGTTCTTTCAGACTATGTTCTATATGTATGCCAAATTTAATCGAGATCGGTTCAGCCGTTCTAGAGATATCTTCAAACATACATCCATCTAAACATTCGCATTTATAATATTAGTAAGTTAAATAAATGGCCGTTCTTCAAGGCATAAATTCGAAAACATAAATTAAAAAAGTATCCTATGTCCGTCTCCTGGCTCTAAGCTACCTCCTCAACAATTTTCAGGCATATCGGTAAAGCCGCTCTTCAGTTATAAATAGTGTAACTAACACCACTTTCTTTTATATATATAGAAGATAGATATTTTTGTATCATCAATTTTAACTGCAATCATTGTAATAACCTATAAATCTTATATTACGTAAAAAATAAGGTTAAATAAAACAAAATATTTGCGACAAAATCATATATTTCTGCACACTAATATACACAAAAATACTTTCTGCAATACAATATTGAGCACTAAAATATATTTAGGATATTCAAGCGACGGAAGGAATATAAAAATCAGCTTAAAACGACATAACATCTTCACAAAAACATCGGCCATGTTAAGGCGACGACCTACCAACAACAATCTTTTGACAACATAAGGACTGCAGTGTGACCATCGCCTTAAATTACTATTTGTTAATTTTAAAAAAAAACAAATCTCTATGACTGTACCCTCTTTCACACTCGGGGGAATTGACAAAGTTCCTAACGCGTGTTTCTAAAACCAAAATCTCCTGTAACATATCATTCCTGTAATTATCTTTGATAAATCAGATAAAATAATATGTTCTAAGCATTTTGGGATCAGAAATCAACAGTGAGTTACATTTCCAGAACGAAACTTGTCCCATTTCTTCCGTCGCCCAAATATCTAGAGCACAAACGATAATAAATATATTAAAATATATAATGCCACATCTATTTCTTTGTACATACATTACAACAATCACAAAATTTACGTCCCAGCGACTAGACTAAAATTCTAAACGTGTCATAACTTGACTATATCCTATCCAAATTAATACCTAAATATTGTTAACTAAGAAACGTCAATTCATACATGGCGGCCATTATATTACTTTCCAGTTATTTCGTCTCAATTGTGAGAATTATAAAAGATACAGGACATTCGTCCGCGACTCCGCCCGCGCGGAATTACAAAAATTTAGTAGTCTATATGTTCTTCCAGACTATGCACTACATCTATGCCAAATTTCAGCTAGATCAACACAGCCGTTCTAATGATATCTTTAAACATCCATCCATCCAAAACATTCGCATTTATAATATTAGTAAGATTGTAAAATGAGAGTAGCTAATGTTATAGTTATAGGAAGAAAAGTTTTTTAAAAATGTTTTCAGATGTCTTAGCGAGTTTTAACCTCGTGCGAGTCGTTTCGCAGAACCAATTTTAGTTTGGGAGTAGCGGGATACGGGAAGCACAAAATGTAGCTAGCGTTGCAAAGCGTCCGGTAAAGCCGGACATCGGTAGGCTTTTTCATTGCGTGTCAGGACAAAATAAAAGGTGTCCGGATTGTCCGGCTTTTTACATTTCGTACCTAATCAAAATCCCCAATAATGTAGAGTGTCTGACCTTTCTACCCAAATGTCTGGTGTATCTTACCGCACACATGACCTTGGGCCGCCAGATGTATGAAATGAGTAAAACCAGAAATACTTTGTAATTTATCAAGTTTTAGTATAAAATTTGTAGTCTTTGTTGACAATATTTAGGCTTTTGAATAGTTAACATCTACAAGTGAACACAAAACAGAAACATAGTCAAAAGATTGTTACATCTCTTATTATAATACGAAAACTATGAAAAACTATTGCGAAATACTCTTCATTATCTTAAATATAGGGTTGTCAACTATTTGTTCGTTTAAAACCAAAAACCCGACTAGATTCATTTACACATAAGAATCGTATGAACGACAATGTTAGAGCGAGACAAACGTATGGGAATACATGAAAACGCTATACTGCTATGACGTCATCGCCGGACAGTTAAAACTATTCATAAGATTCCCGTTTATGTCTAAACGAACCTTAACCATACAATCAGGGAAGAATAGATTCGAAGGGTCTTTCCTATTTGGCTGATTTGCCCGTAATTTTTTCCTAAGTCGATTATTTTTAAGGATTTTAGTCTAATTAGAAACTCAAACCTATTGGAAACAGCCAAATTAAATGACATCTCACTCGTCAATACAGGCGTTAAGGTCACAAAAGATAGGCCCAGTGTCCATTAGAGATCCTGGGACCCTCGGAAACACTTGAAGTTGTTCACCGAGAGGGTCTTCGTGATTAGTAATCACATATAACCCTGTCTTTCACCCATGATTGAACTATATCTTAAAAATCTAAATTTATCGTAATGCCTGATTTACATTAATACAGTCCAGTATTCCAGTAACGGTGGATTGGATTGATGTAAACGTCAAATATAATGTAAAATCTACATACCATTTATAAATATATTGAAAATTTTAAACTTCTAACAATGCAAATTCTCAATTGAAAAGTTGTTATCAACTTTTAAAAACATATATTATAGATTTACAAAGTGGGATAGAACTCCCTGGAGTCAGTAGTCCCCCGGAGGTGAACAGCGAGGGGTTTATGAGAGAAAAGTTTGTGAATGTCAGGAAATAAAAAGCTCACTGAAGCTACGTTAAAATTAATACATAATTAACCTCCTTTTCAATACATTAATAAGCTGTGCTTTAGCTGAATTACATAATTAAAAAGAAATACATAGCCTCTTCAAAGTAAAAGAAACATTCAAAGAAACAATATCAAAAAGTATTAGAAATTAATAAATAATTAAAGGAAAGATCTAATATTACAATTGTTCAGCAAAAATAAAAACTATATCCTTACAAAAAAAACTAAAACAAATTCTTCATATAAGCAGTTCAACAATGAAACATTTTATTAATACTCATTTCCACTAGTGAAATACAGAAATAACATCACTTGCACAAAAAAACAGAGATAAAATGTATTCCTATAGATGCTAACAGTAGTGGAAATGTAGTTTAATATACTCTTTTCTTTTTAGTACTTTAAATATGGCTTTCCATACAGTAAAACCTGGGTAAGCAGAACAAGAGACCACATTTTATTGCTCATAGAAGTTTCTAAGCCAAGTTTCTTGCTTATGGAGGTTGTGTCATCAGCCAGGCCTCTAATATACTGTTAAAGAGTATAAATACTAGTCTTCACAATAAAATAGGCTATTAATATATTTTATATTAAACTAAAATAAAAAAAAAACTAATGATTGTTTATGAAATTAATAATTTCCGTTTTATCACTATTATATTGTGAAAACTATTTGTTACTTAAAGTAACAAAATGAACATGTAGCAAACTAATCCGGTTTGCATTACATACAAGAGATCATTTAAACCAGGTCATCTAGTGTGCACAGCACAACCAGACAACGCCTGGCCTACAAGCACCCTTTCGCCAGATTTAAACTCAAATTTAAAATCCTTCGGAGCTTCAAACAAAAGTATTATAGTACTACCCATATTAAATTGACCAAATAACTCCCCTTTACAATAAGATGTGTTAATATTCAACTCATCAACACGATTCCTCTTTCCTTTTGTGTTTGTACGTAAATTTGGATCACTGTATATCTCTATTGAACCAACATTGGTCGCTCCGACCGCTGTCATACTGAAGAAGCCATGTTTCCACTCACCTATGTACACAGCTCTTTCGTTCATTGTGAATAAACCAGGTATCAAACGGGCCATCCATGGATTTACTGATAAAAGTTTACCGGAGAAGTGTCTACGAAATTTTGACGTCCAATCACATGGTGAATGGAATCTATGATAATCTCCTGGTGCTAAATATATGATACATTGATGTAATATATTATTTTTATCTTTTAATAAAGAATTGTAGTAATTAGGATCGGTATTCTCTGACCATTTATTCTCACCGAGAAATTCTTCTAAGCTGTATGTTACTCCTTTCACTTGCTCGATTTTATCAGTATCCGCTGGACCACAGTTTAATACGACGCCATCACATGGTGACACACAGATAGACGGTGAAATATATCTCGCACCTTCACGTAAGGGACGCGTAAAAAATGCGGATAAACTTTTGTAATATTTCAAATCGGTGACAGCAGCATCGTTTAAATTCACATTAAAAACTCTTACGTATGTCCCGTAAACGAAATTTCTAATCGATGTCGGCAGTTCGCAAGCCGCGAGACGTCCCCAAAGTCGACTGGTAATTCGAAACGGGAACATTTCGTAAAATTTAATTTCCACTTTAGACACTTCATAATTAACGCTAGCTCGTATGTAACACCATCCAACGTACATAACACTCCCTAGAGGCACCCAACGAGTTATTATTGCTCGTAAATTCATCCATTTTGTATTCGTAACCGTATTCGAAACCTTTGTTTGATTGTGGTACGATGTTTGTCGGAACGGCCTATGCGGACGTAATCGCTTGAACATCGGATTCATGACTGGAAGGCAGCTCTTTAAACGCGTCGGCGGGAACATCTTGCCCAAAGCTGCCTTCCGTCACGTTTATAAATACAAAACAATGTTTATATGATCGTTTTTGCTAAATTGATTTGCGTACGAAATTATATGTCTGATAACATACAAGGCCAAAGCAAAGACTATGCAAGAAAGACACCAAAGAGTTTCCAAAAGAAACCATAGACACAAATTGGACAAAAACAAAGAGTGAGTATGGCAAAACTCGTGACAAACAGCGAAATGTCAAAAAAAGGTTTAATATATTTTTAAAACAATTTGATATTTGTACCGTTTTGATTATAGATATAAAAATACACCTAATGCAGTGCAGCAATGATGGGTTAGTCCATCTATTTGCCATAAAATATAACCCCTATAATGTGACTATTTAAAGATGGTTAGTTTGACAATTCACTAGAGATGGGTTGAGTAAAATCGGTTATAAAAATTTTCGATTTTCGATGATCATAGAAATTTCGTGATTATCGTTTTTGAATTGCAATAAAAAATCTTTTTTCTACACTATTCTTCAAATGTCCGATACTATGACAGTCATCCATTGAGGACTACATTAACCCTCATAAGAAAATAATTCAATACTTTTTAGGCGTCAGTTATGAAACTTATCAATCTTAAATAGACACACAGGAGTAAAAGATGTCCAAGTATTTCCTTTGTGAAAAATTAACATTCTGTTAAATTAAGGTTTTCAGTACCAAGCCGTATAAACAATAATAAAATGTATACAATAATGATGTAAAAAGAAATTCTTTAAAATGACTAACTTAATAAGAATACAAAGATGTTTGAATTTTCACAGGAGGATATCTGGTACATCAACCAACCTTATACAGAGGTTACATTAAAGGGAGAATAGACGATCCAACCCTGCATACCGTTACCGATTTAAATATCGTTTATTGCGTATGGCTATCGCTCATGATTCCGTCCGTTAAATTAAAAAAGTAATAGGCGATGTGTTCTTTTAGACTATTTTCTACATGTATGCCAAATTTCATTGAGATCCGTTCAGTCGTTTTGAAGATATCTTCAAACAAACATCCATCCAGCCATTCTCATTATCAATATTTGTAAGATTAGTAAGGTACCCACCAAAGAGTATATAAAACCCACGATTATCGTTAAAAACATCATCTTTGGTTGTGGTTTGACATTTCGTTTAAAGTTTTATCTATGGTTCGCTTGTCCAGTCCAAGTCAAATTGTGACAATAGCTTGTGTGCTTCTCTATTTGGTGGTCGGTGAGCTTAAATAAATTAAATATGTATTAATAAGATTTATTAATTTTATAATAAAACATTAGTTTTAATAATATACATCGTATAAGAAAATTTTTCTCATCAGTCATCAACATGCCGCGCAGGGCTATTGCGAAACCTACCAGACACAATATCCCTTCAGACGAATCGGTATTTCGCGGTTTTCAGAAACTTCCAAAAGTATTAATAAATCGTCCAAATTTGAGTCATTTGTTGAAAAACATAAGAGTGAAATATGACAAAAACGGAAGTTTAATACCTTATTCGGCGGACGCGGGTCAGGAACGTATTTTAAGAAAAATTATAGTAAACTGTACTGTAAATTTAGTTAAAATAGATTCGAAAAATGTTAAAAGTGTGTCAAAAAAAGGTGAACCTCAAAACAATGCCAATGAATTATTAGTAGTTGATAATGATAAGAAAAAACGGGGTAAATCAAGTCAAAACAAGAAACCCGAAAACCCTTCTACTCCAAAACAAACTAGTAATACAAGAAGATATACGAAAAAACTAAAAAAATGCGAGAAATGCAATAAGACATTCAAAAATTTAAATAATCATTACAGATTATCACATACAATAACAACATATGAATGTGTACATTGTTCAAAAAAATATAAAAGAGAACCATACTACAAAAAACATATAGAATTACATTGCAAAATATGTTATGTACTACATCAAAATGAAAAACAATTAATGGAACATACATTGATATGTAGAAATATTGAACAAGTTGAAAATCAAACTGTTATAGATAAAAAATATATATGCAACATCTGTACAGATCAGTTTGATTCAAACTGTGCAATAGCCTATCATAAAGCTGCGGTACATTCAGATAATCCACCATCTATCAATGAGTTGTATTATTTAAGAAACCTCGGTTCTATAAATATATATGTTTGCTATTTCTGTAAAGAAAGTTCAGTTGATAAAGAGTATTTAGAATCACATGTAAGTGTTCTACAGAATATGAGTAAAAAAATAATTAAACATCCATGCGATCAATGTAGAGAAAGTTTTGATTCTGAGGACAATTTATTACAACACATAATGACACATGCAACCCCTGATACTAATTTAGAGGTAGTACAAAATGAAATTGATGCATCTACAACAGATTGTAATACACAAGTAAATAACATAACAGATAATGAAAACCCAAATAACGAAACAAATGAGGTTATAAATATAGAAAATTCGAATACAACTAATTTGATATCAAATGATACTATAAATAATGTAGATACAGATAATATTGAAACAGCAACTGATGTGGATCCAGTAATTAATGATGTACCATCTCAAGTAGTACCAGATTTATTAGAGAATTTGAAACGTGAAGTACAAATACCTACAGTACAGACTAAAAATAGAAATGAATGTTCAAATACTGGCCATTTGAATGGACTAATACATACATCACCAAAAAAAAGAAATATCTATACAAATACTAAAAATATGAGATATCACTGCAAGGTTTGTTTTTAATTAATCTATTTTATTTAATATTAATAAGTTGTATAAGTTTGTTCCAATTATCTATAAGTTAAGAGACTTGAATATCTTTAAATTATTGAAAAATACTTAAAATTTTTACTTAATCTAAAACAGGATAACTTCAGCCGTATTACTTCTTACTAATATTATAAATGTGAATATTTAGATGGATGTTTGTTGGATAGTATCTCCGGTATAACTGCATGAAATTTGACATACATATAGAACATAATCTGGAAGAACACATAGGCTACTAATTTAGTTTTTTTTTAATTCCTTGAGGATGGGGTTGGGGGCGATAGCTAGTGTGTTACAATAATTTAAAATACATGAAATATCTACATAATCTAAAAGAGGATAACTTCAGCCATATTTAGATAAAAGTTTGGTTACGATTTGTTTATTTTTATCAGTATTACATGATTTAGAATATGGTAAAAAATATGCATCTAGGTATTTTTGCTTTTACTTTTCTAAAAGAGCAAAAATAGATAGAAAATAAGATATGCACTGTTAATAGGAACAATGCTGTAACCAAAATAAATATGCTGAAGTAGATTCATTTATGGATTACTACCATTTTAAATAATTACAAATAATCCCATAGTAGGAATTATTTCAACTCTTTGGTACATAAAACATTTTGGTATATAATAGTAGCAATATATTAAAAAAATGTATATCAAAATTTATGTTTAATGTTCCAATTGTCTTTAAAAATTACCACAAACTTATCTAACCCAATTCATAATAGAGTTTAGTAACAAAATATAAGCATATTAAAGTATATACTAATCAAAACAAAATGAGGGCCACTAGTTTAACCTAAAAGTAACTGATTAGTAGCATTATATAGATATTACAAACTCTTTGGTGTTTGACCTCTTTCATAAATCTTTTTAAATGTCACCAAACAAAATATTGGATGAAAAATTGTATTTCATACCGTTAGTAAAACATAGTACAGATACCAGAAGTTGTTTGGTATATTTGTATGGAATACTTCTAATATTACTTATGAAGAATCATATTGCATATAAGGTTTAGGAATATTGTAATGGTATTTTCCAATGATTACTAATAATAAAAACATTTATGCCTGTGACTAAATGGTCCAAGGTGATATATGTCTGTCTGTCTTGTTTTCACATCAAAACTACTATAAAGATTTTAATGAAATTGAATACAGGGATAGTCTAGTGCATGAGAAAGAACTTAAGTTACTTTCTAACATGAAAAAAGCCTTGCAATGGGTTGAAAGCAGGATGGAAATTTTTATGAAAATATCGTCATTTTTACGGTTAGAAGTTTGGAACTTATTTTTTAAGGCTGTTGATTTGATATATAGAAATATGATATACAAGAATTGTAAAAGTTTTACATTCATGGGTCCAAAACTACATTGGGTTTAAAAGTTTATGTGAATGTTCTGTAATTTTCATATATTTCATGGGATAAAGTAAAATAATTAGTTTAAGTTATTAAAATGCTACCAGAAGACAATATTTCACGGCCAAAGTCTTGCGGAAGAAGTCGCGTGTGTCAGCTAGACGCTGGTGTCTCACAGAATGAAATACTACTCAAACTGTTTATTAATTGCTGGTACATTGATGTATTACTTCTATATGCATATCGTAATTTATTTTTTGTCTCAAAATGCGACATTGGTATATTTAGGTTAGGTTAGCTTTCTTTCACTAAAATCAATAGGCTTAAAAGTTACAAATTAAGAAATTTATAGTTAAAGTTGATTTATATTTATCAGAGAAACAACTTAGTTTTAACCTAAGTATGAATAATAGCTGGTGATGAAGGAAATAAGTAAGAATGAAACTCTGGACAAGTTTTATATTAGTTAGTAGTAGTAGTAACCATCGCCTTTAGAACAGAATTTTTATATGAGTTTTCTCAGATGGGTTGACAGACGATGTGGTCTCGCATCCACACATCGGTCTCGTCAATTCGATTACTCAAAATTTCGCGCAGTTCAAAAAAATGAAACAAATTGGCGTCCCAGAATTCTTTTCAAGAAGAAGAACACGTAACTATAAATGGAACGTCTGGTACTTTATAGATGCAGTGTTTCATAAAAGTTTGACGTCTAATCGTATGACGATTTTCAAAATTGTTTGGGATGCTAATGTTTTTCAGTGTGATTAGCGATTTCCCAAATTTGAGAAAAATTTTAGTGTATAAAAATATAAGTAAAACAAACTAAAACATTTGTTAAAATCTTAATTACAGTTCTTATATTAATATACTTGCTGTGTCCGCGACTTTGTCCGCGCGAAATACTATCTTAGGGTGGCATTTTTAATGACTTAGACTAAATATTTTCCTTAAAATATACAATAGAACATAATGAACTTACAAAACATTCACATAAACCTTCACATTACATATTTCTTTTAATAGTAAAAATGACGATACTTTCATTCAAATTTCCAACCCCTTTTAAACCAATTACAACCCTTATTTCGCGTTTAAAAATAGCCTATGTCATCGGTAAATCGGTTCAGTAGCTTTTGCGTGAAAGCGACACATACAGACAGTTACTTTCGTATTTATAATATTAGTGAGCATTAAGGATCTAAAGTATGTGTTAACCAACTAAATACATTCTTCTTCAATCATTAAATAAAGATTTACTAAAAATCTGAATAAAATAATAATACAACGATATGACTAATAAGGGTAAAGCATGAACAAGGATAGCGAACAATTACGTGACCCAATTAAGCAATAGGAAAAAGTCTTATGTGGTCTTTTAACTAAATCTTAAAGTCAATATTATTCGATTAAACATTTTTTTAAACAAATAGAACGTTGATATGTAAAGATTTGCCATTTCAGAGCTATATTGTAACTTTGACTTTAACGGCTGTTAACTCTAACACAACTGCAGTTCTGTAGCCGTTATTTTCTTCTATCTACCTATAACAAACAACTGATAGCTTTTTTGTCTTGACTTCCCTAACAAAATGTTTTTTTGGGAACGCAAAGTTAAGGAGTGTTTGTTTACGGGAAGTTTTTTTTTCTGCAACTGACCGCAGCTTAGTAGTAAGTAGTTATTATTAATAGGTTCGAAATTCAAAAAAACGTAGTGTCTTAAGAATGAAATAGGAATAATTGATATGCCATGATTGCAATGAAGCAGTGTAGGTATAAAGAGATAAAAAATAAATCTTAGATTTTAATTTTAAATTCGGTCTTAAGAAAAGTATCAGCTGATCTATAGCATTCTTATAAAGTCTAGATCTTTGCCTATAGGTAAATTCGTATTTCGCTTTAATTATTTGGAATAATCCCATAATGCAATCGTCGCTGCTAAATTATTCTATTATTAACGAATTGTTTAAAAAATTTTATGGAAATGTTTTCTATCCGTCGTGTCAGCCATTTGTTGACGGACAACAGGAGGGGTAAACAAAGTACATTCGCTTCTTAGCGATTACATAGCGAACTTCAAAAATACATGGAACTGACAATAACTTTCGATAAGTCACGAGATTGTCGCGCGTCACTTCCATACATTTTTAAAGTTCGCTATGCAATCGCTAAGAAGCGAATGCACTTTGTCTAACCCCTCAGTTTTATTTATTTTTGAAGTTCGTTATGAAATCGCTTTGGATAGAATACATTTTGTCTAGCTCCTCCGATATCATAAGCGTTAGATCCGTCCATCGGAAAGTTTTTATTGAAATGCATGTAGGAGTAATTTGTATGATGGCTCTATTTCTAGTAGGCTATCCATTCTCCTATCGATAGATAAATAATTTCGATGGAAAAATCTATCTATCGGTGGGTTATTAAAAACTTAATGGATGAAAAGCTAGATTAGCTTATTGATGGCTGGCTAAATGAAAGATAGACTGCTTATTGGGGACTACAGTAAATGAATTTGCAATATTTTTATTGACTATGATTGCTCGAACTACTTATTTGGATATGCGGAGCTTATTTCAAGCTTTTTGTTTATTTCTGTCTCAATTCTTGGTTTATATGTGTTTATTAATTGAACGTATATGAAAATATTAACCTTCTTTAAATTCTAAAGCTTAAATCTTAGTAAAAGGATAAAATAGTTATTATAAGTAAAGTTTGAATATGCCAGAAAGTTCCTTTAACGTTACAAGTTTACATGAGATAATGAAATTAGCTTTTAGTTATAAACTAATATAAAAACGGCTAACATTCACGTTAGTTCGTCCGGTGTAGGTAAAGACCAGTTTCGAGCCTATCTTCGGAGGGCTCTACATCAGCTTTAGCTGCAAGCTTTTTGGAATAATGCATGGATTTTATCATTAAACTTTGAATTATTTTATACTATATTTTATTACCGACTTTTTTCTATGTCGACTTACATTTGAATTTAAAGCTTTTAAAACTAACCATTTGAAGTAATTTATTAATTTACGTACTGTTTGGAAATGAAACAAACACTAAATATTAAGTGAAGATTACCACAAATCATCAGTGAAAAAAGCATATAAATCGCAAAAGCCATTTTTAAAATTAGTGCACACGAACTTACAGACAAATCGACAAATTAAAGGAAAATAGTTGTTTATACTTATATAGCAGGGATGAATCTACCTGTAATAGGAATTTTATGCACGTTTGTCCATTTTATGACAAGCTTAATATTAAATGGCTTGACTACACTTCTAATTTACGCCGATTGTTCCAGCTAAAACTTATTAATAGCATGCAATAGCAAGCAATCATTCAGTTGGGTTATTTGATTTTTTTCTTGGAAACAATAATCCCCATGTCCGAACTCTGTCGTGGATGAAAAACACTCAATAGTATAAAGAACAACTACCCGCACTTAGGGTAGGCTCCGAGCCTCAATGGGGACGTAAGGTGGGCTGATGATGAACAAAGAAGTGTCCAAATTCCCTTATTTGCAATTGGTTATTTACAATGATATTGCAAATGAACGAGAATATTAACGATGGATAAGATACGAAATGAGTATATAATTAAAGTAAGAAGTAAAGATTAGCATGTTATGTGCATATGATGAGAAGAACTTTTATTATGAAAGTGGAGGAGTACTATCTCCAGCTTGACTCGGATTGTAAAGCACGACTATTTTCTTCTCTGTCATGTTACATGCTCGCTTATAATTCTTCAGCAATAATTGTACCCTTCCTTGACAAATCACGTCGATTACTCGGATTATGGGACGGAGTAATCTAAAATGTTACTGGTTTCGATGAACCATAACTATATTCTTCACGTTAAGTTATTATGAAGATAAAAAAGAATAAAACATTCGTTGCAGTTCCAACCCTACATAAAGGTAGTGAAAAAGAAATAACATAGATAGTTTGATGTGCAAGTTTTTATATGTGCCTAACAGCTGAAGACATTCTTAAATATTATCTGCGCATATTAAAGTTTCAAAGCCGAATAATATTTGTGGACCGATGATTGTGATTTGTGATTATATACATCTTAGGACAGACTATTGGTACGGTTATCGGATAACCAGCAACCAGAAGGCATAGTGTTACGATTAATGTTGAAATAAATATGGCAGGGATAAGAGAGCTATAAAAGTAACTATTATTCGTAATGAAGGCATGAACATTTTAAAATTATACCACAGGGTAGATAACAAAGTAATATTCAGTCCTAATCAGTTAAAGTGAGGGTAGACGTATAATTCTGTTTGGCTCAAAATAGGGTAAAATATGTGAAATAAATCGAATAGCTGTTCTATCTTTTTTATAATAGAAATTCTATTATATCCTTTAATTATTAGAATTCTCCTTGAAAAAGCAATTTAATAAAAATCAGGATAACTAAGATATAAATATATGAGAAAAAATATTGATTATGCCGTCCCTATAAGCATTAAATGATGACGATGTGCATACCATAAAAGAAGAGATTTCTAGACGTTGCGTAAATGGACTCTAACTAGAGTTAGAAAGTAATAATGAGTCATTGGTTTTTTTCCATATAATTGATCCTATAAGGGTACAAACAGGGTAAAAATTGTAAGATATAAAAAAAATCTACAGGAGAACTAAAAAATTTTAAATATATGTCGAAGCTTGTGGTGTCACTTTATACATTTAACTCAAAATTGGATGATAAAGATGACTCGCCAGCATAAATCTTGGGTGATGAGACCTCCATGAGGGCAGTTCTAGAGATTAGTGCGTATGGTGCAGTAATATCAACAAAACCATGAAGGTTTTGGACCAAAGAACTTTTACGGCTAGAAACAATTACGAATCGAAGATTCCTAAAATGTTTTAACATGGATATTTTAAAGCCTAATATAGAAATTGAATGCTGATGATTCTAGTAAAGGTTCGCTATTATAGTTATGAAACTATCAGTTTTATGGAGTCATGCTTGCTAATTCTTGGTCTCAAAATTCAGCGGAATTAATTTTCTTCATATCAAGAATACCTTTACTCTCAAGGGAATAATTAGGACAGCATGTCATTCCCCTTTCTTATTCCAGTGTTACCTTTTTGGCTTTTGATTTGGTCTAGAAACTGTTAATTTAGGATTAGGATTTTTGTTTTTTCACTTCTAAATTGCTTTTCTTTATTAAGAAATGCTTTTTTTCACAAGACAGTAGGAAAGAGCTACCTACCTTTTATCACTTTTTTCATTAAAACTACCTACACTTTTGTAGTCATATTGATATAATTATTGTAGGTAGTTTTAAAATAATATTAATTTAGGTGTATAATGCTAATATGTACATTCTAGTGTAACCACTTGTGGCATAAACGACTGAACGGGTCTTAATTAGTGAAATGTTTTTCAATTCGTATTTTTCCTCTGCGTTTAATTTCGGGATCACATTCAAAGTCGACAGTGGCTCAGGGGCTAAGCATTTGACTTGTAATGCAAGTTCTGGATTTGAATCCCGCCGTGTATAAATGTGTTTTTCGGATTACGTACGGTTAACTGACGTCCTTACGGTAAAGGAAAACATCATGATGCTGCACATATCTGAAAAAGTCAAAAATATGTGTGAAGTCAATCCGCACTGGGCCTGCGTGTTTTATTGACCTAGTCACCCCTAACTTAGTGTACCCATCAGCCCCTCCGTGGGTACACGTATAGTGAGCTAGTGTTGATTCAGTCTTGGTTTTGAAAATTTAATTTAATGAGAATTATATATGTTTTGACTATGGTTTTTCTTTTATTTTTGTTACAGATGTGTGAGAAATATTTCACGACAAACTGTGCGTTGGAAAAACATCATTGTCCAGAAATAGAACGCGTGAGGACGAAACTAGAGAAAGAATGTAGTAGTGAGAATTGGAACCAGAATGTCGAATGTATGGATATAGATTATCCAATGTCTAAGCCCCTTACGGTACATCGATCTCCTGTAACAAGAAACGTGAAAAGCTTACAAGAAGATTTAGTTTTTAATATTGTTGTCCGTGAGGTGCCAATTGAATTTTATTCTACTTGAAAGAATGGTCAGAAGAGTCATGAGTGGCAAATAAAATTGCTGATTGTTTTTACGGTTCTTAAGTGAACTGATTTGAAGCTTCAATTTGTACCTGCATAAAGTTAATACATTGGAGTCATCAGGCAACTCCCGGCTTACATACTTATGGTACGGGTCATTTTAACTGTTAATGGTTCAAGTTTATGTGAGTTGAACTTTAGAACAAGTTCAGAGTTGATTCATACTCATTTTGAATTTCCATAGATCCATTCATCTATCCATTTTTTTTTTGTTCACTATTTTGATTTGAACAGTATCATTTACAACTCCGATGTACACCAAAGATGTCTTGTACAATATTATAATAGTATGAACTTTTATTTTAAAATAATCTTTATTAATTCAAATGCTATAATTATTAATTGCTAGTTTTATTTTTTACATATATATTAAATATGTTATTTTATCTCAAATATTTTAGATCGATAATTTCAATAGCATTTTGAAATTAGATTTGATTTTTTAAATATTTTATGTTATGACCTAATGTTTTACTTTTATTAATTTTTTTAACAAATTCGCCATATTTTTATTTATATTTGAAATGCATTTAATAGAGGACAGTATTTCAAGTGTTTCCAAACTATTTTTATTTATTCCATTTTAATAATTTCAACTACTGTTAATAACGCGGTAAGCAAGACGCGGGAGCGGGGAGACGTCGCAGGCGCTCCGGCTCCCATTCGACTCCACTCTCCCGCTTTCCTCCACCTCAATTTCATTTCTAACTTTAAATTTTATGAAGTACAATTAAGTTTATTATAAGTGTTATTTTTTATGTTACTCAGATTTTTTGTTTAAGGCCCACTTAGGGTCGTTGTCTTAACCTAGTTAGTTACTTTTATGTATTTTTTTTTAAACGGAACATGTATAAAACTTATGAAATTAATGATGTTACTACACCTCTGAAACGGCTTTACCGGTATTTATGAAATTTTTATATGCATATTCAGTAGATTTGAGAATCGGCTATGTCTATTTAAGATAGATTAGTTTGACAATTCACTAGGCATGGGTTGATTAAAATCGATTCAAAAATTTTTTCGATTTTCGATGCTTGTTCTCATTGAACTTGTGATCGAAAATTTCGTGATTATTGTTTTTGATTTACAATAAATGAAATATTTCTTTGTATGCCAATTTTATTCTTCAAAACTACGTAGAAAAGTTAAATATCAAGCCAGAAATTGAGATTTTGAGAAACAAAAAGTTATTTTTTTATTTTTTTTTAGTTAATTGCGCGAGACATAGCTAAAAATCTGTAACGAATTCAAAAAGTAATAACATACATAAGTTATAGTGTTTATTTGTTCGATTGATATTCTTCTTCTTCTATTGCCTCTTCAGTCTTGAAGGTTTGCCGCTAACTTGGAATATTTGGTTTTGTCAAGTGCACGGCGAAACAGTTCTTCCGCTGACCTAATCCCCGTCCTAATATTACGTAGCCACGACTTTTTCCTACGCCCATCGCGTCTCTTGCCTTCAATCTTGCCTATTACCAGTTGAAGTAACTTATACTAGTCATGCCGCAGTTTTGTTACGAAACCGATTCACGGTAGTTGTTAGTTGTGTGCCTACAATCCGACACTATGACAACCGTCCAATAAATACACATTGATCGTCAGTTACCAAACTAATCTATCTTAAATAGACACACTATAATAGTGCTAAGCAGTTTTAAATACTATATTTTAAATTTTTAAGCCTCTAAGAATACAAAGTTAGTTGTAAGTAAGGTACGCGGTAAGGTATATTTTTAAACGATTTTAAAAACGAAGAGGTTGTCAATTCCTCTGTATGTACATATCTAGTAAAACACTAAATATATAATGTACAACATAAGGGACATGATTGCAAACAATTAATACCCTCCAATTTAGTAAGATAGTACGTAGCACAAAATAGGCTAAATTTTTTAATGAAATAAATTTTTGCTACATATAATGCGCTAGAAATATTTACATATTAGAATTAAAGTATTTTAAATAGCATTTTTTACATTGTACCCTAGATTAAAGAGAACATTTGTAGAATTTTTTTCTTAGTAAAGATAAATTTTCTAGTAATTTTTAACACACTCATGTCAGCGTATTAGTTTAATTATGTAAATAAATGCAATAATTACTGATTATTCTATCTATTTTTTTCTTCACCGGGGCTAAACAAAGTGCATTCGCTCCATAGCGATTCCATAACGAACTTCTAAAATGTATAGAACTGACAATAACTTTCGACAAGTCACGTTATTGTCACGCGTCAGTTCCATAAATTTGTCTAGCCCCCTGATTCCATAAATAAAGGTAACCTACATTTCATGTATGCAGGTTACGAATAATGCTTTTGTTAGAAGAAACAGTAAATAGATGCTTTAGGTAATGAGAACGTATTGCCTCCAATTGGAATACCTTAAAAAGGAAAGAATCCTATACTTAAAGCATCAATGGCTAATAGTACTTTAAAACAGGTCTCGGAATCGCTTTGTGAGGGTAGAAACTGTTTTATTTATGATTTAGTGGCAAACGAGAAAGCGGTCACTTGGATTGGCGGAAATAGCGAAGCGACTGACCAAAGATATCCGCAATTGCAGATGCTTTGCCTACTTTTAATCGATCGAGAAGGGGAGGCATGAAAGAGAATATATTCGTTTACTACGCAACCTCTGTAAATCCACTTACCGGAAAACATCTTTTCCTTATAAGAAAAGGGTGGCAAGGGAAAGAATACTAAAATTAGGCCTTCGGAACCCAAATCCATCAAACTGTACGCGGAATTGCTTCCACTTCACGCCTATTTTGTGTGGTCGTGGCATTGCAGTGGGCGAGCCGAACAATTCGTGTACGGGATGTTGTGCTGGCAAATAATAATTACGTAATTTTGTCTATAGTTAATCTATAGTTTATGGTTGAAGGTTAATTTCTTATTTTATACGATTTATGTTGACTTTGTCATTTACCTTTTTTAATTTGTTCCTTATTTTCTTAAAATAAATGTGAAACTACTGAATCGATTTAAATGATATTTGATAAATAGATAGTCTAGAGCCTGAGAAAGGATATATGTAGGTTACTTTTTAATGCTAAAAAAGGTTGAAAGTGGGGAGGGAAATGTGTATGGAAGTACCGTGTTTTTAAAGTTAGAAATTTGAAACTTAATTTTAGCCAATATGACATTCAACGCCCGATAATTAGGGACGATCTGCTATTTCTTAGTGTACTAAAATAGACATGTTTTTATTTATCTTTCCAAATATTTGGTAAATTACATGAAGATTGACGATATCGCAATTGTTTTAATAAAGAGCTGTACTAAATATGTACAAAAGTTCCTGTTGAAGATGAAAGATTAACCTCTTCACCCCATTTTACGGTAAATGAAAAGCGTGAAATTAACGGTTTTTAAAGTAATTATTGTATACGCCAGAAAAAAGTAGCGAATGGAATTTAGAACTGAACTGTAAATAGTTTTTTTTTCTGTTATCGATTATTGCATCACTAGTTACGGCACATCACTTTTGTGTTGTCTTTTGCACTGCACTTGTTAGCTGTCAATGTCAAATTAAGTTTGGGCTTGGTTCTGCGCAAAGTGGATACTTTACTGAACCAATTTATATCATTTATGAACTTTGCAATTGATTTTAACTATTAATGTGTTCATTAATAAGTTGTTAGTATTTATATATCATGCGCTGCGTATAATTTTTAGAAAATATTGGTGTATAAGTTGTGTAAAATACAATTAAAGTAATCAAGTGATTTCATCTTAAAATCATGTCTGTGAGTGAAAAAGTGTCTCTTTCGGATGCTTTAAGCAATGTGGATGTATTGGACGAACTTACATTACCCGGTAAATACTAAATCATGCACTATTTCTATCGCAATAATACTATTTTACTCAACATCCGGTGGACTTATGAAACATTGATAAATACTGTTTTATTATACTATAGTTATTTTGTCAGTTATTAAGCACTTATAATTAAACATACATTGTTTTTTGTACATAAAAGTCTATAAATTAATTAGTATTTACAAGTATCCTGTGAGTTTTTAAAATATATTATACTCTTTGTCGCCCGCGACTCTGTCAGTGCAGAATTATAAAATAAGTAGCCTACATATTCTCCCAGACTATGTTCTATATCTGTGCCAAATATCATCAAAATCGGTTGAGCCGTTCCAGAGATATTTTCAAACAAACATCCATACATCTAAACATTCGCATTTATAATATTAGTAGGATTGTCTAAAACATAGAAAGTATCTCCAAGACCCTATTAAATATCTCTTAACAAAAATGGCATGTTGACACCTAAAGGTTTACCACCACTGATCTATGTCAGTTTCTATAAACTACAGGATGATTTCCTGTTACACCATGTTCATATTATAATTATTTTATAGATGAACAACCCTGTATTGAAGCTGCACCATGTTCGATTCTCTATCAAGCGAATTTCGATACAAATTTTGAAGATCGCAATGGCTTCGTTACTGGTATCGCTAAGTACATTGAAGAGGCTACCGTACATGCTAATTTGGTATGTTTTAAATTATAATAATAAAAGTTTATTTGAACAAAAAATATGCTTTATCGCTTACTGGAGAATCCTTTTAAATATAATAACAGGATGTTCTGTTGTTCCTTACCATAATTTTGTTTTATTACTTAACTTTATTGCATGCTTGAGAGCGTCGGTGGCTCAGTGGTCAAGCACTTGACTTGCAATCTGCAGGTCCTGGGTTCGAATCCCGCCATGTACCAATGTTTTTTTCGATTTACATATGTACATTTATCTGACGTTCTTATGGTGAAGGAAAACATCTAATGCTGCACATATCTGAGAAATTCAAAGATATGTGTGAAGTCAACCCACACTTGGCCAGTGTGGTTGACTATGGCCTAATCACTCTTAACTTAGGGTAGGCTCCGAGCCCCTCGGTGGGGACATATAGTGAGCTGATGATGAGATTGCATGCTTGTCATCAGCTATGTTCCCGTTAAAGTCTTGTCAAAAGCTGTCAAGACCATCCAGAGATTATCCGGAAGGTAGCAATGCAGACAGTGATACAGACAGACAACGAACATTTTGATTTTCATTAGTAATGCAAATATGTTTATGAAATATGATCTTTTTAAACATGAAATAGACACTACAATTTTATTAATATGTATAGAATAAACTCAATATAATGTAGATAAACTAAAAATTCAAAATATAGTGATATTATCAACTAGAAATCGCCTCCGATTCACTCCGGGCTTAAAAACAAGTAGCCTATGTGATCTTAAAGACTATGTTCTATATGTGTGTCAAATTTCAGCGAGATCCATGCAGTAGTTCTGGAGATACATTAAAACGTCCATCCATCCAGACATATGCATTTATAATATTAGTTATTACTATCAAATCATCAATATATATTAATATTATTCTGGATCTTTCTAGAATGAACTTCTAGAAGAAGGTAATGCACACGCTGTTATGTTGTATACATGGAGATGTTGCAGTCGGGCTATACCTCAGCCTAGGTCCAACGAACAGCCAGATAGAGTACATATATATGAACGGACAGTGCAAGTGTTAGGTCCTGAAGTTGACAAATTGCTGCAATTCATGTATTTCCAGGTTAGAAAATTATCCTATTAATCTAGACCAGTCTTTCCCAAAGTGGGCGATAACGCCCCCTTGTGGGCGCTGCAGGTCTCAAGGGTAAGAGACCCAGAAAGAAAATGGGGGTGTTGTGTAGAGGCTTGCGGGGTGATTTGTAGTTTTATTTAGCTAGGAGGCCTCTTAGACAACGACTGCATGAGCTCTCGACTCTCAACAACAACTTGTGAACATCAACTAATATGAATTAAAAGATTGCTTGAACTATAATATGGGAGCGCTAAATATTTATTCTCAAAGTGGGCAGTACACAAAATAAGTTTGGGAACCCTTGCTCGAGACACTGTTGAGGAGATTTTTAAATATTTATGAAAAAGGGATCAGACATTTGAACTTGAATAAGGGAATGTCCAAGGAATCGTGATATTTTTCTCGCTTATAGAGGTGTCTCTCTTATTCAAGTGTCTTGCTTAGAACAGATAGAAGTTTCTCTTTAACCCGAGTTTCTCGCTTATTTAGTTCCTTGGATTGATCCAGCATTGATTGTGTATATTTTCAAATATCTGGATGTCTCAAGGTCATCTGACCCTTTACACCTAGCTGCTGACTTTGGTCTCAGAAACCCACAGTAACAGTCTCATCATTGTAAGCTATTAAAAGATGTTCATTTCGTTAGTAAAGTCTTAATTATTTCAGCGTAAAGCTATTGAGAGATTCTGTGGCGAGGTACGTAGGTTGTGTCACGCTGAGAAACGACGTGACTTCGTATCTGAAGCGTATTTATTGACGCTCGGCAAGTTCGTTAACATGTTCGCTGTGCTCGATGAACTTAAGAATATGAAGAGTTCCGTTAAAAATGATTATTCAACATATAGACGGTGAGTTTTGTGTAAATTAAAAAATTAAGTTGCCTATGTTCTATTCTAGACTGTAATCTATAAATGTTTCGAATATCATCGAAATCAATCTAGCCGTTCTGCAGTTATGTAATAACAAAGTTATCCAAACTTTTGCATTTATAATGTTACAAGCGTACAGCGACTCCATCCGTGCGGAATTAAAAAAAAAAACTAAATTAGTAGTCTATGTGTTCTTCCAGACTATGTTCTATATGTATGTCAAATTTCATCAAGATTCATGCTGCCATTCTGGCAATACCTTCTAACATACATCTAAACATTCGCATTTATAATATTAGTGAGATATAAAACTGAGTTAGCCTATGTTCTTTTCTAGAATGTAATCTATAACTGTTCCAAATTTCATCCAAATCTATTTAGCAGTTCTGAAGTTATGTATTAACAAAGTTATTCAAACATTCGCATTTATAATATAAGTAAGACTAACATATTTTTTTATTAGAGCCGCTCAATTTCTCAAAGTGATGGCGGACAGTCAAAGTCTACAGGAATCACAGAACTTATCAATGTTTCTTGCAACACAGAATAAAATAAGGGACACAGTTAAAGATGCACTCGAGAAAATTAATGGTAGGTTATTATTTTTACTCTGTGTGGTCTCCTAAGGCTTAGGGTGGTGTATATAAATAACAAAGTGATCCTATAAGATCCTATGGATCCTGATTTTTTTCCTATGAGGTACGGAACCCTAAAAATAGCTTTTTATAACATAGCAAACGGACAAACTTCCATCTGAATTCGCCGAAATAGCGAAGTGTTGCCTAGGACTCGTTGTTAACGGAAAAGGAGATGCAAGTAAAGAGAATATTTCCTCTTACTATGAGTCCCCTCCTGCGCATTTCCCTTCCTTCTCCGGAACACAATCATATTGTACCCGGAATTACTTCGCTCTTGAGGCGTGTCTTCTGTGTGGTCGTATTGTTGAGAGCGACACATGCAGATGTTGTTGGCTTCTGTCATATTTTTTTTTAAATTAAAAAACAGGTACACTGGATTGTTATTTGTTTTTAGGTTATGAAGATTTACTTGCTGATGTTGTGAACATTTGCGTTCAGATGTACGAAACAAAAATGTATTTGACACCCTCGGAAAAGCATATGCTGGTTAAGGTAAGATTAAGATGTTGACATGATGTAACTAGGTTGAACTATTCTTATATTGACAAATATGAATCTTAAAATGTTCCGATAATAATGATTTACTAATCTAGAAATGTTCCGATTTACAAATTAATTTTAATTTACATATGTTCCAATTAAAAAAAATGTTTCAATCATAATTATTTACAAATCTAGAAATGTTAAGATTTAGAAAATGTTTCATACTAATATAGACATGTTTCTATTTTATGTAGTCCAAATGTGTTATTTTTAACGATGTTTTTTCCTTGCCTAGGTTATGGGCTTTGGTCTCTTCCTTATGGATTCTGAAGTATGTAATATTAATCGACTTGATCAGAAAAAGAAGATCCGTCTTGACAGGATCGACAGGATCTTTAAGGTATTGTAATCAAAGGTATTTTTTATTGTTAACACTAACTGTAACCCGCGATTACGTCCCCGTGGACTTAAAAATTGTGGCTTATGTGTTCTTTCAGACTATGTTATACATCTTTGCCAAATTTCAGTCACCTAAACCTAAAACTTCTAACAAACATCCATCCATCCAAACATTCGCATTTATAATATTAGTAAGATTGTTAAAGTTTCCTCACAAATAAACTACATTTCGTATATTATTTTAAACTTTCGTAGTTTTTACTTTCTTAAGAATTCCATTTATTACGGACATGATTTTTTAGTGATTTTAGATTTAGTGTATTTTTGTATCGGCTACAGCCATATTGATTATTTTTTTAAAACAGGTTTCTCTTGATAAGTAATCTGTCGCTTTTTTTAAGAATTGTTTGTAGATATAGGTTTGTGTATCTAATTGTTACTTTTCTCTTAGAATCTCGAAGTGGTACCTTTGTTTGGAGATATGCAGATCGCGCCATTCAATTATATCAAGAGATCGAAACATTACGATCCAAGCAAGTGAGTGATTTTTAAGTATTTTTCTGAACTCGTTATGAATTCACGTTAATTTTTAAAAAGTTAAATCTTGAACTAATATTTTCTTTCAATCTTTTAAATTTGAATCTTAAATGTATGCAATATATTTTATTTGAGTACATTATCAATTATATCTAGGTGGCCATTATCTTCGAGCCCAAATCCACCTTCTCCGCAAGCAGATCTGATGGTCCACCTGCCTCAGATCAGGGAAGAACACCAGAATTACATATCTGAGCTCGCTAGATACAGTAATGAGGTACGTCCTGGTAGAAAAATGTTCCATACGATAAATATAATCTAATCTAATCTAATATAGAAATGTTCTAAGTAGCAGTATGAGAAATAATCACAAGATCTTTATTTATTTTTGTAATAACGTGTGAAAATCCAAATAATTAATAATAATAATTAACTTTATAGTCATTTTCTGAACAATATTTCATATCAAATATCATAATTTCTAAAATATTTTTTTTTCAAAATACATCCTATCGTTCATTACATCATTTTTTTTTCAAAACCTTTTGGTCATATCTAATATAAAAGTTCCATCTAGGTGACCACAACGTTCAAAGAAGCAGGCTCCGATGCTGAAAACAAGGCGGTCACTGAACTTTGTTTACGTGGTCTTCAGTTGTTGTCTTCCTGGTGTTCGGTATTAACTGAATTGTGTTCTTGGAAGCTATTGCATCCGACTGATCATACAATTAACTCAAGATGCCCTGCTGAAGCTGAAGAGTATGAGAGGGTAAGCTTAGTTTTTATTTCACACTGAGTCACTGTACAATTATACCTTGCAGCGGTCGCTTCGTTATTTTAGCGAATTTATGGACGTTTGTTTTTCGCCATTTTTATGAATCTGTTAATAATTTTCTGTATGTAAAGTGCCAAGAAAACAATCGGTTAGTAAATCGGTCTGATAGTCAAATCACAAGTTGGCGATTTTTTTCGAAGGCGTTACTCGTAACGTTCATATTTTCAGCTAATATTTCTTATTTTAAAGAAGAAGTGATATTGTGGGGTAATGTGGGGGTAGTTAGACAAAAGTAAAGTTGCGTTGGGTAAATCAAGCCACATTTTTCAGGCTACCCGCTATAATTACACTTCAGAAGAGAAGTTCGCGATGATAGAAGTGATAGCAATGATCAAAGGTCTGCAAGTATTAATGGCTCGTATGGAGACTGTGTTCGCTGACGCAGCTAGAAGGTCTATTTACGCGGAATTGCAGGACTTCGTACAGTTATTACTGAGGGAACCGTTGCGGAAGGCCATTAAGAACAAGAAAGATTTAATCCGAAGGTTTGTGGGTGGAAATAAAATATTGTGTGATAGGAAAATATACGCAAAAGTTTAGTGAATTGTGAATAAAGTAACAATTAAATAACTCTTAGTGTGATATCGCCAGCAAATATTTGATTGTTTGTAATTTAATAGACTCGGAAACTTCTGAGCCTATTCTAGATTTATTTAAATTTCGCTTAGGTGAAGACGCGGGCAACTGCTAGTAACTATATTTTTTATACAGCATCATAGTATCAGTGCGCGAGACATGTGGTGATTGGGCGCGTGGCTGCGAGCCTCAGCAAGACCCGGCTCTGCGCGGCAAGAAAGACGCTGATGCAAGTTTCACTATTAAAGTCCCGAGGCGGAATGTTGGTGAGTTTGTATACTATTTGAATACTTTCGTAGATATATGAAACTTTGATAGTGGTAGATGACGGCAACAATATCTCTTAGGTTCGTCTGCTGTAATACCATGACCACACAGAAGACAGGCCTCAAATGCGGACTCATTCCAACTACAGTCCGATGAGTGCGTGCAGGAGAACTCATTTGACTCCTCTTTCTCTTTCTACCGTTTTTCTTATAAGAAATAATGTCCCAACAAATTGTATCACTTCTATAATCTAATATTGTTCCAGGGCCATCATCAACACAGCTGTATATGGTCAGAACACAACTAGAAGCTTTGATATCTGATAAATCTGGAGGAAGGCGTACATTAAGAAAGGATCTAGATGCTACCACTTTGACTCAAATTGAAACATTCCATCGACAAAGCTTCTATTGGGGATATTTGTTAAATCTATCTGGTAAATTTATAGCTCTTACTTAAACTATTGTTACCCACAATTTTGCAATTTACTTCCTTTTTTTGTATTATTTAAATTAACTTGATAAATACTAATTTCTGTGTTAAAAGTAATAGAAAGAAGAACTGTGGATTTTGCTTGTATATTGTATGTTCATGTTTGATGCATAATTATTCGTATTCATGCTTCAAGTTTTATTTTGTAAAATTAAAAACATGCGATAGTTTACGCTGAGGCCAGTGAAATATTGAGTTTACATCGTCGAAACATTCACAAAGAAACATGTTTGTTACAGTTTTTACAGGAGTTTTTGACATAGCCTTTCTCTTTCAGATTCATTACAAAAGTGTTGCGATCTCTCTCAACTGTGGTATAGAGAGTTTTACTTGGAAATGACAATGGGAAGAAAAGTAAACGTAAGACCATAATTTTATATGCTTTAGACGACAAATTAATTAATTCGAACGTTAATTTTAAATATTTATCTAATTATGTTCCAATCACAATTATATACTAATCTAGAAATGTTCCGATTCAATAAATGTTCTAATATAAAAATGTTCCGATTTAGAAATTGTTCCAATCTGATGATTATTATAAATACTTTATTTTATTTATGTTTCATATATGTTTCCAAAGAAATGTACGGTACGTCATCAGCATAATGAAGAATGTAACGACTTAGTTACAATGGAGAAACGGATACAATTTCCTATAGAAATGTCAATGCCTTGGATATTAACAGATCATATTCTGCGTAGTAAAGAACCTGCTATGATGGAGTAAGTTATAACTTTGTATGTATGAAGGATTATTAAGATTGCAACAAACGGATCATTGGGTCACGTTTTTAGCGATTTATGACTATACATCTAGTGATATGTGGGTTTAAACTCGCTTTTTTCGTACAAATAACGGTTTTTTTTTATAATATAAGGCGGCAAACGAGCGAGCGGCCACCTGAAATCGCTGAAATAGCGAAGTGACCGTTGCCCATAGACATATGCAATTGCATATGCGTTGCCTACCTTTAATCAACGGAGGAGAGGATGCACAGAAAGAAAATATTTTCCCTTCCCATGCATCCTCTCATCCGGAAAGTCCACTTCCACTTCCTATCCTTTCCGTATAAGAAAAAGGGTGGGAAGGGAAAGAGGACTAAATTAGGCCTCCGGGACGCACACTCATCAGACTGTAGTTGGAATTGCTTCCACTTGAGGCGTGTCTTCTGTGTGGTCGTGGTATTTCACCGGGTGAGGACAATTCGTGCGAACATGTTAAGGCGGGCTCTAACACTATTAAAACGTAAATGCAATTACAGATGTCTGGGAAGGGGTCACTTCGCTATTTCGGCGAATTAAGTGTATTATCACTTAATTTTTATTACTACTTAAATTTTTAGCTCTGGTGTGCTTTTTTTATGACGATAGGTAATTTGTGTATTTTTTTCTAGATATGTACTATACCCGTTAGATCTATACAATGATTCTGCCCAGTACGCGCTTACTGTGTTCAAAAAGCAATTTCTTTACGACGAAGTTGAAGCAGAAGTTAATTTGTGCTTCGATCAGTTTGTTTATAAATTATCTGAGCAGGTGTACGCTCATTATAAACAGCTTGCTTCCAGGTATACATTCGTTCTTGTTTTTTTTGTCATGTAATTTAACCTATTTAGTCACTTTCACATCACTGTCCCCGCGACACGTATCGCGTGGAATTCAAAGACTTAATTATTAGTCTATGTGTTATTTAAGATTATGTTTTACATCTATGACACATTTTATTAAGATCCATGCAGTCGTTTTGGAGATACTTTCAAACAAACATACAACATTCGCATTTATAATAGATTATTCAAGTCAATCTCTCGCAATTGAATTTAATATATCTCTCATACACTCGTAATAATATGTATTCGACCATTGATTTCCTATATTTGTGATTTTCCACCGATCCTCTTTATTTGAACAATCAATTATTGGGCCGAATAAAATTACCATTGGGCCGAATAAAATTACCATTGGGCCGAATGATTGAACAGCCCAATGGTAAATTTAGTCTCAACCTGATGTAATCGCTAGTAGTTACTCTAGATACTAATTTCACAGTATGTTACTGGACAAACGTTATCGCGCTGAGTGCGCGGCGCGCGGAGCCAGCACGGGCGGTGGAGCGGGCAGGTACGCCTCTCTGCTGCGCCAGAGGCATGTCGCGCTGCTCGGCAGACACGTCGACCTTAACGCCTTGGTGAGTATCATAGTGTTAGGAAGAAAATCCTAAAATGTGGCAGTGTATTGACCCAACACTAGCCTTACTAAAATGTCGACGTTTGTGTTCCTTCACTATTTATTCTGATACTGGGTTTTGTAACGAAAGAACGTCATTCGCGCCAAATGATTCTAACTTATAATGTCTAAAAATTGTACTTAATGACCAATCATGACCAGCGATAACATATGATCGATGATGACCGGTCATGATCAGAGATGACCAATCATGATCAGCTATGATCAACCATGATTGTAAAAATATAGAAATGTTATTACTCTATAACTATTGTATTATAAATTGTTGTACCACTAGGTGGCGCAGCGTATCAATGCTGATATGCACCGGGCATTGGACGCTGCGGTCGCGAAGTTCGAAGCCGGTGATATCACCGGAGTTGTGGTAAGTTTAGATTTCTGGATTAATACATTTTATTTTTACATAGATTCTAAGATTTTCCGTTGCATTTACAAAACATCGAATATTTTACAGATCGATTAATTTGATAATTGTTTTAAGAATAATTTAAAGTTATTAAGTGTAAAATTGATTTTTCTCAATTTAAATTACTTTTTACTTAGAAATAATTCACGTAATGTTTATAAGAATAGTGATTTCTTCATTAGGAACTAGAAGGTCTGATCTCTGTTAATCGACTCTGCCACAAACTTCTCAGTCGGTACCTAACATTGGACGAATTCGAAGCGATCCTACGGGAATCTGACCATGGTGTCCTAGCCCCATATGGCAGGATAACTTTACATGTATTCTGGGAACTGAATTACGATTTCCTGCCGAATTACTGCTATAATGCTGCCACTGATCGGTAAGAAGATTCAATTATCAATAAGTTCATTGAATGATGCAATTGCATTATTGGTTAGTTGCTGGAATATTAGTTTAGTTGATGGTATGTTAGGTTAGTTGATAAAGTGTTAGTTTGGTTGATGAAATTTTAGTTTAGTCGATGGAATGTTAGTTTAGTTTGTTGAGTGTAGTTGATGGGGTGTTAGTTTATCTCATGAAATTTTAGTTTCGGTGATAAAATGTTAGTTTAGTTCATAGGATATTAGTTTAGTTGATTGAATGTCAGAAAAGTTGTTTAAAAGACAGCCTTGTTCAAACTACAAATTGGTAGATCGAATGTTAGTTTAGTTGAACCTTAGAAAGAAAAATCTCGCAACTGACAAGTATCAATACTAAATTGAAAGCTATACTATAATAGGATCATAGGAAATGATTTTTTTTTTAATTTCTATCTACCCACATCTGTCTTTTAACTGTATCTAGGTTCGTGAAATGTCGTGGCATTCAATTCGCTGCAGGTGTTCAAAGAGAAAGACCCCAACAGTATGGACATGCGTTGTTATGGGGATCCAAGCAATTGGGATTCCCTTATGCAGCTCAGTACGCACAGTATGCAGGTAGTAGAAAAACATATTGTAAAATGTAATTTTTAAAATTTTTGTGTCTGGTAGTGCAACTAAAGACCAGAAAGTAAATAAAATAGGATTAAAAATATGTATAAGACGTTCTCGATTTTTATAATCTTTTTTAGCGTCTTTGTATTTAAATTTATTGAAGCTAAAAAAATACACAATACTCGAAATGTTTAAACAATTCCAACGACTTAAACGGCAAACTTTTATCCAGGGTTCGTTGGTGCACAACATCTTCACGCCCTCGTCCGTTTATTGGGTTATCAGGGTGTGGCGGTTGTGGTAGGGGAATTACTAGGTGTAGCCCGAGGTCTCCTACACGGGACATTAGCTCAGTTCACAAGAGCTCTTGCAGCTGCTATGCCTAGGCACTGCAAACTTCCTAGATACGACTACGGATCTAATGGTGAGTTTTTATAATAGACGGCGCTGGCTTCGAGATAGAATACGATAATTTTTGATGTATACAATTTGTTGATTTGCTTTATAACAGAGCTGTCGCCCGCGGATCTGTCCGCGCTGAAGAAAAAACTTAATTAGTAGCCTATGTATCCATCCATCTAAACATTCGCATTTATAATATTAGTAAGATTTAAGTTTGTCTCTCATGTATCAATTTGGTAGCAATCTGGTTGGTGCTCCCTTGGCTTTGACCTTAAGGTCTTCACATAAATATTTACCTTCCAGGTGTACTTGGCTACTATCACGCTCAGTTGACTGATATCGTTCAATATCCTGATGCTCGTACAGAACTGTTCCATGCTTTCAGGGAACTTGGAAATATTATATTGTTCTGTATGCTAATTGAACAGGTAAGTTTATATAACTAAAATAATTGCACTTGATCCATACAACGGTGAATCGTAGACGCGAACCCTCTATACGATAACTATACCCAAAGTAACTACATGACAACTGTATTGATTTGCTCTGCTGCCTTGACTTTTCTCAGGATTTTAACAGATTGCTAGCAACTGTTAGGAAGAAAATCCGACACTGTGCCGGTGTACTGGCACAACACTAGTCTTATTAGAATATCTAATCTTGTGTCCACTCACTAACGCAGACGTAGGAACAGGAGCGCTAGAAATGATTCTAACCAATAATATCTAAAAATACTAGTGTCGGCGACGTAATAAAATGTCGGCGACGCAAACTCTATGACATTGCGTAAGTCGTTTAACGATTAAAATTGCCAGGTTTTGAAGATGTACGTTGCCTTGTGGGACTCAGTTTATTTTTTATTATTTCATTTTAAAACTACTACAAATTACAGTCCTTAAATTATTAAAAACTAGTAGATGATTTACGAATATGAATTTTTAGGCTCTTAGTCAAGAGGAAGTGACAGATTTACTTCACGCTGCGCCTTTCCAGAATATTCTTCCCCGACCATTCACAGCAGGTATGTCATAGGCTACATGTCATGTAAATAATTGTTTATGAAGTTTTAGCATAAATACTTATATTTTATTTTCTGGTTGAGAGCGTCGGTGGCTCAGGAGTCAAGCATTTGACTTGCAATCTGCATGTCCTGTGTCGTAATCCCGTCATGTATGAATGTGTTACATTTACATATGTACATTTATCCTATGTTGTTACGGTGAAGGAAAACATCGTGATGCTGCACATATCTGACAAACTCAAACATATGTGTCAAGTTTTGTACTGGACCAGCATTCACTATCACATACTCTCACTTAGGGTACTCCGAGACCCTCAGTGGGGACGTACAGTGAGCTAATGATGATGATTAACTGTTTAAATTGTTATCAAAATCAAATGAGAATTCTTTATGAAAATCTGCAATTTTTATTCTTAAAACAGAAGGAGAGAAACCCGAAGTAAAACAGAAACGTCTAGAATCTAAATATTCCGCGCTACAGATTGTACAAAACGTGGATAAATACGGCACTGCTAAGGTTAGTTCATAATATTTGATACGTTAGAAATTTTAATAAGCGTTTGATTGTTTTTATCAAACACAATTCTCATTTCTAAAGTAACTGTTATTAGTTTTACATAAAAATGTAACGAATTGAATCTAATTGATGCAAATAATCTATAAAAAATCAAATTTATAGAAAAGATGATAATTTATTTGACAATGATAGTGGTGTTCCCCAAGGAACGATTTGAGGTCCACTGTACACTGTTAGGAATTGTTTAACTGTTAAATATTTTGAAATGTCTGTAAAATAATAATGACAACAACAATAAAAAAGGGTTTTGACTGACGGACGGACCGGTATAAGAATACCGTTTTTTTTTCTTTTCGAGGTACCCTAAAAAGAAAATAATTAACCAAATAGTAAGTAAACAAATAGCCATCCATACAAACTTTGATTTCCTTTACCATTCTTAGCAAAGTCAACTAGCTCGTGAAGGTGATTTACTTACCCGAGAACGTTTATGCTGCGGCCTATCTCTATTCTCTGTTGTGTTGCGTCGCTTACGAGCTTGTCTGACTGCACCACAATGGCCAAGTCCACCAGCCGCGCCTCAACACGCACCATTACATACTGATGACACAAGCGAGTTTCATAGGTGAGTTTTTTTAAATATTAACAGACTTTGATTTATTAAAGCCAAAACATTATTATAGTAATTTTCATCAAGTAAAATTAGAAGAAACTTCCTATATGAATCAATTTGTATTTTTGTTTATATCATAAGGTGGCAAACGAGCGAGCGGTCACCTGAAATCGCCGAAATAGCGAAATGACCGTTGCCCATAGACATATGCAATTGCATATGCGTTGCCTACCTTTAATCGACGGAGGAGAGGATGGACAGAGAGAAAATATTTTCCCTTCACCTGCTTCCTCTCATCCGGAAAGTCAACTTCCACTTCCCATCCATTCCTTATAAGAAAAAGGATGGGAAGGGAAAGAGGACTAAATTAGTCCTCCGGGACGCACACTCATCAGACTGTAGTTGGAATTGCTTCCCACTTGAGGCCTGTCTTCTGTGTGCTCGTGGTATTTCACCTGGCGAGCCGGGCCGATTCGTGTGAAGATGTTAAAGCGGGCTCTGCCACTATTATAATTGAGTGTTCCTTTTCAGGTTGTGGTCTGCTCTGCAGTTCTTGTACTGTATCCCAGTTGGAGATACACAGTTTACTGTTGAGTGAGTTACAAAATATTCATATTCAATTTGTAAAAATCCAACTTATTTAACAAAATACTAAATCCCAAAGTTCGAAGTTAAATACCAAATTGTTGAAACTAGTTTTTCAAAGTCCGTATCCGATTTTCAGAATAGGCAAGTCCATTTTTAAAATTACTAATTTCAATTTTGTATATTTCTTTCAATATGGAAAGACGAGAAACGAACAAGTGGACACCCGAATGCGTTGCCTACTTATAATCGAATGAGTAGGAGGGAACACACATAAACAGCATATATGTCCTTCCTATACGTCATCCTTTTCTTATGAGATATGGGACTAAAACTATGCGTCTGGCACCAAAAAAAAGTTGTGTGCTCTCTAGTTAATTCTTTTGAACTCGGTTTACAAATTACAATCTTCTCTTAGGGAACTATTCGGCGAAGGCCTTCACTGGGCGGGATGCACTATCATAGCACTACTGGGTCAGCAAAGACGCTTCGAAGCTCTAGACTTCTGCTACCACATCCTAAGAGTCCAGAGAGTTGATGGGAAAGATGAATTGGTGAAAGGAATCGTAAGTTTTACACATATATTGAATGCTTGCAACTTGTACGGTGCAGAAATAAAAATAAACTGTAATTAAGCCTAATGTTCTTCTAGATTATGTTTTACGTCTATGAGAAATTTCTACGTAATCCATTTACCTATTCTAGAGATACGTAATAACAAACATTTATCTATTTAAACTATCCAATTTATTATACTAGTATGGTAATTTTAATCCCACCTTAAGAATGGATCTGCTCCTTCAAAAAACAGTTAAATAGTACTGTGTGATAAATTGCATCCTTTAGGTTCAAATATATACTTTCTTTCAGCCTCTCAAACGCATGGTGGACCGCATCAGACGTTTCCAGGTCCTAAATTCACAGATCTTTGGTGTTTTGGCACGCCATCTAGTGGCAGACGAGGAGCGCGCGGGAGTCGAGCATATAAGATGCTTCCCTCCACCGACAGCACCCCACCATCATGTCGACTAAATTAACATCAGTTCAACTAACATACTCAACAACTTCGGCTAACAACACAACTAACTCGACAACTCAACTAACACATCAACACAACAAATATCATATGAACTAAGACGTCAACTCAACTAATTTCAACTCAACTATCATGTTTAAACTGATATATAAACACGGCTTAATGCTCACGTATGTTCGTCCGGTGGCGGCCCGTCGCTCACTGACGACAGTGAGCGACGGGCCGCGTCCGCGAAATAATACCAGTACTACTCGTCCTGATGAAGGGTGCCCGATGGGCTCGAAACTAGTCGGTGCCGCCACCGGACGTATATACGTGAGTGTTTAGCCATGTTTATATATCAGTTTAGTATAATGTCTCACGAAAGTTTGAATTATTCAACTATCATGTCTACTCAATTATCACATAAACTAAACTAACATCAGTAACTCCACATTAAAAAACTTATCACTATCATTCAAATAAACAATATCTATCATTATGTTACACTAATCTATCATATATAACTAACTTCATAATTTCGACTAAACTATCATCGTGATTATGACTAAACTAGCAACATCTTTACTAAACTAATATCACTTTAAATATATCACTTTAATTTCGACTAAACTATAATCGTAACATCGACTAAAGCTAACAAAAATATGTTTCATGATTTTATGAATTCCAGATTTTTTTTAGGTCTCATTAAATGTTAGGTCTATTAGGATATTTGGTAATTTAGTTTTTAAACGAATAAATTATTATTCATATTTCATATTTGTAGAGTTAATACTAATTTTGTCTTATTACTAGTAATCCGAAATTGATTCTTTAAACTTATAGGTCTTATAGACAAATGTATTAGTTGGGCAAAAATAAACTTTGTTAGTAAACTGGTATAAAAACGGCTAAACACTCACGTATATTCGATAACCGCCGGAAACTAGTCGGTGCCGTCACCGGACGAAAAAACGTGAGTGTTTAGCCGTTTTTTATATAAGGGAACGTACCCATACTACGTGATCCGTTTAGGGGGGAGCGGAGTCTTTAAAATACCACGGTCAGTCACAGGAGTGGGAGGGGGGCTCAAATTTTAGTCACGTAGCCGTTAGTTGTTTTTTTTCATAATACATAATTCACTAGTAATTTAAGAATGCATGCAGTCTTATGCTATAAAGAAGAGTATGAGCCAAATTTTTTATTTTTTATTTTTTTCCTGTGAAATGATTAAAAATCACAATTATGAATTACTACGTACAAACTAAAGGGAGGGGGTCATGGCATGTACTACGAGTGGTCAAAGAGGGGTGGGAGGGTTCGAAAAAACTAAATATAATAGGTCACGTAGTATGGGTATGTTCCCTTAGTTTTATGTCTCACGAAAGTTTGAATAAAAAACTTTTTATTGCTTAAGGAAATATAACGTAAATTAATAATCGTGTTTTAATATTAGTATCAAGTATTATGGCTATAATTTAAGCATTTATATAATCTTTTTTTATTTAATAAACAATTTAAGGAAAATGTGTTTTCTTTTTAAAAATATAACCTTAAAAATAGATTTTATTTCTGCTTAAAAAATTTTATAACTTTAACCTTTTACCGCGACTTTTTGCGGAATTAAAAAAAAAACAAAATTAGTAGTCTACGTGTTCTTCCAGATTATGTTCCGTCAAATTTCATCAAAATCCATGCAGCCGTTCTTGTGATACTTTCTAACAAATATATTTAAATTTTTATCTTATATCTTTAAATGAGCAATTCTTGTAATATATCTTTATATATATAATTCTTCTGTGAGTGTGTATGTCACTGAACTTCTCTCAAACAACTGGACCGATTTCGATGAATTTTTTTGTGTGTGTTCAAGGGGATCTGGGAATGGTTTAGATTCACAATTTTCATCAAATGTTAACTTCATATTAATTTATTCAAATTAAACACGTGTAGACAGGACAACGTCTGTCGGGTCCGCTAGTATATATATAATTGGAAACTCGGAATCGGCTCCACCGATTTTCATAAAATTTTGTATATAGAGGGTTTGAGGGGCGATAAATCGATCTAGCTAGGAATCATTTTTAGAAAATGTCATTTTATTCGTGTTTTATCGATAATCAACTTAAACATAAACTTTACTTTTTCTATCGGTAAGATCGAAAAATATTATTCATATTTCATCATTTTATTAGTAATTCCTACTTAAATATAATTACCAAAAAAAACACAATTTAAAAAAAAATACCGAACAAAGCTCCGTCATCCAGGTACTATTTATAATATTAGTAAGATGTCATTTTATTGCACAATTTTTATTAAATAACTAAAAGTGAAATATCAACGGCGGGCATGTTTTGAATTTGACGTTACACTGTTTTCTCTGGATCGAAACCAATGTATGTAGGAATAAATATAAATCTTATTTAAGTGAATATTGAGTTATACGACGAAAAGAGAAATGAATCATCTTAATAAATAAAGGTATACACACAACAATATAGCATAAAAATAATAAATTTCAGTGTTTTCAAATATTTTAGTGACTCAAGGTCATGCGTGGTACGCAGTGCCGTCCCCCGACTAAGTCCCAACACACATCAAATTGTGTTATGCGTAGCACTCGCGCCTTCAAGATATCTGAAAACATTAAATCGTTACGTGATACGATAGTGAATGCTGGTCCAGTGCAGGTTGATTTCATCTTTGACTTTGTCAGATATGTGCAGCATCACGATGTTTTTCTTCACCGTAACAACATAGGAATACATTAATACCTGTATTTAAAGAAAAAAAGTGTCAATAATTTTAACATAACCTATCTTTTTTTTAATTTCTTAAGAATTATGTCGCTATGTGTCTTTATCTTTATAACAAAATATTTGGCAAACTGCCTCAAAAACATGCTACTAAAATCATGACTTTCTTGTGAATCTGATTGAAGTAAATACGAATATTCTGTGATACAGCAATATATTCAATGATTTTCCTTAATCAGAAATCAAGTAATTTCCTAAGATGAAATTATATTTCGCAGTTTTACGATCTGAATGCAACCATTATACTTTAGTTTATTAAAGAATCTTTCTATTTATTTTCATGTTACAAATAACCTACTTTCAATTAATTTACGTCAAAATTGGCGCACTTTTGAAGATAGCTAGATTAAAAAAATGTTTTTTTTTTTGCTACAATAAGAAATGTAAATAGCACCAAATATATTGAAATAGATAAAGAAACTATTATTTCGATAATATCTTCCATTTATATAATCCAACTAATGTCCATTTTCCTTGAAATGTTAATTACCAATTAGTAATTTAAATTGACTCAGATATGACGTAGCATGTCCATATAATTACGTATCTATGTTTAGTTTCTGTTACGTTGACAAACAATGCCAGTTTGTTTAGATAACGGTTTATTAGCTTAAATTAGCGTTACGCGATATAGCAGATGTGTTGAAAATAACCGTTTTTTTTAAAGGTTAACAAGATTTTATGTTTCAAAATAACTAATTTTATTTGGAAAATCATGATTTTTGTTTTACTTTCAATCTTTTAGCTAATGTGTCTGTAAATAAATAACGTCAGGAATACGTGAGAAGGACATTTCTAATTGGATGGAATATTCTAACGTGAGTTTGAAAATCGCCGAAAAAAAGTCTATTTTGTTAAAGAAATGTTTTGATTAAAACGAAATCATTTTAAATTAATTCCTACTAAAACTTAATCCATCTTTATGGGAGTACAATAAATGAAATTAACTTTTTGCGCTACGTTACAAAAGCTGCTATAATAACTGCTATTTGTAGCGCATTACTGTAGCAATAAAAGTAGAAATAACATGGAAATAACGGTTGTTTGTTATAGTTCGTTGCCGGTGTTTGCTACAGAAGGACGTGTCTTGTTCATTCGAATGTAAGTTAATCGATGTTATTTTTTTATTTTTATATTACAAGTAGAGTATTTGTTACATTATAAAGATTGTAGTTTATGCAAGTAAAATGTAAAAATATAAATTCAGATCTGCTCCTTTATAATGTAAGAAGACTTGGTTATAAATAAGGTTTTTTCTATCTATCTATCTTATAACAGATTTAGAAAGTTTACATAGGTAAAAAAAAATTGTAAGTAATTTCTGTTTATTCCATTATGAGTTTGTCTTTACCTTTTTATTTGACTGAGTCAGAAAGCGAAACATTTTTCACGAGTATGTATGTAGTTATATTTGGCCTGTTTTCTATACTGATTGTGACGTATTTGGTGCCAGGTATTAGGGTAGGCTCCGAGCCCCTCGGTGGGGGACGTATAGTGAGCTGATGATGATGATGATGATTATCTGGAATCTAAAACTAGAATTTAGATTTAACGGAACAAGGAAAAATAATCCAATATGGAAAAAAAAACGGAAATCATGTTTTTTGGCGTTTTAACAAAAAGTAATCTAGAGTTTTGACATTAAAAACTATAAAAGCTTGATAAAATTAAAAACATAAGTTAATTACAAACCAGAGTAACCTTGCTATATTGTTTCAACTTATGAACCCTCAACTTTCTTGCCACCAGCCAGGGTCTACCGGCTGAGGGTCCATTATCCACTTTTGAAATAACTTATATGTTAACTGGTATTTAACTAGACGTAACATGATCTAGTAACCGGATTAAGAGCTGAACGACACAAGAAAAATATCTCGTTATAATTTGAAGACCTTTTACGGAAAGTCCTAGTTGTATAAAATAGTTGAAAGCTTTGTAACAAATCACTAAACAATGACTAGGTTAAGTAAACATTATTAAAAGCATATTTATATGTCACCTGAAATGGCTGAAATAGCGAAGTGACCGTTGCCCATAGACATACGCAATTGCATATGCGTTGCCTACCTTTAATCGACGGAGGAGAGGATGCACGGAAAGAAAATATTTTCCCTTTCCATGCATCCTCTCATCCGGAAAGTCCACTTTCACTTTCCATCCTTTCCTTATAAGAAAAAGGGTGGGAAGAGAAAGAAGACTAAATTAAGCCTCCGGGACGCACACTCATCAGACTGTACTTGGAATTGCCTCCACTTGACGCCTGTCTTCTGTGTGGTCGTGGTATTTCACTGGGTGAGGACAATTTGTGCAAACATGTTAAAGCGGGCTCTACCACTATTTAAAGCTTTAAGACTGGCTGCCCGTAACTTCCTATACGTTGCATTTAAAAAAAGTAAAAATTTAGTCTATGTCACCCGGGGATAGAGTAGCTTACCAATAGCGAAAGAATTTTTCAAACCGATTCAGTATTTTCGGAACATATTCAATTCAAACTAATCTTTCCTCTTTATGAGTATTGATAATAAAAAAAACTGATTACTTGATTTATTCATAAGACTAGCTATCGCACGAGACTCAGTCAGCGCTGAATTAAAATAAAAACTTGATTAGTAGCCTATGTTCTATGCCAAATTTCAGCGAGATCACATCAGCCGTTCTGGAGATATCTTCAAACAAACATCCGTCCATCTAAACATTCGCATTTATATTAGATTTGCAATTTTTTTTTCTCCTCGTCTCATAACATCAGTGGGGTAAACAAATAGTTTTTGACCACATCATATTAAAAATCTTTTTTAACATTCAATTGACTATTTTATTAGCCCAATTTACTTGCTTATGTTCTTTAGTTGGCAACATTGGCAGTGAAATTATTGCGTCTGACAAAATAAGAACAAAACGATATAAACTCAACGACCAGTCTTTTCAAGGTCTGCTACAAGGTCAATCGACCGACGACTAGGCTGACCATCTATTCCATTAAACTGGGATAATAGTTGTTGAAAATATCCTAAATTTTTAATAGCAAACGAGCAAACGGCTATAGCCATAGTATTTCAGATGCTTTACCTTTAATCGACAGAGGAATAGACGCAAAGAAAGAGATTATTATCCCTTACTCTGTGTCCTTCATCAAATCTATTTCCTATCCTTTCCTTATAAGAACAAGGTAGGAAGGACTAAAATTAGGTCTCTGGTATACACACTCATCGTATCATGTGGTCATTGTAATGCACCGGGTGAGACATTCCTGCAACAAATGTTAGCGTCTACCAACTTACTGGTTTCAGTCACTTTAGTACGCGGCGGACGCATCGCACGGCCCGCAACGCATTTTAGCTTTGTATTTGAAATAGTGCTGCTTTCATCGTCCACGATACTTCGAAGGACGGTATTTATCGACAAGTAATCCGTGAGCGTCGGTGGCTCAGGAGGTTAAGCAATTGACTTGCAACCTGCAGGTCTTGGGTTCGAATCCCGCCATGTACATATGTAAATTTATTCCGACGTTCTGAGAAAAAATTCAAAGATGGTTGACTATGGCCTAGTCACCCTTAATATAGGGTAGGCTCCTCCTCAGTGGGGACGTATAGTGAGCTGATGATAGAATCCGTTGCGGGGTACGTGCTGCGCATGTGGTGATCCAATGAACATAGCTTTACAATATTCATGAGTGTTTTCTATCACGTTCAATGATTTGTTCCATGCGTTAGCCACTTGAATATAATCAAGTAATTTTATCTTTATTTGAAGTGTGTATTTGTTTTAAAGATAGAAACGTTTATACGTCAATAAATCATTAGAGTACAAGAATGGAAATATATAACAACTAACAGACGCCTGCGACTTCGTCTAGTAAAATGTTTAGTAGCCTATTTATTCATCCAGACTATGTATGCCAAATTTCAACGAGATCCATGCAGCCGAGCCGTTCTAGAGATATTTTCTAACATACATCTAAACATTCGCATTTATAATATTAGTAAGAAAATATTTAACACAGATTATATAAATCATTTATTTGTGAATAAAAAAACACCCTGTGTAAACTTAGTTGAAATATGGGCGTCACTAGGGGTAGGGTAGGTGGAGTCAGTTACCCTTCCCTAGAGAATGAAGAAATGTGAAATACATACAAACTACTTTGAATATTGCCATATTAATGTTAGTTACCCCCCTATAACCCCATGGATCATCCCCCATCCACTCACCACCCGTCCCTCACTCGTCAACATAGGTTTTGTTAAGCTACAGGATGTTACAATGAAACATACATACAATCTCTCATACATGAATAGTAAGTGCGATATATCGTGAGTTTCTAAGACCAAAATCCTATTTGGCCTCTGAAACCAACGGATATCTTACTAATATTATAAATGCGAATGTTTAGATGGATGGATTTGAAGTTATCTCCAGAACGCATCACAATGTAATTCGACATGGATGTAGAACATAGTCTGGAAGAACACATAGGCTATGTTTTTTAATCCGCGCGAATAAAGTCGCGGACAACAGCTAGTAAACGAACTGGCCTTGACCCAGCCCTGTATTACTCCCACAGACATCCATTATCTAATACAAACACCATAAATTCGCACCAAGGGGAAATAATCCTGAATGTTAACCTTTAAATGTACATAAAAGAAATCTTAATTAAAACCAATGACCTTGGTTTGACATTAGCGCCAATTCCCATCATTGTTCAAACAGTGAATAGTGATAGTGTTAGAAAGAGATAGCAGATTCCATGGAAATGACCTTGTATTGTTTACTACGGAGTCTAATCTTAGTAATATTATAAATGCTAATTTTTACTAAATTATTTAATAACTTTCGTTAGACATTATACTCGCTAGCTGCGGGCCGCGTCCGCGAAATAATACCAGTCCCACTCATCCTGATGAAGGGCCACCGATGGGCTCGAAACTAGTCGGTGCCGCCACCGGACGAATAACCTGAGTGTTTAGCCGTTTTTATATCAGTTTAGCTAATGTTTATATGGATGTTAGATCTCTCCAGAACGGTTGCCTGGATCTTGTTGATGGCATAGATGTAGAACATAGTCTGTAAGAACACATAGACTACCAAGGTTTTTAATTAGTCGACACCTAAACTTTTTCTTTCTTAATTCTGAAAGGGCTTTTCATAAAAGGCATATCATGACCTTTTTTAGGGTTCCGTACCTCATAGGAAAAAAACGGAACCCTTATAGGATCACTTTGCCGTCCGTCTTTCTGTCAAGACGCTTTTTCTCGCGCGTGAAGGTATCAAGCTGGAATTTATATCAAATAGGTCTGCGGTTCCTTAAAGCTGTTAAAAAATAAAACTTCTGAACCAACGCAATGTTACGCAAATTATTTCTCTATTATGCCAAAAATCAGTTTATTTTATCGCATTTATTTATGCAACCTTCATGGTCGTAATCCGTGGCGTTTGATCTCAAATGTCAAACTGCGATATTTGGCGCCAACTGTCACTTGTCATATGTCAAACTATGACCTTGACAGTTATCCTTGTGTCATTAATTATAGCTTGCGTTGTTTGCTTTATATTATTGTGTTTATTATGTGTTTTAAGTTCACTTTTAAGGGTTTTAACATGCATATTAGTGACCGCCGTTGTTATTCTGTCTATTTGCACTTTTATTCCATCTGGTTAACGATATAAAAGGAAATTAGCTTATATTGGTAATTCAATGTTGCCATAACTAGCAAAAGCAGAGTATTAGGTTCACGAAGATTTTTATATTGTCATATATTTAGTAACTAAACAGTGGTAGACGTAAGCAACAACATCTTATGCACTCTGTGCCTTTCCGCTGCAATACTACGACCTCACAGAACACACGCCTCAAGTCACAACTCAACAACTGCAGTCTTGTCTCGTCCACTGCAACACGACCTCACAGAAGACAAGCCTCAAGTGAAAGCAATTCCAAGTACAGTCTGATTAATATACATACCAGAGACCTAATTTTAGTCATCTTTCCCTTCCTAGACTAAGCTGACGCATGGTCGATGCAAAGTGGGCCTTGGCTTCCACCAACAAGTCTCCGCTTTCCCCGATCCCGTCCCAACTCAATCTATAAAACCGGTAATTTCATATCCTACCCTTTCCTTATAGAGGGGGATATTTTATATTTCTATACCCTCCCCAGTCATTTAACGGTAACGTATACGCAATTGCAGAAGCCTGAGCAGGGATCGCTTTGCTATTTCGGCAAATTTAAGTGGGTGCTTGTTCATTTACCATACCAATTCCTTTTTGACGTTCCTCTGTTTCCTTGTTGAGATGAAACTAGATATAATTTTTTTTAAATTTTGTTACAGATAATGCCTGAAGTACATCCAGCTTTTGCGGAGGCGGGAAAGAAACAAGGATTGGAGATATGGCGTGTTGAAGTAAGTAATTAATCCAATAATCCTATTTATGATCATCCTGTAGTTTCACCAATGTAGTTTATAGTATGTACTCTTCCATACATCTTTATTAGGTGGCGTCCATAAATTACGTGAGGTGTTTAAGGAGTCGAGTCAAATCTCATCTAATCTTACGTTTCAGAGGGGAGGGTCTCGGCAAATATCACGTATTTTTTTTCTGATTAAAAAAAAAAGCAAAAGCACGAAGCAATTTTTTTTCACAATAATAATCTAACGCGTTTACGTAAGAGACTCACATTTTGAAAAATCTCACGTGAGATTGGGGGATGGGGGTTGAATAAAATATCGCGACATCTCACCAGGGAGGGAGGTGCAGAAAATTAAAAAAGCTCTATTTATTAACAATATTTATTTCTTTCTCTAGTATATCCTCTTCCTGTCTACACGTCTTTAATTCGAATATTATTTAAAATTTGACACTGCGATGGTAGCTCCGTCTGTCGGATCCAATGTAAAACATTCCAAAATCAACAACTACTAATAAATTAAAAAAAACATTGTCCAGCGGACAAAATTGTGAATCTAAACCATTCCCAGATACCCTTGAACACACACAAAAAATTTCATCAAAAATCGGTCCAGTCGTTTGAGAGAAGTTCAGTGACATACACACTCACAGAAGAATTATATATATAAAGAAGATATTGCCTATGGTTGAAAATACTGTCAGATCAAACACATTATGTAAATATCTAGCTAATTAATAGAGTAATTTCTAGATAGAAAGTCTTTTGACCTTGGGGGGATATTTTTAAAACGCGTAGCTATGCGCAAACAAAAAACAACGCATTAAACATCCGGTGAGAGCTAGGTGATTGGAAAAAGAAAAATACTAGAGATTCTTTGTACGTCTAATTTAAATTAAAACAAGATTTCGTTCGCACAGAATGAAAAAAAAAACTTAGTAGTCTATGTGTTCTTTCAGACTATGTTCTACATCTATGCAAAATTTCAGCGAGATCCATGCAGTTCTGGACATACTTTCTAACATACAGATCCATCCATCCAAGTCTTCACATTTATAATATTCACAAGACTAGCTGTCGCCCGTGACTTTGTCTGCGAAATTAAAAATAAATTAGTAGCTTATGTGTTTTTACTATGTTCTACATCTATGACAAAATTCATTAAGATCCATGCAGCAGTTCTGGAGATATCTTCTAACAAACATTTTTTTTTTATGTCATAAGTTGGCAAACGAGCGAGCGGCCACCTGAAATCGCTGAAATAGCGAAGTGACTGCTGCCCATAGACATACGCAATTGCATATGCGTTGCCTACCTTTAATCGACGGAGGAGAGGATGCACAGAAAGAAAATATTTTCCCTTTCCATGCATCCTGTCATCCGGAAAGTCCACTTCCCCTTCCCATCCTTTCCTTTTAAGAAAAAGGGTGGGAAGGGAAAGTGGACTAAATTAGGTCTCCGGAACGCACCATCATCAGACTGTTGTTGGAATTGCTTCCACTTGACGCCTGTCTTCTGTGTGGTGGTGGTATTTCACCGGGCGAACCTGGTCAATTCGTGCGAAGATGTTAAAGCGGGCTCTACCACTGTTAAATCATCACATCTACACATTCGCATTTATAATAAGATATGGCTATTGCTTTCTTATTCTTGGCTTTAAGCCTAATTTCTTTTATTACTACATTATTATATTTTTGTATTTTAAAATCAATGAATAAAGTTTTATGTTCTCTTTATGTATATTAAACATAAAATGCCTAAAGTAATCATCATTAACATTGTTGACGTAAGATTTTCGAAGTAATGTTGTAAATTATATTTAAACTCGACAAATTTATGTCTCTATCAAAGTGTACGATATAAAAACAATTTTATGGTTCCTATAATTTTTTATTATCTGTTGATTTGAAGTCAAAAAAATAGTTGAATGGTTGCAAAGATAGAGGAATACCAAAGTATGGATTTTAGGAAAGCGGATATGCGTAAGAATGGATTCAGATATGACTGGTAGGGATGTATGGAGTACATACTTTGTTTTGCGTAGGGACAGACTGAAATAGAAGAAAATGCTTAACAAATACATGGTCTAATAAAAGATGAATTCAAAGATATGTGAAAAGTCAAACCGTAGTGGGTCACCATTCACTATTACCTAGTTTCACTTAGGGTACTCCGAGACCCTCAGTGGGGCCTTATAGCTGATGGTGATGACTAGTGGTCACCCAACTCCTCCATCACAGTATTTAAGTATCCTATAATATGCGCGCGTTCATCAGCTATCTTCCCGTCAAAATAGGTCAAGCCGTTCCGGAGATCACACGGAACAAACGCGAATTTGCAAACATAGATCTTTAAAATATTATAAATGCGAATGTTTAGATGTTTGTTTGTTTGAAGATATCTCCAGAAAAGCTGTATGGATCTCGTCTGGAAGAACACATACTAATTAAGTCGCGGGCGACAGCTAGTCTAAATATAAATATCATTTACTAACAAATGATGTGTTCCTCATTAGTTACAGTAAAATGTTTTATTTGATAATGTAACAATTACGTTAATTATGTCTGTAAATAATTTCATGTTCAAGTTATATTTAACATGCTTTTGTCAAACTATAAATATACAGGTGTCATTGCCCTTTTATAATACACTAGCGGTGGTAAGAAAAATGAGTATGTGTTCTTACAGACTATGTTCTACATCTATGATATATATAAAGCGGAAGGGTTTGTTTGTTCGTTTGTTTATACACATTAATCTCAGGAACTAGTGGTCCGATTTGAAAAATTCTTTTTTTTGTTGGATAGTCCATTTATAGAGGAAGACTTTAAGCTATGTAACATAACGTTGTGACCAACATAACGTGTGTTTTTGTTTAATTCCGCGCGTACGTAATCGCGGCCGACAGCTAGTCTATGATAAATTTCATCTAAATTCATTCAGCCGTTATGGATACATTCTAACAAACATCCATCTAAACATTCTCATTTATATTATTAAGATTAGTCAGTAAATGTATAACGAATTGTGTATAAAAGATGTTTTTAACGATTTTAATGTGACCAATAGTCGCCATTTGTTCGAAATTCGACCCACTGTTGATTTTGACTAACTAAAATTTCTATGTAGTTAATAAAATCGTATGCATAAATTCGTCTGTCTCTGATAATACGGTTACTGTGATATAAATAGACTCCCAACGTAGATGTACAAATATTCAGGTACAGGGTGTTCTATAACTCTAAATCATTGTAAACATGGGTTGTTATGAAACTTGTGAAAAAAATGTTTAATGGATCCTTGGGTTGATGGTTAATCTTTTAATAATAATAAACAAAAAATACAAATTTAAATTCTAGCACAAAAATAAAACATAAAATTCTTTAGGGCACATGTGACCACTTGGCCAGCACTGGACAGTACAATCCCACTCTAGTCCAGTCTTTTGTCAAGATTCTATTTTTTTTTGATTGATTGTAAAGTATAGAGTAATTAAAATTATTGACAGACAGACAGACAGAGTTAATTTCGCATTTAAAATATTAGCAAGGATTTTCCCTTTGACAAAAAAGAAATATGTTTTTTTTTAACAGTAAATTTTAAAGTAATATTATTTACATACTTTTCAATCACCCTGTATAATTTTAACTATCGTTTTACACAGGAAGTGTAGACGCGGTGAGTTGTCTCTAAATCTGTACTTACACATACTTTTGTATACAGCGTGTTTATTTTCTTGTAGTTTTGCGGAGTAAATATTACTCTAGTTTTTGAATCGATTAACATTTTTTTTAAATCATTCTGTAGATTTTTAAGTTCAAAACACATGTAGAATAAAATATTGTGATTTTTTTAATTTTTTTTTAATAATAACATGGTTTTAATAAGTTTTTAGCAATGGAAAACCCTTTATACCTTTACTAGCAGTCTCCCACTCCGTCTGCGCGGAATAACAAAAGCTTCATTAGTAGTCTATGTGTTCTTCCAGACTATGTTCTATATGTATGACAAATTTCATCAATATCCGTTCAGCCGTTCTTTAGATATCTTCTAACATACATCTAAACATTCGCATTTATAATATTTATATATTTTGTTTCAGAACTTTGAACCCGTCGCGATACCTCTAAATCAGTATGGTAATTTTTACTCAGGAGACTCTTATATCGTGCTTAAGGTATGTACGATCAGAAATTATTCAATTAATTAAGTACTAATTTATTATATTTTACTTTTAAACTATACACTAACTAGTTCTCGCCCGCGACTTAGTCTGCGAGGAATTAAAAAAAAGTTAATTAGTAGTCTATGTGTCCTTCCAGACTATGTTCTACATCTATACCAAATTTTAGTAAGATACTGGTTTAAATTTTATAAGAAGGTCCAAATATGATATTGGGACCTTCAAAAGTAGAGTGAATAGGCACTTACTAAGCTAGCGCGTACCATCTTTCGACCAAATCTCCACTAACACCAGGTGGGATCGTGGTCAAGCGCTAGCTTATAAAACTTAAAAAAAATACTGTGAGCCGTTCAGGAGATACCTTCAAACATACATCCATGCATTGGCATTTATAATATTAGTAAGATTTAAGACAACTTCGCGACTCCTTTAATTTGTTTTTTTTTATTTATTGAAAAAGAGATAAATTTATTACCAAAATAGATGGCGTTGTTACAAAACCTATTTTTAATTATAGAGGGCGCCTATTCAAGTCAAAATAACTCCTTTTTACTATGCAAAATTTAATATACTGTTTGGAAGAAAATCCGAAGATGAGCCAGTGTATTGACTCAACACTAGCCTTACTAAAATGTCGACGTTTATGTCCCCTCACTTTTCATTCTGACACTTGACTTTGTAACGAAAGCACGCCATTCGCGCTAAATGATTCCAGCTTATAATATCGAAACATACTTATCAAAATCCAACAGACGTCAGGTGCATCAAACCTGTCCTGGGACATCCACTTCTGGCTGGGCACCAACACCAGTCAGGATGAAGCTGGGGCAGCTGCCATCTTGTCTGTCAATCTGGATGACGAACAATTCCATGGAGATGCTGTACAACACAGAGAGACACAGGGTCATGAGTCTAGACAATTCCTGAGTTACTTTGAACCTGGTAAGTAGTAAAAAAAAAATTGCGCAATTTCTTTTCTAGCACATTCGCGTTGTGGAATGACATGTCCAGTATTTCTAAACTAATACGACTTAGGAAAACTAAACAAAACAAAAAAACTCAAATATGCAAAAAAAAATTACCTAAACTCAACAAAACAAAACAAAAGAAGCGAGCATATCCTTAAAGGCCGGTAACGCATCTGCAGTTCCTCTGGTGATGTCCATAGGTGTCTTTGATCACCTCAGTGTTCTCTCTCGTTTGACCTTTGACTTAAAAAAAATCTAGTCGATATTCTTTAAAAAAAATTGAAGAATAACTAATGTACTGAAATATTTCACTTGAATATTTTACAGATCAAAAGATTTCTAGAAAAAAAACATCGTCAGAAAAACGCAAGTATTTTGCATGGAAAAGGGACATTATAAATATTATGGGATAAAATACGAATATATTTTGTTGAAATGGAATGTTTATATATTTATTCGAAATGGGAAATCTATATATATAAAATAAACTGCTGTTCGTTAGTCTAGCTAAATCTCGAGAACAGCTGAACTGTATTATCTTATCTTGGTCTTGTAATGTTCTTGGAGGTCTAGGGAACAGAAGACAGGCGTCAAGTGGAAGCAATTCCGCGTTTCGTCTGATGAGTGTGCGTCCCGGAGGCCTAAATTAGTCCTATTTCCCTTCCCACCCGTTTTCTTATAAGGAAAGGATGGGAAGTGGACTTTCCGGATGAGAGGATGCATGGAAAGAGAAAATGTTTTGTTTCTGTGCATCCTCTCGGTCGATTAAAGGTAGGCAACGCATATGCAATTGCGTATGTCTATGGGCAACGGTCACTTCGCGATTTCATGTGGCAGCTCGCTCGTTTGCCACCTTATGATATTAAAAAAAGTTTATGCGAAAATTCTATTTGCATGTGGAATACAAGCCTTTTGTATAAATTAAATTCCGGTGTATCTTTATATTGAAAACATTGCATGTCTTCATAAAATTATAAAAACTATATTACCATCATTTATTTGGGCAAAATACAGTCGAAAGAAAGTCACAAGACAGCGACATATTTCTCGCTTATAGAGGTTTCTATATAACCAGAGTTTCTCGCTGATGGAGGTCGGGACCTGATAATGACTCGCTTATAGAAGTTTGATTGTATTGGGTTTTAAACTTCTAAATGGTAGCTTTGGATTTGTTAAGTAAACATTTTGATGTTTAAAACATGATTTGGGGATTGAAATGGATGCATTTTTAGGCTTATCATTTCACAGATTCCCAATCTTGGAGACCACATTCATAATGTGATTTTGAAACAGCAAATTGTAACCCCTTAAATTTATTTTCCTGCATCACACTTCCCGGGTGTCTCCATGGGGTCCTAAACCACTTTGATTATGACTATTCTATATTTCTATATTAATTAATAAGTTTCTTTCCAGCTATTAGATATATGGATGGTGGGCATGCTTCAGGCTTTAGTCATGTGACCATCAATCCTGGAGCTGAGAAGAGATTGTTCCAGATTAAAGGCAGAAGAAATGTCCGTGTTAAACAGGTAAGATCTGCTTTGAAATGACGTAATGAAAACGTTTTTTAGGGATCCTTTTCTGCCTTCAGTCTGGTCAATTTCTAGTAAAGAATGCGATTTTTTTAATCTTAAGAATTTCCTTCATCGTAAGAACGTCGGATAAATGTAAATCGGAAATCGAAAAGTACATGGCAACCCAAGACCTGCAGATTGCAAGTCAAGTGTTTGACCCCTGAGCCACCGACGCTCTGAAGCTGAATCTAGATTCCAATAATGTTTTGTTTCAGGTTGAAGCTTCAGTTAAATCAATGAACAAGGGTGATTGTTTCATATTAGATGTTAACCACGATATCTTTGTGTACGTGGGAGATGGTTCCAAGACTGTAGAAAGATTGAAAGCTATAACTGTTGCTAATCAGATCAAAGATCAGGACCATAATGGAAGAGCTAATATTGAGATTATTGGTGAGTAGGCAAATTTCAATGACACTATTTCATTTAACCATGGTGGAGGCAGCTTTAACATTAAAGGAATTGTCTCGTCCAGTGCAATACCACGACCACACAGGACGCCTTAAGTATGAAGCTATTCCAACTACAGTCTGATGAGTGTGTTTGGGAGGACTCATTTCAGTCCTCTCTCCTTTCCTATCCTTTCCTTATAAGGTTGATTTGCTATTTTGGTGAATTCAGCTGGCCGCTTGCTCGTTTGCCAAATTACTATAAAAAACCCTTGATGCCACTCAGTCAGCTAAAACATCGATTTCGCAACAAAATTGTTGATTTTAAATTTTTAACAAAATTTGGTCCTAAAAATGCACCTTGCGATAGTCTCCATAATTTCACAATTTCTTTTAGATCCGTTCTCCCATGAAGGTGATCTGGAGAAGTTCTTTGAAGCACTCGGCTCTGGTGATCAGGATTCAGTGCCTGATGCTGAGGAAGGTGGTGACGATGAAGTAAGGAATGATAAACTATGCCAAAAGCTTATGAGAAATCAATTTATTTGGGTAGTTTTTGATTTTAAATTCTTTATTCTTTAGGAGTTTGAAAGAGGAAGTACCAAAGAAGTAACACTTTCCGAGATATCAGACAGGACTGGTCAATTGGAGATCAAAAAACTCTCTGGACCATTGAATAGAGAACTATTGGATACCCAGGTTTGTATTGAACGATGTCCTTTCCTTACCCTTTTGTTATACATAAGTAAAGGATGGGAAGGGGAAGGGGATTTGATTGATGGAGGGGAGACGTAAAGGGGAAATATTCTCTGTCTGTGCGCTCCTAAGTAGACTAAAGGTAGGTAATGCATCTACAATTGCGCATGTCTATGAGCAGCAGTTATTTCGACATTTTGGCGAATTCAAGTGGTCGTTTGCTCTTATAGTATAACAAAATATTTCCTTGTTATTCTGTTCTTATTGCAAATTCTATCTTTGTATTAATTAAAAGAATGAACTATTTCCCAATTGTAACACGAGTGTGTTACAAAATTTTAATGTTACAAACTTTTAATAAATTACTTATACATGTCATTTTTATTAAAATAAGTCGTAAATATGTTGTAAAAAATAAAAATTTCATGTTACTTACGTCAACAGTTTTGTTACATGGGTGTGTTACAATTTTTTAACTTTTACAAATCTATCTTACTCTAACTATTTCTAGTAATTCATCATCATCAGCTCACTATACGTCCCCACCGAGGGGCTCGGAGCCTACCCGAAGTTACGGGTGACTAGGCCATAGCCAACCACGCTGGCCAAGTGCGGGTTGACTTCACACATATGTTTGAGTTTGTCAGATATGTGCAGCATCACGATGTTTTCCTTCATCGTAACGTCGGATAAATGTACATATGTAAATGGGAAATGGAAAAACACATCGGTACATGTCGGGATTCGAACCCAGGACCTGCTGATTGCAAGTCAAGTGCTTGACTCCTGAGCCACCTACGCTCTCTTTTTCTAGTAATTAAATGATTATAAATTATTACTCGATTTTTTAATATAATAGTAATTTTGACAGGAATGTTACATTTTGGACACCGGCAGCAGTATCTATGTATGGGTCGGCAGGAAATCCAATGGAACGGTAGGAATTATTTGTACTTTAAAATTAAATTAAACATTACTTTAACCAAATCCATTATGTTTTTTATTAATAAATAAGTTTTAAGATTAAATAAATAAAAAATTAAGAGATTATGACGTCTGTATAGTCAACTACAGGATGTTAATTTATATTTTAGGAGAAATCAGCAGCAATGGCGAAAGCAGAACAATATTTGAAAGCCAACAATTATCCTGCTTGGGTAAGATATTTTAATTTTAAAATATTTTTAAATAACTAACTTTCACCCGCGACTTCGTTAGCGTTTAAGAAAATAGCCTATAACATTCTTGTGTACATCAGCTTCCTTTAAGTTCTAGTCTCTTCAAAATCTGTCCACACGTTCCCCAGATTATAAGAAACATACACAAACCTACGGACAGAGAGACAATCAAAAAATTAAAAATGGAATTTCCCTTATAAGCAATAACAAGTAATATCACAGACCTAATTTTACTACCCTATCGCTCAACTTTTTCTTATAAGGAATAGATAGGAAAGAGAAGTGGATTTGACAGGGGAGGGGACGCAAAAGAAGAGGAAACATTTGTGTGCTTCCGTATGTCTATGAGCAGCAGACGCTTCGCTATTTCGCTGAATTTATGTGACCACTTGTTCTATTGCCTTCTTATAATATATAATAAAAAAAAAATCTTGTTCATGAAATGTTTTTTTAATATTACAAAGCTAGAAGGTAACTTATGTGTGTTGTTTTTTTTTTAAATTCCACACTGACTGACACGTTTAAAATTTTTATTTCCCAATGAATATTATTAAAATAGAAAAAAAAGCCTTTAAAATGTGCATTATTTTAGGTACATATATCAAAAGTGACGGAAGGAGCTGAAGCGGCTGCTTTCAAACAATATTTTGTTGACTGGAATTAAATTTAAATGCGTGTCCATTGTCTAAAAACTTGTATAGAAACAAGGTCTTATTTTACTCCACTTTCACTTCCTACCCTTATTAGTAAAGGATGGGAATTGGAAGTGGACTTTCCGGATGAGATGCATGGGAAGGGAAAATATTTTTTCTTTCTGTGCATCTCCTCCGTCGATTAAAGGTAGGCAACACATATGCAATTGCGTATGTCTATGGTCAATGGTCACTTCGCTATTTCAGCGATTTTATGAGACCACTCGCTCGTTTGCCACTTTATGATATAAAAAAGGAGTCACAGAAAGAGAATATTTTCCCTTCCGATGCCGGATGAGGCATAGGAAGGGAAAATATTCTCTTCTCCTTCTCTGTATCCTTCGTAGATTCGCTATTTCAGCGACTTCAGTTGGCCGCTCGTTTGCCACTTTATAATATAAGATTTTTATAATCTCAGACAGTTTGTTTTGATGCAAGTTTTATGTCAATGGAATTTCATTATATCGCTTGAAATGAATCTCTATATCAAAATGCACAAATTATATTTTGCTTTTAGTGTTGTAACTGTAGGATTTTCGTGACACTTGTATACAAATGATAGGACATGTATACATGTGTCACTTTGTACGTGTAGTACAAAATGTAAACATGAGACAGTTGTATACTCTTCGTAGTATAATGTGTATACATTTGACACTTGTATACAAGATGTATACACATGTCAATGCAGTGGAGTTTTATTTTATTATTCATTTTAAGATACACAAAAATGTTACAAAATCTCTTTCAGTATTCGAATAATTTTTTTTGGCTTGTGATTTTACATTTTTTTTATTAATAACGTTTGAGTTTCAAATTATCAATGTTGTATAATTGCTTTAAAAGTGAAATTAATACTAAAGTATAGTTACGTGCTTTATGTTGCATTTATATTTTTAACAATTTATAATTGTGTTTATTTTGTGATTTTTTTTAATATGTAAGTTTAGTTGATATATTTAAGTTTGTCAAATAAATGTGTATGAAAAAAATGTGTTTTATTTTAAAGATATTAGATTTAATTGGATACCTAATCTATTATGGTAACGAGAAATTTGTCTTGAATTTAAAGTACATTTTGGGGTTAGTTTAATATAGCGCCTGATGAAAATTATCTGCAATTTCTCTTGTTATTGTATTGCTAATATATTTTTAAAGGAGTAAATTATTTTCAAATTACTTTCATTCGATTACTATTATCAATTTTGAGACGATGACATTTAATTACTAACGCATAAGTGTCATAAGATGGGGGAGGCCTACTTCCAGCAGTGGACAAGTTTAGGCTGAGTATGATGATGATGAAGAGACATAATTTATAAACGCTTGTTCCTTTCCATACTCATGCTATAAGATTTAATTAAGAAATCCAAGCTTTTTGTAATTGATCAACTTTTTAAAGCAAAATATGTTTTGTACAGTTTGTAGTATATTTTACAATAAACCCGTAACAGATTAAAGAATATCCTATATGTCCCCTACCCCGCTAAATGACAAAATGGTAGGGAAGGGAAGAGGACTGATTTAGTCTCTGACACTCATCAGACTGTAGTTGGAATTAAAAAATTGTATCTTGAATGACAAAAATCTTACTAATTACTAATAAATGCGAATGTTTAGATATAAGAAGATATCTCCGGAACAACTGCATGGATCTCGCTGAAAAGCAAGTAGAACATAGTCTGGAAGAACATATACTAATTAACATGTTTTTAATTTCGCTCGGACGGAGTCGCGTGCTACAGCTAGTCAATAAATAAAACACAACTGTACAAAACAATTTTATTACAAAACTTATAAATTTATTATACAATATTTGAGACATTTATAAATTTTTTTTTACAATTTAATTTTGTACATTGAAATATTTAAATAAACTAATTATTGCTTTATCATAGATTACATCTAAATACGTCATTTAATAATTAAATACAAGAAACAGAACGACAAAGATATCTGACGCGGTGGCAATAAGTCAAATAAAATTATGACATCTCACTAACGCCTTAATGTCAGTGTCAAATGATCCTTGTCACTCATCTTTATAAATGGACTAGCGGACCCGACAGACGTTGTCCTGTCTACACGTCTTTAATTCGAATATTATTTAAAATTTGACACTGCGATGGTAGCGCCGTCTGTCGGATCCAATGTAAAACATTCCAAAATCAACAACAACTGATAAATTAAAAATTAATTAAAAAAACATTGTCCAGCGGACAAAATTGTGAATCTAAACCATTCCCAGATCCTTTTGAACACACAAAAAATTTCATCAAAATCGGTCCAGTCGTTTGAGAGAAGTTCGGTGACATACACACTCACAGAACAATTATATATATAAAGATTGCTTGAAAATTACAGCTTTGATTTCGGTTCTTTAACACATTCGCTAAAAAGCGATTCTAAACAATAATTTTCGATAAGTTAAGAAATGTATTATGGAATCGCTTATTAGCGAATGCATTTTATCAAACCCCGCAGTTGTTACGTTACAGTTAATTATAAAATTAGTTCAAAACCTCACCACCACAAACCGCTATCAACAGCGTTAAAATGTCGAAAATATGGGCACAAAATATTACGTCTTTTAACCAGTCCATTTATAAAGGTCTAAGACACCAAATCTCTGCATAAAACATATCAGCCCTGTCTTTCATCTTTCACAAAACAAAGATAAGTTTTAAACGAAGATTTTCGCCTCAGAAATCCACAATAACCGGATCAGATTTATCGGACTATATTACCATATCAAAAATATCTATAAAACAAAGTCATTGGTAAAAAAACAAGGATATACAAAGAAATTGTAAAAAAATGTCCATAGACAAACATAACATTTAATTTTCAATGAATGGAGTATTATACAGTCGTACCTGGATAAGCGAGAAACATCCATAAGCGAGAGTCATTGTCTGGTGCGAGAAACTCCGAGTTAGAAAGAAACCTCTATAAGCGAGAAACTCGAGTTAGAGAGAAACCTCTATAACCGAGAAACTCGAGTTAGAGAGAAACCTCTATAACCGAGAAACTCGAGTTAGAGAGAAACCTCTATAAGTGAGAAACTCGAGTTAGAGAGAAACCTCTATAAGCGAGAAACTCGAGTTAGAGAAAAACCTCTATAAGCGAGAAAGATACCTATGTCCTGTGATTTGTGTTTATCCAGGTACCACTTTAATATCTATATGTATTCAATCTTGAGGCTAAAAAATTAGAAAAATGTAGAGTTTTATATACTAGTTCTTATACCTATTTTATTGCAATTTAACAATCAAACTTACTTTAAGAGAAAAGACTATGTGAATTTCTCGTAATTTGTAAATCAAATAACCTTAATAAATGAGAAACTACTAAAAGTGAGTCTTTAAACGAGAAAAATATCACAATTGTCAACCTCATTTATCCAGCGTCAAATGTTTAGATGGATGGATGGATGTTAGTTATAAGGTATCACCAAAACAGCTAAATGGATCTTAATGAAACTTAGCATAGGTGTAAAGCGTAGTCTGGAAGAACACATAGGTTTTTTTTTGACAGGACAGTTGCGGATGACAGTTTTTGTGCCAAGAGTTAAATTGGCTTATATACCAATTTAGTACCTATTTTATATATATCTTTATGTATATAATTGACTTTGAATTGGCCCCTTCGGAAACTTTAAGATTTTCTCATGTTGACTCATATGAATTATTAAGTAAATTAAAATTCAAAGATATGTGTGAAGTCAACCTGCACTTGGCCAGTGCGATTGACTATGGCCTAGTCACCCCTATCTTAGTTTAACCTAATTAACCCCGGGGATGTATAGTGTAGTGTATAGTGAGCTGATGATGATGATATAATTTAAGCTATATTATAATTTGATGTACATGATGATGTTGGCTTCCTTAATTTCTCTTTAATAATATCGCAAGGTGATTTTGTACTGAAATCGAATCTTACTATATTTGAGTTGATTATCTCTTTGATGTATGGAGCTGGGACGGTTTTTAATCTTGATGTTAGTACTTTACCAAATGTAGAACATTTACCATGTTTTATCTTTTGTTTTAATATATAAGACATATCTGTTATACAAGGTAAGAGTGGTTCAGGCTTTATTGTTGGTATGTCTTCATCAAAATCATTGAAGTTAAGTTCAAATATGGATTCCGTTGAACTACTTTTGCTAAGATCTTCTGGTAATGGTTTTGATGGTCCGCATGGTGTTTGTAATGCCTTCATTAAGTCTATAACGTAATCCTGATCGTCTGTTTCCATTTTATTCGACTTTTCTTCCAATTTTTGTTTCTCTTCGATCTCTCGCTTTTCTTTCGCTTTTAACATATTTGCTACCTGTTCTGATAGCTTGTCTAATATTTGACTGTTATTTTCACTTAATGTAGGTATTGGTAGACGTTTGTTAGGCGAATGTAAGAAAGATTCAGAAACACTACCGTTGTGGGATAAACTTTTTACATTAGGTATAGGTAAGGATCTCTTTGTATCATCGTTTGACGAACTTTCTCTTAAACTGGTCTGTGAAAGATGACTATCGACTAACGCGAATAATGAAGAATACACTTTTGATTCCATTTTTGCACAACAATTCCTTGTTATTTCACTTTACTAAACTATAAAAGTTATTTTGTTTTGATAACAAAGACGTAATACTATGACATAGACAATGAATTTTGTTTATGTGATGACATTTGTCAGATGACATTACTAAAGTTGCCATGATAAGAAAAATTCACCCAACTTTACCGAACTAAAAGTGGAAAATATCAAAAAGAATTTCAGCCTGATGAATTTATAAAGATTTGAGGTTTATTTGTTCCTGAATAAAAGGCGAAATTCACAGAGAAACAGACATAAATATTTCGAAAATTATTTTTACGTTATAAATATACGCAACACAAATACTCATATATAATAAAATATATAATAAAAAAAAGTAAAAAAAAAGTAATGGTCGCAAAAGATGAAATTCTTTCTTTTATATTATTATAGACACTCTAATTTTATTAATTGTATTGAAATTGTGACTAATGGAACCTCAATTGGGAATCCAATTTGTCCCTTGTTCGAGCATTTTAACCGAAGTTACTTTCGTAATGATTTTTGTTATTTAAATAGAATCTTTCCCTGTCTACACTTAAGCAGAATTTCACAACGATTTACGAATAACATTTTATCTGGAATAAACAAAAGATGGGAAAATCTTGGAACAAGTATAACGAGTTCTAACTAATCATATCGACCATTGACTTGTTTTCTTGACATTTGACCGTAAGACGAACACACGAATGGCCATAGACCATTTATGTGCCTTTTAAAATCAGTCGCACGGTCATTCCGTGATACAAAGTCGTGTGATATACAGAGAGAAAAAGTTCTTTTGTTAATCCGATTGTAATTACGTGAGTAAATTATATTTTTTACTTTAAATGTTATTGATTATATTATATTTGTGTTTTTTATACAGCAAGCTCTTCTATAGAAATTATTAATGAGACGGTGTTTTTAAAACTTTTTTTATGATGAATGTTGTACTATTATGATCTCATAGTTATAGAATTATATCGGATTGTTTTAGACAGATTATATTATTTTAAGATAGATTTTTCATAATTTATTCTTCCAAATATTACTTTTAAGTAGTGGCTGATATGAAAAGGTGCCTTTGAAGTTTTTTTTTTTAATTACAAAATTTTACGAAGGAGTTTAAATACTTTTTTATGAACTTTCCTAATAAATACATCTATTTATTGGAAACCGGACATACAGATCGAAGGAATATTGTTTTAATTATTTCGTCGTAATCATTCCATGAACCTAATCAAATTGACCTATGTCGTAACAAATCTTGTTCTCTGATAAAACTCAACAATTTATCTATGAATTTACGTTGTTTATAACTTTAAAACATAAGATTTCATGTACGACTACTACTTATATTTAGTAAAAAAAATATATTTTTACTGTTTTTCACTCGCAAACAATTCTTTCGTCTTCTATTCAACTTTAATTATTGTTAAAAAGTTGGATGTAAAATAAAACTAGAATCTCTATTGACTATTATGACATCAAATGACAGTTCACTTTTTTCAAACCGGTCAAGACGTTTAAGAAAAAAGGTCGCAATTGAATATATAACCGCGAAAGTTAACAGATGTTATCAACAACTGGTCCATGTTGCATGAATATGTCGGCTTGACCGTTGCAATACGACCACAAAGAAGGCAGGTGTGAAGGTGAAGCAATTCCGCGTAGTCTGATGATTGTGCGTGCCGAAGGCGTAATTTTACTCGTCTTTCCCTTCCCACCCTTTGCTTATAAGGAAAAAATGGGAAAGGGAAGTGGATTTGACGGAGGGGACGCATAGGAACTGGAAGTATTCTCTTCCTGTGCGTCCCCTACCGTCGATTAAAGGAAAGAAACACAATGCGGATGTCTATGGGCTGCGTTCGCGGCGAAGTCAGGTGGCCGCTTGCTTGTTTCATCAGCAGCTAACTATATGTCCCCACTTAGGGTCTCGGAGCCTACCCTAATTTAGACTATGCCATACTGAATGCCCAGTGCTGGTTGACTTCACATATCTTTGACTTTCTCAGATATTTGCAGCATCACGATATTTTCCTTCAACGTAACAACATAGGATAAATGTACATATGTTATTCGAAAACACATTGGGACATGACAAGGCATGCAGATTACAAATCAAAAGTTTTAACCCCTGACCGTTTGTTTGTCTGTTCCTTGTTTGTTTGTCACCTTATAATTAAAAATGTTATTGACAGATTCATGATATTTTTGTTACTTAGGTTGTATAAAAGTTACTGGAGCTTTGTTAATCTGTAGCTAACTGTGCAATCGTCAATACAATCTATAAACACGCATCAATTCACGTAACTACTTACAAACAACAATACAATGTAGTCATTGTTTTGAATAAGACTTTAGTCATGAGAATGACTAAGAAAAACACGGATTTTTTTGCAATTTTATAACACAACTAGCTGTCGCCGGCGACTCCGTACGCGCATAATTAAAACTATTGGTCGCAGCGTAATGTTATATATCTTAAAGCCTTCCTCTATAAATGGACTATACAACAAAAGAAGAATTTTTCAAATCGGATCAGTAGTTCCTGAGATTAGCGCGTTTAAACAAACTCTTCCGCTTTATAATATTAGTATAGATTTAATTATGTTCAATCTATAACGACTAATAAGAACAGATTAATGAAATGAGAGCATAACAAAGTAGTTTATAATTATTAATCACAAAATGATTTTATTCCGACAGTTTAAGAACTGTACTAAAGACACATCTAATTGAAAATGTATTGTTTAAGATCAAGTTAGTTGACGAGGAAACTTATTCCCAGATCGATTGTTATCTTTTTAGCATAAGTATTATAATTTTAGCAATAAAGCTATAAATGTATATTTTTTTAAATATAAGTAGATTATTGTTGTGCTAGGATGGTTTACAATAGTTGAATGGCGGGACTCGAACCCTCGATCTCGTAATTGGAAATCTGTACCTTTAACCATTAGGGTATTGACGAATTGTAATCAATATTAATATGTCAATTAAAAATGCCGTCGTAACATTTTCAATGACTTATGTCATTCCAAAAGAAACTTTATACAACTACTAGCTGTCGCCCGCGACTCTGTCCGCGCGGGATTAAAAATAGATGTTGGCCGATTCTCAGACCTACTTAATATGATCACAAAATTTCATGAGAATCGGTCAAGCCGTTTCGGAGGAGTATGGGAACGAAAATTGTGACACGACAATTTTATATACAAGATTTTATATCTTTAACGACAATTTAAAAAAAAATATACATTGCATATTTCTTGTTATAGCAAAATTCTTTGTTTTAAAATGAAAATAATTATAACAGGAAAAAATAGTCTTAACCTTGTTTGTTCTTGTCGGTTAGTCACGTAACATCCGGCCAATGACCGGTAGCACATATCTACTTACAAATCCAAGGTTCAAACCTCGGTTGAATACTAGATAGCTCTGCAGTACTTTGAAGTTGCAACATTACTTTATATTTCTAAAATAAACGTAGCCTAAGTTACCCCTTATTATATAAGCTACCTGACAATAAAAGTCCTGTCAAAATTGGTCAAGCCATTTCAGGGATATTTTCATTCATTTATATTAATTATTAGCTTTAATAATAACGGACAGAACCTTAGAGTACAAGTACGAAAACGTACCTACAGAAAGCAGGACCATAGAACTACGAATTACACAGTGTGACATAGCCCTGAACCCTATTAACTTTCAATCCCCTCCCAACTCCTCTCAGAAGGCTTGGTAACTAAAAGAGGGTCATAGAACTCTTCCCCAGGGCACAAACTTACTATTGACAGATTTTGAAATGTGTTTGAACATTCTATTCTTACTTGCAATAATAACGATTGTGTTTTAGCAGATTTTAAGATAATAAAAATTTAAAATTTATATTTTCATTAACAGGATGAAATCTTTATCTATATGGGCCTTGTTGGCCCTGTTTGTCTGCGTGCAGTCGCGTACTACACACGTTCAACAGCCAATCACAGCACAGATAACCTCACTAACAGACAAGGTAAGTTAAAAGATTAGTATCGTGGCAGTGAAAGTTTCTCCTTACTATAACTAGATGGCAGCACTGTTAAATGTAGCACACGCTTACGTTTTTTGTACTGTTAAGTGTTTTTTAAAACTGCGAAAGACATCATGTTGCGGCCTCCCAATAGAGTAATAATAACGAAATTACGGTCCGAGCCGAAGTTCCTGAGGGAGCCCTCGAGGTTAGTTACTCTTAAACGAAGTTAAGGGTAAGTGCCATCTGCGCTTGGCCACCGCAAGCCCAGTGAAGCTATTTAGGCCTCCTCGAGACAAACAGTGGTAATTCAGTCACAAAAAAGAAACCTTAAGTTAGGTAATTCACAAACATGTAGGGTAATTCACAAACATGTAGGTTACGTTTATTCATGGTCCTTCAACCGGGTTTGGCGAGAGGAAATTTTATTAAATAGTACCATCAGATGAGAAGCACCGTTCGAATTGTGAGTCAAATCGGAATTCGGAATTACTAGATGGCGCTACTATGAAAGTTAAAACACGCTTTGAATCCCGAAATCTGCAGTTAAAACTTCTATTTATTAATCTATACGATTTTTTTCTGATATTAGGATGCGCGTAGAAAGGCGAGTGTACATGCAGCTTTTTCTAACGCTGGTAGACAAGCTGGTGTCGAAGTCTGGAGGATTGTGGTAAGTAAAAAAAAAAATAAGATTGTACGTTGGCTATAAAGTTAGAGATAAGACGAAGAAAGTATGGATTGTATAGTAAGTAATGTATGCATAAACGTAGTGTTGTTTGTCTCGAACGTACACGCCATAAGTACGTGCCGGAGAGAGGGGACGTCAGTCTATGTCAGACCTTTGGACCGGGAGCACGTGTCGGTACGTAACGGAGCCAAATATAACGCAACGAATGTTACATGTATGAAAGAGGATATGACTGATAGAGATGTATGAATGTACATAGTGTGCCGACCCTCCGTGGGGGTGAGCAGGCATGACAAAAGTGTACATTGTAGTATACTTACTATGGATATAACTAGCTGTCGCCCGCGACTCCGTCCGCGTGAATATATGAAAAAACTTAATCAGTGTACCCTATGTGTTCTTTCAGACTATGTTCTATACGTATGCCAAATTTAATCGAGATCCGTTCAGTCGTTCTAGAGATATCTTCAAACATCCATCCATCCATCCACATCACATCCATCTAAAAATACGCAGTTACAATATTAGTAAGTTAAATAAAAAGCATCTCTTCAAGGCATAAATTCGAAAAAATAATAATAAATAGTATCCTATGTCCGTCTCCTGGCTCTAAGCTACCTCCTCAACAATTTTCAGCCATATCGTTAAATCCGTTCTTGAGTTATAAATACTGTAATTAACACGAATTTCTTTTATAAATATAAGAAGAAAGTTACTATAGAAAAGTATAGAAAAGGAATATGTTCTGAATACGATTTAAATGTAGAAACAAGACAGAATAATGATGTGAATAAGTGAAGTTTAATTAATATTAATAAGAATCCACGTTTATCTTTCAGGACTTCAACCCGGTTGCCGTAGCGCAAAATGACATCGGCAAATTTAATAAAGGAGATTCTTATATTGTTCTTAAGGTAACTACTATTAAAAATAATCCGACTAACTTATGAAACACACTATGCCTTTTATAATTATTTAATCATCTATTAGTCCACCATTTTTTTAGCCGACTTCAGAAAGAAGGAGGGTATCAATTCGTACGTATTATGCGTGTTAAAGTGTAAATCCGCCTCTGGTGCTCCGATTTTGACATTTTGGATCAAAATGTTTTTTATTTAGCTTCATACATAACTTCACTAACGTCGTCAGACTCGGTGGAGCGATGATCTTCGCAGGGCAGCTGGCAAGAGCTGGATGAGACTGGCCGAGGATCGTGCTCAATGGCGTGCCATAGGAGAGGCCTATGTCCAGCAGTGGACTAGTATAGGCTGATGATGATGACGATTTCTTCACTTCATTAATTCTACGTCAAATTTCTCATTCGATACGATCAATTCCTTAAAAAGAGGTACAAAGTTTATATTTTTTTTATTAATAATGTTTCTAGACGACAGCCGACAAGAAGAACAATCTGTCTTGGGATATTTATTATTGGATCGGCAGTGAATCCACTCAGGACGAGTCCGGTGCTGCTGCCATCTTGACTGTAGGATTGGATGATAAGTTCAACGGAGCTGCGATACAGCATAGAGAGACTTTAGGACATGAGAGTCAGCAGTTCCTTTCTTTATTCCGACCAGGTATGATATTAGTTTTTCCCCGCGATTCTGTCCTGAGTTCTTCAAGATTATGGTCTACATCTAGGATAAAATTCAGAGATTCATGCAGCCATTCTAGAGATACCTTCTAACAAACATGTAGTAATATAATTACGAGTAAGTTATAGACTGAAGTTATTTGACCAGATCAAGTGGTCGCAAGCTTACTCCTCTTCATCCATCCTTTACCAGGGACGATTCTCCACACGGCCGACGGCTAACACTCTGTAAATCAAATTTTTGGTTTATTAAGTGATGTTTAGAAATTGTTAAATAAAATTATCATTTACAGCTATTAGGTACATTGATGGTGGAGCTGCGTCTGGCTTTAACCATGTGGTCACCAACCCAGGTGCTGAAAAGCGATTGTTCCACATCAAGGGAAAGAAGAACATACGTGTTAGACAAGTATGTATGGATTACAAGCTGTCTAACTTTATTTGTAGTCTATGTGTTCTTCTAGACTATGTTCTACATCTATGGCAAATTTCAACGATATCCATATAGACGTTCTGGAGATCATCAGCTCACTATACGTCCCCACTGAGGAGCTCGGAGCCTACCTTAAGTTAAGGGTAATTAGGCCATAGTCAACCACACTGACCAAGTACGGGTTGACTTCACACATATGTTTGAATTACTTCTCAGATATGTGCAGCATCACGATGTTTCGTTGCATCATGTTGTTTTGTTGTTCTGGAGATACCTTCAAAAAAAACATCCATTTTAATATTCGCATTTATAATATTAGTAAGATTTACATAATTTTTAAGGTTCCGTACCTCATAGAATAAAAACAGAACCCTTATAGGATCACTTTGTTGTCCGTCCAACCAACTGTAGACATGGTTCAGAAAAGTATCATTTGGCTTCGAAGCTACCACCTCTTGGTTAGATGTCCGTACTAAAAACGATTAGGCTATTGTTTAAAATCACTATTGTAATTAAGAATTTGTACTTTTAGACATTATTAATAAGAATCATTTGGCGCGAATGACGTGCTTTCGTTACAAAGTCAAGTGTCAGAATAAGTGAGGGGACATAAACGTCAACTTTTTATTAAGGCTATTGTTGCCAGTACACCGACACAATTTCGGATTTTCTTCCTAACAGTAACTACATCGTGGAATGACAAAATATACATATGAGATCGTATTTCAGGTGGATCCTCTTATTGCATCAATGAATAAAGGCGATTGTTTCGTACTAGATATTGACAACGATATTTATGTATACGTTGGTGACAGTGCCAATCATAAAGAAAGACTAAAGGCGATATCATTCGCTAACCAGGTCAGAGATCAAGACCATAATGGTAGAGGCAAGGTTGATATTGTTGGTAAGTGATTTTAACAGACCTATCGTGAGTTTCTAAGACCAGAATCATCGTTTAAAACATATCGTTATCTCTGTTTTGTCAAAGATAATGACAGGGATGACTATATGTTATATACACAGATTTTGGTGTCAGAAACCCACGGTCAGTTCACTATATGTTCCAACTGAGTCTCGGAGCCCATAAGTGAGAGTATGTGATAGTGAATGCTGTTCCAGTGCAAGACTTGACACATATGTTTGAGTTTGTCAGATATGTGCAGCATCACGATGTTTTCCTTCATCGTGAGAACGTTGTAAACTATATTAGTGGTCATAAACTAAGGCGTAAAGCCTTAGTTTCAAACTTAACTTTAGCTACTTGCTTGTTAAAGTCTAGATTCTACTGAACATGTCGTATTTAATTAGTATATCTAATTTCAGATCAATACTCAAGTGATACAGACGTACAGAAGTACTTTACAGCTTTAGGTTCAGGAACTAGGGATATAGTTCCCGAAGCCAGTGCTGGTGGAGATGATCAGGTTAGTTTTTATATTAAAAAAACATCCATACTAGCGTTGTACTATAGGGGAACTTGGCGGTACTCCACCTTAACCCATTTGTGCCTAACGTTCGATAAATCGGACGCCAATAAAATTGTTATTTTAGGAGTTATATATATATATTACTAACCGTTTATTTTTTAAACAGTAGTATAATATATATTTGAAGTGGTAATACTGTTGGTATGACATTCCGGCAAGCGATTTATCGGACGGGCTATAAAATCTAAACTTTCATATTGATAAAATATTTTATACAATTTAATGGTCAAATACACTCGAAATGAAAATATATTACAGTGGTCATAATGAAAAAGGCGTTAATAAACTTTATGCAATATTGGGTTAAAAGCCACAGTCGTTTAAACGTTTCGTAAGCATTGAGATGATACAGAAACAATCGGTCGATCAGTGATTTATTATGACGTCATTTATGCAACTCACTGCTACCTATTTGGTTATTTTATATGGACAGAGATTGCCTCATTGCAAGGAACATAGCAATTTTTCTAAAAGTAGAACACCGTGAATGGCCCTGACTGTACATATTGTTCAATCGAATATCGATAAGCAAGAAATCTCTAAAATTGAGATTTGTCCCGACGTATAAGTGAGAAACTTGGTATACAGATCTCTTACTACTCTTTTCAGTCAAAGAAAAATATCTTGGTCTCTTAAACTCTCGCTTATTTACGTTCTATTGTGTTTATGTCACTATATTATCAATATTAATCTTAATTATTACTTTTAAAAAATTAAAAAAAAATCTTACTACTCAAAAAATATCTATCCTAGCGTCATATAAATATCTTCTTTTTACTTCTAGACTTTCGAAAGGAGTGAAGAAGATGCAGTAATTCTGTCCGAGATATCCGACAGTAAGGGATCTTTGGTAGCAACACCTCTACGTAAGCCATTCAGACAAGAAAATTTGAAGCCACAGGTAAGTTAATAAAAATATGTTAAAAAAATAAATAGTTATTAAAAAATTAATCTGACTGTACGTCTATAATTCGTTAAGAATTCGCTTTAGCAAGAGGAATTACTAATTTTCTTAAAGATCTCCCGACAATCGGGGAAAAATTAAAATATGGCAACCCCAAAACTCTAATACCCAAAAGTTCCCGGATATACGATTTTTTTCTTAAAAATATATAAAGAGGATAGTTTTTGTTTCCGTATTAAATATTAAATTAATTACGTAATTTTTCAAGTAAAATATTGTTCATATTCAAAATATTATTTAATTTTAGGAAGCTTATATCTTGGACACTGTAAGTGGCAGTATTTATGTATGGTTGGGAAGACAGGCTACTAAAAGGGTGAGTAAATAAAAAAAATAAAATCTTTCATTTACCTTCTCTATCGCACCTGTGAATCTCATGCGCTTCCCCTCTCACTCCAATATGATAAGATCGACAGATATTATTAATGTTATTCTTAATATAACAAACATTAAAATTAAACTTTCGACATATTTAAAAATAAAATTATCAATTAATTACAGTTGAATCAATGGAATTATTGAAAGTAATAATTGAATTTTGTCTAATTAATTTTCCGCCACAAATTTTTAATTTGAAGTTAAAGTGACATTTACTTTTTTTTTAGGAAAAGACGGAAGCGATGTCAAAGGCGCAACAGTTGTTGAGATGCAAAAATTATCCTTCTTGGGTAAGTTAATAAAAAAAATTAAAAAATATATTTTGATGTTTAATTTAGTCCATTTTTATTAAAATAGTTCTTACAAGAAAATAACATAGGAATAATCCTTATAATTAACTTAACTTAATGATTTAAGTGCTGTACGGAGTGGTTCAATATCTTTTGTCTTTTATAACAGGTCCAAGTGACAAGGATTCCCCAAGGCACAGAGCCAGCTGCATTCAAACAGTACTTTGCGACATGGCAGGACGTTGGCATGTCCCACAGCCGACTAGTGAGATCAGCTGACAGTAAGTATAAATAAAAGGAGAGTCCTTTTCCAGAGTCAGGTTTCTTGGTTTAACATTAAATGTAGTAAAATATCAAATTAATTTAAACGTGTGGTATACTAACTGCTTCTTTTGGGTAATTATCACTCTTTAAATACGTAAATATTTTTTTCATTTGGTTTCAAATGCACGTGTTTGGGGAAGTTTATTATTCGTTATATAAAAAGAGCTTTTGATCTTCACTTATTTTATTTATATTTCAGAAACATCTTAGGATAATTTGAAGAAGAAAAAAATACTGCAAATACTGTCATGATATTTCCTACATTTTTTTAAAAAAAGATTTATGACATTATTATTTTTTTAATTTTATATATTTTAAAAATTAAAGTTAATATATAAATTATTTATATTGTTCAAATTTATAGCATGGAAAATACTCATTATTACGTTTATAAAAAAGCTTTTGCATTGTGGAATAAATAATAAAATATAAATATGTTAAATGGATTTTGTTTTATTTATCTAAGAAGCTTTTCTGCTTTCATTTTATGGTTTGCATAAATACTGTTTGCGCATGAGAAAATTGAATTCAAGTCAAATGAAAAAATAGGACGCAAAACTTAATAAGGCATGAAAGGGAATTTCGTTTTATCCTTTAGTAGATTTCCTTGTATATTCCTTATTATTAAAAAATATTCTATTCTAATATATAAGTATATTAATATTTAACATTGGAATTAAAGATTTTAATAATTTAGATTTGTTTTCAATAATAAAAAAACAGAAAATTACTCTTTGATTCTTGGCTGTATGATTACAAGATTTTTGCCTTACGTAAAAGAGAACTAAATGAAACGTCAAATATACGATTGTAAATAAATGTTTTTAAAATATTCAAATTGTTTTTTTTTTATAGAAAAAAGTAAAGTTGTGACATAATTTTTTTGTAAATAGCAAAAACTCTTTCATAAACCATAAACGGAATATATTGGTATATCTTAGTATTTGTGGTTAATAGATAAGCGAGATAATTAATCGATTATATTGCTGTTACAAATAAATCATTAATTTCAGCAAAAACTACCACAATGAGTGAAAACTGGATCCAACCCAAACTCTACAAGGGTATTGTGAAATCAGAAACTTTAATGCTATTCGAGGAAATACCTAATTTCAAGCAAACTGTAAGTAATGTTTTACGTTTAATTTTCTTAGAAGATTTAACCCAAACTCTTAAATACAAGGATAGTATAAAAGTTTTTATGTTTCTATTCAAAAGTTACGACCTCAAATAACATCAAAACAGTGTACAAGATCACATCTGATCCTTTCGGCTTTATATAATGAAAATTCGGCATGATTCGCTATTTTAAACTTTTACGGAATTCTATAACTACTAAAATATTGGACGCAAAAGTTATACTCATTTACGACTCACATAAAAATGATTCAATTGTTTTATAAATATCTGAAACTAACAAAAAAAAAATCTTTTTTAAAACAATCGAAACTCGTTTATCTGGACGTCAATTGTTCACATTCAAATTGAGAATACTGGCTACATCATGCCACATTTTACAAAATAAAAAAATATCTTCTTTATTTCAGGATTTAAGCCAAGATTCAGTCTTTGTACTGGATATGGGAGATGAATTATTTGTGTGGGTCGGAGAAGATGTATCAGAGTTGGAGAGAAAGGTGACATTTAATATACATGTAAGTTTTTTTGTAAATTTAGCAGTGGTAGACGCCAACATCTGCACGTTGCACGCCCGGTGCAATACCACAACCACACAGAACACCTCAAGTGCAAAGCTATTCCAACTACAGTCTGATAAGTGTGCATTCTGAAGGCTTTAATTTAGTCCTTTTTTCTATCTTACCTTTTCTTAGAAGGAATGATAGGAAGGGAACATGTAATTAACAGAAGAAAGGATGCATAGGTATGAGAAATATTCTCTTTCTGTGTGTCCTCTGTCAATAAGTTTGAAATTGCTTGCTCATTTGCCACTTTGTCTATAAACTATCATGGTCTTAGTAATATTCTACATCCATGTGAATCATCGAGATCCGTGCAGCCGTTCTAAAGATATTTTCTAACATACATCTAAACATTCGCATTTATAATATTAGTATGATTGTTTTAATGAACATTTCAGGCGCATCTTGTACCTTTGAAGTCTAAATTTAGTAAGAATTGGTATGTTATTATGACAAAACAAGGACTCGAACCTGAATCCTTTAAAAAGTCATTTGGGAAATGGCAACCGGAGTTACTACAGGTAAGTTCTCTTTTAATAGTTGACATGTTTAGCAATATCTTAGTATCATTAGTTCTAAAGGTCCCGGAGGGTCTCGGAGCATATAAGTGAGAGTATGTGATAGTGAATGCTGATCCAGTGCAAGACATGACACATATGTTTGAGTTTGTCAGATAAGTGCAGCATCACGATGTTTTCCTTCAACGTAACAACATAGGATAAATGTACATATGTAAATGTAACACATTCATACATCACGGGATTACAACGGAAACGGGAAAGGAAATGTTAGTTTTTATATTACATGTTTCCTCTTACAGAAACTAAGAAATAGTGATGATGAAGAAAAATATGATGCTTTGAACTTCAATGAAATAGATGATTAGAAATCTAATATAATCTTTAGGATCAGGAGCAGGGAATATTAAAAAAAACAATCTCTTATACACTACTAAAGTACTTTTCTTATTTAATAACAAAAACTAACTAAAGACAGGCGTAAAGTGGAAGCAATTCCGCGTTACGTCTGATGAGTGTGCGTCCCGGAGGCCTAATTTATTCCTCTTTCCCTTCCCACCCTTTTTCTTATAAGGAAAGGACGGGAAGGGGAAGTGGACTTTCCGGATGAGAGGATGCACAGGAAATGGAAGATAATTTCTTTCTGTGCATCCTCTCCTCCGTCGATTAAAGGTAGACAATGCATATGCAATTGTGTATGTCTATGGGCAACGGTCACTTCGCTATTTCAGCGACTTCAGGTGACCGCTCGCTCGTTTGCCATCTTATGAAATAAAAAAATAAATAAATAACAAAATTGATTGAATTAAATTAACACTGAAATGTAATATTAACTTGATTAAATATCAGAGTTCAAATGATTAATTATTTTGGCAAGTCAAACGGGCAGAGCTTCCGCTGGCTTCAGTGTGTCAAAATGAGTGCGGTCTCTTATAGTGGCATCACCCCACCATTATTCTTAAGTTCCACCCTCAGCTAATTGATAAGAGAAATATGTATATAACATGTCAGGAGGTTAAAGTGCATTCGCTTTAAGCAATTCCATAATGATTTATAAGCATTTAATTTTTTTTTTAATTTAATCCAAAAAATCTTAGCACAATGTTATAGTTTTCTCAGTGTAATATTCAATAGAAATTACGATGTTTTTTTTTAAATATATGTCAGTTTTTAATCTGTATAAGTATATTAAACTATTCCTGCTGTAAAATAAATATAAGGTGTATAATATAATGGGCATTTATTTATAATTAATATTTTTAAAATAAACTTACTTGTAACGGAACTTTTCACAGCTGTCAAATAAGCCGCCATATTGATTTTGACAGTAATTAGAATAAGTAATAACATAATAAAATATATCAATGTTTTAGTGTTTTTTATTAGTTAAATGCTTTTTTATATTACTTTTTAAATAAAAAAACAAATCGTCATAAAATTTCGTGAAATACTCATGTTTTGTGTGATATATCCATCTCTGTCACACTAATGCTCTATTGTATATATTCCTCTCGCTCTAACACTGACATGCGGATTGCAGAACGAAGTTAAGGCATCTATCTCTCTCGCACTTGTGTATTCTTGTATATGTTTGTTTCGTTCGCTGTGAGTAACGTAACAATTTTTTTTGTAATTGTATAAATTTCCTGTTGAAATCAACGTCCGTAGAAATAGTGTTCAATTTATGTAGACAATAAATATATGTGATCGAATAATTCGTTTTTATTTACCTTTTAGTATGTTGACTTACTGATGTTTAGAGAAAGAAGGTTTATCAAGAAATAAAAAAATCAAGCGATATTTAATCTTACTGATATTATAAATGCGAATGTTTAGATGTTTGAAAATATATCCAGAACTGCTGTATGGATCTCGCTGAAATCTGTCATAGATGTAGAACATAGTATGGAAAAACACATAGACTGATTATTAAGTTTGTTTTTAATTCTGCGTAGACGGACTCGTGAGCGACATCTAGTTAATATATAAAATTATGAGACCTTTTTTGTCCGATTTATAGAAGGTTAATGGCGCGCGTATTTTTATGTACGTCATTTCGTATGTAAGTTGGATCGTAACCTATAGCATAAAAGATTGAACAGATTTTGACAAGCGAGGTGTCATTCGATTCGTATTCTTCATCAATAAAAATACGACTGTTTAGATGTATGTTTGTTAGAAGATATCTCCGGAACGGCTGCATGGATGTCGCTGTAATTTTTTTTTTTATCAAAAGGTGGCAAACGAGCAATCGGCCACCTGAAATCGCTGAAATAGCGAAGTGAACGTTGCCCATAGACATACGCAATTGCATATGCGTTGCCTACCTTTAATCGACGGAAGAGAGGATGCACTGAAAGAAAATATTTTCCCTTCCCATGCATCCTCTCATCCGGAAAGTCCACTTCCACTTCCCATCCTTTCCTTATAAGAAAAAGGGTGGGTAGGGAAAGATGACTAAATTAAGCCTCAAGGTCGACGTAGTCGCAGGCAAAAGCCTAGTAGTATATAAACATAACAATAAATGAAAAAAACATACAGACGAATTTATAACCTCCTCCATTTTGAAGTCTGTTGAAAAAAATAATTTAAAAACCTCAATTCTTTTAAGCCACATTCCAAACTTGAGGTCACAAATAACATGTGATATTTCCTTATACTACTTACATCAAATTCATAAACAAGATTTTTTTCTTTCCTAATTTATATCTCTATATTTTTGCGTATCGTAAATTATCGGTCGCCCGCGCTTCATCCGCGCGGATATAAAAAAACTTAGTAAGTTGTCTATGTGTTCTTCCAGACTATACTCTACATCTATGACAAATTTAACTAGTTCCATGTAGCAGTTCCGGAGTTGCCTTCTAACAAATATTTATAATATTAATAAGAAGTAAGATTATTTGATATAACACGACAGTTGTCAGATTTGTAAACGAGTTTCTTTTGTAGTACAACTAGCTGGTTGATCTCCGTCCGCACGGGTAAACAAAATTAGTAGTCTGTGTGTTCTTCCAGACTATGTTCTACATCTATGACAAATCAGCGAGATCCATGCAGCAGTTCTGGAGATATCTTCTAACAGACATCTAAACATTCGCATTTATAATATTAGTAAGAAGTGTCAGAGGGAACGAACCTTTTAAAATAAGGAAAGGATAGGAAGAGGAAGTGGGTTTGATAGGAATAATTTTTCTGTACATTGACGTTTTACGAGACAAAGTGCTTCTTTTCTGCCGCTTTTTCTGCCACAGACCTCTATAAATGGATAGGCGATAGCTTGAAAATGATAGGCTTTACGTTGTTCCAACTTAAACACGTATTTTGAAGTTCCTGACAGTTAATGCTATGTCTATTATTAGTTCCAATCCTCACCACTTCAACGAACTGCAACAATCAGCGCCAAAATGGCGTATATCAAATAGGAACAAAATACCACGGTTCATAGCCTGTCCATGGATAGAGGTAAATGCCTTATACTTATTATAAAAAGAGTCAAGTTATGGTCATAAACTGGTTTAATTATAAAATATACTAATTGTGGCCGCGACTTCGCGTGAAATTCTGTCTGGCAATTTTAATTGTTTATTCTTCATCCACTATAAGTCCCCACTCTCGGGTGTCGGAGTCTACCCTAAGTTAAGGGTGATTAGGCCATAGTCAACCACGCTGGCCAATTGCGGGTTATTTATTTAAGCTAATTATTCTACCAACACTTATAATAACTTAACAAAACATTCACATATTCTAATACAAACTTTCATCCCCTAAATTTATTTCGCACCCTTGGGGGTTAAATTTTAACAAACATTGAAATTCATATTTATGTATATAAAATTAACAACCTTAAAAATAAGTTTCTAGCTTCTATCTATAAAAATGACGATAATTACATACAAATTTCCAACCTCCTTTTCAACCCCTTACAACCCTTATTTCGCGTTAAAAAATATCCCATATCCTTCTACAGATTCTAGACTATCTGTGTAGGAAATTTCATTTAAATAGGTTCAGTAGTTTTTGCGTGAAAGCGACACATACAGACAGAGTGACTTTCGCATTTATAATATAATATTAGCAAATATAAGCATAATAAGTAGATTGTTATGTTGAGATTGTCCGATTAGTTCATCAAATCAGTTTGTTGTTGGAGGTTGGATTTATATATAAAGAAAACATAAATATAAATTTTATCTTACTTAAGAAATATTTTGTTTTATAATTATTTATGTTAATTATTTTTAAATTAAATTAAATTTATTTATGAAATGTTAAAAAGTTAAATAAACAAGGTACGTATTATATTTTTCTTAAGGAAAATAATCTCGTTTGTTATAAGGTAAATCTGAATAAAATATATAAGTTGATACGTACGTAATAATAAAATTGGTATGTCCGTATGTACACAATGTTTTTGCGTTGTTGAAAAAAAATCTATTTTTAAAATTTTTGTCTGTGTTGCCAGTGACTCCGTACGCGTAAATTTAACTTAATTATTAGTCTATGTGTTCTTCCAGATTATGTTCTATATGTATGACAAATTTCATCAAGATCTGTTGAGTTGTTCTGGAGATATCTTCAAACATACATCTAAACATTCGCATTGTATCTTTGATACAAACAGACCCAAAAACGTATAACAACAATACAACATACAAGTTTATTGTTCATTTTATTGAAGATAGTGTAAGAATAATTTTATATTTATCTTATATTTAAAATTCTCGTGTCACAATTTTCGTTCCCATATTCCTCCGAAACGGCTTGATCGATTCTCATGAAATTTTGTGAGCATATTGAGTAGGTCTGACAATCGGCCAACATCTATTTTTAATCCCGCGCGGACGGAGACGCGGGCGACAGCTAGTTTCATATAATGTGCCAGCGACTTCGCGTGAAATACTGTCTTGAGCTGTCCGGTACTGGACAGCACTTATCTTCTTCTTCTATATATAAAGAAAGTGGTGTTAGTTACACTATTTATAACTCAAGAACGGCTTTACCGATATGCCTGAAAATTGGTGAGGAGGTAGCTTAGAGCCAGGAGACGGATATAGGATACTATTTATTCATTTGTTTTCGAATTTATGCCTTGAAGAGCTGCTTTTTATTTAACTAACTAATATTATAAATGCTTAGCTTGGATGTGATGTAGAAGGATGGATGAATGTTTGAAGATATCTCTAGAACTGCTGAACGGATCTCGATTAAATTTGTCATACGTATAGAACATAGTCTGAAAGAACACATAGGCTACACTAATTAAGTTTGTTTATATATCCACACGGACGGTGTCGCGGGCGACAGCTAGTATATGTATGCATAATGTTTATATATGATTTTATTTTCTTACAGAAACAACACATATATTAAGGAAAAAACAATAGAAATTATGAAAGAAATAACGTCCATTATTACGTTACTTCTTATACAGCATGTTTTAAGTTACGTTAGAGGTAATTTAATTTGTTATTTGCTTAATATTTATTATTCCTTTATTCTGCTTTTCTTTTTTTTTCTACAGAAGGTGAAAGGTGTGTAGACAAGACAAGTAGAGTTTCAGGTCAATGTTTACAGCCACAACATTGTCAATCCGCGAACAAAGATTTTTTGTAAGTATAAATATATATTTTTTTCTATATCATAAGATGGCAAACGAACGAGCGATCACTTGAAATCGCTGAAATAGAAGTGACCGCCCATAGACATACGTAATTGCATAAGCGTTGCCTACCTTTAATCGACGGAGAGGATGCACAGAAAGATAATATCTTCCCTTTCCATTCATCCTCTCATCCGGAAAGTCCATTTGCACTTCCCATTCTTTCTTTATAAGAAAAAGGGTGGAAAGGGAAGGAGGACTAAATTAGGCCACCGGGACGTTTGTTCTTTGTTTTTAAATCCATACTCTCGGGTCTCAGAGCCTAGGAGACTATGTGATACTGAATCTGGCTTAATGAGTGACTTGACACATATGTATGAGTTTGTCAGATATGTGCAGCATCACGATGTTTTCCTTCATCGTAAGAACATAGGATAATTACATATGTAAATGTAACACATTCATACATAACGGGATTACAACACAGGACCTCATTACAAGTCAGTTTAACCCCTGAGCTATCGACGTTCTGACTAATTGTACATACATGAATTGTTTTTAAAATTTTAGCGAACGTGGAATACGACCGACATTTTGCGAATATTCAAACAAAAGAATTTTAATATGCTGTACAGAGAAACAACAAGTAAGACCCAGGTAAGTATTTTTTTTTATAACACAAGGTGGCAAACGAGCGAGCGGCCACCTACAATCGCTAAAATAGCGAAGTGACCGTTGCCCATAGACATACGCAATTGCATATGCGTTGCCTACCTTTAATCGATGGAGGAGAGGATGCACAGAAAGAAAAAATATTTTCCCTTCCCATGCATCCTCTCATCCGGAAAGTCCACTTCCACTTCCCATCCTTTCCTTATAAAAAAAGGGTGGGAAGGGAAAGAGGACTAAATGATGCCTCCGGGACGTACACTCATCAGACGAAACGCGGAATAGCTTCCACTTCACGCCTGTCTTCTGTGTGGTCGTGGTATTTCACCGGGCGAGCCGGGCCAATTCGTGCGAAGATGTTAAAGCGGGCTCTACCACTGTTAAAAAGTATCCCAAATTCAAGCATAAACATCATGAAAAAAAAAACATCCTGTAGTTAAAAGTACAAGGTTAGACGAAGTGCATTCGCTTCGAAGCGGTTCCATAACGAATTTAAAAAATTATTCAAACTTTCGTGAGACTAAACTGATATAAAAACGGCTAAACACTCACGTATATTCATCCGGTGGCTGCATCGACTAGTTTTGAGCCCATTGAGTGAGCGACGGGCCGTTTCCGCCAAATAATACCAGTACCACTCATCCTGATGAAGGGCCCCCGATGGGCTCGAAACTAGTCGGTGCCACCGGACGAATATACGTGAGTGTTTAGCCGTTTTTATATCAGTTTAGAATAAAAAAAAATTATGTATTGACGCGCGACAATCACATGACTTATCCAAAGTTACTGTCAGTTCTATACGTTAAAAAGTTCGTTACGGAAACACCTCGAAGTGATTGGATATTGCCTAACCCCGCAATATATATGGCATGTCCGCGACTCCCTAAGCGCGGGAAAATAGATAGATTTCGTCGGGAATTTAACTCTAGTTGATGGTTGGAATACCATTATTTTATTCACAATGGCAAAGTTATGGGCGACTGTTTAATTATTAAATAAGTCAACCTTATTAAATTTACTGTGTTTCCAAAAAAATTATAACCTCAAACCTTTTCAAACAGCGTTCGACCAGTGTGGCAAAATAACAACGCGAACAGCAACAAATTTCGAGCATTAGAAAGAGTTAGTGAAAGGAGTAAGCATATAATTATTTTTTTTTTAATTGCAAATTACTTAAAACTTCGTAGTCAAGTTTAAAATGCATCTAAATATCCAAGTGTACACACAACACCAGAAAAACAAATCGCCGCCATCTCATTGTGCAAGCGAGAGATACATATAGTAATTCATACGAGAGTGAGCGGATCAGCTATATATGTTCTGTTTTAGCGCTTATACGTTCCTCTTTTCCTCACCTTGACCTTGAACCATTGACGTTATAAAATAGATAGGCTATACGGCGTAGTTTTTTGTGCCTATTTCATTTTCGCCATTTTGTCGCTGATGGTAACGGTTTTATAGCGGTGGTTTGAATTCGAACTAATAATATAGATAGAAATTACTGTCACGTAGCATCAACTTGTGTGTTTAAGGAACGATGTAATTTTCAAGTAATCGCCTATCCATTTATAGAGATTGTCGCATTTTGTTTATTTTTTTATCATTGGTAAAAACAACACAATTAAGAAGACTTTATTTTTTATTTATGTTTACATTTTTTTTGTCAGAATGCAAAGAATACAATAAGGGTGTTGTGCCAATTTATTTCGGAAAATACATCTTTGGTGGAACTAACGCAAATCCTGAAGATTTCCCACATATGGTAAAGAAATTTGATACAAGTCGAAAACCTAATTTATTTATCTGTAGATTGATGTCTCTTTATTACACACTAGAAAATAAAAAAAATAAAATTTAACCTCAAATTAAAACTTACCAAGAGTGAAAATTTTGCGTAAACTTGCGACATAAACTATAACGGTTTTGTCTGTGGTCTTTTGGTTTAGAAGTTTTATTTTTCACAGCACCTAGCGACCCAGACCTAAACATTTGATATAAATTCCAGCTTGATACCTTCACGCGTTTTTGAGAAAAACGCGACTTGACAGACGGACGGACGGATAACAAAGTGATCCTATAAGGGTTCCGTTATTTTTCCTATGAGGTACGGAACCCTAAAAAATACTTTTTCCCATTGGTTATGTTACAGATAACATATATTATTATAATTTGGAATATCTTAGTTATGGTGTACGTTGTTACGTTGAAGGAAAACATCGTGATGCTGCACATATCTGACAAACTCAAACATATGTGTCAAGTCTTGCACTGGACCGGCATTCACTATCACATACTCTCACTTAGGGTAAGCTCCGAGCCCCTCAATGGGGACGTCTGAGAGCTAATAATGATGATAAAACTGCTAATATTTTAAGTAAAAAAATTCCAGGGTGCAGTTGGTTGGCTGGACTACCTAGGTGACTACAACTTTGGATGTGGCGGAAGCCTTATAAGTCCGAGGTTTGTGTTAACCGCGGGTCATTGTATCAGTAAAGCTAGAAGCATCAATCCTCTGCCGGTTATTGTCCGACTGGGTAATGTCGACTTGGATCCAAAGTATAAGGATGGATACCCCTTAATTGATGTAAGTTCTGATTGAATAAGACGATATAAATATGTTCTAAATCTATGCCAAATTTCATCGAGATCCATGCAGCCGTTTTGGAGATATCTTCAAACAAACATACATCTAATCGCATGCGACTTAGTGCGCGCGGTATTAGAAAAAAAACTTAATTAGTAGCCTATGTGTTTTTCCAGATTAAGTTGTATATCTATGCCAAATTTCATCAATGCAAGAGATTCTAACAAGAATATTCGCATTTATAATATTAGTAAGTGGTCCCCACTGAGGGTCTCAGTCTACCCTAAGTGAGAGTATATGATAGTGAATGCTGGTCCAGTGCAAGACTTGACACATATGTTTGAGTTTGTCAGATATGTGCAGCATCACGATGTTTTCCTTCACCGTAACAACATAGGATAAAAGTAATAAATTCGAATATAGCGACCCTAAATGATTTACTTTCACGTAATTAGAAATCATGAATTTTGGGACGATGGGAAAGGGACAACAGTCTTCTGTGCGTCCTCTTCTCCGTCGATTAAATGCATCTGCAATAGGCAACGGTCCGATAGCTAATTTTCCACTTAATATTGGATGGATGGATGTTTGAATATATCTCCAGAACTGCTGGACGGATCTTGATGAAATTTGTCATACATATAGAACATAGTCTGGAAGAACATATAGGCTACTATGTTTTTTAATTCGCGCGGACGGAGTCGCGACAACCGCTTGTAATATGTGAAAGCATCAGGCTTATCTTGTCGTTTAATCATCCTGTTACTGTCTTAATTTCAGGCTACAATAAGGACTATACATAAACATCCAGACTACAGACCACCTTCACGTTACAATGATATTGCGTTACTGGAATTGACACAAGATATGAATATCACTGATGATGTACGTCCAGCTTGTCTATGGACGAAATATGATTTCGAGAATTACACTACAGTTACTGCGACTGGATGGGGCGTCACTGAAAGTAAGACTGAGAAACTCATCACCTTTCTAATAGCAATCGGTATACCCTGTCTTTCAATTTTGACGGAATTTTGGTGTAAAAAACCCCACGGTAGGCACCGAGCCCCTCGGTGGGGACGTATAGTGAGCTGATGACGACGTGCTTACGTTACTAAGTCCAGTGTCAGAATGAATAGTGAGTGGACATAAACGTCGACATTTTAGTAAGGTAGTTGGGTCAATGCATTGCCACATTTTCGGATTTTCTTCCTAATCTTTATATATATAATTCTTCTGTGAGTGTGTATGTCACTGAACTTCTCTCAAACGACTGGAGCGATTTTGATGAAATTTTTTTTGTGTGTTCAAGGGGATCTGGGAATGGTTTAGATTCACAATTTTGTCCGCTGGACAATGTTTTTTTCATTTAATTTATTAGTATTTGTTGATTTTGGAATGTTTTACATTGGATCCGACAGACGGCGCTACCATCGCAGTGTCAAATTTTTATTAAAAAAAGTTTGAAATTTTCAAATTAAAAACGTGTAGACAGGACAACGTCTGTCGGGTCCGCTAGTATTATATAAAATAATTTACAGACACAACAATACCGACCAACGTACTTCAAATGGTGAGTTTAAATTTGTACAGCAATGAAGTCTGCGATCCTGTAATGCCGAGAGATCGAAATTGGAACGGCTTTGCTCCGACACAAATGTGCGCGGGGGTATTTACTGGAGGAAAAGATACGTGTCAGGTAAATAACAAGTGCCATTAAACCCCTGTACATCCCCACTGAAGGTCTCTGCACCTACCCTAAGTGAGAGTAGGTGATAGTGAATGCTGGTCCAGTGCAAGACTTGACACATATGTTTGAGTTTGTCAGATATGTGCAGCATCACGATGTTTTCCTTCACCGTAACAACTTAGATTAAATGTACATCTACATATATAAAAGAAAGTGGTGTTAGTTACACTATTTATAACTCAGGAACATTGTCTACTGCCCACTTTGAGACTAAATATTTCCTCAGAAGTTGTTGTTGAGAGTAGAGAGCTCATGCAGTCGTTGTCAAAGAGGCCTCCTAGCTAAATAAAATTACAAATCACCCCGAAAGCCTCTACACAACGCCCCCATTTTCTTTCTGGGTCTCTTACCGCCTCCCTTGAGACCTGCAGCGCTGACGACGCGCGAAAGACTGGTCTATACAGTCCGACAATAATCAAGTGTCATTGACATGAGGGCGCTAGTGTGCTGTCATAATTTAGTTTGACGTATGGACACGGGGTCAGATAAATTGTCGTCTATAATTTAATATAAATATATTTAAAAGTTAAAATACGTTTGATTTGTTTTAACAGATTTGAGTTCTTTATTCTAGGGTGACTCCGGCGCGCCTCTTCAAATAACGCCAAAGCCGCGAGAGAAGATCCATTATATTGTGGGAGTGACGTCATTTGGTGGTCGTTGTGCCCAAAAAGGACACCCAGCTATATACACTAGGGTATCTAGCTATCTAGATTGGATAGAGAGTATCGTTTGGCCTAATGAATAAACTATTATTTAAAAAAAACATAACTCTATGTTAAAAACCATAGTGTGTCTAAGATAGATAAGTTTGACAACTGACGCCTTTAAAGTATCGAATTCATTTTGTATTGGGTGCACTTAACGGATGGTTGTCATAGTGTCGGATCGACGCACATCGAATAACATTGAACTATCGAGAATCTTGTAATAAAATTAATCAAACAATTGACTACTGTAATTTATTTATTAAACTTTTTGAAGTCATTACAATTTTGCGATGTAACACACAAGTGCCTATCACCACCTCAAAGGCCGGCAACGCATCTGCGGTTCCTCTGGTATTGCAGATGTCCATGGGCGTCGTTGAACACCTCGGTGTTCCCGCTGCTCGTTTGCCCCCTTCTGTTATAAAAAAAAAAAGTTCTGGTTTAATTATTTATGTAGTTATGAAGGATAAAATAGGCAAAGAAAGAAACAATTTTAATTATATTGTAATTCAAAAACAATAATCACGAAATTACCGATTGCAAGTTCTATGAGAATGATCATCGAAAATCGATAATTATTAGAATCGATTTTACTCAATTCATCTTTAGTGTATATCTTAAATAGATAAAAAAACAAACATGTTATGACAGCTCAGTACAAAGCATCTTGTAACTTTGACATTAAGTTTTATCCTTTGGTTCACTTGTATATTCACAAGACTTCTCTACAAGCAGAGTATTGTTGCCAATCTCTAACAAGTTTAAACAGAACCATAAACACTTGACATTGGCCCAATCCGATGAGGGAGAGCCATAAACAAGAAACAGAACAGAACTTTGACATTGACAGTTGGGCGCTATAGACCTGTCAAAATATAGTTTGTATTTGACCGGAATAATTTGGTCGGTTTAAAGAGATTTATAATATTTGTATTTCTATTGTTCTTTAGATTTAAAGCTGTATAAATAAAAGCGTCATATTTACTTTAACAATGTCTTTTATTGATTTACGTAAGTTATTTTTACGAAATTCTGATATTACTAATATTATAAATGCGAATGTTTGGAAGGATGTTTGTTTGAAAGATATCTCCAGAACGGCTGAACGGATTTGGATGAAATTTGGTATAGATATAGAACATAGTCTGGAAGAACACATAGGCTACTAATTAAGTTTTTTTGAATTGCGTGAGAACTGAGTCGCGGGCAATAGCTAGTCCTTACTAATATTATAAATGCGAAAGTCACTCTGTCTGTATGTGTCGCTTTCACGCAAAAACTACTAATACGATTTACATGAAATTTGATACACAGGTAGTCTAGATCCTGGGGAAGGACATAGGCTACTTTTTAACGCGAAAAAGGGATGTAAGAGGCTTGGAAATTTGTATGGAAATATCGTCATTTTTACAGATAGAAGCTTGAAACTTATTTTTTAGCCTGTTATTATATTTTTTTACTCAAGGGTACCCAAGAAATAGCCTATGTGTTCTTCCAGATTATGTTCTACATTTATGCCAAATTTCATCGAGATCCGTTGAGCCGTTCCGGAGATATCTTTAAACAAACGTACATCTAAACATTCGCATTTATAATATTATTAAGATTTTGATAATAAAATGAATGTTTTTCTTCGGCCATTTAGATAAATGTTATATTTATAAATTTTAATGAATTTTAAAATAAAATAAACATCGTATCATGACAATGACATGACCCATTGATAGCGGGAAGAGCTAAGAAAATTGTTGCCATACTAAAAATTACCCGTGTTAAGGAGTAATTTTCACGAATGCATGTCAATTGAAAGAAAAGAAATGTAAATTATTTTAAGTATTTAAGTAAGTTTTTAATGTCATGTTTCAAATTATTACAAGTAGTTTTCAAAAGTTTTTTAATCTAATAAATATTTAAAAAAACTTTTAACGACCGATTGGGATTTAATTTTTTTTTTAATTTCAGCTTTTAAAAATTCGAATACTAATAGATAAAAAGTGTTTGATATGTAGTATAATAATATCTACAGAATATCTGCATGGATCTTGATGAAATTTGTCGTACATATAGAACATAGTCTGGAAGAACACATAGACTACTAATTGTTTTTTTTTAATACCGCGCGGACGTAATCGTGAGCGACAGCTAATTCAAAATAAAATACTTTGAAAACTTTCTTTTTTTTTATTTATACATATAAAATATCATATTTCAATTGTTTTTTTTACATTGCTGATAACGAAAAACTTATTTTGAAATTTCTTATCTGTCAGTAAGTCAGAGTTTGTTGCCGGTAACGTCCGGGACGTTTCTACCGATTTTGACGTAACGGTAAGGTGATGAACGCGGGAATATTATTAGGTTACTTTTTAATTCCTTACTAATAAAGTCGCGAGCGACCGTTCGTTTAGGTAAAAATTTATAAGGTTAAAAATGGGGAAAATATAACATAATATAATAATCTGGTAACATTAAAACCACAACTGGTTTTAGCAGTTATTTTAATCAGTCGTTAACGAACTTTTAAAACGTTAATATGTTATATTTTTTCTATTTTGTGTTACTTTTAATTTACAATGAAACAAAAGGTCATAATCAAAGACCTATTGGATTACAAGAAGTATTCAAATGGAAACAAATAGAATACGATTTCGATGGAGTTTTATGTGAGTATCTTATATCTTTACTAATATTATAAAGCAGAAGAGTTTGTTCAAACGCGCTAATCTCAAGAACCACTGGTCCGATTGGAAAAAATATTTTTTATTGGATAGTCCAGTTATAGAGGAAGGCTTTAGGCTATATAACATTACGCTGCGACCAATAGTTTTTTATTAATTCCGCGCGGACGCATCGCGGGCGACAGTTATAAATACGATTGTTTAGATGCATGTTTGTTTAAAAGTATCTTCGTAACGGCTTAACAGATCTTTATGAAATTTGGCACAGATGTAGAACACATAGGCTAATAAATAAGTTACTTTAAAAGCACGGATGGAGTTACGGGCAACAGCTAGTATGAATATAAAAACTTCTTTTATCGCCTACTTTTTTTAGATAATGTCATATCGCGTATATTCCTATTTGAAATGAACTGTACATATAAATTTCCTTGTGACCTTTGGGGTTACAACGTGCATTCGCTTCGAAGTGATACCATATCGAATTTCAAAGATGTATGAATACGACGCGCTACAATCTTTATCTTATCCAAAGTTATAGTCAGTTTTATAAATTTTTGAATGCACTTTGCACAACCTGTACACCGAATCTCGGTGAATCGCTTCGTTCCGTCTTCAACACGCCTGTTGAAGTTGCTAACAATTCTGTCGAGTGTTACTTCGACCAACACCGATATCAACTGCAACAAGCGCTAAAATGGCATAGATCAGTCTTTCCCAAAGTGTGCGATAATGCCCCCTTGTGGGCGCTGCAGGTCTCAAGTTGCGTGTTATAGTAAAAGTTTCCTTTACAATTCTCCGTTAATATACATATATAGGTCACAATAATTAATTTAATTTGAAGTTATAGTGGTTTTTAAAATGTGAAAATATGGGGGCGTTAAAAAAATATTTATTCTCAAAGTGGGCAGTAGACAAAATAAGTTTGGGAACCACTGGCAAATGATAGAGAGTCACAAAAGAAAACCTCTTATACCCTGTCTAATGGAATATATCTTAGTGAATTACGATGTTTTATATATAAGTTTACTTTTTTTAAATCGTTTAAATTTCAGACAATTCTAGCACAGATGATATATCAGCGAAAAAACAAGAGAACGTCACTGACGCTGACAAATTTTTCATACAGTATAATAACGTTCCTATCGGTATGGAAGTTTATGGAGATAGGGTGTTTATTACAATACCGAGAAGACGACATGGTATGTATTTCTCGATGCGCTTTCGTTACAAAGTCAAGTGTCAAGTTTAAACAGTGGTAGAGCCCGATTTAACATCTTCGCACGAATTGTCCCGGCTCAACCGGTGAAATACCACGATCACAAGACAGACGTCAAGTGGAAGCAATTCCAACTACAGTCTGATGAGTGTGCGTCCCGGAGACCTAATTTAGTCCTTTTTCCTTCCCACCCTTTTTTTATAAGGAAAGCATGAGAAGTGGAAGTGGACTTTCCGGATGAGAGGATGCATGGAAAGGGAAAATATTTTCTCTCTGTGCATCCTTTCCTACATCGATTAAAGGTAGGCAACGCATATGCAATTGCGTATGTCTATGGGCAACGGTCACTTCGCTATTTCAGCGATTTCAGGTGGCCGCTCGCTCGTTTGCCACCTTATGATATAAAAAAAATACTAAGAACACGGGTTTATCTGGACCACTTTCGATTACTAATCTAAAAATGTTAGATATCTTTCGAATAGTGTTCTTTTAAGGCCCATAAGAGTTAGTCATGTGTTTCTAAATGAACTAGGTTCTTCTTTTAAGGTATTCCATCAACTTTAAACTATGTTAAAAAATCATGTGACGACTCACCTGCTCTTAAACCATATCCTGATACGAAGAGTAGGAGTAAATTTATCTCTGTATATCGACCAAGAGTCGATGTATGTGGTAGGCTATGGATGGTTGATACTGGTCATTTGGAAGTACCTGGTAAGTTTACTTAATATAAGCATTAACTAGCCTTGGGTATTTCTTACACCGACCCCATTTTGGTTATCATGTGATCACGTTCCTTTCAAATGGCTTTGACTATCCTGTGTTGTAATCCCGTGATGTATGAATGTGTTATATTTACATATGTACATTTATCCTATGTTGTTACGGTGAAGGAAAACATCGTGATGCTGCACATATCTGACAAACTCAAACATATGTGTCAAGTCTTGCACTGGACCAGCATTCACTATCACATACTCTCACTTAGGGGAGGTGCAGAGACCCTCAGTGTGGACTTATACTGAGCTGATGATGAAATGCAGTTTCATAATGAAGTTTTTTTCAGGTGAAAGGAAACAAATTCAGCCACCGGCTATTGTTGTATACGATTTAAGGACAGACAAACAATTATTTAGATATGAATTGAAATCAACTGATTTAGTCAACGAAAGGTCATCTGCAGGTTAGAATTTACACTGGGTTTCTGAGACCAAAGTGCATTTTAAACATTGGTTTTAGTCTCAGAAAACCACGATTAACTCACCCGTAGTAAAATCCTAAATTTATCTTACTAATATTATAAACTAGCTGCCGGGACTCCGTCCGCGTGGAAATATGAAAAACTTAATTAGTGTAGCCCACCCATGCATCCACATCACATCCATCTAAACATTCCCATTTATCATATTAGTAAGTTAAATAAAAAGTAGCTCTTCAAGGTATAAATTCGAAAATGAATAAATAGTATCCTATGTCCGTCTCCTGGCAATAAGCTACCTCCTCAACAATTTTCAGGCATATCGGTAAAGCCGTTCTTGAGTTATAAATAGTGTAACTAACACCACTTTCTTTTATATAATATATATAGATGCGAATGTTTATTAAAGATAGATGGTTGTGATGTGGATGAATGGATTGGTGGGCTACACTAAGTTTTTTATCCAGGCGGACGGAGTCGCGGGCGACAGCTAATTTTTAATTAATTTGGATGTAATTCAATTGATATATAATAAATATCATAAAAGCATCTGCAATTTAAATACAAATCTTGTAATCGTGTTTTAAAACGAAAGTAACGCCATTTAGTTTCACAATTTGGTTATAGGTCTAACGTCAATTACAATCGAAGTAGACAAGAAGTCATGTAATAATGCGTACGCTTATATAAATGATTTGGCCACCGAAGGTATGATTGTGTTTTCTCTCAAGGATATGGACAGTTGGAGACTTGATCATAGGAGTTTTGTCCATGATGAAAGAGCTATGAATTTCACAGCTGCAGGTAAGACTTTGTAACAGGAAGATTCGAAAATCTGGTCCTTTCCAATAACCATTTCATCATTTTAAGTGGTAGAGCCCACTTTAACATGTTCGCACGAATTGTCCTCGCCCGGTGAAATACCACGACCACACAAAAGACAGGCCTCAAGTGCGAAGCAATTCCAACTACAGTCTGATGAGTGTGCGTCCCGGAGACCTAATTAAGTCCTCTTTCCCTTCCCACCCTTTTTCTTATAAGGAAAGGACGGGAATTGGAAGTGGACTTTCCGGATGAGATGCAAGGGAAGGGAAATATTTTCTTTCTGTGCATCCTATCCTCCTGTAATAGCGAAGTGACCGTTGCCCATAGACGTACGCAATTGCATATGCGTTGCCCTTAATCGACCGAGGAGATGCGATTTTCACGCGTCCTCTTATCAGCCAAATGTACTTCGCCTTCTCATGATTGCTTTTTAAGAAAAATATGGGAAGTTAAAGACGAAATCAAACTGTAGTTGGAATTGCTTCCACTTGACGCGTGTCTTCTGTGTGGTCGGTTACAACGGACGAGATGATCAATTCTTGTAGATTATTAGTAGTCATGGAATAAGTTTCATTGCGAGCGTCAGTGTCTCAGGAGTCAAGCATTTGACTTGCAATCAGCATGTCCTGTGTTGTAATCCCGTGATGTATGAATGTGTTACATTTACATATGTACATTTATCCTATGTTGTTACGGTGAAGGAAAACATCGTGATGCTGCACATATCTGACAAACTCAAACATATGTGTCAAGTCTTGCACTGGACCAGCATTCACTATCACATACTCTCACTTAGGGTACTCCGAGACCCTCAGTGAGGACGTACAGTGAGCTGATGATGTAATAAGTTTCATTGTAATTCTTCATTCCAGGGTACGTGATTAATTGGAAAGATGGCTTGTTCAGTATTACGTTGACAGATCCTGATGTCAACGGCAAAAGGAAAGCATTTTACCATCCTCTCGTGTCCACACAAGAATTTGCTATCAATACTGAATTATTAAAAGATAAAACGAAATTTCTAGGACATAATACTGTTAGTGTATCTTCCAATTTAACTCTTAACCATAGACAAAGTCGTAAAGTATTCTATATATTTGTTACAATATTATTGCTGGACTAGCGTTAAAGAAACCATAATAAGTAGTTTATGTGTTCTTCCAGACTATGTTCTATATGTATGACAAATTTCATCAAGATCAGTTCAGTCGTTCTAGAGATATCTTCAAACACCCATCCATCCATCCACATCAATCTAAACATTCGCATTCATAATATTAGTAAGTTAAATAAAAACAGCTCTTCAAGGCATAAATAGTATCCTATGTCCGTCTCCTACCTCTAAGCTACCTCCTCAACAATTTTCAGTCATATCGGTAAAGCCGTTCTTGGGTTATAAATAGTGTAACTAACACCACTTTCTTTTATATATATAAAGATGCGAATGTTTAGATGTATGTTAGAAGATATCTCCAGAACATATAGAACATAGTCTGGAAGAACACATAGACTACTAATTAAGTTATTTTAACCCCGCACATTGTTAAAAACATTTATTTCCCTTCAGTATATTGGTGAACGTGGTAATAACACTCAAAGTGGTTCTCACGACTACCACGTCCCTTCTAGAACAATCTTTTACGCTAATGTCGCACAAGACGCCATCTTGTGTTGGAATATAGATACGGAAATGACACCAGATAATGTTGCTATAGTCGCTCAGGACCACAAAAAACTTGCCTATATTTCTGGTATGAATTAATTTAAATAAGGGAACGTACACATACTACGTGACCCGTTTAGGGGGGGAGGGGGAGTCTTTAAAATACTACGGTCAGTCACAGGAGTGGGGGGGGTCTCAGGTTTTCATCACGTAATCGTTACTTGTTTTTTCATAATACATAATTCACAAGTAATTTAAGTATGCATACAGTCTTGTGCTATAAAGAAGAGTATGAGCCAAATTATTTCTTTTTCAATTTTTACCTGTGAAATGATTAAAAATCATAATTAGTGAATTACTACGTAAAAACTAAAGGGGTGGGGGGTTCTTGGCATGTACTACGAGTGGTCACCGAGGGGTGGGAGGGGTCGAAAAAATTGAAAAAGTAGGTCACGTAGTATGATTATGTTCTCTAATAGCTGATTATTACATTTTTAGTTTTAATGTTTAATTCTTATTATATTTCGCCTGCGATTCCGTTTTAATTAATTATTTGAATTACAAAAAAAACATAGTAGTCTATGTGTTCTTTTAGATTATGTTCTATATGTATGTCAAATTACATCAAGATCCATCGCAGCAGATCTAGAGATATCTTCTAACAAACATCCATCCATCCATCCAAACTTTCGCGTGTATATATAATATATAAAAGAAAGTGGTGTTAGTTACACTATTTATAACTCAAGAACGGCTATCGGTAAATGCCTGAAAATTGGTGAGGAGGTAGCTTAGAGCCAGGAGACGGACATAGGACTATTTATTCATTTTTTTTCGAATTTATGCCTTGAAGAGCTTTAGATGGATGTGATGTGGATGGATGGATGTTTGAAGATATCTCTAGAACGGCTGAACCGATATCGATTAAATTTGGCACACATATAGAACATAGTCTGAAAGAAGACATAGGTTACACTAATTAAGTTTTTTATATATCCACTCGGACGGAGTCGCGGGCTACAGCTAGTTATGTTATAATTTAATTCTTTTATTTTCTAGATTTGAAAGTAATCGGCGATGAAATATATGTACTAGTAAATCAAATACCTAAGTTTATTTACTCAAGATTTGATACTGAAGAATATAATTATTTAATCCATAGGTAAGTAATTCAGTTTAAATAAATACGTAGATTGCTTTAATTTTGTTAATTCATAAGTTTGTAGTCAAAATCTATTGATAAATGTTCAAGATCGATTCTTAAAATATTAACTATAATCTGTCTATTTAAGATAGATTAGTTTGACAACTGACGTTTATAAAGTATAGAATTAATTTTGTATGAGAATTAATGTTGTACTTAATGTACGTTATAGTGTCGGAGTGTCGAGAATCAAATCTTGTTATAAAATTAATCCAACAAATGAGTAATATAATTTACTTATTTTATAATTTTTTTAATATATTTCAGTTATTTGTCTATGTATCGCATAATTAAGAAAAAAACATCTTTTCTGTTCGTCAACATCGCAATTTTTGGTTTTAATATCTTATTTTGTTTATGTAGTTATGAAGGATAAAGTAGGAATAGAAAGAAACAATTTTATTTATATTGTAATTCAAAATCAAAAATTACGAAATTACCGATTGCAAGTTCTATGAGAAGAATCGAAAATCGAAAAAATTATTAATCGATTTTACTCAACCTCATATCTAGTGAAATGTCAAACTAATCTATCTTAAATAGACACACTATAAATATTATTAGGGAAAAACTGTGTCAGTGTACTGGCAACACTAGCCTTATTAAAATGTCAACGATTCTGTCCCCTCACTACATCTGACAGTTGACGTTGTAACGAAAGCGCGCCATTTCGCTCCAAATGATTTTAACTAATAATAACCAAAAATAAGAATAATTTAACATTTTAGCTATTTGTTGGAAAAATGTGGCTTAATAAGTGATTTAACATTTTATTTAGATTCCTATTTCCCGATGTTTGCCATAAAATCTTGTAAATTAAATTTGACCCATTTCTCGGTTACCTATTGAGTTTAAATTTTGCATATTTGTGTCAATCACGTGATTATATAATATTATGATGACAAGGAGATGATCTGATGATGAAGCTGGAAGGTCTTATGAACGTTTTGAGGAGTTTTATCTTTGAATAACCAGGGTTTGATGATGGAATCTTGTTTTTAAAGTATTTTTCCATCGCAAGTGAATAATAATTGTTTTTTTTCAGATATCGAGTTTTTGATTTGATACTTGGCACAGTATGTGATAGAGCAGCGCCTTGAATATGTTTTTTAAATAAAAAATTGTTATTTGTTCCTTTTTTATTCTATTTAATCATCATCAAAGGCCAATCTATGGTCTAGTAAATCTATATATATAAAAGAAGATAGATAAAAAATCTCTTTCCCTTCTCATTCATTTCTTTTTAAGGAAGTGGAAGTGGACTTTCCGGATGAGAGGATGCATGGAAAGGGAAGATATTTTCTTTCTGTGCATCCCCTCCTCCGTCGACTAAAGGTAGGCAACGCATATGTATACGATTGCGTATGTCTATGGGCAACGGTCACTTCGCTATTTCAGTGATTTCGGGTGGCCGCTCGCTCGTTTGCTACCTTATCAAATAAAAAAAAAAGAAAGTGGTGTTACACTATTTATAACTCAAGAACGGCTTTACCGATATGACTGAAAAAATTAGTGAGGAGGTAGCTTAGAGCCAGGAGACGGACATAGGATACTATTTATTATGCCTTGAAGAGCTACTTTTTATTTAACTTACTAATTTATTAATGCGAATGTTTAGATGGGTGGGCTACACTAATTAAGATTTTTTTATATATCCACGCGGACGGAGTCGAGGGCAACAAAATGTATATAAAATTTCATAAAAATCTGTCAAGCTGTTTCCGAGGAGTATGGTAACTATTTGACACGACAAATTTTATATAAAAGATTAGCTTTGCCCGCGACTTCGTACGCGTTAAATATTGTCGTTGGATTGTGTAGTGTATGCATAAACATAGTGTTGTTTGTCTCGAGCGTACACGTCATAAGTACATGCCGGAGAGAGGGGACGTCAGTCGATGTCAGGCCTTTAGACCGGCAAAATGTGTCGGTACGTGAACGGGCCAAATATAACGCAACGAATGGTACAGATAGCATTTTAATTATTTAACTTAAACTTATAAAACATTCAAGTAAATTTTCATTCTCATACTATAACTTTTTTTTTATATCGTAAAAAGGCAAACAAGTAAGCGGCCACCTGAAATCGCTGAAATAGCGAAGTGACCGTTTTCCCTTCCTATGCATCCTCTCATCCGGAAAGTCTACTTCCACTTCCCATCCATTCCTTATAAGAAAAAGGGTGGGAAGGGAAAGATGACTAAATTAGTCTTCCGGGACGCAAACTCATCAGACTGTACGCGGAATTGCTTCCACTTCACGCCTGTCTTCTGTGTGGTCGTGGTATTTCACCGGGCGAACCGGGACAATTCGTGCGAAGATATTAAAGCGGGCTCTACTTTTATCTTTCATCCCCTTTCCGCATTTTCCACCTTTGAGGGTTAATATGAATTCCATACAAATTTCAAACAGCCATTTTTTCGCGGTAAAAAATAGCCTAAGTCCATTCTTAAGCTCTAGACTATCTATGTACCAAATTTCATTTAAATCGGTTCAGTAATTTCTGCATGAAAGGACAGACGGACAGTTTCGCTTTATACGTATACTAGCAGACCCAACATACGTCCTGTCTACACGTCTTTAATTCGAATATTATTTAAAATTTGACACTGCGATGGTAGCGCCGTCTGTCGGATCCAATGTAAAACATTACAAAATCAACAACTACTATTAAAAAAACATTGTCCGGCGGACAAAATTGTGAATCTAAACCATTCCCAGATCCTTTTGAACACACACAAAAAATTTCATCAAAATCGCTCCAGTCGTTTGAGAGAAGTTCAGTGACATACACACTCACAGAACAATTATATATATAAAGATTAGGAAGGACAAAGAGGATAGATATTTGTTTGCATTGAATTTATTTTTATGATAATACGTTGCGGTTAGACAGGTCACGATGTGTTCTTAGTAATATATTATTTGAATTTACTATTATAATTATATTATAAAGCATCAAACAGGATTTTAGACATGACATAATAGTGATGTACGATATATTTTTGTCTACATATCGAAACGTAATTATTGTAGAATCAGTGTGCTATATTACCGGTAACGGTAATAAGACCGATCGTACTATACGGCTGCGAAACCTGGACACTAACCCTTAAAGATTAGGAAATGCTTCTGGTGGCGGAAAGAAAAATCATGCGCAAGATCCTGGGCACTACACAAAGAGAAGACGACAGCTAGAGAACCCGCTACAACGCGGAAATTGAGACGCTGGTGGGTGAGCCGAATATCATCGGAGAAGCAAAAGCTCACAGACTCCGATGGCTGAGGATGGGGGAAGATCGAAAGGTCAAAGCAGCATATCTCGGGACCCCGACTGGCAGGAGAAGGCGCAAGACAGGCGACTTTGGCGATCTCTTGTTTCGGAGGCCAAGAGCCACTTTGGGTCGATGCGCCAGCGGAGTAAGTAAGTAAGTGTGCTATATTGAGCGTGATTTGACATAAAAAAATGATATCTCTATACTACCTGTCCGTTCGCATGGAATTAAAATGGATGGAATATCTTATGTGTTCTTCCGGACTCGTCTATACCAAAGGTTTAGATGGATGTTTGTTAGAATGTATCTCCAGTACAGTTGCATGGGTCTCGCTGAAATTTAACATAAATGTAGAACATAGTCTGGAAGAATACATAGGATACTTATTAAGTTTTTTTTTAATTGCGTGCGAACGAAGTCGCGGGCGACAGAATGTTTAAATTAAACATTAGGAATATATTTAAATAAACTATTATATATTCTACTAAAATAGTGAAAGAAAGAAAGAAAGAAAAGTTTTTATTATAGGTAATACAGATTAAACCAAGAAACAATAACTAACATAATAAAATTGCACATAACTAAGAAATTAAATTAGACTTAAGTTACCATTTATGGTTAATTTGGATTTTACTTTTTTTAAGGAATGTATCTCAAATCAAATAAATATATCGATATATCGCACATCACTAGCAAATTATGATTTACGTGACAAATATCTAAACAAAATAAATCAAAAAATTCTCATGTAATTGCTTACTTCTTACTAATATTATAAATGCGAATGTTAGATGGATGGATTAATAGATGTTTGCTTGAAGATATCTCCAGAACAGCTGCATGGATCTCGCTGTAATCTGACATACATATAGAACATAGTCTGGAAGAACACATAGACTACTAATTAAGTTTTTTAATTCCGCGCGGACAGTCACGGGATACGTCTAGTATTTCATAAACAGTGGAAACACAGAAATAATTTCAAATTCATGATGTAATATCATTGTTAGACCTCTGTTCTTTTGTTTTATGTTAAGTAACGGCCTTTCTCTGTGTTCGACTCATAGAAAAACTAGCTGTCGCCCGCGATACCATCTCAGCGGAATTAAAAAAAAAAACTTAGTAGTCTATGTGTTCTTCCAGACTATGTTGTATATTTATGCTAAATTTCAGCGAGATTCGTTAAGCCGTTCTGGAGATATCTATTAACAAACATCTAAACATTCGTATTTATAATATTAAGCACCTGGATGACGGAGCTTTGCTCGGTATTTTTTTTTAAAATAGTGTTTTTTGGAAATTATATTTAAGTACGAATTACTAATAAAATGATGAAATATGAATAATATTTTTCGATCTTACCCATAGAAAAAGTTAAGTTTATGTTTAAGTTGATTATCGATAAAACACGAATAAAATTACATTTTCTAAAAATGATTCCTAGCTAGATCGATTTATCGCCCCCGAAACCTCCTGTATACTAAATTTTATGAAAATCGTTGGAGCCGATTCCGAGATTCCAATTATATATATACAAGAATTGCTCTTTAAAGATATAAGATAAGATGTCGATAATTTTTATCAATAGCACATCACTAAACGTTCATTATAATACATAAATGAAGACGTGCTAATATCAAAATCATTTCAAACATCGCGTATGTTAGATACCGTTGTTTGAAAAAACAATAATAAATTATTTTATGTCAAGTTTAAAAAAAACAAAAAGTGTTTAAAGTAAAATAATTGTAAGTTATTTCAAAGACGTATTTTATATTGTTGTTAATTTATTTAGTTAAAAGTAAATTAATTAGTATACAAAATAAAATATATTGAACATCGTTATTAACAAGTAAGTTTTATTTGTTTATTTCACATTAAAAGTTTGAGTAAAAAATTTTGTTTTATAAAATTGCGTTAACATTTTTATTATATCATAAAACGTCATAATAAAGATATATTTAGCTATTATTTACAAGGTTAAGGCATTTGGCATTAATTTTGCATAAATGAATAAATCATTTATACTTAAAAAACGGTCGTTAAAGGTTATATTAGTAAAACCGTTTTTTAACCGTTATTTTATTCTTCATAATCTTTGATTTTTTTTTAATCATTTTACGAAATTTATAATAAAAAAATAAATTTGATTTAACAACTAATATACTACGATTATTTGATGATTTAAATGCATTTAAATTATATTACTATTTTACAATTTAATGAAAATATTTTTTCTTTCAACAGATTTAAAAAAAAAACTTTTTGGTAGGTTAACTTTTACTAATTGTTGGATAGAATGCGTTCAAAATTAAAGATAATATTTACAATACAAATTCTAATATTTATATTAAATAATGAGGTTATATCACAAGGAAGTCTTGGAAGATTCCAAGAAGTATTTGCATGGAAACAACTGACGTATAATATTGGAGGGAACTTAGGTGAGTTGTCATTAACCGTAGTGATGTAATCATTGTAAGTGTTGTAAAATTGATGTTTAAACCCCTCGACGATATATGTAGTAACTAGCTACGACGCTCGACTCCGCCCGCGTAATAAAAAAAAATATAAGTAGTCTATGTGTTCTTCCAGACTATGTTTTATATGTATGTCAAATTTCATCAAAATTCGTTCAACCGTTCTGCAGATACCTTCAATCATCCATCCATCTAAACTTTCGCATTTATAATATAATTATAGTCAGATAAATAGTAATATAGTTATTTTCTCATTACATCCCTCGTCCAATACACAGTGTTACATCTTACTAATATTATAAATGCGAATGTTTGGATGTATGTTTGTTAGAAGGCATCTTCGGTACCGCTGTATGGATCTCGCTAAAACATGTTATAGATGTAGAATATAGTCTGGTAGAACACATAAGCTACTAATTAAGTTTTCTTATTCATTCAGCGCGGACGCAGTCGTGGTCAACAACTAATAGACCATATTTGACGTTGCATCAAAATGCAACAACGTAACCTTGAAACAGCAGAATAGAAAATAATATTTGTTTTTTAAAGTTAGATAGCTTTATAATTACAAAATTAATATTAAAGTATCAGTCGACCGCGACTCTGTGCGGAACTAAAAGAAAACTGAGTAGTCTATGTGAAATTTCATCGAATATTTAACAAAATCCTAAATGCATTTAAACATTCGCATTTATATAACTAAGATAAAAAAAAACTAACAATGCAGGCGCATCACTAAAGTCCTTGATACAAAGATTGTTTACAATTAGTCAAGGTCAAATAAAACACGACAGGTTATGCAACCTAACGAAAGACGTCGTACTATAAGAACATCTGTTGTCTCTGTTTTTCTTTAATAAAATGAAAGGGATGACACTATTTTTAATGCGTTCCCGCTGTAATTCACAGAAATAAAAACATAATTTAGGCAAGATTATAGCGATTAGGATGACTCAGTTTATGCATTTTTTGTGTCTTAGAAAACCAATTATATTATGTAATCCATAAAGATTATTTTTATTATATAACTAAGTGTGAGTTTCCGAGACGAAAATCAATGTTTAAAACATATCCTCTGTTTTGTCAAACATTATGACAGGTGTGACTAGAAGTTTTTTAAACAGTGATATCAGAAACCCATTGTAAGTAATGATTTTATTTAACTCATCTTAAAGGTCTGAAATAGAAGTTAATGAAATGCTTAGGTTAATTCGCATTTTATATATCACGAAATCAATACGGGTTTGAAAGCGATTTAACCTCAAAAACGCGGAGTTATTTTTTGGCTATGTAGTTAGAAATGTCTATCTAATTCAAGTCTCTAAGCTTATTCTTCAAGGCTGTGCAATTTTCAATTTCATTGGATCATTTTTGCGTTTATGATTTTAAGCAACATCTCTGTCCGTGCGGAATTAAAAAACTTAATTAGTAGTCTGTGTTCTTCCAGACTATGTTCTACATCTTTGCCTTTAATCAAGATCCATGCAGTCGTTCTGGAGATATCTTCTAACATACATCTAAACATTCGCATTTATAATATTAGTAAGAATAAAGATGTTAACGATTGGAGTTCATATTCCTAAGTTCGAGATTCTATTCGTATTTGTTTTTTTATTATTCTGAATATTTTTATTATTTTTTCAGTACTACAAGACCGATTTGCCGATGACGTATCAGATGCTAGAAGTAAAAGAGAGTCTGATATCATCTTCTTTGATGATAAAGAAGAAGATACAAGGGAATGGAACCAGGGTAAGTGATATGGTGTTGTTAAGGGAGTCAAGCAGTTGACTTCTCGCAATATTTTATACAACTCTATTAAAGAAATACAAGAAAAAACATAATTAGTAGTCAATGTGTTCTTCCAGACTATGTTCTACAGGGTGTCCCAAAAGGATACGTACATAGGAAGGGGGATGATAGAGGTGGTCGCAAGGGTCACCAGAAAAATAAAATAAAAATTCCCCTCTGGGTATTAAAAAAATAGATGGCATTTTTTAAAAACTTAAAAATTTTACATCTTCTGGGGCAATTTTAATTTGTTTTAAAATCTTTGTTAGTTGTATTGTTTTTTTTATTTCATATTGATAAAGGGTTATTGACGATAACATAATACCTTTTTTTAATGTAGCAATATTTGTAGGTCATTGGTTACAAAATTGCCCCAGAAGGTGTAAAATTTTTAAGTTTTTATTAAAAATGCCAGTTATTTTTTTTAATACCCAGAGGGGAATTTTTATAAACTGATATATAAACACGGCTAAACACTCACGTATATACGTCCGGTGGCGGCACCGACTAGTTTCGAGCCCATCGGGGGCCCCTCATCAGGATGAGTGGCACTGGTATCATTTCGCGGACGCGGCCCTCAGCTCACTGAGCTACGGGGAATTTTTATGTTATTTTTCTGGTGACCCTTGTGACCACCCCTATCATCCCCCTTCCTATGTACGTAACCTTTTGGGACATCCTGTATATGTATGCCAAATTTCATCGAGATTCGTTCAACCGTTCTGGACCCTTCAAACATCCATCTAAACATTCGCATTTATAATATTAATAAAGATAAAATTAAGGTGTAATGGACAAAATTTAATAGCACTTTTAGACGTTATTGGTTAGAATCCTTTGGCGCGAATGGCGCGCTTTCGTTACTAAGTCAACTGTCAGAATGATTAGTGAGGGGACATAAACATCGACATCTATTGTATATATAAAAGAAAGTGGTGTTAGTTACACTATTTATAACTCAAGAACGGCTTTACTGATATGCCTGAAAATTAGTGAGGAGGTAGCTTAGAGCCAGGAGACGGACATAGGATACTATTTATGCCTTGAAGAGCTGCTTTTATTTAACTTATTTATATATTAAGTTTTGTTATATAGCCACGCGGACGGAGTTGCGGGCGACAGCTAGTTTTTAATAAGGCTAGTGTTGCGCCAGTACACCGGCACAGTGTCGGATTTTCGTCCTAACCGTATAGATACTTATTAGTTTTAAGTCTAAAGGTGTTTTTGTACAGGTCCACCTGAACCGCTGCCAGAAACTAAAGGCACCACAACGGTTAGACCACTTGGTAAGTTTCGTAGTCTAAGTCAGTGATTCTTAAACTGTTTGAGTACCTTGTTAACACAGGGCCGGCTTTAGTATCCAACGCCCTGGGCGAGATTTTTGCTGCGCGCCCTTTGTTTTGATATCGGGGGAATTCTTCCAGGTATCTTAAGGACCACTTTAGGCGCCTCTTTATATCCGACTCTAACGTCTGCGACGCCCTCTTATGATCGGCGCCCTGGGCGATCACCTCATCTGGTCCTAACCTAACGTGTACTACTGTAAAACTGTCTAGAGTAATCATTTGAAGATTTCTTTTAAGTAGGAAGGACATGTGTCAAATTACACGTTCATAAGTTTGAACAACGTTTGCATGTAGCTGAAATGCGTATACAAAGATAGATGTGTGGTGTGACAAGGAAGGATAAAGTTAAAAATGTGTTTATTAGAGGAAGTTTGAAAGTAGCGCCAGTGATCGAGAAATTGAGCAGTAAAAGATTAGCGTGGTTTGGACATGTTATAAGGAGGGATGATGAGGATGATGATGATATAAGCAAAAAGTAATGAGATTGAATGTGGATGGCTAAAGGGTAGGGGAAGACCAAAAAAAGTATGGAATGACTGTGTGAAAGAGGATATGCGTAAGAAGGGGGTAGACTCGGAAATTACAGCTGATAGAGATGTATGGAGGAGTAATACATACTGTGCCGATCCTCGATAGGGATAAGGGCAGGTTGATGATGAAGTTTGAGCAACGTCTTTGAAAATGGTTATAAAGTTTTCTTTTCATATATTTATGATTCCAGATGAAGAAGGTAGATTCTTCGTACAATATAATAACGTACCAATGGGTGTTGAACGAGTTGGTGATAGATTGTTTGTCACCGTACCAAGGAGACGATATGGTGGGTTTTTTTAAATAAGGTAGCAAACGAGTCAACTTAATTACGCTTAAATAGCGAAGCGAATGCTGCCCTTAGACATATGCAATTGCAGATGTTCTGCGCACCTTTAATCAACGGAGTAGACGAACAGAAAGAGAATATTTCCCCTTCAAATCCCCTTACCTTTACCATCCTTTCTTTATACAAAATGGAGAAGGAAAAGAGGACTAGAACTAGGCCTCTGGATTAAACAATCATCTAAGTGTACGGTCTTCTTTAAGGTCGTGGTATTGGACCGAGACACATTCCTGCTACATATGTTTGTTGCTGTCGTCTACCAGTGAAAAAAAGTTATTTAATTGATAGAAAAGACACACGGAAAGAGAATATTTCCCCTTCCTAAACGTACCTTACTCCATCAAATTACATGAGGCCTACGGCACAGACACTCGTTGGTCTTTTACCGATTCTCATCACACAATACCTTTGTTCTAGGTATCCCATCAACATTGAATTACATTGACCTAACTAAAGACTCGAAGACTAGATCACCAGCTCTCAGACCTTATCCCAATATCCGAAGATCTAGAGATCTGACTTCCGTGTATAGGACCAGGGCAGACGAATGTGGAAGACTTTGGTTAGTTGATACCGGTCTACTGGAAATACCAGGTACATATCAAATAAAATTTATGACATAAAGATCAGCTCATGGCTTACATGTATGAAACAGATCAGTGACTCGCAGCTCAGTTCAGTTTCAGTTTGTATCAGCAATGAGTTATTGGTCCAGCTGGCTCACTGGAGCGTTGGTGGCTCAGGGGTTTCAACACTTGACTTGCAATCTGCATGTCCTGTGTTGTAATCCCGTGATGTATGAATGTGTTACATTTACATATGTACATTTATCCTATGTTGTTAAGGTGAAGGAAAACATCGTGATGCTGCACATATCTGACAAACTCAAACATATGTGTCAAGTCTTGCACTGGACCAGCATTCACTATCACATACTCTCACTCAGGAACTTATATTTTTAATTCCAGGTTCACCTCAACAAGTTCAACAACCAGCGATTGTGATATACGATTTAAGAACTGACCAACAGATATTAAGATATCCATTCAAAAGTTCTGATATTCCAGCTGCAAATACACCTACAGGTTGGTACACTAATAGTCAACTTCTGAGACATAAATAACTGTATAAAACATATCTTTGACAAAACAGAGATATATAATATAATACAATTAGCTGTCGCCCGCGACTCCGTCCGTGTGGATATACAAAAAAAACTTAATTAGTGTAGCCTATGTGTTCTTTACAGACTATGTTCTATACGTATGCCAAATTTAATCGAGATCCGTTCAGCCGTTCTAGAGATATCTTCAAACATACATCCATCCACATCACATCCATCTAAACATTCGCATTTATAATATTAGTAAGTTAAATAAAAAGCAGCTGTTCAAGGCATAAATTCGAAAACAAAAATGAATAAATAGTATCCTATGTCCGTCTCCTGGTTCTAAGTAAAGCTACTTCCTCACCAATTTTCAGGCATATCGGTAAAGCAGTTCTTGAGTTATAAATAGTGTTACTAACACTACTTTCTTTTATATATATCGATGTTTTTAAAAGATTTTAGGCTCAGAAACCTACTGTAAAAGATGTAACCCACAACACATTTTACGTTAAAAAATCGAGAATTGTAAATTAAGTAATTAATAACATAAATGCGAATGTTTAGATGGATGTCGATAAGATTTTTTTTTATTTAATTGCTCAAAACAGCCAAATATCTGTAATAAATTCAAAAAGTAATAAAATATGTTATAGTATTTACATCTTCGATTTATATACAAGACAGATTCACGATAGTTCATACTTCGTTAATCGCGTACACTCCGACACTATAACGTCTATTAAGTACAAAATTAATCCTCATACAAAATTAATTCTGTACTTTATGGACGTCAGTTGTCAAACTAATCTATCTTAAATAGACAGAGTATAGAGAAATTATTAATTTTAAAGTTTTTCTATAATTTCAGGTCTAGCATCAATAACCATAGACATAACGGGCGATTGTAGCGACGCTTACGCATACGTTCCGGATCTAACGACGTTCGGTCTTATTGTGTATTCATTAAAAGAAAACGACAGTTGGCGTCTCACTCACAATTATTTCTTTCTCTCTCCAACAGCTGGAAACTTTAGGGTCGCTGGTGTGTATAAAACTGAATTATAATTCATAGTAAAACTCGCAAAATTCCAAAAAAAAAATTAAAAAAAAACTTTCAGACCTAACTTTAACAGTCAAACAAACATCCATGTATGAAACTTAACTTTCAATCGATATAAAGATATTTTAGACGGACACTAGCTGTCGCCCGCGACTCCGTCCGCGCGGGATTAAAAATATATGTTGACTGTTTCTCAGACCAACTCAATATGCTCACAAAATTTCATGAGAATCGGTCAAGCCGTTTCGGAGAAGTATGGGAACGAAAATTGTGACACGAGAATTTTATATATAAGATGAAATCAAACCGATCAATGTTTTTTACAATGTATAGAAAATTAAGTTCCTTCACATAGTCACAGGGCCGGAATTAGGTAAGGGTATGATTGGGCGTCCGCCCAGGGCGCATAACCCTATTAGTACCAGTTTCACATAACACTATTAAACTCCCCTGTTCAAATGCATCGTTAAAAAACGCTGTAGAAATCTGGCCCAGGGCGTTAATAGAAGCAAAATTCCTTTTTTAATAAAATATTAGCAGATTTTTGTAAATTTACTATTATTTCTTATATATTACCATTCCAACTCAGCTCTATTCTTGAGCTAGAAAGTGGTTTCATCATCATCAGCTCACTATACGTCCCCACCGAAGAGCTCAAAGCCTACTCTAAGTTAGGGGTGATTAGGCCATAATCAATCACGCTGGCCATGTGCGGGTTGACTTCACACATATCTTTTGAATTTCTTCTCAGATATGTGCAGCATCACGATGTTTTCCTTCACCGTAAGACCGTAGAATAAATGTACATATGTAAATCGGAAATGGAAAAACATATTGGTACATGGCGGGATTCGAACCCAGGACCTGCAGATTGCAAGTCAAGTGCTTGACGCCTGAGTCGTGAACGTGGTTTACAATAGTCAAATGTCGGAATTCGAACTCTCAATCATGTGATCAGAAATCCGTACCCTTAACCATTAGGCTATTGACGCTTATCTTTTTCCGCTTGGCTATTATTTTAGGACAAAACTTCCAATGGGGCGATGGTATATTCAGTGTGACATTAACACAGCCTGGTAAAGATGGCTGCAGAACTGCTTACTTCCATCCATTGGTCAGTTTTCAAGAGTTCTCAGTATCTACTTGCCTGTTGAAGAATAAAACTGCTAACACTGATAGCAACTTCTGGTCTAGATTTTCGGTAAGTTTACGTATAAAGTTTTCAAGTCAAATAAAAGAATTAACAGGGCCGGCGTAAGTTTAGGGCGCGTTTGGGCGACCGCCCAGGGCGCTGGACAGAAAGACACCACAGGTCTGTTACAACAGTGTCACGTGATTATTTATAACCGCCCAAAGGCGTAGTACAAAAGAGGGCGTAGTAAAAAACCCGCCCAGGGCGTTGGTGGCCTTAAACTTTATGTTGCATTCTGAACCTAATTATTTCCTAACTAATATAGTAAAACATGGTTTCAAACCAAAATCTTAGTATAAAAACTAAGCTTCTTTTATCACTGTCATTATCTTTGATAAAATAGAGAGAACGATATGTTTTAAAGTGAGATCTTGGGTCTCGGAAACCCAGGGTGATATCAAAATATATATATATATAAGAAAGTTGTGTTAGTTACTGTATTTATAACTCAAGAACTGCTTTGTCGATATGCCTGAAAATTGGTGAGGAGGTAGCTTACAGCCAGGAGATGGACATAGGATACTATTTATGCCTTGAAGAGCTGCTTTTTATTTAACTTATCTATATATTAAGTTTTTTTATATATCCACGCGGACGGAGTCGCGGGCGACAGCTAGTATGTTATATAAATAAATTTTCCAGGAAGTTGGTTTCCGTGGTCAAGACAGTCAGTGTACGATGCACGATTACCATGCCAACAGTCGTGTTGTGTTCTTTGCTGAAGTCGGTAGAGATGCTGTATCCTGTTGGCATTCAGGAAAGATGTTATCACCAAATAATGTTGTCATATTAGCTCAAGATAGACAGAAGATGAGTTATCCATCAGGTAGTGAAACCATAGACAAACATCAAAACTCATAAACAACTTTGCTCAGGTGACTTGCAATCAGCATGCTCCTGTGTTGTAATCCCGTGATTTATGAATGTGTTACATTTACATATGTACATTTATCCTATGTTGTTACGGTGAAGGAAAACATCGTGATGCTGCACATATCTGATAAACTCAAACATATGTGTCAAGTCTTGCACTGGACCAGCATTCACTATCATATACTCTCACTTAGGGTAGGTGCAAAGACCCTCAGTGAAGTTTGCGTTCTTATAAATACTTTCTTCAGATTTATTTTTATTTTTAACCACCTGTGAGTAACTTGGCGGATTTTAAAGTGTGATTTCTCATGCCAGTATTTTTCCCAAGTTTATTTTTAAATTGTTTATGGTTTAATTTGTGTTTATTAGATCTTCATGTTACAAATGATGAGGTTTGGGTTATGGCAAATACATTGCCAAGATTTGGCTACTCGACATTGGATACAAATGAATATAATTTCTACATATACAGGTAAATATCGCGTTTTAATTATCGAAAAATACACATAAATAGATTAACTTTTTAATTTAAATCATAGGCTAAGAATACTCTGTGGTTTAATAATAAATTTTTACTTTTTTCAGAGGTCGAGTAAAAGATTTGATAAGAGGGACAGCGTGCGATGATGTTATGTAAAAAATATAGTATTCTTATAAATATTTTGTATTTTAATTTATGTTAGTAATAAAAAAACAGTAAAGTTTTTTTTAAGAATCCCTGACGATCCTTTTTACACAATTAGCAAGAAGCTTTTGTCTAAAAATAAAACATAAGTTTCTACGGTTAACATAAGTTAACTACGGTTTCGTTGTCTATGACATTTGACATTGAGTGACATTGACATAAGTTTGTTTACCACAAAATTTGAAGAAATCTTTAGTCGTAAATTGTCCAAATTAAATGCATTTAGTTAACAACTACTAAATAAAGTTTACCATTTACTTCAACTTAAAATAATAATAGTAAAAAACCAAATATGGATGAATTTCTCGCTACTACGTCTAATAAACTGGTAACGTAAAAATTTTTATTAACCAAACGTCTTACATATTTCATGTTTTTTAACATTGAATGTTGTATAAAACCACAATGATGTAGATAATATGTATCCCACATTGTCACTCTTATAGAAATTTGCGGAGAAAAGTGTAATTACTTCTTACTAATATAAATGCGAATGTTTAGATGGATGTTTGTTTGAACATATCTGCAGAACGACTAAACGAATCTTAATTAAATTTTGCATACATATACAACATAGTTTGGATGGACACATAGGTTACTAATTCTATTTAATTCCGCGCGGACAGTCACTGGCAATAGCTAATTAATTTTTTCTCTTAATGTTCTTCAGAAAACCAACAACTATGCAGATCTGACAATCGTATTAGGTAACGAAAGTTGTGATCTAGATTCCGCAGTTAGTGCTTTAGTTTATGCTATGTTTTTAAACTGGCAATACGAAAGAATCAAATGTAAAGTGTGCACAAGGGAGAAGAGAGTTGATCATAAAGATAGTATATTTGTACCAGTACTTGATGTTAAGAGAGAAGATTATACTTTAAAGACGGAAGTAGCTTATTGTTTGAAGGAAAATAATATTAATGAAGATCATTTAGTGTTCAGGTAAGTGTAAGATAGTCTTAATAATATCTGTGGCTCAATAAAAGATGCCAGTAACATCAGTTGCACACTGCACCTCATCCTCTGCAATACCACAACCACACAGAAGTAATGCCTTTAGTGCAAACTCATTATAACTGCAATCTGTACCTCTGTGCATCACGACCTCGCAGACCACACACATTAAGTCAAAACTCATTACAACTGCAGTATGATAAGTGTGCATATGGCCTTTTTTTTTTCTAGAGGCGAATGCTTTATGCATACTTCACATCCCAAGTCGGACGCGGTAGTTATGTGGGATTCTCCTCCTTATTGAAGGCATACCCACTAAACCTCTCTGTTTCTCCAACGCATTGGGATGGGGCCACGGGCACGCTTTCGCTCTCCTCCGCGGCCCTGTCTGCTTCAGCTGCCGAGGCAGCTTCCTCTCGAGAGGGAGGTAGCCCTCAACCAACGGTGATGGACTCCCCCGTGTCCAGCACCTAAAGGCTTTTGTGGAAAAGCGAAGGCGGCGGCGTATTGCCCGCCTTCTCCTTCCCACTCTCCTACGTCTGAGCGGGGGCGCCAAAGTTTCCCTCGCGCTCCCGCTCTTTTGCCTCCTTCTGCCATGTGACTGATTCGCAGAGGGAGGCAACCGCTGTCCATGACCTCTCGCTTCCCAGTATGGCGCGTATCACGCCAGGAAGCGAGAGGTCATTCCCAATCGTAGCCACCAGGGTGCGAAGCTCTTCGTGGGCGCAGCACACCTAGAGGGTGTGCTAAGTGTACAGATGACTTAATTTTAGTCTGCATTCCCTTCTCACCCCTTACATAATGACGTCAAACATGTTTCGTTTGTTATCTGTAAATATTTATATTGTGTCATAGACAAATTTAGTTTAGTTTTAAAAACATAATTAATATTCCAGGGATGATATAGATATAAAAAATCTCCTAACAAATAAAACAAATATAATATTAGTGGACCATCATTTAGTTGCAAAGAAATATGATTTTCTCGTACCGTATGTCAGTGAAATTATCGATCATAGACCAAGAGACAAACAATGGTATTATAAAGATGATACACGATGTACGATTGAAAATGTTGGCTCTTGTACTACATTGGTATGTCAGAGAATAAAAGATTTAAGTTCATTGATGAATAAAGATATAGAATTTTTTACGACATATCCTGAATGTTGTAGATTACTATATTGTGAGTATTTTACTAATATTATAAACCAGCTGTCGTCCGCGACTCCGTCCGCTCTATTATGTGTTCTTCCAGACTATGTTCTATATGTTTACCAAATTTCATCGAGATCCGTTCAGTCTTACTAATATTATAAATGCGAATGTTTAGATGAATGGATGGATGTTTGCTTGAAGGTATCTCCAGAACGGCTCAATGGATCCCGATGAAATTTAGCATAGATGTAGAACATAGTCTGGAGGAACACATAGGTTATTAAGCTTTTTTTTAATTCCACTCAGACGAAGTCGCGGGCGACAGCTAGTTATCTAATATATTTAAATTTCTATTATATAACATTTATCCTATAAACTGGTGATTTTTAAAGTGGTCTGGACCCAATGAGGTTTTAAGACGTTGGTGTTTTTGTTGATGGGCACAAGGGCGTTGCTAGCGGTTCTATCCGAGATTCAAAGGAGGGTAGATAAGCAAAAAATATTGCAGGGATTAATCTTATTAGTTTTAAATCATTTTTTATCTTTGAAAATTAATTTTATTATAAAATTTTAGGTACTATATTACTGGATACGGTAAACTTTTCAAAAGATGTGAATAAAGGAACAGCACACGATAAAGAAATGGTATTATTTTTGGAGACAATTTTAAAACCTGATGATAGAGAGAATTTCAGGTTAGATTCGTAAAAAATCTTCTTACTAATATTATAAATGCGAATGTTTAGATGTTAGAAGGTATTTCCAGAACGGATGCATGGATCTCGATGAAATTTGACATGTAGAACATAGTCTGAAAGAACACATAGACTAGTTATTTAGTTTCTTTAGTTCCGCACGGAAGGAGTCTCGGGCGATAGCTAGTCAGTTTATAGTACAAGAGACATCGGAATAAAATTTTCCAACAATATAATTCAGATAACCCAGAAAGAAAGACAGAGAACACTTTACAAATGACGCGATCCTAACATCTCTCTCGCTTCATCATTTCTTTGGCATTTTCAGTTAATTAAAAATTTTACTTTCTACATCCACTGTATGTTTTACGTCCTAGAGGCCTAATTTAGTCCTCTTTCCCTTCTCACCCTTTTTCTTATAAGGAAAGGATGGGAAGTGGAAGTGGACTTTCCGGATGAGAGGATGCATGGAAAGGGAAAATATTTTCTCTTTGTGCATCCTCTCCTCCGTCGATTAAAGGTAGGCAACGCATATGCAATTGCATATGTCTATGGGCAACGGTCAATTCGCTATTTCAGCGATTTCAGGTGGCCGCTCGCTCGTTTGCCATCTTACGATATATAAAAACACTCTTTGGAAGTAGACGAATCGAATGACACCACACTTGTTAAAATCTGTTCACTCGTTTAGACTCTAGGCATTCACAAATTAATTTATATGAATAAAAATCCCGATCTTACTAATATTATAAATGCGAAAGTTTGGATGGATGGATAGATGGATGTTTGTTTGAAGATATCTCCAAAACTGTTGAACGGATCTCGATGAAGTTTGGCATACTAAGAACTAATACCCTTTCTCTTAGTTGGGTAAAAATATATTTTTTACACTTTTACACATAAACTTTAACTGTGTATTACACAGTTGGAACGATTTCTCTTAAGTGGTGTACACTTGTTCTCTTAACGATTTAATTTTTATAGGAAATCTACAGTAGACAAGTTGGTATACGCAAGAAGTGACGTCACGAAATTGACAGCAGAGCAACTTTTAAAAAAAGACGTGAAAATTGTCGGTGACGTATTAGTACCCAGCTTTCCTATACCAGTTAAGGTACAGATAAAGACAGTAATTAACTACCCATTTCAGTCTTAAATTACAGACCTTATTTAGTTTACGGTAAATTTTAGTTGGCCTTGTTATAATACTAATATTATAAATGCGAATGTTTGGATGTTTGTTAGAAGGCATCTTCATAACTGTTCCATGGATTTCGCTGAAATTTGACAAAAATATAAGCATAGTCTGGAAGAACACATAGACTACTAATTAAGTTGTTTTTTTTTAATTCCGATCAAACAGAGTCGAGTCGTGGGCAAGTTAGACGTTTAACGATTGAATAATACTAATAATAAAGCTCCTTAACCACTTAATCCACAGGAATTTTTGAATAAACCTGGTGCTCTGCTGGCAGTCAGTGAAGCCCTAAATATTCGGGGCTGCGCCATCGCATTGCTACTTGGTATGAGGTTGACTCCAAGTCTTTTAAGAGACGTGGCTGTGTACTCTACTAATTGTACAGAGAAAGCTACAAAGGTAAGTGAATATTACACACTTTTGCAACACAATTACACTCTTATGTAATAAAATTACCCAATCCAGTATAACATTACACCGTTTTGTAATAAAGTTACACACTACTGTAATATTACACATTATTGCAATTAAAATAACACTCTTGAAATTCAATTACACACTTTTGCATTAAAATTACACCGTTTTGCTATAAAATTACACACTCCTGTATTACACAATATTGTAATTAAAATCACATATTAATATTCCAGCTGGCAAATAATTTGCAAGAATGCAATAATCCAACATTTGGTTTAATCCCGGAAGTATTTGATGATGTGAGCAACTGTTTTTATTATAATCAAACTAATTTGAGTTTGACGAGAAAGCAATATATGCCTGTTTTGACGAATTTCTTACAAAATTGTAAAGAATAAAAATATAAATATATATAGACATTTTTTCCTTTAACTAATGTGTCCTATTTTCTAAGGTTTACTTACGGTGACTATGTGATAGTGAATGCTGGTCCAGTTCAAGACTTGACACATATGTTTGAGTTTGTCAGATATGTGCAGCATCACGATGTTTTCCTTCACCGTAACAACATAGGATAAATGTACATATGTAAATGTAACACATTCATACATCACGGGATTACAACACAGGATCGACAGATTGCAAGTCAACTGATTAACCACTAAGACAGAGTATTAAAATGAAACAAAATATTAAAAATACTCAAAATTTTATTTCTGTAAAGAGTAACGAAAATATAGTCTATATTATAAAGTGTTATCTGGCCCGGTAAAGCACGTAAATAGTCAGCTATAGACCTACAAGTATATCTGGAGGTTAGGCAAAGTATAATCGCTTCAAAGCGATTCCATAGCGGTCTTTAAAATTGTATATTACTGACAGTAAATTTCAATAGTGTGTCTATTTAAGATAAATTAGTTTGACAACTGACGTCTATAAAGTACAGAATTCATTTTGTATGGGAATTAATGTTGTACTTAATAGACGTTATAGTGTCGGAGTGTACGCGAATAACGAAGTATGAACTATCGGGTATCGGAAAATTTAAATATCTTATTTCTTTGTGTTGTTTTGAAGAATAAAGTAAGAATGAAAAGAAACAATTTAATTTATATTGTAATTCAAAAACAATGATCAGGAAATTTTCGATTGCAAGTTCTATGAGAACAGACATCGAAAATCGAATAATTCTTAATCGATTTCACTCAACCCATATCTAGTGAAATGTCAAACTGAACTATTTTAACCCATTAGTGCATAACGTTCGATAAATCGGACGCCAATAAAATTGTTATTTTAGGAGTTATATATATTTTACTAACCGTTTATATTTTTAAACAGTAGTGTAATATATATTTAAAGTGGTAATACTGTTGGTATGACATTCCGGGAAGCGATTTATCGGACGGACTATAAAATCTAAACTTTTATACCGATTAAATATTTTATACAATTTAATGGTCAAACAAAAAACACTAGAAATGAAAATATATTACAGTAGTCATAATGAAAAAGGCGTTAATAAATGCACTAATGGGTTAAACAGACACATTAAAGTCATGTTTTTGTCGCGCGTCAGTTCTATCAACGTATGCTCAAGGTCAAATTAAAATTATGACAGGTCACTAACGGCCTCCTGTTAATTTTAAAAGAGAGTTATAAGATTTTCTAATCGAGAATTTTCTATATATTTCTGACAGAACAGTGACATCGCTTCTATCACCGGGTTTAATATCCTTGTTTGACTGTAATTTATTTAGTTGCAATAACCGGGTCAGATAAGTTTGTTGGTCTATAGATTTCTGAATTTATATTACATTATCTATGCGAAAATTTATTTAAGATAGATAAGTTTGACAACTGACGTATATAAAGTATATAATTAATTTTGTATGAGAATTAATGTTGTACTTAATGTACGTTATAGTGTCGGAGTGTCGAGAATCAAATCTTTTAATAAAATTAATCCAACAAATTAGTATTATTATTTACTTATTTTATTAATTTTTTTAATTTATTACTGTTATTTGTCTATGTTTCCCGCAATTAATTTAATAAAATCATCTTTTTGTTTGTCAAAATCTCAATTATTGATATATATATATATTTTTTTTTACATAGTTTTGAAGAATAGTGATAGCATAAAAAGAAAAAACATTTCGATTGCGACTTGTATGAGAACAACAATCGAAAATTTTCATAACCGATTTTAATCAACTTATCTCTAGTGAATTGTCAAACTAATCTATCTTAAATAGACAAACTATAAATGCTTTGACTCCACAACCTGAGATTAACTACCACTCAGAGTGGCAGACCCTTAGTGTAGATAATACAACGTATAAAGTTAATTAATAACAGTTATATCTATATAAATACTTGATCAACATGAATTTATCATGATTTTATTAAAACACCTTTTTTTTCAATATTTTAACCAAATTTTTTGTCACTATAAGTATGAGGTTACATTAGAAAAATGTGGTACAAAAAAAACATTGTTTTAACGTGATGTTTGTAATATATTTCTAATAGGCTATACAGTATAATCTCACTAATCCGGCACTTCGATAGATCGGCACTGTATACGCATGATTTATTGTTGTATGTCTCGAGCGTACACGTAAGTACATATCGGAGAGAGGGGACGTCAGTCGATGTCAGACCTTTGGACCGGTAGCACGTGTCGGTACGTGAACGAGCCAAATATAACGCAATGAATGTTACAGGCACGCCTAATAATCCGGCAACCTCCACCCACGTCTCCCCTCTATACCTGTGCGCTTCGGCTGCGTCGACTACCAGTCTAACTTAAAAATTTATTTTTTCAATTGAAAATACTTTATGGTTAAAATGTCAAATAAACGCAAACAAAACACTATATTTGAATAATAAAATTTACATTACTTATGGCTTTTTTACTATAATCCATTAATCCGAACATTCCAATAACCCGGCACTCGTCTGTTTATAATAGTGCCGGATTAGTGAGATTTTACTGTATTTTTAATAAATCTTTTATCATAGAAATATTAACTATTTATAAATTAAAACTAATTTAAGAGTATTTTTTTTTAATTACTACAAAAAAAATCCTTAAAATAATGAGTCGACTTACAAAAAGAATCTTAACATCGACAATAATTTAAGAAAGGAAATAATTAATAATCCTAAACTAAAAAAAAATATTTAAAAATTAAGTACAATTTAAAAAAAAATAATCAGAACAGATTAAAAATAAAAAAATAATTTTTCAAAAAAAATTAAATTGTTTGATCTTTATATTAAATACCGTAACATAATTTTAATGTTATGAAAAAATTTAACATAAGTAAAAAAAAAATGATTTTCGTATATATTTAAAAAGAATTGTAAAATAAAAGCTTAATAATAAATTACATTTAAATAATAAAAGCTCTTATATAAATAGAACTCGAAAAATGCGTTTTTTTTCAACATTTGTTCACATTCTGACAATATTTTTTTAACAAATATTATAAAAAAAATGGAAGATTTTTTCTACGTAATATATTACGTAATTAATTCTATAATAATAAGGCACTGAGAAATAGAAATATTAAAATTATCAATCAACTAACATGTTAGCTGCCAAAATGATTTTTCCAAAAACATTTTTTTTTTTTGTAATTTTGTCCATCATCAACCTGCCCTTATCCCTATCGAGGGTCGGCACAGTATGTACTACTCCTCCATACATCTCTCTATCAGTTTTTTTTTTGTAATTTTGTCCATCATCAACCTGCCCTTATCCCTATCGAGGGTCGGCACAGTATGTACTACTCCTCCATACATCTCTCTATCAGTCGTCGTTTTTTTTTGTAATTTTGTCCATCATCAACCTGCCCTTATCCCTATCGAGGATCGGCACAGTATGTACTACTCCTCCATACATCTCTCTATCAGTCGTCGTTTTTTTTTGTAATTTTGTCCATCATCAACCTGCCCTTATCCCTATCGAGGGTCGGCACAGTATGTACTACTCCTCCATACATGTCTCTATCAGTCGTCGTTTTTTTTTGTAATTTTGTCCAAAACCATTTAAATGGGTCCTTACAGGTCACGCTGTATACAATTCGATTAAAAAGCCACAGCGAGGTGAATGGAAGTATGGCTTGTCGGACACATAATCGGCAGCTAACGTGTTAAGTTGACACATCAAGTAATAGTGTACTCTATTCCCTGACGTGCCAATTCAAATATTATCTTTTCTGTCATAAAACGTGAAGATTAGTATTATTACTTTTGTCAAAATTAATTTATTTTTAATGAGATTTCTTAAAAACAATAGCCAATTATCTTCACATGATATACAAAAAATTGTATTGAACAAATAAAAAATGTAAAAAATACTATATTTAAATGAGAAACATACAAAAGCGAGCGAAAGTAACAAGACGATGTCAAATTGTAACAACTTCAGATGAGTTTACTTAAGATATACCAATTTTTTAAGATAAAAAATCGAAAAAAACATTATAAGGTCAAATTCATTGTTCTATATTTTTTTATAATATTAATATAATTTGAATAATTCAAAGTGATTTAATACATTTACAAAAGAAAGTGTCAAAAATCGCAAAAAAAATTACATGAGTGCAAATTTTGTAAAAAAAAAAAAATTTTTAATAATTTTTCAAAATCAGATTTAGCTTAAAAAAAAAGATTATTATTTTGACTCTATTTTTTTATACCTTCTGTATTCCGATTTAAAAAAAAAAAATAACCAAAAAATTTCAGGTTAGTCCCATTTTTTTACTACATATTTTTTCTATTTAAAAAAAAAGTCACTTTTAATTCATATTTAATAAAGTTGTTAATTTAAAAAAAAATTTTTTTTCGTAAATACGACAGTGTAAACTTACCTTTACATCTGTTGTCTGAACATTGCTGTTATTTCTTCAACAGTTTTATTCTTTGTCTCGGGAACTTTGCATTTTATAAATAATAAAAATAATATTTGAAGTATTGCAAATATTATAAATGTATTCATACCGAGGACCAACTGGAATATAAAAAATATATATTAACTAGCTATCAGCAAGGTTTCGTAGTGTACCCTAAGTGAGAGTATGTGATAGTGAATGCTAATCCAGTGCAAGACTTGACACATATGTTTGAGTTTGTCAGATATGTGCAGCATCACGATGTTTTCCTTCACCGTAACAACATAAGATAAATGTACATATGTAAATGTAACACATACATTCATCACGGGATTACAACACAGGAGCATGCTGATTGCAAGTCAACTGATTAACCACTGAGCTCACGTTCTATCCATCCAAACATTCGCATTTATAATATTAGTATGCTTAGTTATAGTCCCTTAGGGACGTATAGATATGAGAAATCTGTTTTTAATTTTTAATTCACTAAAAAAGTGTTACTAAAATTTTTTATCTATACATATAAATAAAATTGGAATGTTTGTATGTAATATTAAGAAAAAATATATTTTTAATTAATTTTTAAAATGCATGTCTGCAAGTTTGCGTATGTTCCTTATAATCTGGGGAACGGAACGGAACAGATATTGAGGAGACTTGAACTGGAAGGTAGCTGATGTACGCTGGAGTTATATAGCCTACTTATTTCTAATTCTGTGCAAGCAAAGTCACAGGCAAGTGCTATCTTACTAATGTAAATGCGAATTAGTTTGTTACAAGATATCTCCAGAACTGCTGCATCTTGATGAAATTTGTCATACATATAGAACATAGTCAGGAAGAACACATAGCCTACTTATTAAGTTTTTATTCAGGCAGCTAGTACTATAATAAATGCGAATGTTTGTGTATGGATGTTTGTTACAAGATATCTCCAGAACAACTCAACGGATCTTGATGAAATTTGTCATACATATAGAACATAGTCTGGAAGAACACATAGGCTAAGATTTCTTTAGTTCCGCGTACGGAGTCACAGGCGTGCGCTAGTATACTTACCGATAAAGGCAGAAAACTAAGTCCAACAATAAAGTTAGCTGTCCAGTTAACAGTGACAGCAACGGAGGAGGCAGCGGGACGAGCAGATTGATTGAATAACTCTGAAATAATTTTTAATATAACATAACAAGCAGCCTAGATTCGCCAAAATAGCGAAACCACTGTTGCTTATTGATATTTGATGCATTCTAACTTTAATTGACAGATGAAAAGATATACAGGAAGAGATTCTACTATGCGTCCTTTCCACTGTCTTATATTCTGATTTTTTTTGGTAAGCACATTTTATTTCGCCAAAATAGCGAAGTAACTTGCTTATAGACTTGCACATTTGATGATTATTACTTTAATAAACAGGGGAAAAGACGCAAAGAAAGTGATCCTGTGCGTCCCTTCCCATATTCTGATTTTTTAATAAAGTGGCAAGAGGCAGTTTTGTTTCGCCGAAATGGCGAAGTGACTGTTACCTAGAGACATACACATTTGATGCATTCTAACTTTAATAGATAAGAGAAAAGACGCACAGAAAGAGAATTTTCCCTTCACATTTTGGAAAAATCCAATTCCACTTCCCATTCTTTACTTATAAGAAAAAAGGAAGGGTAAGAGAACTAAAATAAGTCCTCCGGAACACATTCATGAGACTGTAGTTGGAATAGCTTCCACTTGACGCTTGTCTTCTGTGTGGTCGTGGTATTTCACCGGACGAGCTGGGACAATTCGTGCGAACATGTTAAAGTGGGCTCTGCCACTGTTCAAGATATATTTTAAAACTAAATTACTAACTCACCTGTCACAAGGAACCATGGAATCGAACCTGGACCCATTGCGAATGTCACCACAAATAAGATGACAAGAGCGATACAGAGATATGACACCCACATATGATCCGTCTGAAAAAAAACAATATAGAAATATAATATATATGAATGTGTTACATTTACATATGTACATTTATCCTATGTTGTTACGTTGAAGGAAAACATCGTGATGCTGCACATATCTGACAAACTCAAACATATGTGTCAAGTCTTGCACTGGACCAGCATTCACTATCATATACTCTCACTTAGGGTACTCCTAGACCTTCAGTGGATACCTATTCCTGATGATGGTCTTATGTACAGTCAGCGTAGTTAGCGGTGTTCCACCTAAAGAAATTACCACTATTCATTATTGGTTGGTTTAATAATTTTTGGCAACATGATCGATATTTATGCGACCCCTTTATTATGTCGAGGGGAAATCTTCCGAAGACCAGGTGTCTTAGGAGTCATTACAGCCCTTATATATCAGATATATCAGACTCTGGACCCTACAGTGCCCTGGGCGATACAACTCGCCTTATCCCAACACCGGTATTCCAGGCAGTGGTATTTTAAAGTTATCTTACTAATATTATAAATGCGAATGTTCAGATGTTTGTTAGAAGATATCTCCAGAACTGCTGAACGAATCTTGATGAAATTCGGCATACATATTATATAAAACATAGTCTGGAAGAACAAATAGGGTAATAATTATGTTTTTTAAATTCCGCACAGACGGAGTGACGGGCAACAGCTTGTACTTACATATAAACTGGCGATACAAAGACCCACTGTACAGATAATCATGCCGCTAAATCCTGTCATTAGAAGAGTCTTCCTTCCCGCCACTTCGACCAGCACAAGGCTGACCACTGTCATCACCACGTTCATAGCTCCCATACCTGTCATACGATAATTCTTAATCTTAATATTATAAATGCGAATGTTTGGATGGATGGATGTTTGTATCTCGCTGAAATTCGGCATATTTATAGAACATAGTTTGAAAGACATAGACTAATTATGTTATTTCTAATTCCGCGGGAACGGAGTCGCGGTTGACAGCTAGTCTAATAATAAAATATCATGTTCCAATCCAAATTAAAGATTTTTTATAGACATTTATAATACAAAGTGGTAAATGCGTTCGTTCGTTTCTGCTTGACAAATTACACTTTCCCTCAACTCATACCTTAAGGTAAGAAGGGAAAAATGACTAAAACTTTGCAAGACAAAATGAATAATTACTTTAACTTGACGCCTTCTGTGTGTGTATTTTTTACTTACCTAATGTCGCGTATTGCGATTGCATTTCATTGAGCTTAGCTTTCTCGAATATGTCAGTTGAAAAGAATATAACTGCATTAATTCCTGAGAACTGTTGCGCTATCATCACCACTATAGCGATTGTCAGCGGCTGACGAAGTTGTTTATTGCTGATTAATTCACGGAATGTCACTTTCTTACTGACTTTATTCTTTTCTGCTTCCTGTAATAATGTAAACAGTTGGATTAATGGCCCGATACAAAAGGCAGTTATCCTAGAAACCGCACGCATCGTGAGAAGGTTCCTGTATCTGCAGTCCTGACCACTGGTTGTTTGAGTCATGGGATTCCGCTGCCGGTGGTGCTCTATTTTTAATATAATATGTTTTGTAATTTTTTTTATTTTATATATGAAATAATTTATACTAACTCACGAGGTTACCACCATGAGGCGTATGAAATCGACTACCATTATTCCAATAATCGTATCGGTAAATGAACTGATAGTGAAGAGCTTCTACCAACATCTTAAGAAGCTATCACTAAACAGTTGGATTAAGGGCCCGATACAAAAGGAAATTCTAAAAACTACGCGCATCGTGTGAAGGTTCCTGTCTCTACCCTGACCGTTGGTTGCTTGGGTTCATAAAAACACGATTAACCGTGGGTGAGAATAAAATCTCTGTATAAAACATATCATCCCTGACATTATCTTTGCCAAAATAGAGATAGGAATATATATTAAACGGTGATTTTGGTCTCTTAAACTCACTGTGACTGTAACTCTATGACAACTCTTTGGAAGAATACGAATCGAATGACACCTCATTCGTCAAAATCTGTTCAATCATTTAATCTATAGGTTACGATCCAACTAAAGTACATACTAATCCATATACTCGTATATAAGCACAAAAACATTACCTACTTAAATCAGCCCAGTCAAAAAAAATTGATTACCTGATGCATCTCTTCCATCTCGCCGTGAACAGCAACGTCGCCTCTCAACCAATTCAAAGCTTAAAAAAATGATGAAAAACTTAACAATAGTAGCATTTTAGCTTTTAAATTATAAAAAGTATGCATTTTTAATCTTATTGTCAAATAAAAAACTAATAAATAACTAGACCATATAATAATACCAACTTCCTTAAATTTGCATTTCTTAAATAGGAAATAGAGCGACGGTGGCTCAGGGGTCAAGCAGTTGACTTGCAATCTGCAGGTCCTGGGTTCGAATCCAGCCATGTACCAGTGTTTTTCGATATCTGATTTACAGTACATTTATCCTATGTTGTTATGATGAAGGAAAACATCGTGATTTTGCACATATCTGAGAAGAAAGTCAAAGATATATGTGATATCAACCAACACGTACTGTGTATATTGACGTATAGTGAGCTGATGATGAAATAGGAAATATTGACAGATTTTTGTTAATTTAATAATATTTCTTATAGTATTCCAATTAAGCTCTAGGCTTGTGTTAGGATAGGTTTCCAAGTTGACTGTCGGGATCCGAACTCTCGACCACATCGGAAATCCGTACCCTTAACCATTAGGCTATTGATGCTTCAATAAATTTGCATTCCTACCTCGTTGCGCATGTAACTCCTGTCCTTTATTCAACAAGAGATATTTAGGTGATTCCGGGCACAAAGGTAAAGTGGCGCATTGGATAGCCGCGGGAATAACTGTTACAGCTAGAAGCCATGGCCAGCCCCATTCTGTGCCTAAAACTCCTTTAAGACCTAACACTTGTGAGAGAAGGATCGTGATTGTAATCACTAACTGGTAAACTGTACCGATCTGTAAATAAAATTTGATTTAGTTTGAAACGTGTATAGCGCCAACGGCTCTGAGTGTACCTATTAAAATTTTAAAGTCTTAATGCCATTGAACGTGTTGGAAAAAACGTAATTTTCATGCATTATTTCATCGTTAATTAAATAACTATCGAAATTATAGAAAAAGTATTGTCTTTGTCCAATCTCATTTATAATACTGACTAATCTTGTAATACTTATATTATAAATGCGAATGTTTAGATGTATGTTTGAAGATATCTCCAGAACTGCTGCATGGATCTCGTTGAAAATTGACATAGATGTAGAACATAGTCTGCAAGAACATATAGGCTACTTATTAAGTATATTTTTAATTCCGCGCGGACAAAGTCGCGTGCGATAGCTAGTCTATAATTAATTACACCAAATATTTTGTATATAGAAAACCCTTAAAATTATTTTTTTATAAATATACATTGTATTAGAAGAAGCATTTGTCTATGGGTTAGGAAGAAAATCCGACACTGCCGGTGTATCGCAACACTAGCCTTACTAAAATATCAACGTTTATGTTCCCTTACTACATCTGACACTTTACTTGGTAACGAAAAGCGCGCCATTCGCAATAATTCTAACTAAATTATGTCTAAAATTAGTAAGAACAGTATTTTCAATTGTTCAATATATAAAGGACAAACATACACGTATTTTATAATGAATTAACTTACCGAGCCACGCATAGAGACGGGAGAAATCTCAGCTAAATATAACGGAGCTAGTCCAGCATTCAAACCGCTGTTTATACCAATCAATAACCTGGAAGATTGAATATATATTTTTAAATTGTGAAAATAGATAGTGTTGTAACTAACAGGTTTAAACTAGCTGTCGCCCGCGACTTCGTTCCTGTGGTATTTAAAAAAACTTAACTTTTAGCGAGATTCATAGAGCCTAACAAACATCCATCCATCTAAACATTCGCATTTATAATATTAGCAAGATTAAGTAAGATTTTTCTTCGAATATTAAAAGCGATAGTTACTAAATATTATAAATTTTGAGACTAGAAAGTTTATTGATATGATTAAGTTCTGCCCTAAAAAAAATGCTTAAGTTCTTAGAAAGTCAGCTTTTCTGTAACTTGCATACCGCAAACGAAGCGGACTGTACATATTTGACAAAGTTCTTTAAGAAAATCGAAGGATTATTTTGCGTTCAACAAATTTATATTTACGTAATTCTCTAAGTACATAAAGTTGTAAAGAAAACTTTTAAAGCATTTACAAGCAAATTACGTAAACTTACTAATATTATAAATGCGAATGTTTAAATGGATGGATGTTTGTAGATATCTCCGGAACTCAACAGATCTAGCTGAAATTCGTCATACATATAGAACATAGTCTGGAAGAACACAGGCTACTATAGGTTTCTTTTACGCGTACGGAGTCGCGGGCGACAGCTAGTTAAAAATATAAATATGTAAGTATTAAATATTCTGACATTTCAATGTTACTGTGAATGCGAATGTCTCTTTTATTTGCAAAGGACATGAGAGGGACAACAGTACATAAATCTTACTTACCTGCCTATAATAAGAAGTTCAGCGGAGTTTGCGACCTTTGAACAACCTTCGAAAGCCGCACCAAGAAAGACCAGACCATTGTTCAATAACAGACCAAGTTTTCTTCCAAATCTGAAAATAATAATACATCGCAAAGGATTTTATGTATATCGTAAGGGAAATTAGCAAGCGACCGTTGCCCATAGACATACGCAATTGCATATACGTTGCCTACCTTTAATCGACGGAGATGGGGACATACAGAAAGAAAATATCTCCTTTTGCTATGTTGGTTGTGCCTCAATGTTTTTTGAACGACTAACTTTAAGGCAACTTCGCTGGCTCATTTAGCAAAGTTTTAACAGTGGTAGAGTTCGCTTTAACATCTTCACACGAATTAGCTCGGCCTGGTGAAATACCACGACCACACAGAAGACAAGCGTCAAGTGGAAGCAATTCCAAGTACAGTCTGATGAGTGTGCGTCCCGGAGGACTAATTTAGTCCTCTTTCCCTTCCTACCCTTTTTCTTATAAGGAAAGGATGGGAAGTGAAAGTGAACTTTCCGGATGAGATGCATGGAAAGGGAAATTGTTTTCTTTCTGTGCATCCTCTCCTCTGTCGATTAAAGGTAGGCAACGCATATGCAATTGCGTATATCTATGGGCGACGGTCACTTCGCTATTTCAGCGATTTCAGGTGGCAGTTCGCTCGTTTGCCACTTTATGTTATAAAAAAAATTGTAAACTCACCTGTCAGCAATAAAGCCTGTCAGTATTCCACCAATCATGCCACCAACGCAGTAAATGGATACGGTTACAGAATAAACGGTTGTCACTTTTGGGTCATCTTTGGCATCTATGGTGGCATTGGTTCCAGTGAGTGCTTCCATTTGTAACCATTTCGACAACACCTGGAATTTACGATAGTAAGTATTAGGATGTAGGTCGACTGTGGATTACTAGCTCTGCCTGCGACTCTGTCTGCGTAAAATACTGTCTTGAGGTTGCATTTTTATTGAGTAAGACGTAATTATTTTAATTTAAATGTCTTACATATTCATACAAACTCTATCCTCTACTCCAATCTTTCCCAAAGTACGCGATAACGCCCCCTTGTGGGCGCTGCAGGTCTCAAGGGTAAGAGACCCAGAAAGAAAATGGGAGCGTGTCGAGAGGTCTGGGGGGTGATTTGTAATTTTATTTAGCTAGGAGGCCTCTTAGACAACGACTGCACTACTATGTCTTAAAAGATTGCTTAAACTCTAATAAAGAGGGCTAAAATTACTGTGTTTTACAGCCAGTACATATATAAAGGACAGTTGCTGATAGACATCTGACAACTTTAGACTTACAGCTTGAGGGGCATTTATGACACCCGTGTTGTACCCATGTTGGAATGCAGACCAACAAGCTGATGACAGGATAGCGAAAGCCAGTCTCATGTTCATACCCTGAAAAACAAAAATAGCAAATCTTTATTAATCTTACTAATATTATAAACTAGCTGTCAGGCGAGTGTAGCCTATGTGTTCTTCCAAACTATGTTCCGTTCCGCCGTTCTAGAGATATCTTCAAACACCCATCCATCTATCCACATCACATCTATCTTAACATTCGCATTTATAATATTAGTAAGTTAAATAAAAAGCAGATCTTCAAGGCATTAATTCGAAAAAAAATGAATAAATAGTATCCTATGTCCTGGCTCTAAGCTACCTCCTCAACAATTTTCAGTCATATCGGTAAAGCCGTTCTTGAGTTATAAATAGTCGGATGGGAAAGGATGTTGATTTACAGAGAAGGGGACGCATAGTATGGGGATATCTTACTCCCTTCCTCTGTCGATAAAATTTAGGTAACCCATCTGCAATTGTATATATGGCCTTTGGACCGCTCGCTCGTTTGACACCTTATGATATTAAAAAAAAGTTACATCGAGTTTGTCTATGATTAAGAACGTTGGAACAGGTTTTATTGTGTGATTCAGTTGAGGTCAATGGCTTTGTAAACAATCGGCCATCGGTTTTTTTAAAAACTTTTTATTATTCTTACGTGTTAGATGTGTTACCGTACGTTCGTTAACTTAGTCATTATATGATCCGACTAGAAATATATTTTGTATTGAATTTCGGGTATACTAAAAAAGTAAATTGTTTTGTCGATTTTAACTATCATATCTAAATAAAAGTTTATTTTTTAATTATTTTAGAGCCTTCAAAAGTAATTCGTAATCGAAATTAAAAATTTCAGTTTACAATCGAAAGATTTAACAACGTTAGATGCTAAACTTCTAGCTGTCGTCCGCGACTCCGTCCGTGCTTAGTTAAAAAAAACATACTAAGTAACCTATGTGTTCTTCCAGACTATGTTCTACATCTATGACTTTCAGCGAAAGTAACGGTTCTGGAGATACTCTCAAATAAACAAACATCCATCCATCCAAACATTCGCATTTATAATATTAGTAAGGTTAAATTACCTTATGTTACAGCCCTATATAGTTTCGCGGACGCAATAATACCAGTCCCACTCACCCTGAAGAAGGGCCCTCGACGGGCTCGTAACTAGTCGGTGCCGCTACCAGACAAATATACGTCAAAGTTTAGCCGTTTTTATATAAGTTTATTATGTCTCAAGAAAGTTTGAATAATTTAGATGTTTGTTAGAAGATCTCCAGAACGACTGCATGGATGTTGCTGAAAGGTATAGTAGAACATGGTCTGGAACACGTAGACTAAGTTTTCTTTTTATTTTACTTAGTACACTTAGTAAAACATATATTAGTGAGCGTCGGTGGCTCAGTGGTCTAATGCTTGACTTGCAATCTGCAGGTCCTGGGTTCGAATCCCGCCATGTACCAATGTGTCTTTCGATTTCCGATTTACATATGTACATTTATCCGACGTTCTTACGGTGAAGGAAAACATCGTGATGCAATCTGCACATATCTGAGAAGAAATTCAAATATATGTGTGAAGTCAACCAACCCGCAGTGGGCAGCGTGGTTGACTATGGCCTAGATACCCTTAACTTAGGGTAGGCTCCGAGCCCCTCAGTGGGGACGTATAGTGAGCTGATGATGATGATGATAATATTAGTGATAATTTCGTTTATATATCGTAAAGTAAATTACAAAATTGCTACTTATGAAACTGACTATGTACATAATTTAACGGTGACATAGAAAATACTTATGCTAATGTCTTTCCCTATTGGTATCTTATCATTTTTACGTTGAAATGTTTGCATTTGATAAATGACGTACATTTTTACTGCAGTAGTTTTGAATACGGAAGTAGAGATAAGAGAGATATTGTCTCTGTACCTCCCCTAAGTGAGAGTATGTGATAGTGAATGCTGATCCAGTGCAAGACTTGACACATATGTTTGAGTTTGTCAGATATGTGCAGCATCACGATGTTTTCCTTCACAATAACAACATAGGATAAATGTACATATGTAAATGTAACACATTCATACATCACGGGATTACAACACAGGAGCATGCTGATTGCAAGTCAACTGATTAACATTTAAGACCCTGACTGTCTTATAACTGAACATTACATCATCCGCAAGAAAATAAAAAAAAGATTAAAATATGCCTGCCTATATGTTATTCCAGACTATGTTCTACATCTGTGCAAAATTTAATCAAGATCCGTCTAGTTGTTCGGGAGATATCTTCAATCAAACATACATCCATCCGTCCAAACATTCGCATAATATTAGTAAGACTAGCTGTTGCCCACGACTGTCCGCGCGGAATTAAAAGTACTTAATTAGGTTATGTGTTCTTCCAAACTAGGTTCTACATCTATGTCAAGTTTCAGCGAGAAAATTTAAGCTGTTTATATGAGAAAAAAGAAAGGGCTGTTTTTAGGATTTTTCCTGGCAATTTTTCTCATCTTTTAAACCTTCCCTAGACATCCACGAACATTTCAAGACCAAGATAAGATAAATCCGTTCAGCCGTTCTCGAGTTTTAGCGACACTAACGAACAGCAATTGATTTTATATATATATAAAAAAAGACATGACATAATATTATATTTTAAGCAGTATTATGTCAAATAAAGTGGACGACCTTGATTTCAAACGACTTGGAAATGTCAAAAGAACTTTTTCCCGTATATGTAATTTTTATTACTAACAGCCACACCCGATTTCGAATGAATAACAAAATAATAAATTTGAAGTGTAGCTGTCACCCGCGTCTCCGACCGCGTGGATATATAAAAAAAATTAATTGGAGTAGCCTATGTGTTCTTTCAGACTATGTTTTATATGTATGCCAAATTTAATCGAGATCCGTTCAGTCGTTCTAGAGATATCTTCAGGCACTCATCCATCCACATCACATCCATCTAAACATTCGCATTTATAATATTAGTAAGTTAAATAAAAAGCTCATCAAGGCATAATAAATATCCTATGTCCGTCTCCTACCTCTAAGCTACCTCCTAACCAATTTTCAGGCATATCGTTAAAGCCGTTTTTGAGTTATAAATAGTGTAACTAACACCACTTTCTTTTATATATATAAAGATGCGAATGTTTAGATGTATGTTAGAAGATATCTCCAGTACAACTGAACGGATCTCGATGAAATTTGGCATGTAGAACATAGTCTGGAAGAAAACATAGACTACTAATTAAGACGGAATAGCGGGCGATAGTTACTAATTACTATACCTGTTTTTAAAAGTGTTTTTCGGCACGTTTAGTTTAAGATAAATTCAACCTTAACATGTCAAGCGTTATCTTTTTAACATATTATCAAAATTAACTATCTTATAAAACAAATATTTGTAGAACAGTGGTAGAGCCCGCTTTAACAACTTCACACGAATTGGCCCGGCTCGCCCGGTGAAATACCACGACCTCACAGAAGACACGCGGCAAGTGGAAGTAATTCCAACTACAGTCTGATGAGTGTGCGTCCCGGAGGCATAATTTAGTCCTCTTTCCCTTCCCACCCTTTTTCTTATAAGGAAAGGATGGGAATTGGAAGTGGACTTTCCGGTTGTGAGGATGCATGGGAAGGGAAAATATTTTTTTTCTGTGCATCCTCTCCCCCATTAATTAAAGGTAGTCATCGCATATGCAATTGCGTATGTCTATGGGCAACGGCCACTTCGCTATTTCAGCGATTTCAGGTGGCCGCTCGCTCGTTTGCCACTTTATAATATAAAAAAGAGATTGAATTAAAAAAAAATCACTATTAAGTTAGACGTCTAATAACACGCACCGGACGCATCGCACGTACGGATTAAACGGATTTGCTTTGCCTTATAGACGTAGCATAACGCGTTCGGGTGCGTCCGGTGCTGACCAATGAGCACGTACCTTTAGTTGTCCTTGTATTTTTAACTAATATTATAAATGCGAATGTTTAGATGTTTAAAGATATCTTTATAACGAATGCATGGATCTAACTGAAAGGCATACATATAGAACATAGTCTGGAAGAACACATAGACTGTTAAGTACTACTAATTATGTTTTTTTTAATTCCGTCTAAACAGCTGAAAGTATTTGAATACTAAAATATTACATTTTAATATATTTTTGTATAGAAAAAAAGGTTTATTTTTTAATATATATTAGTAACCTATTTGTTCTTCCAGGAGAAGGCGCAAGACAAGACTTTTGCGAACTCTTGTGTCGTATGCCAAGCCTTACTTTGGGTCGATGCGCCAGCGAAGTAAGATGTTCTTCCAGACTATGTTCTACATCTATGCCTTTAAGTGAGATGCAGCCATTTTAGAGATACCTTCTAACCATTCATCTAAACATTCGCATTTATAATATTAGTAAGATATTAAGCATTTGTGTTGCTTTTAAACGCCCAACCGTGCGAAGACGGGGCTTGTTTGATATGGTTCTTAGTAACAAATCATACGACACCGGTATTCAATTTCTTATGTCCGCTTACCAAGAATCAGGGCTGTCACTTCGATTTTGTCGTCAAACAATTCATCGGCTCTATAAGTCCCTTTTTTTTCAGAGTGGATGCTTTATACATACTCCGCGCCCCGGGGGGGACGCGGTAGATATGTTGGATTCTCCTCCTTAGCGGAGGCATACCCACTAAACCCCTCTGTTCCTCCAACGCATCGGGACGGGACCACGGGCACGCTTTCGCTCTCGTCCGCGGCCCAGCTCTATAAGTCCCTACTGAGAGTCTCGGAGCACCCTAAGTGAGAGTATATGATAGTGAATGCTGGTCCAGTGCAAGACTTGACACATATGTTTGAGTTTGTCAGATATGTGCAGCATCACAATGTTTTCCTTCACCGTAACAACATAGGATAAATGTACATATGTAAATAACACATTAATACATGACGACACTTGAATTCTTTGAAAGTGTGAAGCGACTGCCATCCATAGACATACGCTATTACAGATGCGTTGGCTACATTTCTTTTATAATACATTCTAGCTGTCGCCTGCAACTCCGTGTTCTTCCAGACTATGTTCTATATGTGTGCTAAATTTCATCATAATCCGTTAAACCGTTCTAGAGATCATCAGCTCACTATACGTCCCCACCGAGGGGCTCGGAAACTACCCTAAGTTAGACGTTACCCTCGTTCCGGAGAAACTTTCAAACAAACATCCATATAAACATTTATAATATTACTAAATTAGACTAACTCGGAAGATTTAAGATTCGTGACAGCTTGAGATTTTTATATTAAACATTGAATCTTACAGACACTAACATCAAATGCAAACAGACATACGATTTGTTTGTTAATTTACATATATCTAGTCGTATTGATAATAAAAACTAGTAATATCTAGTAATAGAGAAACTGAACTGTTAAGTTAGTTTTAACAGTGGTAGAGTCCGCTTTAACATCTTCGCACGAATTGTCCCGGCTCGCCCGGTGAAATACCACGACCACACAGAAGACACGCCTCAAGTGGAAGCAATTCCAACTACAGTCTGATGAGTGTGCGTCCCGGAGACCTAATTTAGTCCTCTTTCTCTTCCCGCCCTTTTTCTTATAAGGAAAGGATGGGAAGTGAAAGTGGACTATCAGGATGAGAGGATGCATAGAAAGGGAAAATATTTACTTGTTGTGAACATCTCCGTCGTTTAACTGGAAAGTAGCTGACGAGGGCATATTATGCCCATTTTATTTCTTTTAATTCTGCACTAATAGCAGGCGACAATTAATAAATTCGTGACGAATAAAATTTAATATTAAAATTTATGACATACTAAAATAGTTTTCTTCGTTTAATTACTAGAAATAATAAAAATTATTGCTAAGTGTTGATAGGAAATAATGCACTTAACTACAGCATATCCAAAGTTATTAATATCGCCCGGGACTCCATCAACGCGGTTTAAAAAAACATAATTAGTAGTCTATGTGTTCTTTCAGACTATGTTCTATACGTATGACAAATTTAATAGAGATCCGTTCAATCGTTCTAGAGATATCTTCAAATATACATCCATCCACATCACAACCATCTAAACATTCGCAATTATAACATTAGTAAGATAAATAAAAAGCAGCTCTTCGAGGCATAAATTCGAAAAAAATTGAATAAATAGTATCCTATGTCCGTCTCCTGGCTCTAAGCTACATCGTCACCAATTTTCAGGCATATCTGTAAAGCCGTTCTTGAGTTATAAATAGTGTAACTAACACCACTTTCTTTTATATATATAGATAGATTTCATCGAATTCCGTTCAGTCTTTCTGGAGATATCTTCAAACATCCATCCATCTAAACATCTTTACACGAATTAACCGGTTAGTCCGGTGCAATAATACGAACACAAAGAACGCCTTAAGTGCGAAGCTATTACAGTCTGAGAAATGTGTGCCGGTGGCTTAATTATAGTCCTCTTTCTCTTCTCATTCATTTCTTATAAGAAACTAGCTGTCATCCGTAATTCCGAACGCGCGGAATTAAAACAAAAATTAACAGCATATGTGTTCTTCCAGACAATGTTCTATGTGTGCCACATTTCATCCTGATCCGTTCAGTCATTATGGAGATACTTTCAACCATCCATCTATCTAAACATTCGCATCTTACATATATAAAAGAAAGTGGTGTTAGTTACACTATTTATAACTCAAGAACGGCTTTACAGATATGCCTGAAAATTGGTGAGGAGGTAGCTTAGAGCCAGGAGACGGACATAGGATACTATTTATTCATTTTTTATTCGAATTTATGCCTTGAAGAGCTGATTTTTATTTAACTTACTAATATTATAAATGCGAATGTTTAGATGGATGTGACGTGGATGGATTGGACGGGTGGGCTACACTAATTAAGTTTTTTTATATATCCACGCGGACGGAGTCGCGGGGGACAGGTAGTTTATAATATTAATAAGATAAATATTTCACTCGATAGGCTATAAGTTTGTGTAGATTTGATTGTCACTATTTTCACCCTGCTGATAGTTTCTTTTATTTGAGCGACATAGTGCTGCCCTTTCCTTCTCCTGGCATGGTGGCCTAAAGCCTTCCTCTATAAATAGACTATTCAACAAAAAAAGGAATGATTCAAATCGGACCAATAGTTCCTGAGATTAGCGCGTACAAACAAACAAACTCTGCTTATAATCTTACATATAAAATTCTCGTGTCACAATTTTCGTTCCCATACTCCTCCGAAACGGCTTAACCGATTCTCATGAAATTTTGTGATCATATTGAGTAGCTCTGAGAATCGGCCAACATCTATTTTTAATCCCGCGCGGACGGAGTCGCGGGCGACAGCTAGTATTAGTATAGATTAACATTACTATTCCTATATAACTAAACATATAAATTTCTTACTCTCGTGATTGTGGAAAAGTCCATACAGGTTGGTTTACCTATAGTTATTATAAATGTCGGGGGTAGACAGAATTAGAACGGATGTGGGATACTATTTTGAGCTGCGTAAATTGTGATAAAGTCGTGCGGGACTGTATAAAACATGTGCATAAATTAAATACGTCATATTGTCAGCATATGGTAATTGTATTTATACATCTCTAACAATCGAACTTACAAAGTATTTAAATTGCGATCCTTTTTTTAACTAAACTTTAACAATACAACAGAATACTACGCATATATTTTTTTATATCAAAAGGTGGCAAACGAGCAATCGGCCACCCGAAATCGCTGAAATAGCGAAGTTCGAAGATGTTAAAGCGGGCTCTACCACTGTTCAATATAAATATAAGTACCTGGATGACGGAGCTTTGCAAGGTATTTTTTTTTAAATTGTGTTTTTTGGAAATTATATTATATTTAAGTACGAATTACTAATAAAATGATGAAATATGAATAATATTTTTCGATCTTATCTATAGAAAAAGTTTATGTTTAAGTTGATTATCGATAAAACACGAATAATATGACATTTTCTAAAAATGATTCCTAGCTAGATCGATTTATCGCCCCCGAAACCCTCTATATACTAAATTTTATGAAAATCGTTGGAGCCGATTCCGAGATTCCAATTATATATATAAGAATTGCTCATTTAAAGATATAAGATAAGATATTAAAAAATCTAAACATAAAAATCAGCTTTATTAAGGCTTTTAGTAATTTAAATCTACAATAAGACTTTTAAAATTATACAATTTAAATATTTAAATTAACGTAAATTTCTAGAATAAAAAGTTTCATTATGCAGCCGAACTTAATAAACGATCTAACTCGTCCGCGACTCCGTAGCCGTGGAATTAAAAAAAAAAAACATAATTAGTTGTCTATGTTCTAGACTATGTTCTACATCTATGACAAATTTCATCGAGATCCGTGCATCCGTTCTGGAGGTGCTTTCTAACAAAATATCCATCTGTCGCCGCGATTCCGTCCGCGTGGATATATAAAAAAACTTAATTAGTGTAGCCTATGTGTTCTTTCAGACTATGTTCGACGTATGACAAATTTAATCGAGATCAGTTCAGCCGTTCTAGAGATATCTTCAAACATACATCCATCCACATTACATCCATCTAAACATTCGCAATTATAACATTAGTAAGATAAATAAAAAGCAGCTCTTCAAGGCATAAATTCGAAAAAAATTAAAATAAATAGTATCCTATGTCCGTCTCCTGGCTCTAAGCTACCTCCTCACCAATTTTCAGGTATATCGGTAAAGCCATTCTTGAGTTATAGTGTAACTAACAAGACTTTCTTTTATATATATAGATGATTAAAGACGTAAGAACCGTTATTATACCTTTAATCGTTGCATTGTTGAGAAATAGTTTTCATTACAGAAAACTGGTTTTAATAAAGGACTCTACATCTATAGATTCCATATTATAGACAATATTAAACAATCTAAAAAGTTATTCCATAATAATATAACGGAAATCGTATGTAATATAAAAGAAAATGGACGATATTGTTTGAACGATATTGAATAAAAAACACGATGACCTCGATTCGACCAACTTGTTCCCAAAGCGACGCATTGTTCACAGGATGTCGGTTATAATATTAAAATTATCAATCTATACCAAAATATCTTTCGTTATTAAATTCAAACTGATATTTAAATTGTATTTTATTTTGTTATTGTATAAAATATTGACATTTAAAAGGGCGGGAAAAATGGAATTTAATTATTAAAAAGGTCAAAGGTCACTGTTGTAAAGCCACACATAATATTAATATCGAATAACAAACTGAATAAATAAAACTTACCGCCATTTCGATTTATTCCAAATCAAACACAATTCACAATTATTATAAAAAAAAATATTTTCAACTCAGACACATAAATATTCTCACAGAAACAATAAGAAAAATAAATTAAATCACTTTCCCATAATTTGTAATACTAAGAAAATGTAGCGTCTTGTGCGCGTTTCGTTTTACTACGCGCGGTCTACAGTTCGAAATTTGACGAAGTGACGCGCCATAGTCTGTGTTACTGCACGCAATTATTTTTCTCCCAATTTGTTTTTAATTTTTTATTAATAAACAGGTCTCAGACAGAATGAATTTACTTAGTTCACAAAGGAAATGTTAATTGGGACTTTTACAGGACTAAAAACTAGACTTAAAATACAATTAAAACTGAATAATGAACAAAATTATAAAAATCTTTATTCATCTTCTAAGATAAAAGAAACATATTTAAATTTAACGAAATTAAAATTATAATAAATATAGCAATATCTACTTTCTTGTGATTACGCATTTTCATCTCTAATAAAATTTCCCAAGATTACTGTAAATTAATTGAACTGGTAACACTAAAGTGACGCGCCGCGAAGCGAAGAGAATGCGTCCGGTATGACGTCACAGAAACCGGTCGACGGTCGACTAGACTTGTCTGACCAACGTAGCATGTAGCGGACAGCGCTTTCGTTTAAAAAAAATGCTCATGAGAGAAAATATTTTATTGTGTTTCGATTTAATTCAAAAAGTAATGAAGCTATTTTAAAATTATTGTAGGCTTTTTTAGTAAATAACCTATGCTTTCTTTTTGTACCAACTTTGTGAAGCAATCCTGACTTTTGGCGGCAAAAATTCGTGGCGTAACTTAACTTCTTAGTGGACCAGAAAATGTACGTCATACGTTTATGAAAATCATGTAAACAACATACGTTTCCTGTTTGTAAGGGAAGCCATCTGAACAAATGAACAGGATAATAAGAAATACTCTAGTTCAGCACTAAAATTAGCAGATTTACTTTTAGTTTTAGTAAATATCAATTACTAGCTATCGCCCGCGACTCCGTCCGAGCGGTTTAAAAAAAACTTATTTTGTAGTCTATGTGTTCTTCCAGACTATGTTCTACATCTATGACAAATGTCAGCGAAATGCTTAAAGCCGTTCTGGAATAACCTTGCAACATCCATCCATCTAAACATTCGCATTTATAATATTAGTAGGATAATCTATATCCGCAAATCAATATTCGATGTATTTTTAATTATCTGGTTAAGTTTGAGGTTTAAATGTCGCTATATATATAAAAAACTTAATATATAGATAAGTTAAATAAAAAGCAGCTCTTCAAGGCATAAATTCGATAAAAAAATACAAATGAATAAATAGTATCCTATGTCCGTCTCCTACCTCTAAGCTACCTCCTCACCAATTTTCAGGCATATAGGTAAAGCCGTTCTTGAGTTATAAATAGTGTAACTAACACCACTTTCTTATATATATAAAAGAATATATATAAAATGGATGGATGTTTGTTTAAAGATATCTCAGGAACGGCTGCATGGATCTCACTGAAATCTCTCATAGATGTAGAACATAGTTTAGAACACATAGATTACTGTTTTTTTCTTAATTTGGTGCAGACGGATTCGAGGGCGACAGCTAGTAGTCAATAAAATATAATCGTTTGAAGACAATTGATTTTCCTAATGGCCAATTGTTTAAAATTAAAGCGTAAAATCAAAAACAGCTATCATTTAGCATTTATGATTTTCAATATAAATGAAAAGATTGAATTTACCGCAGCGCTTTATCGCTTGATTAGTAAAGAGGTGTGTGAGGGGCTTGTCGTTGTGACGTTCGAGAAGTGGACCAGTTTAACTTGAACCTTCACACATCTATAATTTAAATATAGTTGATTTTAATAGACAGTTCTTTTAATTATGGTTTATTGAAATTCCATTTGGACGCTAAAGGTAAACAGTTTAAACCATTGTAAAATAGTTTTATGTCTTAACTAGCTGTCGCCCGTGACTCGTGTTCTTCTAGAGTATGTTCTACATCTATGACTTATTTAATTAAGATCCGTTGAGCCGTTCCGGAGATGTCTTCTAACAAACATCCATCTAAACATTCGCTGTTGGCGCCGTTTTTGCTACGCCCTAATAGATGGCGCTGTGGCGAGACCGTATTTGTCTAAACACGATGTTGAAGTACCTTGTCTCGCCACATATACTTAACAGCCGGTCACGGACCCGGTGGTGTTTGGTTCGGTGTTGTCATTGCGTTTGTTGGTTGTTATTGTTGTCGTTACGTTTTGTAGTTTCCGTTCGTGTCGTTGTGCGTTGGTCGAGTCGTCCAAATTTCGGACAAAGTTGCGTAGGAAACAAACAGTGGTCCTTCGTTTGCCGAATATTTCGGTCTTAGTGTATTGCGTTGGACTAAAATATTCGACTCGGTTAATTGAGTACTTAAGTTGAGTTTCGAAACATTTTAATATGAAAGTCTATTAAAAAAAAAAAACTAGGCTTGGATTTGGCGGATTAAATACAGTTGGTGGTTAGTGTCTTTCGGCTATTATCGACGGTTAGTTTTTGTAAACGGCACAGTACCAGTTCAATTATTTCTAGTGTACCTTCATAATTTCGTTATTTTATTTTAACTCGTGTCGTTACAATGGAACAAGCCAAAAGATTAATTGAACTCCAAGAAGATAGGTTTGAACAAATACAGAAAGCTCAAAACAATTATTTAAAAACACCCAAGGCCCGGATAACAACTAGTTATGTAGAAACACGATTGGACTCCTTGGAGAAATTGTATTCTTCGTTCACCACCTTACATGAAGAAATATCGTCCTTGGTTCCACGTGCACAAAGAAGTACGGTCGACTATTTTAGTTTGGATAAATTTGAAGAAGTAGAAGAACTATACACTATTTACAAGACTTCTTTGAAGGAAAAATTGAGAGAACTAACAATAAGTAATACACTTAGTCCGAGTAGAACTAGTTTAAATACAGAGATAAAGTTACCTGCGATTCAGATACCCACATTTTCGGGTAATTATACAGACTGGCCATCGTTCAGGGATTTATTTACTTCCATTATACATAAGAACACGACTTTAGATGATGTTCAAAAATTACATTATCTAAAGTCTCTCCTATCTGGAGAAGCTGAGCAGTTATTACGAAGTATTAGAATTACAAACGACAACTATACACAAGCCTGGGACACCTTACATGTTAGATTTGAAAACAAAAGGTACATAGCAAATGACATTTTCAAAAAACTGTTTAGTACAAAAACAATTTCTAAAGAATCGGCACAACTTTTAAAACATGTTTTGTACACAACATTAGAATGTCTCAACTCGTTAAAAAACATTGGAATTAATACAGAAACATGAGATGACATACTAGTTTACATTACTGTTTCTAAATTAGATCCGACCAGTCATCAGTTATGGGAACAACACGTATCGGCGGACAGCAGTAAGATGATGCCGAACTTCCAACAATTATGTCGATTTCTCGAAATGAGATTTAAGTCATTGGAGATGGTGGAAGATCATACAAAACCAAGTATAGGCAAGCCCAAAACGTTCCATTCCACTGCGTCAGAGACATCAGCCCAATGCAGTTTTTGTAACGGCGATCATTATATTTTCCAGTGTAAACTGTTCGTCCGATTAAGTCATGAAAACAAGATAGAGTTTGTCAAAGAAAATAATTTATGCTTCAACTGTCTAATACCAAACCACGGTGCCACAGAATGTTTACGACACACATGTTGTAACATTTGTAAAAGAAAACACCATTCCTTATTGCATTCAGGGAAAACACAAACATCAGAAGAACACAATCGAGAAGACACAGACGCTCATTACCATAAGATTAATAACACTGCAACTCATTTTATTAAACAACCTAGTCAAGTACTGCTTGCTACAGCATTGGTAGATGTCTGCGAGGAGAACGGAAAGACACACATCTACCGTGCCTTGCTTGACCAGGGTTCACAGGCCTCGTTTGTTACCGAGGACCTTGTAAAGTCGGCAGGGCTCAAGAGAACCAAAATCAACAGCGAGGTAACCGGATTCAACGAAGGGAGCAAAATACCTATCAAATATGTAGTCGAGTTTAAAATACGCTCTAGAATAAAACCACATTTTACTCTGTCTGTTAAAGCCTATGTTTTAAAGAGCATAACAGATTATTTACCGTCACAAGAGTGCATCGTCACGGATTGGCCAGAACTAAAAACAACCGCACTAGCAGATCCTACATTTGATAAGCCTAATAACATACACATCTTGCTAGGAGCGGAAATATATGCAAAAATCATAGAGAACGGTTTATTGAAAGGCTCGGCAGGAACGATTGCGCAGAAAACAAAATTAGGTTGGGTTATCTCTGGCGCAGCAGGAACCTCAAATGAAACCTCAAACCCACTCGTGAACTTGCACGTATGCGATTGTAATTTTACACAACTGGGGAGATCAGAAAAAGGCAAGTCACAATGCCGAAAAATATATATTGATACACCATGGTGGGCGGAGAAGAACAGAATTCTTGGTGGGCGGAATGTTGGCGCCGTTTTTGCTACGCCCTAATAGATGGCGCTGTGGCGAGACCGTATTTGTCTAAACACGATGTTGAAGTACCTTGTCTCGCCACATATACTTAACAGCCGGTCACGGACCCGGTGGTGTTTGGTTCGGTGTTGTCATTGCGTTTGTTGGTTGTTATTGTTGTCGTTACGTTTTGTAGTTTCCGTTCGTTTCGTTGTGCGTTGGTCGAGTCGTCCAAATTTCGGACAAAGTTGCGTAGGAAACAAACATTCGCATTTATAATATTAGTAACGTACTGACCAAACAAACTTGGTTTAATCAAAATTATATGGTAATGTGGCCGTACAATTGTGAATTGAGTCTTTTTGTAATCAGGAATGCAACCTCTAATCACAATATTATAAAGCATAAGTATGGAAAATTTAACTCAATATTGGATAGTTTATTTAAATCCTAAAACATTATTTAATTTAAAAATATGTTAAAGTTGAATAAACGCTAAAACTTTAATAGACCAAAGAGTTTGACAACTGACGCCTATAAAGTATGGAATTAATTTTGTATGACGACTAATGTTGTGCTTAATGGACGGTTGTCATAGTGTCGAACCGTCGCGCACAACGAATTACTATGCACTATCGAAAATCGGTCTTAAAATAAAATTAATCGAACAAATGGGTACTATAATTTATGTTTTTATAACTTTTTGAATTTATTACAGGTATTTGGCTTTGTATCGCACAATTAATAATCACGAAATTTTCGATTGCAAGTTCTATGAGAACGTCATCGAAAATCGAAACAATTCTTAATCGATTTTACTCCACATATCTAGTGAATTGTCAAACTAATCTATCTTGAATAGACACACCATATACTCTATGGTTTTGGTGCCAAAACAAAATGGAGTAAAGTCGATATTAAACGTGATGCTTTGTCTAAATTGTTAAAATTGATTTTTCATTGTTACTGTAGAAGACTATAAGGTCTTTAAATTTAATGTTTGTGAATTTATTTTGACTGTTGTTGATAAATTGTTATTGTACAGTGTTTTAAAAATGGAAGAGGAGGAATCATCGGATATGTGCCAAACTTGTCTCGTACGGGGACGTTTTCTTTATCCCCTACGAAAATTGACAGCAACATTAAATGAATTGGGAATTCCTATAAGGGTTAGTTGCAGATATATCCTTCCTTCATTTTTCAGCAACATGGTGGCTACTGCGAGGCTTAGTCGTCCACCAAAAATCGTAACAATAATCAGACTTATGCTACCCATATCCTGGATACTATCGTTCACCACAGTGTCGTTCTATCTTGCGGGACGCCTGCCAACATTATATAAACTTGTCCGTGGCCGCCATGTTTGCAAATATAAATAATTCGATAATTCACGACCCTTTTTACGGGATCGAGGAATTATCGGGCGACACCTTCATGTTTATAATTAAAGCAATTTTTATCTCTTCTATATCTTCTGAAGTTTTTTCTTTTGTGTTTTCAGACAGATGTTACCACCGGTGTCTGTTGGGAATGTAAAACATTTATAATGAAAATTAAGAAATTTAAACTTCAAGTGATTAAAGCTCAGGATGCTTTGATGAAAATAGCAACGGTACCTATAACTGTTTTTTACGATTTAACATTACAACAGGATTAAAATTACGCATCAAAGAAAATCAATATGACTTGGATTTTTTTTTAATTCTCTATAAAACTTCTATATGTAATCTGAGATACAGATTTTGTCGATTTATTTGAGAATTATAACTACTAAACTCCTTTTTGGTACGTAAAAAATGAAAAAAACTTGCTTCCCCACCATCTAAATGCTTAAAAGTTTTGTAATATTGTGAATATTAAAAGATAAATATTTCTTACAAATGGAATAATAAAAACATGACAAACTGTACCTTTGGATATATAAATCAAGATACTGGCATGTTATAAAAGTTTTTTTTATTTAATATTTTAACAGAGACAAGATTTACAATCTTTAAGTAAATTAACATATAATACTAAATGTACGTATGATTTAGAAATATTATATATAGATAAATATAATGAAATAATTAAAAAAGAAGAAAATAATACAGATACAGAATATAAAACAAAGAATATACCAAATAAAAAGACTAAATACAATGAAACAAAACTATCGGAAAGAGAATTACAAGAATCAAAAGATAAATACACAATGATTGTGTTTACGGAAGAGGAAATGTTAGAGAATAGGGAAGAAAAGAGAAATCAACCGAATTATAAAAAGATTTCGTATAAATGTGAATCTTGCGTACTAGGTTTTACAAGGAAGGATACATTTGATCAGCATATGAAGAAAAGACATGATAAGGTATGTTTATCTTACTAATAACACGGATGTTTGGATGGATGGATGTCTGGCACCATACATATAGAACATAATCTGGAAGAACACATAGGTTATTTCATTTTTTTAAATACCGCCAAACTGAGTCGTAGGCTACAGCTTTTATTATAAACCTACATTTTATTAACCAATCAGTGCTATGCTAGTGTGTTTTTCTTTAAATAATAACTTGGCAAACAAGCAAGTAGCTACATGAATTTGTCGTATTGACGAAGAGACAGCTGCCCGTAAGACAATTTTACTAATATAGAAGTGAATGTTTGGATGGATGGATGTTTGTTTGAAGGTATCGGAATGGCTCAATGGATTTTGATGAAATTTGACACAGATGTAAAGCATAGTCTGGAAGAACCCAGGCTACTTACCAAGTTTTTTTAATTCTGAACAAATAGAGTGGCGGTAACAGCAATTTTATACAGTACAGTACATTTTAACAGTGGTAGAGCCCGCTTTAACGTGTTCGTACGAATTGTCCCGGCTCGCCCGGTGAAATACCACGACCACAGAAGGCAGGCATGAAGTGGAAGCAATTCCAAGTACAGTCTGATGAGTGTGCGTCCTGAAGGACTAATTTAGTCCTCTTTCCCTTCCACTTTTTCTTTTAAGGAAAGAATGGGAAGTGGAAGTGGATTTTCCGGATGAGAGGATGCATGGAAAGGGAAGATATTTCTGTGCATCCTCTCCTCCGTCGATTAAAGGTAGGCAACGCATATGCAATTGCGTATGTCTATTTGCAACGGTCATTTCGCTATTTCAGTGATCTCAGATGTCCGCTCGCTCTTTTGCCACCTTATGATATAAAAAAAAACAATTAAACCTTTATTTTTTTTCAGAATATAGGCAAAATTATATGTAAGATATGCCAATCACGTTACAATAGTATCAAATCATTGGAGAAACATCGTAAGAAGCATTATGTTGTGTACAAATGTAAATTATGTTATTATAAAACATTAGAAATGTGGTCAATGTCCAATCATTGCCGTTTAAAACATAGCAATGATGTACAAGGAAGGATACATTGTCAACAATGCTCCGTTATTGTTGGGTAAGTAAATCTTTATATATATAATTCTTCTGTGCGTGTGTATGTCACTGAACTTCTCTCAAACGACTGGAGCGATTTTGATGAAATTTTTTGTGTGTGTTCAAAAGGATCTGGGAATGGTTTAGATTTACAATTTTGTTCGCTGGACAATGTTTTTTTAATTAATTTTTAATTTATAGTTGTTGATTTTGGAATGTTTTACATTGGATCCGACAGACGGCGCTACCATCGCAGTGTCAAATTTTAAATAATATTCAAATTAAAGACGTGTAGACAGGACAACGTCTGTCGGGTCCGCTAGTTTTTTTTATAAAATACTAGCTGTCGTCTGCTCCGTGTGCGTGGATATAGAAAAAATTAGTGTAGTCTATGTGTTCTGCCAGACTATGTTCTATATGTTTGGCAAATTTCATCAAGATCTGTTGAGTTGTTCTGGAGATATCTTTTAACATCTAAACTTTCGCATTTATAATATTAAGATGTGAAATTTTAGATGGATGTTTGTTAGAAGGTAACTCGGGAATAGCTCAAAAGATCTTGATGAAATTTGTCATACATATAGAACATAGTGTGGAAGAACACATAGACTACTTAATTAATTGTTATTTCTAGTTTTAAATGTAGATATTTTATTACAGAAGTCCAGATGAGTTGTCCGAACATATGCAAAGTCAACATTTGGTACAATGTAATCAGTGTGGTGATAAATTTAAAGGAAAACATACGCTGAGAACACATAAGATGTAAGTATCATCAAATTACCCTAATTGAGAGTATGTGATAGTGAATGCTGGTCCAGTGCAAGACTTGACACATATGTTTGAGTTTGTCAGATATGTGCAGCATCACGATGTTCTCCTTCACCGTAACAACATAGGATAAATGTACATATGTAAATGTAACACATTCATACATCACGGGATTACAACACAGGATCTACAGATTGCAAGTCAACTGATTAACCACTGAGCTTATGTGCATTTGATAATTTAATTATTATTGGTTTTTTAGAAATACAGTAAAAAGCTTAAATTACAGTACTTGTCTAATTGATCTATACTTATATTATAAAGCGAAAGAGTTTGTTTGTACACGCTAATCTCAGGAACTACTAGATAGTCCATTTATAGAGGAAGGCTTTAGGCTATATAATATTAGTCTGCGACTAATAGTTTAGACGAAGTCGCGGGCGACAGCTAGTTATATTATAAGTTTGATTCTCAATAGTTTATATTATGTTTTTTTTTAATAGCGAAGTGACTAATCTTTATTTATATATTTGTCTTTTTTTTTCCAGTCGTATACATGGTGTTCAAAGGAATTATGTTTGTGATATATGCAAGAAATCATTTAAAACGAAATCACGTTTAGAATCTCATATTGTCACGCATAATGCAACGCTGGCTAGTAAATTGGCATTCTGTGCGACGTGTAATGTACAATATAAAAATATATATGTATATAGAAATCATTTGAAGAACAGCTCAAATCATTCGGAGAGATTGTAAGTAATATATAAATTTTACTAATATTATAAAAACAGTGGTAGAGCCCGCTTTAACATCTTGCACTAATTGTCCTCGCTCGGTGAAATACCACGACCATACAGAAGACAGGCGTCAAGTGGAAGCAATTCCAACTACAGTCTGATGAGTGTGCGTCCCGGAGGACTAATTTAGTCCTCTTTCCCTTCCCAACCTTTTTCTTATAAGGATGGGAAGTTGAAGTGGACTTTCCGGATGAGATGCATGTGAATGGAAAATATTTTCTTTCTGTGCATCCTCTCCTCCGTCGATTAAAGTTAACGCATATGCAATTGCGTATGTCTATGGGCAACGGTCACTTCGCTATTTCAGCGATTTCAGATGGCAGCTCGCTCGTTTGCCACCTTATGATATAAAAATAATAATATATATAAAAACTGTTAAAAACTCACTTATATTGGTCCGGTGGCGGCACCGACTAGTTTCGAGCTCATCGGGGGTCCATCATCACGGTCCACCAGTCCCACTTCCCCTGACGAACAATGTCGCCACCGGTACATACATGACCGGATTACAACACAGGACATGCAGATTGCAAGTCAACAGTTTGACTCCTGAGCCACCGAGGCAAGGATAACAATAGCTAAACATTCGCATTTATAATATTAGTAAGATTATGATGTGTCTTTGATTTTTGTATTATGACTCTTTTCGTTTTCTCTTTCCAGATATGAATGTATGGAATGTAAGAAAAAGTTTGCTTCAAAAGTATATTGGAGGAAACATTGTGAGTTTTATCATCAACGGAAATCACAATATAAATGTGAAACATGTAATAAGGTGAGATATATTGTCATCTCTTTCATTCTGTTTGATAATAACAGAGTTAGGAATACATATAATCATAGTAACCTTATAAATGGCTCAGTGGTTAAGCAGTTGACTTGCAATCAGCATGTCCTGTGTTGTAATCCCGTGATGTATGAATGTGTTACATTTACATATGTACATTTATCCTATGTTGTTACGGTGAAGGAAAACATCGTGATGCTGCACATATCTGACAAACACAAACATATGTGTCAAGTCAACCCACACTTGGTTAGCATGGTTGACTATGGCCTAGACACATAACTTAGGGTAGGCTCCGAGCCCCTCGGTGGGGACGAATAGTGAGCTGATGATGATGATGATGAATGTTTAGATATTATTTCTTTTCAGCTTTTCATATCTGATTGGAGATTAAAGAATCATAGACAAACACAACACGGTCTGACTAGATCTAGGAACCATTCATGTAATATCTGCGGAAAGAAATTCTTTGTAAGTACTACATACCTTTTGTATCCAATTTATTGTTATATTAGCTGTTGCACGCGACTTCGTCCCCTTTTAGTAGTCTATGTGTTACTCCAGTTTATGTTCTACATCTATGATAAATTTCATCAAGATCCATACAGCCATTCTGGAGATATCTTCTAACATACATCCAAACATTCGCATTTATAATATTAGTAAGATTTGACTTCGTTGTAACCTTTCTGACTATATTTTTCTTTAACCAGACTCAATCAACATTACGCGGTCATCAATTAACACATTCCGAGGAGCGTAGCTACATGTGTGAAGATTGTGGAGACACATTCAAACAGAGACCAGCTCTCTACACGCATTCAAGACTCGTGCACAAGACACGAACGACAACAATGACCACAGTGTGATCACAACAACGCTATGGGGTCATTACGTAACTTAGGAGCGTAGCTGCGATCGAAGGACGACACACTGCGAGGTCATTAGCTAACTCTGAGAGGGAATTACTATTATTTACACAAGGCGACCCGAAGGACCAAAATGACCAGTGTGTCACCACTATGAGGTCATTACGTAACTCACAGACAGTACAGCTACGACCCAACGAACACATTGTGACAAGGCAAGGTTCTAGAAAACTCTACGGGTAGCTACAGCTCTCTTCATAAGACCTGAACGACCACAGTGACCACAATGTGACCAAATCGACTAGACAGTAGTGGATGATCAATTAATTCTGAGAGGGAATAGCTAAGGCATTCCACACAAAAAACCTCAGTGACAACAGTGTGACTATAGTGACCAAAATGACAGTACACTATGAAGTCATTAAGTCATTCTGAGTGGGTAAATACAGTTCTCTACACAAGGCAACCCGAAAGACTACAGTGTGTCCACTAAGGTTGTACACTGTGAGAGGTGGTAGCTACGGCTCTATGCAAGATAACGTGAGTGACCACAATGACTACACTAAGAGGTCATTAGCTAAGTCTGAGGATAGCTACAGTGCTCTACACAACATGACATGAGTGACCACAACCAACACAGTGTAATCACAGTGACTACAATGTGACCACAACAATCACCGTGTGACTACAGCAATCACAGTGTGACTACAACAATCACAATGTGATTACAACAATCACAGTGTGACTACAACAATCACAGTGTGACAACAACTATGACAGTGTGACCACATTGACTACACTACGAGGTTATTAACCCCGAGGAGTGTAGCTTCGGCTGCACGGAATCGTGACTCTTCAAGATGACCCATGTGACAACAATGACTATAGTAATCAAGTGTTGTGTAGTGAAAATATTGTGACAAAAATAAGAAAATACACCATCAAAAATATTGAGTGAAATTCCATTGATAAATATACCATTGGTACAGTTTTGTGTTTAAAATATTTAAAGCAAAGTGTTAACGTCCGCTCTATATGAAATCTCTGGTAAGGAAATAGTTTTTTTTATATATATATAGATTTTATTTAACACGTTAGCTGCCATGTCGATTATGTGTCCGATAAGCTATACTTCCATTCACCTCGCTGTAGCTTTTTAATCGAATTGTATACAGTGTGACCCGCAAGGCCCCATTCACATGGTTTTAGAAATTAAAAAAAAATATTTTTTCCTTTTTCAAAAAATCATTCTGTCAGTTAACGTGTTAAATATATTATTTGACTTTCTAAAAGTTTTGTAAATGTTAATTAATTGTCTTAAATTAAGAATATTTAATTCTTTAATGTATGAATTTTAAAGTTAGTTTCCACTGTCTTAATTTCATTGAAAATCAATCTAATTTTTTTATTATAATATTAATAAACAATCTGTCGCCTACGACTTTGTTCTGCGCAACTAAAAAATAGCAGACTATGTTCAAATTTCATCATTCAAGTATTTACATCTATATAAAAGAAAGTGGTGTTAGTTACACTATTTATAACTCAAGAACGGCTTTACCGATATGCCTGAAAATTGGTGAGGAGGTAGCTTAGAGCATGGAGACGGACATAGGATACTATTTATTCATTTTTTATTCGAATTTATGCCTTGAAGAGCTGCTTTTTATTTAACTTACTAATATTATAATTGCGAATGTTTAGATGGATGTGATGTGGATGGATGTATGTTTGAAGATATCTCTAGAACGGCTGAACGGATCTCGATTAAATTTAGCATACATATAGAACATAGTCTGAAAGAACACATAGGCTACACTAATTAAGTTTTATTATATATCCGCGCGGACGGAGTCGCGGGCGACAGCTAGTTTATAGTATTAGTAACATTTTACTAATATTATAAATGCAAATGTATGTATGGATGGATGTTTGAAGGTATTTCCGGAACGACTGCATGGATCTCAAAAGTCATAGATGTAGAACATAGTCTGGAAGAACACATAGACTACTAAGTTTTTTTTTAATTCTATATTTCTTGTAACCATTCCTACTAAGTTTAAAGTTTGTATTGTCAAACATGTTTTTACAATGTTTCATTAGTGGAAACGTACCATGATTGACTATATATATTTGTTTTAAATGTATCAACACATTTTATGTAATTCAGTCGGAACTGTTTTAGTCATTGTAACCGATGTATTGTTTTAAACGACGTATTAACCAGTTTAATATTAAACGTAACTTAAGCTCAAAGAACATATTTATTTAAATATTATTAAAAACATATAGAGTCGGTGGTTCGGGAGTTAAGCATGTCCTGTGTTGTAATCCCGTGATGTATGAATGTGTTACATTTACATATGTACATTTATCCTATGTTGTTACGGTGAAGGAAAACATCGTGATGCTGCACATATCTGACAAACTCAAACATATGTATCAAGTCTTGCATTGGACCGGCATTCACTATCACATACTCTCACTTAGGGTAGACTCCGAGACCCTCCAAAAGGATGTCTGTTGTCTCAGCCTACCCCTCTATGTTACGGGCGTGAGTTTTGTTGTTCATTATGTTGTGTATACATATTTTTACTTAATTTAAAACCTTTTTTATTTGTTATTTGTGTTGAAGACGTATAGGAAGGGAAAAGTTCCCTCCTCCGCCTCCTTATTTCTCTAAATCTCCTTCTTTGTCCATAAAAGTCTAAGTACAACTTGTTGAAAATGTTTATGTATGTTCGCTTCGCTATTTTAGCGAAATCAATTAGCTGCTGACTCGTTTTCCAGTATATTAATAGAAATTAATAATAAATAGGACAAAAATAGTAATAAAACAGATCTTTGGTTTATGATAAAACTATTCGAGTCCACGATGTATATATTTCATTATGAAATTGGTTATACGGTTATGGGTGAGATTATGTTCAAAGGTCAGGAAAGGTTAATTCTAGTCTTTCCCTTCCCAGACTTATGAAAGGATGAGATGTTGAAATGAAAAGGAAAATATATTAGTCCTGTTTCCCTTCCCACCATTTTTTTTATTATAAGGAAAGTATGGGAAGTGGAAGTGGACTTTCCGGATGAGATGCATGGGAAGGGAAAATATTTTTTCTTACTGTGCAACCTCTCCGTGGATTAAAGGTAGGCAACGCATATGCAATTGCGTATGTCTATGGGCAACGGTCACTACGATATTTCCGTGATTTCATGTGGCAGCTCGCTCGTTTGTGACCTTTATGATATATAAAAAAAATGTTATTTGCAATCTTTTATTTTATAATTGTCATTTCGAAGCCACAAAAAAAAGTTATTTACAAAATTGAATTTTACATTAGATATTTTGTCTTCTGTGAATTGTTTGGTTGGTCCTTTGGCGCGACTGGCGCGCTTTCGTTACCAAGTCAAGTGTCAGATGTAGTGAGGGGACAAAAACTTTGATATTTTAATAAGACTAGTGTTGCGATACACCGGCAGTGTCGGTTTTTCTTCTACAATTGTTTGATTAAAAGAGGGCTCTGACTTTTCACTGCCGGTAAATCAATTGGTACACGTGCCTTATCGTCTAGTGAGAGAACGAATACTTGCTGCGGTCCCAGAAGCGAAGAGAGAGATTCCAATGTCCTGATTGTGCAAAATTCCCCGTCCTCGTGCTTTTTGTGCATCTCGGTCTGTGGTCTTGCTAACTTTACGGGTGCAGTACGTACGTGTCTTCTTCCCTCTTGTGTGTTAGAAACGCGTGGGAGTAAATGAAGATATGTGCCGCTTCGAGAAATTTGGAATCCCATTAACAACAGCCTCTCATGCAGGTCGGACAGAGTGAGACAACTCCTAATCATCTCTGTTCGGCGGCGTACATCAGCAGCGCTGCCAGAGAGCAGGTTGCGAGTCAACTAAAGAGGGCTGTCCAGGGCCAGTTCGAGGTTCTGCTGCAGCAGGATTGTTTTTCTCACGTTCAGTTTTGTCCAGTTTTTCTTTGGCTCGAAATTTTTTGCACGCTTAGCAGAGTCTCTTTTTCACTTTAAACATTTCTCTTCTTCTTCAACTCTGCGTAGCTTTATTATTTCGTCATGAACATCATCTTTGGCTATACCTGTATCCCTTGCTTCAGTGAGAACATTTATTCTTTTTTGCAGTAGACCAATTTTCTTCATAAGAGTTTCTTGAGTCGGTTTGCTTGGAACATTTTTAGTGATGACCGAATCAGCCAAAGTCTTATCTGGTTCGGTACACGATGTCTCCAAAGTTTCCTCATTTGTATTCTGACTGCTCAGTGATTCCAGGTGGCCGCTCGCTCGTTTGAGACCTTTATGATATATAAAAAAAATGTTATTTGAGTTATGTCGTGCTGTCAGGAAAGGAGCTTTTAAAAAATATGTTTTGTTTATTTTATTAGACAACTATACTCTAAGGAGGTTACAAACGAACTGAAGATTTTAACTAACTTATCTGTAAGGAAAACATGAGGACACAAATAAGCTTTGTATTACAAGACAATATTAATGTTATCAGACCTACACATACATGGGTACTTAAGATTAATTTATTCTACTGGTGGTTTCGTAACTCCTCCGCCCGAAGAATGAAACGTACTGGGGTTGAGGGTTGGGGTTCATCTTCAACTGTAACAAGGGAATCCTTGCAATAAATAATCTCCTTCCTCTTGATTTATGAAAAGGTTGTATACAGTATTTCTTTTTAATATCTTTCCTAATGGGAATCTGTACGTTATTTATTTGTAAAACCATGTGCTTTAAATTTATTTTAGTTTCGAATTTTTTTAAGAAATCAGGTCCTAATAAGCCTATAAAATCTTTGTCGAATTCGAAAATGAGAAAAGTGTGGATGGAATTTGTATTGATTTTTTTTTGTTAACGCGGGGAATGCGTTTATGCACTTCGCCGTCCGTGCTGCGGGGGCAGCAGGGACGGTTTCGTGTGGGACTCCCGGCCTGGGAACAAGACCGGACTACCCACTAAACCCCGCGGTGTTCTACGCCCAACCGGACCGTGGCATCTACGTTAGTTTATCCACGG